CCCTTTTCTCTTCTGTATCCCACTTCTATACGTTATGACCCAACTTGAAAATAAAAATTGTCAAATTGGAAAAAAAAATGTCAGTACACTCATACCAAGTCCAGTCAAATGACATACACTACCTACTTTGTGCTTCTATATAGTCTCTATGGTCTTTCCTGCTTCACATCCTGCACAGTGCAATGACATCATCATAGAGACTATCTATGTTGCTGCCACCAAAGAGTAGTGGGAGTTTGAGTGCAGGACTTATCTTTTTGTATTTGTATTCACTTTTGTATCACACAGCTATGTTACAATGCTGCCGCCCATCCCATGTGTTCCCTATTAAGGGTAAATAAGTATATAGGGGTGTATATAAAAAATACCCCTTTCTGTCTCATTAGAGATATCTTTGCCAGAAGCTCAATGTGAATGGTTAGTGTAGGACCCACCTAAGAGGTTTATCTTGATGTGGCAGGTGGGCATTTCCTCTAATGGCCATTGGAGTAACTCAATAACCTCCATTTGTTTAAAAATACATAGGGATTTGGAAAAGAGCACAGATAACTTTTTCTTTGGTTTTTACTACCTAAATTGTGCATGTGCAATACTTATTTTGGCCCAAAATAAGCACAGTGAAATTGCCACAACGTGCAACACTCTAAGCACCATAAACACTTCCTCTCATTTTAGTGGTTATAGTGCAAATACTCTATCTTTTTAGCATTTCTTTACAAAAGTTAATTTCACAGATAAATATCCCTTTATTATATGTTGGACTGTCAGTCAGCCAGCTGGAATCTTTATTTTTTGGGGGTCAATTGAGACGCAAAATGGTAAAATAAATCCGTCATGACTCTAAAATTGATCTCTCCTTAAATCAACATGAGATAAATCGATTGATAAGGGCGTCAGTACGTACGACCTTTTAATGGCAACAATTAAAAACATTTATAATTTAATCCCACACCTGGGATGACAAAGGTGGTTATTTATAAAAACTGTTGCATTCACGTTCACATTTGCACTAGTTTTGTGCATTTATGCCATTTTCCGTCTTTTCCATAATTCACCAAAATTGTCTGTGTTTCTGGCACTTTTTATTACTCTAAGATAGTTTTTTTGGTTTTATTACGGATGACATTGCCATTGATTACATTCACATAAGACAAATGATTAATATTACTAGGAAAAAAAGATTATTTCGCGAAAAAAGATGTATGTGCGACATGGAGGATTTTTTTTTTTTTTTTAGCCTTTAAACAAAGAAGGAAGATCATGAATGCTTTGCTGTCATAGAAAACTGTCACTGAGATATTGGTGGAAAGCGATATCTCCTCTTTTTTACACACTATTTAAAACAACAAAAGAGAGACACAGGACAAAACTGTTGTGAATGGGGAAAATGTGGCTAAGATAATGTAATAATTACTTTCTTCTGTTGATTAATGTATGTTCTTCTGTGGGATTTTATTGTTTCGGTAGATTAAACTATCGAACACCGACCACCCTCCTGGCTCATTACCTTCAAAGGGAACCGTCTATTAAGCGCTCTCTCTGGGCGGCCGCCGTTCATATATGGGAATGCAACGTGGAAGACAAAACGGCGGCCATCTTGTTTGCACGAAAGGAGGCAGCGGGATTGGTCGTCGAGTGTCTGCAACTAAAATCGGATACTCGACTTCACGAACCACTGCTGAAACATACGAGTTTGGTTCATACGAACACGGAGAACAATCGCTCCTATTGACGAGCTTCATTCGTGCTTTTATTTGGTTTTATGCTGTTTTCTGAATTGACTGACATCACACTCTGAATTCGTGGAACTGTTTTGGACAGGAGTCTCGTGTGTGGTCGGTGAACTAAGACTTCCATACTTTTTGAGAACCACTGAACCGATCTGGGTGAAATTTGAATATGTCAGTCTCCCAGATCGGGGCTATCAGGGGACATTATTGTGGGAATACCTCGTGTGTAAAGGGGTGTTCTAAGTTTTGGGGAAATTGTGTGTCCTCTGCCTGGAGATAATTGGGTTATTCCTTAACTTATCTCAGAATCTCTCAGGCAGAGGAAGGGAGGGTTTTACTGTAAAACTGTATTATGATTGGTTGTTTCTTTTGTTTACTGTGGGAGGTCCTCTTGCAGGAGGATTTCCATAAAAGCCAGTGTGGCGTCAATATCATTCCTGTTGTACCCTTCATGAACTCTAGGCTCATGCTTGGGTAACCTTTGATTTGCTGGGGAGAATCGTCTTGGAAGCTGCATTCATCTACACTGTTCCTCTACACCCTAACTGCAGCTATAGTCACTTATACGCAGCTATTGGGAAAGAAATAGAACTCAGTACCATAACCACTGAGGTTCTTCACATATGTCTTTTATATATATTGTCTGGGGTCAAAGGCTTGCACGTTAATATATGTCTATATTAATGAAAAGTACTAATACGCAATCTGACTTACAGGTTATTCTTGGTTAATGATACCTAATAAAACAACAAAGGATGTTACATGATCATGGATGTTCAACAGCAGATGGTAATTGCTGGATTTCTGAAGGGAGAGTTACATCGATACATAGCTGTACAGGAAGAAGAGCCAAGAGAGACCGCGTGTCCCTTTGTTCAGTTACTGTATAGAAGTGTCCATACTGACATCAGCGTAAAACTCTAACCGTATAAGGACAAGACCCCCAATCCACATTCCAGAGTTCTCATACAAAAAAGCCTTGTGACTTATTGATGCCATCTGTTACTTATGTCAATCCAGACATCCATAGATAATCAATTGAAACATAGGATATGCAATATTCTTTTTTTTCCCCCTTTATTCTTTTTATTTTTATTGACAAGAAAAAAAATAAACAACAAACAGAGACAAAAAGAAAAAAAAGAACATAATATACAAAGATAAAAAGGATAAAATCAGACATTAAAAGGATAGTGCTTACATAAATTTGATAATGCTATTAATTATACCAAATATGACAGACAGTATTATTATTATTATTATTGCCATTTATATAGCGCCAACAGATTCCGTAGTGCTTTACAATATTTTGAGAGGGGGGATGTAACAATAAATAGGACAATTACAAGAAAACTTACAGGAACAATGGGTTGAAGAGGACCCTGCTCAAACGAGCTTACAGACTATAGGAGGTGGGGTATTAGAAACATTAGGACAGGAAATATCAAGTAGGAGTGAAGCAGAGCTGGAGGAGAGAGCAAAGCACTGTCCCATAGGAGAGAGCAGGAGACAGGTATGTAAGGCATAGATTACTCTGGGAGGCCATAAGCTTTCCTGAAGAGATGGGTTTTAAGGCCCTTCTTAAATGATTGAAGACTAGGGGAGAGTCTGATGGCAGTAGGCAAGCTATTCCATAGGAGAGGAGCCGCCCGCGAGAGGTCCTGCAAGCGCGAGTTGGCCGTACGGGTGCGAGCAGCGGTCAGGAGGTGGTCACGGGCAGAGCGGAGGGTACGAGGAGGGGCATATCTATGGATTAGTGAAGAGATATAAGAGGGGCTAGAATTGTTCAGTGCTTTAAATGTATGGGTTAACACTTTGAATTGACTCCTATAGCATACAGGGAGCAATGTAAGGACTGGCAGAGGGGTGAGGTGTGAGAGGACCGACTAGAGAGGAAAATCAGTCTAGCTGCAGCATTCATTACAGACTGTAGCGGGGAAATACGGCTTTTGGGGAGACCAATCAGGAGAGGGTTACAGTAATCCATGCGGGAAATTACTAGAGCATGGACAAGCTCCTTGGTAGCATCTTGCGTAAGAAAGGGGCGAATGCGGGCTATGTTTTTGAGTTGGAACCTACAGGACTTGGCAACAAACTGGATGTGAGACTCAAAGGTGAGACCAGAGTCAAGTATGACGCCAAGACAGCGCGCTTGCAGGGATGGACTTATGTGGATATCACTGACTTGAAGGGAGAGCGAGAGAGGAGGATCAGTATTAGGAGGAGGAAAGACAAGGAGTTCAGTTTTAGAGAGGTTAAGTTTCAGAAAGCGTGAGGACATCCAGTCAGAGATGGAAGAAAGGCAAGCAGTGACACGTTGCAGGACGGCAGGGGAGAGGTCCGGGGAGGAGAGGTATATCTGAGTGTCATCAGCGTACAGGTGGTAGTGGAATCCAAAAGAGGCAATAAGTTTACCAAGAGAGGCAGTATAAAGAGAAAATAGAAGGTAACCAAGGACAGAGCCTTGGGGTACTCCAACCGAGACAGGACGAGGGGAGGAGGTATCCTTGGAAAAGGAGACACTGAATGAGCGTTGGGAGAGATAGGAGGAAAACCACGAGAGGACAGAGTCACAGAGACCGAGTGATTGAAGAGTTTGAAGGAGGAGAGCAGTACTGTTGGATCTCGAATTAAATTATTGGGATTAGAAATTCTATACTAAATCAGATAAATTCTTGTGACTTATTGATGCCATCTGTTACTTATGTCAATCCAGACATCCATAGATAATATATAGAAACACAGAGTATGCAATATTCTACAGATAAACAATATTGTTGCAAACAGAAAATGTGACCAATTGTTAATATTTTTATTTTATTTTATTTTATACATTATTATTATAACTCCCAGTCTCTTAACTTGGTTTTTTTAGTGCCACCCTGGCATGGCCATTAGCCAAGGATCACCATATCAGATTTATATACCATAGAATAGATAATAATTTTGCTTTAGCAATTTTTTTTGTATCTAAGAGAACTTCCAGTTGCTGTAGCAACCACAGGTTCCCAGGAAGTACCAGTGGTTCAAAGAGTTCTACTGTGCCAGCTCCCCAACCAAGATGGCAGCTTTTGGCCACCAGCCAACACATCCTGTGTCCTTAATCTGTCAGGAGAAAGTTCAACCAATGAGAAGTTTGAGCTCTGTAAGACTGACCAATCAGAAGTAGCCCTGTTGGACAAGGGGCGGGGAAATTGAGAAGTCCCACTCTGGCAGTCCCGTGACAGGGAGAAAGTAGGCGGTTCTCAGTAGCGCGGCTCCTAATGGTCGCTCGGGGAGCGTGAGAGCCAATAGGATTGCGAGGACGGTGCCCTGCTGCCGGGCGGGACCAATCAGGAGGGCGGCCGTGACGCGCTGTCAGCTGCTGTTTGTTTACGGGCGGATGTTGTGACCGGGAGCCGGGGAGCCTGGAGGGAACATGGAGACCGGTGGGAGCGGGGCGGAGGGAACCGGGCTGGAGGGACCCGCCGGAGATATGTGCTGCCTCAGCTACAACCAGGACTGCATGTAAGCTGGTGTATATGAAAGAGGAGAGTTAGGGTTGGGAAGGGAGAGTGTAACATACTGTAAGATGAGAAGTGTGATGGATTGACTGTACCTGCTTGAGAGGCTAAGAGGGAGTAGTGTGCCAGGTTGGGGGAGAGCAGAGGTTCTGTAAGGTTTTGGGGGTGCTGAGCCTGCCAATTAGAGAGCGATAATAGATCATGACAGAAGAGTGTGACATGCTGGGTGGACAGAAAATTCAAGAGTGGGAATGGACACAATGCCATGGTGGAAATTGTGCCAGGTTGAGAGGAGGAGAGTCAGCAGCCAGCCTAGAAATAATAAAATATAATAAATTATCCCCTTAGTGCACATATGGCCAGAAGTTAAATTCCACCTGTTGCAAAACTTCAACTCTCAAGAACATTGTCTAGTCTTAAAGGGGCATGCTATGCATCCAAACAGTTTAGCTTCATGTCGAGGTCTTGGTGCCTAGATGCAGTACTGCAGGCTGACCGTTGCTGACAATCAGAAAAGCACTAGAGACACTTCTTGTGAAGGCTGTAAAACAATATACAGTTTTCACTTTTGAATCATTACAGTGCTTCTCTGTGAGGGGAATCCTATTGACATAGTGTGGCAATTGCTGAACATGCGCAGCAGGGTCATCAGTGATTTTCTCTGGAAAAGCATTTGATTGGCTGAGATTATCTGCCCAAAAAATCTCTCACATGAAACAGAGCGGTGGACTTTTCAACACGGTGCCATCTCGCCAGTATTTGGTGCACAGAGACATCGTGCAGTGGTTTTGGACTATACAGCAGGGGACACATTATACAGTGATTGTTTTTCATTTAGCCTGTATATGTTCTGCAGAATCTTCATTAAACTGTATCTTCCAAAGTACTGAACGGATCTGGGTGAATTTTGGATATGTGGTTCACCCAGATCCCCCGGTTCCAAGGATATACTTTTTATGGGGTTATTGCATGTTTTGGGGTCCCTGTGATGTGTTTTATGAAACTGTATTTCTCTGTCTGTGATAATTAGATTACCCATTGTGTAAGGTAATTGTATTACAGGCAGAGGGGAGGATTTTGTGTGGGAGTGTCTGTGTGTATTGTACAGATTGATTGGTTGTTCTGTAAAACCCTGTGGGCAGTACTAAGTTTGTGGATTGGGAATAAAAGGGGCTGTACGTGCCAGTCCACAGTTCCTGCTTAACCCTCAAAGTGAAGTGTCGTCTCATTATTGGGGGAGGATTTATTGTATGCTGTTCCAGTTTGACTGCTAGGAGTGTAAACCTATTCGCATGGTTTTTCCTATTCAGCTGTATACAACATTCATATGCTTGAGAGCATTCAAATGCTCCTACGGTTCGGTGGTTTTGGTGTCTGCTGCAGTGCTTGGAGTCCTCAGGAAGCGCTAGGAGCATCCTTCAACGGAGGTACCCAGTCGGGGTGCCAGGTGGTCCGTTACAGAAGCCATGTACTCTAAAACCAAATACACACATTCACACACCCTAGAAGATGTTTATCTTTCTAATTTCACATTCCTTCAGCCATACCCCCAACAATTGTGACATTTCTGTGATCTAGGTTCCCAGTCAGCTTGCAAACTAGTTTAATTTTGAATCCATTCTTTACTATGTGCTTTGTTCTTTTCAAATATGTGCGCCATGTCCTTGTTTTTCATACCCATCGTTCTTCTTTGCAATAACATAACATCTCACTGACAACAGCCCAAGAATCCTGGAATCCATCATGATAGAGTGCTTTGTCATCTCCTGAATTTCTCAGGGTGGCAGGTGAACTGCATCCAAGTGTTTTTAATTAGTGGTTTTGTGCTTAGTCAGAGAAAACGCATGCCCATACTATTTCCATCCATATAGCACCTGGGGGACTGAAATATTTTGTACGTTATCTCCTCTCTGGGGTGACCCAGGCTGCAACCATAGACCTATAAACCAAGGTACAGTATCTCACAAAAGTGAGTACACCCCTCACATTTTTGTAAATATTTTATTATATATTTTCATGTGACAGCACTGAAGAAATTACACAGCCAGTGTATAGCCTGTATAACTGTACATTTCCTGTCCCCTCAAAATAACTCAACACACAGCCATTAATGTCTAAACTGTTGGCAACAAAAGTGAGTACACCCCTAAGGGGAAATGTCCAAATTTGGCCCAAAGTGTCAATACTTTGTGTGGCCACCATTATTTTAAGCACTGCCTTAACCCTCATGGGCATGGAGTTCACCAGAGCTTCACAGGTGGCCACTGGGGTCCTCTTCCACTCCTCCATGACAACATCACAGAGCTGGTGGATGTTAGAGACCTTGCGCTCTTCCCCCTTCCATTTGAGGATGCCTCACAGAAGCTCAATAGGGTTTAGTTCTAGAGACATGCTTGGCCAGTCCATCTCCTTTACCTTCAGCTTCTTTAGCAAGGCAGTGGTCATCTAGGAGGTGTGGTTGGGGTTGTTATCATGTTGGAATACTGCCCTACGGCCCAGTCTCAGAAGGGAGGGGATCCTGCTTTGCTTCAGTATGTCACAGTACATGTTGGCATTCATGGGTCTCTTAATGAACTGTAGCTCCCCAGTGCCGGCAGCTCTCATGCAGGCCCAGACCATGACTCTCCCACCACAATGCTTGACTGTAGGCAAGACACACTTGTCTTTGTACTCCTCACCTGGTTGCTGCCAAACACACACTTGACACCATCTGAACCAAATATGTTTATCTTGGTCTCATCGGACCACAGGACCGAAACTGTTTTGCGTGCTTTCTTGTGCATCATCTTTAGAAGAGGCTTCCTTCTGGGATGACCGCAATGCAGACCAATTTGATGCAGTGTGTGGCGTATGGTCTGAGCACTAACAGGCTAACCCCCCACCCCTTCAACGTCTGCAGCAATGCTGGCAGCACTCATACGTCTATTTCCTAAAGATAACCTCTAGGTATGATGCTGAGCACGTGCACTCAACTTCTTTGGTCGACCATGGTGAGGCCTGTTCTGAGTGGCACCTGTCCTGTGAAACCGCTGTATGGTCTTGCCCACCGTGCTGCAGCTCAGTTGTAGGGTCTGGCAATCTTCTTATAGCTTAGGCCATTTTTATGTAGAGCAACAACTCTTCTTTTCAGATCCTCAGAGAGTTCTTTGACATGAGGTGCCATGTTGAACTTCCAGTGACCAGTATGACAGGGTGTGAGAGCGAGATCACCAAATTAAACACACCTGCTCACCATTCACACCGGAGACCTTGTAACGCTAACGACAAAGAGAAGTGGGGAAAAACACCCAGTATACGTATATAAAAAAATTAGAACATAACCTGGAGAAATAAACCAGGATAGATGGATCAATGTAAATCTACAATAATAATAAACCTAACATAGCATAATACAGTAAAAATCCAAGCAAAATTAATGGTGCTAGTAACAAACTCACAAACATGAGATGATTTAGGCTTCTCACCCCACCAGGGGTTAAAACAAACCAGGAGGCTGGTGAATCTCAAGTAATGGGAATCCTTTATATATGTGAAGGAAAAGAACCGCACATAGTGAAGTATAATTAAAACCAAACAAGGATTTATTAGATTGCATTTACAAGCAAGTAGAAGAATCTGGGCATATCTCCACACAGGGTGGAACCAGACCGCAGCGTGGTAGATCTTGAAATGCCAATAACAGCAGCAGTTAACATAAAAACAAATAGAAAAGGGACTAGAATAAAAATCCATAAAAAGTCCAAATTGAGTAACTAACGAGTCACATGACTCGTCAAGGGTTTTTTAACATTATATTTCACCAGCCTGAACTGCTGTTGAATAGAAACACACGTGGAAACAAAACTATATCTGTTTGTAATTGATCTCCAGTGCATTTGTGATGTGATGTACGTGTCTCGTGCGGAATTTACAGAACTGCAGTCCCACAAGAAACATATGGAGCAAGTCAGACACTGTTGACACGCGCACGTTCTTTTCAAAGTTTCCTCCTAGCCAATGAGGTTAATTGTCAGGGAAACGAACTAGAAACCAGTATTAAGGGGCATGATATGTGCTAGGAATCCATGTCCCATACCATCACAATCAGCCTTTTGTTTGCCCATGGGTGTATGGATCTGTGCAGTTTGTTCTACCGCTATCATGAGGATTTTACATTCCGTTTATCTATATATTGATTCCTTGACAAAATATTTTACTATTTGACTTATGACTCCTAAATGTAGGTGAATCGTTAGCAAGTACACTAAATCTGTTCATCTGCTCCTACAATTACCTTTGATTATACAGCGAATGTATGTATCCCACTATTAATAGAAGTAATAAAGTTAAACTTGGACTGTACACCCAGAGATCAGAGATGTCAGAACATGTTTCAATTTAGCTTCCCTCTGGCTATGGTCCATTTTCACCATTATTCAAAAGTACTTCACTTCCGGTAGACTAGAAGCTCACTTGAGCAGAACCCTTCTTGTTCTCGTATATCTTCGTTTATGATAACCTTTTCAATCTCTTTTCCAGGTCGTTGGCCATCGGTTTGAGGAATGGTTACAAACTGTTCTCCCTGTGCTCTGTGGAGCAGCTCGATATGGTCCATGAAAGCAGTAAGTTTTATAAAAATTGAAAACAAATGAAATATAATAGTGAGAACTGCAATAGAATTAAAGGGTCACTCCAATCACCAACACACCTTTAGCTTAAAGGAACACTAGAACATTAGGAATCCAAACATACAGTCGGTGCGGCCGCCTGTTATCCCACTTGCGATGCTTCTTCATATTGTCATCCAATCCAATGCTTCCGTATGAGCAGCATTTGATGTTTGATGTCCTCAGCGTTTTACATTGCAGGGCTGAAAGGGCTGCTGTACCTAGACCATTTAATTAAGAGGACATGTTCTGGGTACTTTTAGTGGTCGTTTAATGATGCAGTTTTGGTGTATAGATCATGCCACTGCAGTCTCACTTTTCTGCCATTTAACCGTGATTTAACTCATGAATAGCAGTGAATCGAGCATTGAGACTGCAGGTGCGTGATTTATGCACTAAAACCATTTAATTAAGATAATGTTGTTTTGGAGCTTAGAGTGTCCCTTTAAAGCAGGCTTCCCCAAACTCCAGCCCTCCAGATGTTGCTGAGCTACAACTCCCATGACTCTCAGCCTATCTATTTCATTCATGGAATCATGGGAGTTGTAGTTCAGCAACATCTGGAGGGCCGGAGTTTGGGGACGCCTGCTTTAAAGGATATGTCATAAAAAAAAAAAAAAAATTTTTTTTATATATATATATATATATATAAAATATATATAATTTTTTTTTTTTCTTGTTCAAGCGGCCATCTTGGGTCAGATTCTGCTGTTATCTGACCAGCTATTGCTCAGTGTAACTTGCACTCTATTACCATGGAGCAGCAGGCAAGTTAGGATGAACAATAGTTGGTCAGATAAGTGTAGAACCTGACAAAACATGGCTGCTTAGCTAGATAAAGTGAACTTTTCTAAAAAACTAAAAAACAACCAATATAGAGTGCATTCCTTATCAAATCAACCTCAAATTCTTTTTATTTATTTTAATTTGGCATTCTGAAAGATATGAGCCTTTGCAAAATTGCAGGTCCATATTTTTTGTATCTACAGTGTTTTCTAGGGGCACAAATATTGCGATTTTTTGACCATTGCTACTTTAACATATTACGATTCAAACTAGAAAATGCACATCTAGTAACAGTAGTGGAGTCTTTATATCTCCAGTTCACTTCAAGGTGCAGAGATCACAACATAACTTAATTTGTGATGTGACATGCCTGTCAGAACACGTTTAAATTTGCCGGGAGTTAGGATATTTACTGTAAAGGGGAATTCCTGTTTTACTGTATTTGATAGAACGCCTGATCTCATTAGCATCACATATTCCGATTTGGTAGAGTTAAAGTGTAATAGTATACATATAACATATTATTGAAAATTAAAAATTAAAACACCCTTTTTAAAAAAAACAAAACAAAAAAAACTGACTGCCAAAATATTGATTACAACGGCTTAAAAATATATATTGTTCCTGATATAGGCAAGTAATATCTTTGAGAGTTCAAGACCTTTCCAAAGGCACCTCACTTCTATAGGTGTCCTGGTTAACAGAATTATTGAATGTTATTTACAGTATGTTAGAAAATTGTTAAAATCTCAAACTTTACACACCCCTTATAACTTGGTAAATATAGAGGATATGGACCTGCAATTTTGCATAGGCTAATAACTCAAGTGGCCCTTTCAGTATGCCAAATTAAAAAAACAATAAATAAATGCGTTGTAAGGACAGTGTTGATTTGCCATAGAGTGGCTCATACATTTAAAAAAATTTAATAAAAAATAAAAATAAAAAAAAAAAATCACAAAGTTTCGTTTAATAAACTTTTAAAAAATGAGAAGTGAATATTTTAGGACGGTTTGTCAATCTTTGTTTTATTGAAGCAATGTGAGTTCGTTACAGAAAGGAAGAATAATATATCAGTGAGAATACACTCATATACAATAACCATTAACATTGATATACATTCTCATGAGTGTCTGTTTCATTTTATGTTTTAAAGGATATCCCTGTGTCTGGTTAGTTAGGCATATATGATTATGGCAATGTAACATTCTATAAACAAGCTTAGTAAATGCATTATGGCTAGTAGCTAACTATCGTGTGATATTACGTTTAACCGCAATGTAAAGCACCGCATATCCTGCAAATCTTAATTCTAAGCAGGCTTATCTAGTAGTGTCTAGTAACTGCTACCTCTTATATTACACATTTACAAGAGTGTGTAGAGCAACGTTTGAGGTACTAGTTAGGCAGATTGTAGGTTTAACATGGCATGCTGGTTAGTCGAAATAAAGCAACATAAAATAGAACGGCAAGGGGTGGGTGGGTCGACAGTGTTGTGTAGCAATAAACCCCCTAGGGTAAACAGGTTAGTTTATACGGCTTAGTTGGTTAAGTTTAGTTAGGCCCCCCCTGTTTTTCAACCGGCAGCTTTAGGATTTTTGGCCCAAGTCCTCGCTATGCGCCATTAAGTTTGCTAGGCAATGGCTAGTATGTCCGTTAATGTCCATTAGTATACTCAGCCCACTCCGCAGGGTATGAATGTGGCTTGGCTACTGGGAGCTTGTCTGTTGTACCTCGGGTTGGAAGCCACTTGATTCTCTGCCAGGTTGGAGATCTACCCCAGTCTGCCGAGGTGCCTTCTCCGGCGATGAGGTCGGCTGATTCTCCCTGATGTCGTGGTGTCACTGCGTCCAGGGGCCACTTGTCTTCGGCCTGAGGCCTTAGTAGGTGCTCGTGCCCGTTTGCCATTGATCCCATCTGCCGTAACGTGGGCCCAGGTTCCCACCGGATCCCGATCTTCTCCCTGAGGGTATGGCAGGCTGTGGAGGAGTTTTCCTGGTGAGCGCCCAGCTCAGATGAAGGGCGAGCGGTCCCATCTGCAGCGTTATCCATGTGGGTGGTGTGTCATGCTGGTATACTAGTGCTATGAGCCCGGTGTGTCTCTGACATTTTTGTAATGCTGTTTGGTGTGGGTCAGTTGTTGCTTGTTGCTTTGTGCGTCGGGCCAGATGGAGTCAGCAGTCCGTTTCGGGCTCTGCGAGTCGGTTCCTTCACACGTGGCCTCTGCCATATTAGATTTGGGTCTATATGGTGGCATGGTGGTGCTTCCGAGTGTGGCTTTGGTGTATGGACCGGGATCAGGACCGGGTCCACAAAGGTTCCGCATGTTTGTCGGGCTCCGTTGGGCAGGGTAGTGGAGCAGCGGCTGTCCACTCCACTCACCGCCAGACGAAGTCCCGCCTGATGCAGCAGGGATCTTTCCTCCGAGGGACTAGAACCCTGGGAGCACACCTTTCCTCAGCTCCGGTAACCCTTACACACCGAGGGTCGCAGTTGTTGGTAATTTTTGCCCTCCAAAATCACGATTTTTGAGCTTAACGGGTCATGTTTTGCAGGAGCTGACCCTTCCTGCGACCTTTCAGCTCGGCGGCCCGTCCCCGCCCCGCCCCCAGGACGGTTGTTCTTTTAAAGGTGAGAAGTAACTACAGATACTTGTACAATGAGGTCGAATTAGTAAATAAAAGAACTAAAATGATCTGAGGAGTGAGCCAGACAAAGCTTCCAATTCGTATGCAATAAGACCATAAAACTTTAATTTCTTTTCCACAAAGTAGGAGAGCTCTTTCCAAAATCTGATGACCGCTTTATGGAATCACAAATAAAAAGTATTTTTTTTTCTTAACTTAAATAGGAAACTGATTTAGTTCGAACCTGGGCACTAGAACCACCTTAACTGTAGTTTGCTATAAAACCATATGGTTGCTTCCATGGAAACGGGTTATATATTTAAATAGCATAGCAGATTATTGTAACAGCAGCGGCTACGGGCACATGCTCTTTTATAAAGACTGTTATGCTTGACTTTTTCTTTACACGTTAAGTGATCAAAGGAAAATTTTACTTATTTCAGTTACTTAACTCTCCTAATTTCAAAAAGTCTGCATACAAATATTTAGTAAGTTTCTGCCATTGCCAGATCGTCTTAGTCCATCCAAAATTTGCATGGACTCTAAACAGACCAACAGAACCATCATAACATGGGGTATTTGAAAATATTATCATTTATATAGTTCCAACATATTCTGCAGTGGTTTACAATTTTAAAATATGGATCTTTAGCAACAAGTAATTTACTTACGGAATATAAGAGAGACAAGGTGAAGAATGTCCTGCTCAAACAAGCTTACAATCTGTGAGGAATGGGTAAAGACACACAAGAAAAAATAGCATGTCAGAGGAAGTAGCGGCTGATGGGTAAGATACCCGTGTTGAAATAAGCTAGTAAAAGAGGTGTGTGGAAGAACTAAACATTGGCAGGGGAGAGAGTGATCCGGGCTCTGGAGTCGGGGAAAATGATGAGGGCAGTGAAATGAGAGAAACAGTACCCAGGAAGATGGTCAGCTTTCATAAAGAGCTGTGTTTTCAGTGAAAGTTTTCTAGTGGAAAGTTTGATTGCACAGGGTAGCGAATTCCAAAGGAACGGGTCAGCCATGGAAAAATCTTGCAGGTGAGAGTTGGCAATGTGGGAACAAGCAGATGTTAGAAGAAGGTCATTTGCAGAGCGAAGGGATCTAAAAGGGGTGTATTTGTTGAGTAAAGAGGAACTGTAGTGAGGAGTGTAGTTAATCATTTGTAGGTTTGTCTTGGCAGTTTGAATTGGATCCTGAAGGTTCAGGAAGCCTCGGTAATGATTGGCAAAGGGTTGAGGTATGGGAGTAGCAGACCGTCAGAAAGATGAGTCTGGCTGCGGCATTCAATTCCAGACTGAAGAGGGGCAAAGCGGGTAGTTGGAAGGCCAAAGGGTAGTAAGTTGCAATAGTCAGGTCGGAAAAAGATGAGTGGATTAACAAGTGCCTTAGTTATATCTTGAGTTAGAAAAGGGTGAATGCGGGCAATATGTTTTAGGTGCAAGTTACTGGATGTAAGGTAAGACCTGTGTCGAAAGTAACACCAAGGCAACGAGCTTGAGGGTTTGGGGTAACAGGTGTCCCATTGACTTGTAGGGAGATTGAAGGAGAAGGTTTATTTCAGCGGGGAAAGATGAGGATTTCTATTTTAGAAAGATTAAGTTTTCGAAAACTGGAAAGCATCCAGTTAGAGATGGAAGAGAGGCAGTTTGTAACACTTTCAGGAGAGAGGTCAGGTATATCTGAGAATCATCAGCATATAGATGATACTGAAATCCAAAGGCGTTAATAAGGTTACTGAGAGAGGCAGTGTAGATGGAGAATAAGAGGACTAAAAACAGAGCCCTGGGGATCAATAACTGAGGCAGGCAGCGGGGAGGAGGTGGCACAAGAGAAAAAAGATATTAAATGAACATTCAGAAATATAGGATGATAACTATGAAATCACATTGTCACAGAGTCTAAGGTTGTAGAGGATTTGAAGAAGAGAGTAGTCAACAATATCAAAGGCCACAGAGTGGTCAAGGAGAATTAAGAGAGAGTAATGACCTTTTGGCAGTAATTAAGGCGTTAGTCACTTTGGTCATGGTGGTTTCTGGAGAAGGGAGGGAGGGGAAGTCAAATTGAAGAGGGTCAAGTAGAGAGTTAGTATTGAGAAAGTGGCTAAGATGGATAAATACCTGCTTAAGAAGCTTAGAAGTAGCAGTGGGGTGGTGCTTTGGACTTTAATTAGGAGAGGTAGGGACAAGAGATGGCATTTTTAGGATAGTATAAGCAATTGCATGTTTGAGGGAAGAGGAGAAGATGCCAGCAGACAAGGAGAGGTTTAAAATATCCATTCAGGATGGGAACACACTATGGGAAAGAGATTGAACAAGGTGAGGGGGTGGGGGGAATAGAGAGAGCATGTGGGGAGTGGGGGGAATCGAGAGAGCATGTGGTGGGGCGAGAGGAAAAGAGAAGTTTAGAGCCCTCTAGCTCAGAGACAGGGGAGTTAAAAGTGGTTGAAGGTATAGAATGAAAGCTGCATATTGGAGGGGAGGAGGAAAGAGGGGAGACTGCATCCCTAATTTGGTTGATCTTGTAAATAAAGTGACATGCAAAATGGCTAGCTGTGAGGTTAGTCCATGGCGTGGTTGCAGTGGGGCAAAAAGGGAGACATTGGAGACTGGAGAGAGGGAGATATCTCATGTAGCTCAAGTAAGCTTCGTTTTCTGAGGGCCCGAGCTAGGTTTAATATGTTGCGTGAGGGACACATTGGCAGTGCAGGTTAGAAGATAGTGGACAGACAGAGGGAAAGGTAGTGACAGAGTAAAGGTTAGAGAAAACAAGGTTGATGGTATTGCCGGCTATGTAAGAAGGCCAAAGGAGGAGGTGATTGATAGAAGTCTAGATGCTGTTGAGTTGTTAATAGAAATGTTGAAGTTACCAAGGATGAGGGAAGGAATGCCAGCGGAGAGAAAGTAAGAAAGTCAAGCAGAAAATTGGTCGAGGAAGAGTAGAGGACCGCCAGGAGGGCAGTAGACAACAGTAACACGGGCTGAGAGAGGACTACAGAAGCGCATGGAGTGAACTTCAAAAGATGAAAAGGAAGGAGAACAACAAGGGGGCGAAGGTTGGAAGGAACAGTGAGGTGAGGGCAAAAAGCCCCCATCTTGACCCTTAGCATTACATTTCCTGGGGGAGTGGAATAAACTCATAAGATAGGGAAGCAAGATTAGCAATGTCAGAGGGAGAGAGACAAGTTTTAGTCTGTGCCAGGAGGTTTAAGGAGCGGGAGATGAGGGGATTGTGAATGGCAGTAGATTTTATGGTGTTACAGACTGAGCGTGTATTCCAATTATATAAACCTCTAATATCCACAATGCCTAGGGTAAGACGGGTATTCTATTATATTGCATCCCACATCCAAGCTAAGATCTTTTTGTATGTTTGTGTCTAGGCGAGATCTCCGATGTGTATATTGTGGAGCGTCTTTTCTCCAGCAGCCTGGTGGTGGTGGTGAGTCACACAAAGCCTCGCCAAATGAACGTATTCCACTTTAAGAAGGGCACCGAGATCTGTAATTACAACTACTCCGGGAATATTCTCTCCATCAGGTTGAACCGCCAGGTAATTTCCGTGTTAATCCCCCACCCCTATTATACTGTAGGTATATATATGTGTGTGTGTGTGTAAGCTTATTAATTACCTCTCCCATTCAGTGGTTTAGAAAAACTTAGTCACAACAAAATGCCTATTTTTTGATTATCCTATCTATAGATTTGCTGGAGATTTTATGATCAAAATGTGTACATTAAATTGAATTCTTTAGCTGATCAGTCCATTTCTGTTGACCGTTTCATTGATGTATGGATTTATCCTGTGTTTTTAAAATAGATTATTTGACATATTGTGAACATTACCTTACTTTTTACTAGACCTGCCAGCATTTTCCACGATTGATTCCTTATTATTGCTATTACCGATATTATATTCACTCTGTGCCCTCCTTATTGCCTGTGTTTTGCTTTAAAGAGGCTGGTTGTATGTTTGGAAGAATCTATTTACATCCACAATATAAAAGATATGAAACTCCTCAAGACTTTGTTGGACACCCCGCGGAATGCATCAGGTAAGCTATATGGTAGGAAGCGGGATTCAGACACTAACAGCGTTATTTACTAAAGTAAGATTTCAAACGAAATTTAAAGTGGCTTTTAAGACGAGACGCTGAAGGAAAAGTATAGCTAAATTAGAGGATTTTTTTCAGTGCGGCTATTTTAACTTTGAATTTGTGTTTCCTTCATTCTGAGATTTATCTGCTATAGTGGAGATTGTGGAGAATTAGCGAGGAAAATTAAATCTTATGCAGAAATGGAAATTTTCTCCTACTTGTTTAGGTTTCTGTTAATGAAGTTAATGACTTGTTGAAAATACTGTTCTCTTGTGTTTAAAGGCCAGGTCAAAATACACTCTAGTTATATGTTCAGGAACACACAGGTTAAATGTATTTTTTTTTTTTCCCCAGAATTTTATAGAATAGTTTTATACTTCATAAACGGAGGCCTAGCATGGTATATATTACAGTGCACTGTTTATAAGAAATAAATCTAATTGCATCGAGCAACTTGGTCTGTACCCTGAGCTCTCCAAATTAAGGATCCAAAGTTACTCCCTGTAAAGACTGCATTGTGAGCTATGCTCCGTACTTAAGAATGAACTCTTCTTGTTTAATTCTGTAAGAGTTACTAAAAACATATTGCCATCTAAACTCCAGGTAATTAATGATAAGCTAAATGTACTTTCTTGATTAAGTATTGATTAAATACTTTGTTTTTGTTATAAATGTAGATGGTATTGTTATAGCTAGATTTACACCAAAGAGTTAATGTAACTTTCTATTCCATTCTAGGTCTCTGCGCTCTCTCTATAAACCATTCCAACTCCTATCTTGCATTGCCTGGCAGCTCCTCCGTAGGGGAGGTGATGTTGTATGATGCAAATAGTTTGGTGAGTGCCATGATTGCAGCCATATTTTATCACTACTTGTTATGCCCGGAATTGATTGTTTTCCTAGTGTAATACAGAGTATTTTGTCAGATGCTACATAGAGCAGGTTGTTGTCTTTACATCATTACTATGTTTTGTAAGAAATCACATGACCCCCCCCCTGCCCCCCTCACCCACCACCCCCTTACCTCTCCCCCACCTCCAATTGCCACCAATGTTATCACCGTACTGCCTGGAGTCTGCTTACAAATTTAACAATTCTCTGTGTGTGAGAGCAGGACATTACATTGATGTATCTCCTTATAAATTCAGATTTGATTAACTCAAACCCTGCCTGCTGCCATCAAACTACTGCACTCCACACCCCAGCCAGTCACCAGTAATGAGAGGGAACATAGACTGAATACTCCCAGTAAAAACGTGCATGTCCTCTTTATTTTGGAGATATACCGAGTACTAGTAAATTTGGTGAAATGTATGGGTAGTGATAGGCGAGTCAGATGTACTAATTCTAATAAATGTCACTTTTTAAAATTCTGAAATAAAAAATAAATCCTCCAGTTCTGTCCCATGTGACATGTTAGACATCTCTTACCGGGGTCTAAACTCTACATTTGGTATGGCCAGAAGGCTCCCAAAGCAATCATGGGTTTTGTAGTTTAGTAATCGCTTGGGGGGCCGGGAAGGGTCTCGTTCTTTATGCCATTTGTCATTATAAATAACTCCTTAATGACACAATATGTTCCCTATAAATCCTATACCATCATATTGTGTCCTGCTTAGTTATTTCCTACAGCTCTACAGACAGCATAGATCTTAACTGGACTTTAACGGGTTACGGATCTAGCATTACCATTCACCCTCTGAATTACAGTAATGCTGACCTGTGTCCCACTGTCTATCTATGACTAAAGGTGCATCTGCTCCCAGAGCGTTATATTAGCCCCTGTAGTAAACTATCCCTGGTTTGTCTTTTATTTAAATTTTTTTAATGGTTTTTAAAAATATGGGAGTGTCTTTCTTTAACCAAAAAAAAAGGTCCATCTGTGGAACGGTTTCAGATGTTCGTGAATACATGGAATTCTTGGATCAATACCAGGCTAAACCATACAGCTTTTGGTCCGCATTGTAAATCTGAATTTGGATGTGTGACCTGTCAGGAAATGTAATGGTAAATTGTCTACACTACAAAGCTATAGAGCACTTTAAATAAAGAAGGAAAGATTGTGTTTTGTTCATCCACATTTGTACATTGGTTGCAAATCTTCCCCTCATCTGTTTGTATAAAATGTCCCGGCTTTCTTTCATACAGAAAACAGAATGCACTATACCCGCCCACGATAGTCCACTTGCTGCTATTGCCTTTAACTCTACGGGAACAAAACTCGCCAGCGCTTCGGAAAAAGTAAGTCAATATCAAGTCGCATTTATCTTGAAAATGAGACAGTGAGAAAACCATAACTTCTACCAGTGTTGGGTGCATTGTAACTAGCACTATCTGTGTCTGCAAAATATTTTCCTGTAATGTGAAACTTACCCTGACTCTAGCGCCTGGTAAGGTTCTTTCTACGCCCCGTTCACGCTATATCACTCCGTCCCTCTCTAAAGCATTTGATTGGCTCCTTCTGACCAGCTCAGAGGGCTAGAAGGCCTGAAACAAGGGAGTGGAGATACAGGCTCCCGGCACTACCTGCAAGGGTAGAAGCCCATTACATCTGTCGCCAGCGTGAGCCGATTTAACATTAGGCAGCCGTTATCAGAATTCCCGGCTGCCTAATTTACATGCGCAGAGAGTAACTCGCCCACAGCACATAAGTACAGATTACCCTGCATGTGCGATGTTTCAAGAGAAAGCTGTACAGACTCCTACAACCATGACCACTTCTAAAAGCAGAAGTGGTCATGGTTGTTGGAGTAACCCATTTAATGACTGAATTCATGCAATCCGAACCTTACTGCATTGTGAAACAAGAACAAGACGATTAAACCAGGCGCACTTTTCATCCTACTATTAAAGGTGACATTTTAACAACCCGCTCTTTCTCCTTTCTTCCAGGGTACTGTAATTCGAGTGTTTTCCATTCCAGAGGGGCAGAGATTGTATGAATTTAGAAGAGGAATGAAGAGGTGAGCCATGTGATCATATTCCTGAGATTGATGAATGCTAATTATGCTAATAATGATAATTTACATATTGGGTATCTATAAATTCCTCATGTGATTACAATAAAAAAAATAAAAAATAAAAATATTTTTTGGTCAGCACCTAGTGTTAAATCTGTTTGTGTGAATGGATTAATTCAAACGTCAGAGTTTGGACATTTGCAAATACCATAATCCCCGACGTTCCTTGTGTGAGTTCTGGTGTAAGCAGTCCCCTGCCCTTGTCTTTCTGCATACCGTTAATCCTAGTTGTATCAATTTGCTATAGATTCCCACATCTGGCATTGTCACAGAATGAAGCACAGTCCTAAGTACACTCTTGCACAGACTGCAGAATAGTTTTCTATTTTTGAAGCGCATTGTCAGATACATTGTGAAGCCAATACATTTAATGGGTTACATGAGGTGATGCAGTGACATTAATGGTGGTTAGTGGTTAATGCATGTTATAAGAAATAAACAAGCTTATCATATAAGTCTACATGGCATCCAAACAAGAGTTAGTCAAAACAAGGTAGCGTAGACATAAGCTAGCATCACTTATTATAAGTATATCAGACTAAGGTAACTAGTAATAAGTGAATAAAGTGGATTATGCAAGCTTAATATACAAGCGAAGTATGCCACCCTGGGTGGCTGTAGTGGCAGGTGCTAGTATTAAAGTATTGGGGACAAATAATGCAGCATTCATATGATGTGGTAGCTCCTTCGGTATCACCTACTCTCCTCTCCCTGTGGTACCCTTCTTGACACTCCAGCTGCTGGCCCTAAATGCACCCCTCTCTGATGCAGGCCTGCACTTCCCACCTCTCGTGCTCCGCTGACCCAGTCTTCTCCGCCATTTTCGCACTCTTTGTGCCACTCCAAGTTTGAGACTGTCGGGGAGCAGGTTTAGATGGGTGATCCTGCGAGGGTTGTTGGGCAGGTACAGATTGTCGTAGGGACAGCGTCCCCCAGAAGTCGGCAAGGAGTTTGTCTAGGAAAGAGACATCGTTCTGGACATCACACCTCCATAGTCAGGCTTGGGGCCTGCGGCATCCGCCATGTTGGATATGCCATGTGGTGTTTCCTCGCTGTTTGAGGCAGGATCGCACAGCCCTAGTAATGTGAGTGAGCCTCCAGGGTGGGGACCGGGATCTCCCCCACCGGTCCAAAGGGGAGGGGGGTGGGGGGGTAGCAGGGCTCCATCAAGATTTGGACAAAGATCCGCCTGAGCTTGGCTGGGAGAGCGGCCACCTCTCCCCTCCACAGTGCTTCTTAGGCCTCACTCCAGCCCGTTGAGGGCTTAGACTGGACGGCTGCTAATGACCGTACAAAGCCGGTCCCTTAACACCAGGCATTCATGCTTCGCAGCCTGACACAGAAAGAGTGCCGGGAACACAGGTAAGTAGCTTAGAATCGATGATTTGCCCGGAGCTCTCTGAAAAGACGTCTGGCTGCCATCACAGTCGGGCCCCGCCCCCCCAGAATAGTTTTCTATGAGCCCATTTACAGCAGCTGAGATGAGCTTCATGTATTACAAACATAAATGAAATTATCCTGTATACTGTGGTTTCTTGCCACGTTGTTTCATTCATGTCTTTTCATGACTGATATTAATCTCTTGCAAATTCCAGGTATGTGAATATCAGCTCCCTCGTGTTCAGCATGGATTCTCAGTTCCTGTGCGCATCCAGTAACACAGAAACTGTCCACGTCTTTAAACTGGAACAGTTGTTTGAAAGGTGGGTAACTTGTAATAGTCTCAGCTAAGTGACTGATCTGTAAATCTGATCTGTATGAAAGTCTGTCACTGAAAAAAGTTGGTTTCACTATTCTTCTTAAACAGCTGCTATGATTAGTGCTGTGATGTGTCCTGACAAACCCAGCACATGGTGAACGGTTTCAGCCGCAAGCTGTGTGTAAATATCAGTGTCCGTACAGGATTTTGCATCATATCCTCTTTGCGCAGTAAACAGCTTGCAGATCCTGGCTGTGAGAAGAGATGCTTCTTATAGTGGTCTCTATAAACAGGCTAGAGAAAAATTAGATTAACGTTTATTTGACCCATTCACTTAATGAGTAATAATTACGCAACATGGTGTAGAAAAGGAAATCTGTACATAAGCGTCTTGCACACATCAGTCTCCCATCCTCTGCACATTTCGAAGGGAACCCTCTGTTCTATAGCTTCCTGCAAAAATCCATGCCTCCTGTCTGCCAACAGCAGCCGCCAATCACAACATTAGCTGTCTGGCTCGTCTGCCATGTTGGGTCTCTTTCCTGCCAACTGTAAATCTTTTAAAATATTTTTCTTTTTTGTCAGGGCTGGATTAAGACTTTAACTAACAGTTTTCTATTCGCTCAGTTCTCTCTGATCCTACCTCTATTGCTAAATTCATTTGTGAGATGAATTGGTTCCAATTATTTAGGACTCCCAGTAAAAAAAGCAAGTGCCCCCTTGACAAAAACTACCCAAACCGTCTTTCTACTCTGTATATAAAGCTCTGTTGTGTACAGGGCAGTAAACCATTTGTTCTTGGGTGACCAAGACTTTCTCTATACCAGAGATTTGAGTTAATTTTAAGAAGCTGCTCCCAGAATACTAAGTTCCATTTAATGGCACCCCAAACTCTGCTTCTGTACTGCTAAGCATGCAGGACTCTTTACATGCAGGCTAAGTAAGGGATGTGCAAGAAAATGCTTCATTTTAGAATTAGGTTAGTTTGTAAACAAAGTATGATAGTGTGTATCGCCGCTAAGTCTGTTCTCCACTGAAATCCACAATTAATATTCCATGCAGTCCAATCCCTTGAGTACCTTAATGAATGCAGTAACAGAGTTAGAAAATGTCCACCAAGATCTACATGGGGCTTATGCTGCATGTTTCTGCACCAGGAATGCTTGATGCAATGTTACAATGTTTCTTCTGTAACTACTGCTATCAGGAATTGTGACTCCATCATAGGGACCAGCGTTGGATCTGTCATACTGTGTGATGCAGTTGATATGGCGCGTGACATCAGTAATATAGGATTTCAACACAAACGGTCTGAATAATTGGTTATGTAAAAATCAATCTCTCTCTCTGTATGGTTCTGTATGTTTAGTCACATAAAAGGTGATTCTGTGAGATTTAACAACCGTAGCAGGCAAGCTGTATTTGTCAGATTCATTTCTTAGTGGGATTAACAAAATTAATTAAATTTCTAAAGGTTTTGTAAACTCACATATTAATGTGCAGTTGGATACGATTATGTGAGTAACAGGTCACAGCTGTGGAGATTTTGCAATGGCCCAAAGTGTGCAATATTTTCATATTTCAAAATGACTGTGTGCAGTGATTGTGTGTAATTTATAACCGTGTATAGTGACTGCACAGTAATTACACTTTATATGTATGATTAATGTACATGTACATAACCTGACTAAAGAGGCACTATAACCACTACAGATCATTAATGACTTTATTGAAAAGTTATCTAGGGAAGCCTTTTCTTGCCTCCCTAATGCATGTTACCTGCTGTTATCTCCCAAACAACATAGGCAAAGACATTTTTTTCGATTATTTTTGTATCCAGATAACTGGCCTTCGTCGGATCCAAACTTTGAAAGCGTATCTGTTTATTTTACCTGCAGGTGGCGCTAATAAATCACACAATGGTCGTGTCCGTTTTCAGATTGAATTAATTTCTCTACTGAACACTAATTTCCTAGTGTCAATATCATTTCCCAGCAAATAATTTAATATCTCCTCCTTGAAAATGGAAAAAAAAAAAATTACAAAATACAAAAAAAAAAAAAAAACAGGGCTCAGCCATCAGCCTTTGCATTGAAACCTTCTGAACACTTAGTGAGCAAGATGCAGCTGTAATATCACCCGGCAAGAGCAATCCCTCATTTATCTGTCTATTACAAGCTCTTCTTATCCCGGATGTATTGGGCTGTGTGTAATTTTCCTGGAACTTTGCAGGAAGGGAGAGATAAAGGAATGCAAGAACTACTCACTTTATTAAGATAATTAAATTACAGGCCCCAATGTGGGTGGTAATAGGGAATGTGAGCATATTAACTTTAATCACTAAACTGAGAGTCTTGTGCCATTCACCAGGCATTGCAAAGTTTAGCTAGAATCTTCAGTTCGTTTGGCCTAAAAGTTGCATTTTTACAGCCAATTAGTTTAGGAAAAAACTGGATGGAGTAGTACATAAGATCCCCCCTCAAATTGATTATTGTATTGGATGTAAAATATAGAATATAAAAAGCCGTGTGGATGGCCATACATAGCTGTCAAATTCTCTCATTGATTTGTCCTTCTGGTTTCCCAGGTCAGAAGATAACTCCTCATGGTCAGGGTATGTTGGAAAGATGTTCATGGCTGCTTCAAACTACCTCCCAACCCAAGTATCCGACATGATGAACCAGGACCGGGCCTTTGCCACCGTACGCCTGAACTTCTCCGGCCAGAGGAACACTTGCACATTAGTCACGTATGTATTGGGCAGACCATTAACCGTAATGTAAAGCCCGGTGAGTAGGATTAATGACCGGCTTTTCCATATTGCAGAATACAGAAGCTGCCGAGACTTCTCGTGGCCTCGTCCAGTGGCCACCTCTACATCTATAACTTGGATCCGCAGGACGGGGGCGAATGTGTTTTAATCAAGAAACACAGGTTTGTATGTTTTGTGCTCAAGAAGGTAAAAATTTTTTTTAAAAAATAAGATTTTAAATTACTTATTGCTGCTCGGGTTGGCTAGTTTGTTTTCTTAGTGGACACACAGTATGGGTAAAGTACTGTGTTGGGGCAGTGTAATAGATACTGTATTATTTGGTATGTTTTAAAAAAAAAAATAATAATTTTTAAATCCCGAAACCTGTCTTACCAATGCAAACCACTAGAGGCAGTATTAAAGCATGTAAAGGTTCATTAAAGCAACGCTGCACTGTAGTAAATATTCATTTTAATGTGCCGTTTTGAGAAATAAGAGAAGTGCTTGAAATGTTATCTTTCCTTCCAGCCTACTTGACTCTGGGAAATCAGAGAGTGACCGAGAAGGCGAAACTCTAAGTTCTGCACCTGTTTCTTACGCTGCCACACTCGCAAGGCCAAGCACGGCCCCTTCCCCGTCTACCGTGACCGGTGAGCCAACAAAAACCATTAGAACCCTGTTGACACATTCACCAGAACTCTGGGCGTTTATGTGGGTTCTGCTACAGCAGAAATTGGACACCAGGAATGCGGTTTGTAGTGTGAATTACCTAGATCACAATGCCCAGGGGTGATCAGCTATTACATTCACTGTGCAATACATAATCTTGTATAAATGGACGTGAAACATTTTCAAGAGATCGGAGAGTACTGCTTGCCATGCACTGTCCTCCAATGGCCACCTTGTATAGTCAGTATATAGCACAGGGACTGTGTGCCATTAACCACATATTGATAATATGCAGACAGTAATATAATTAAACAAAATGAAGATACCTCTACCTATGTTCTGTGTACCTGTTCCTATATCTTTAACAAGATGTGTAGTTTAGGTGTCAGTAACCGTTCCACAATTAGGGACAACGTGACTAGGTAACTCCTTGCACCATAACCTATGCTCGGAATAAAAGCTGTCAAACAGAGGAAATTAACTTGCCAATATACTGGATGCGCAAAGACCCTTAAAATAGATCAAACCTCTCCCTGGGCGAATAAATCCAAACTCTGTTTGCATCCTCACTGTTCCCTTTTTTATGAATGGGTGTTTATTCACTAAACTGTGAATTGCGGAGAATTAGTAGGATATGCAAAGTTTAGACCAAAGTAGCCAGGCAAGAAATGTCCGATTCGGCTGTTTTGTACTGCATTGCTCCGTTTCTGTCCGTTCTGCACAATTCCCAGATTAATAAACCATTTTCTGTAGAATTTTACGCTGCACAATCAGGATTTGCTAGTCCCCTTACAGAACCCATGGCATTGTTTACCTAGTGTGCTATAGGAATAACGTCTTTCCTTCTAACGTTTTCAGGTTACTCTGAGGATGGAGGGGCCATGCGAGGAGAACTTCTGCCTGAGCACGAATTTGCAGTAGGACCCGTGCGTCTGGATGACGAGAAAGAATTCCCTCCTGTGAGCATTCAGAGCCCTTAAACAGTAGCAGAGCCCTGACAACTAAACAGGAATGGGTTAGACACTCTCCAAAGGAAAACAGTGCCATTTAACCCTTTAAAAACAGATTCCACTGGCAAGCAAACTAAGGTTTGGCGTTGGAACGACTTTCCAAACAACTTTGTCACGAAGAACTCAATGCAGTTACTAGTTTCACTGTAGTTTGAGGCGTGATTTCTGGGACTTTAGGGACTGTTTTTAAGACTATTTTTTACTAATTCATACGTGTTTTAAATACTAACTTCCAGAAATGTTTATCATGTAGAGAAAGTGTCTATATTACCCTTTTACTGCTGGAAGAGTGCAGTTCACCCCCTGCTGGTAGCATTGAGTGTTTGCACCCCAGCAAGATTTGATTGAGTTTAACATTGTTTAGGGATGCGTGCCTTATGATATAAGATTAATGGTGAATTTGGAAACTGTAACGGCATTTTTAGCATAGTGTAGTTGTTGCACTCTGCTGTTTAGTGCCAGCTGGTTTCCAGTTCAGATATACTTTATTTTACTGCTTACCAGTATGTTAATAAGAATAGATTTGGGGTTAGAAAAAACATCTTTCTATCATGACCGGACTGATCCCATTGTTCCTTTAACCCCTTAAGGACACATGCCATGTCATGATTTCCTTTTATTCCAGAAGTTTGGTCCTTAAGGGGTTAAAGATACTAAACATCCTGGGGCCTGTGATGAGCTCCATATTCTGGAGAATAACAAACACGTCCCAGTAAATATTCTCGGCTGTTACTATAGGCTCAAATAGAGTTTTAAGATAGTACTACTCGTGATCCTTGTCTTGACAATAGACAATTGGAAAATCTTCTTGATGCTAGTGATTAATTATATTAAATATATTTGCCTTTCCTTTAGGGTGGAGGATGTAGGACCAAGTAACATCAGCATTTTCCTGCCCCGGGATTAAAATGTTCCTATCCTAGGGGAGTAAAAGGTATGGATACTCTCCGACCTGGAGAATTTACTCTCCTTGCAAGCAAAGGGCTAATAAGATATCTGAGCTACCCAGCTCTAGGGAAAAAAGGAATGGATACTTCCAGCCCTTTGGGAATAAAAGTTGGGTAACTCTGTTATGAAGGGTACACTTTCCCCCACCAAAAAGGAAAGCGCTGAATATACCTAGACATTCTAAGTTACTGCAGAAAAATATACCATCCTGCTCCCGTGGCAAACCCTGAACGGGAACGTCTGATACAAGATGGATATTTTATGTATTTAAACAAGGCAGTGTTAGAAAAATGTATTTAGCAATTAAAATCCTACCTCTTATGCAAACTCTGCAGCTAATTTGCCCAGCACTTCCATGTTCTGGTGGGATAGTATGTACTCAAATGCTTCCCTTAGAGAAGCATTGCGGACACATCCTATATAACAAAATATTAGTAAAAAAGTCATAAATTATTAACAATTGTGTTAGAATAGATTTCAAATGCACACAAGTCTCAGCCTATCACAGAAATAAGAACTCCCACTTTAAGCACTCTGTGTGCCTAAACAGGTGTGTTCAGGAAGTGTGGAGGGTGGCTGTACCAAAATAGTTTTGTTGACTCCCGAATGGCAGAGAATTGAGCAGTGAGCCTGTAGGGGCATGATCTATGAACCAAAACCACATCACTAATCAAAAAGTGATTTTGGTGCCTAGACTAATCCTTTAATGTGAAAATCCCTTGTGTGGCAAGTGAACCGTCTAGCCCCAGCAGACTATAGAGAGGAGGTGGTTCATGCTATGGTAGGGTGAAAGATATAAAATGAAGACACGGTGATGGCTGAAGAACAGACCCATTGCCAGCCATCATGCTCTGGCTCCCACCCTTTCTTTTAGCAACACTCCCTATGATACACTAGATTAACGTTATGTACGCTACATATTTAACAAGAAGGGGGGATGCTTTAACATAGTCTTTATGAAATACTAATGTTCCACCCGAGGATCTTTTAGGATCATAACGATCGAGCATCATTATCCAGCTGTAGATAGTCTTCTTACGTGACCCTGTAACCAAGTTACTAAGGCGCTCTTCAGCGCTAGCATAGGGTAATCAATTCATTCCGTTTTGTAATGTTTAACAAGGCATTTTTACAAACTATTCCAAATGGTGCCATAAACCCAGGATAAACTCCCATCTATGAATTTCAGATAAGATAGTTCACCAGAGGGGGGTCTTTAACTGGAACTTGTAAGTATAGGAAATCTTCACTTATGGAGATGTTTTCATTTACTATTCCAAAATAACCATATCTCTGGCACAAACGGTATTAGGTGTGTGTAATGCCCAGTGTGGGCAGCTTTATCTCAGTGTTAATAAATTAAACGCAATGCAAGCCATGACTAGACTGTGTAAGAGACACAAGACACATCAGGGGCAGAGCGTTTCATCCACTGCTGCCAACTGCAAGTGATTTATTGAATTAGCCAAAGTGCACCAGAGTCCAAGGCTTGCTTTGATGTCCTATTAAAACAAACTAAGTTTTCTGGATTAACCTCTCTCTGTTACAGGCTTGCTTGCATGTTTTATAGATTTTTAATGACAAATGTTAAATAAAATAGGAACAGCTTTGGCTTCTCGTGTAGCTTGAGTACTGGAGAGTAGCTTTTATGTTGCTTTTGTTTGAAGTTATTTATGTATTTGAAATGCTCCTCTGGTGCGAGAGACTTATAATGGAGTTTGACAGATTCCTGCATGCCAGGGGCATGGCGCTCAAGGTTAACAGCCTAAAATCTTCTCTCCTGGCAGTGTTCTGATTTATAATGCATTTGGTCTGATAGTGATAGCTGTCTGGTTGCCTAAATCACTGGCATAGTGGATCATTCTCTTATATCCAAGCAAGTCACTTTAAGGAATGTGACCACAAAAGTATTAAAACTGCCTTTTAGTGGCATATTTCATTCCAAAACAGGGTAGGTATGGCAGTGGCAGTCACGCGCCCCTCTCACAAAACTAACTAGAATGCTATGGCTGTCAATGCTGATTTAATAAAACGGTAGAAGTCGAACAACTTAGAGACTGCCAAGCCACAGAGAACCAGCCATTTAACAAGAAGCATTGTGAGCTTACTGTAGCCAATATGCTTAATAAAAACTATAATTGTCTGTGGCTCATTGTACATTTTAAATTGTTTTCATGTACACAAAAACAAAACCAGTCTAACTGGATCTTGTGATTTGATAAAGTCTTCTAGCGGAAGTAAGATTCATTTTCACCCATGGACATAAACATTACAGAATTTGATTAAAAGGGGAATTGTACACCCCAAATAAGTAGGTATTTTGCTGGAGCGAATATGTAGGAGTGAGGATAGCAGTCTTCACTTTATAGACCTCACAATGTGGGTTTGTTTTGTGGAAAAGTGACATGTAGATTCAGACATCACTTTTGTGTCACCCCACCCCCAATGGTTTCTAGAGTAACAGTCTACCTAGAGCAGATATTCCAACTGTCCAGATTTGAGTGCGGGAACAGTCCTGGACTCTTGGTGTACCTAGAGTACTGGCTTGGGTACCACTGACCAGCTGATTTTGGAATCACATCAGAAGGTAATGGATCACAGCCTGAACTGGTAGAAAACTTCACTTGTGCAAGGGATGGCATCCAATAAAAAAAAAGGAAGGAAAGAGCCAGATTCACAGTTTAAATTGGTTTCTTGATTTCTGCTTAAAGATAAGTACTGGTTTAACTTTCACCATCACTACTCTAGATCCATTATTTTCACAAGCTGTTACATGTTCTAGCAGAGATGCGAGAATATAAGTTCCTTTTCCCCGAACCCTTGGAGAAGCTGTCACTCCAGACTTGGTGGAACTATCTAGCGAATTAACGAATGACACCTATTAGCCAATAATCAGAATGCATTGTGTAAAAATAAGGGCTTCACATTACTAAACTGTATGGGTCTTTCTGTTAACGTCTTGGCCTGTTTCAAGATACTTAATGCTTTTCTTCATGCTAATCAAATGCTTGGATCCATTTATAACACACCCTGTAAACTATTTGCGTCAGGGGGAATAAGGAGGTTCTGTTTTGATTTTGGTAGATAAGTTTGTGCCGCGGAAGTCAGAAGGTCAGAAACGAAGAGCCGTGACAAGACGCCGAACGTTTGATGGCAGATTGAGGACCCATATGGAAGATTGGAATGTGTGAGCTACAGCTCCATACATATCACACGAATGGTCAGGAATGCATTGTGAACTAGATCGTTTACATAGCCAACATGGCACAATCTAATTATTCTGTAAGCATAGGTTATATTATTATGACAAACAACAGTACAGACTTGTTAAGTCAGTTTTATTTATCCTTTTTATATAAATGGATTTCCTTTAAATTATGCAATTTTATTTGTACAAATGTACATTTAGGAAAGCCTAATAATATCTATGTATGTATCTGTTTATATTATAAATACTAAATGTTTTATTCATGATGAATGCGCAAAGAAAAGAGAAAAAAAAAGTTGAATATAGCCCACATTAAGCACAGAGACGGTTTATGTTGGGAAATAAAATATTAAGCACCTCAACTGACTTTTCCCCCACATTTGTTTGACACATGAGCTCCAAGTTTTATTGAAATGATTAAACAATTACGGTTTTATAAAACATTCATACTGGATATTATCAGAGTAACCTACTCATACCTTGATCTTTACTTTCCCATTGATTAGTGTACATTAATTATACTTTAATCAGATCTTTACTGCATGAATACTAAAGTACAATGTTTACTGAGCAATTTACATTCGCGAGTTGCTGGTTATGAAGAGGTGATATTTAACACTGTCAAGGTAAGTGGTGTGAAAAAACAAAAATCTATTTTAATTCCAGATTGAAATGCATTTAGTTTAAACATGTATTTTGTTTCCATTTTATACATATATACACACATACAGATTACCGCAAGCATCGGTAACAAAATATAGTTGTAAAAAAAAAAAAACGAGGAAAGGGAACATACGATTACAATGACATGTCTCTTGGTATTTCACAATTCTATCTGACACCATGAGAATATTAACAATAACATTACATTCCACGGTAAGGGAGTTAGGCTGACCGTCTTCGAATCCATGGCTGCCAAATTTGTTTCTAGACTTGCCCTTTGAGTTACGGATTCCACTCCCATTTTGTCATATGCGAAATTTAAATTTACTTCCTCAATTAAACTATACACTTTTCCTTTCCCATACATAAACGAGGAGCTCTTGATCCCCAATAAATAAGAATAATCCATGAGAATGTAACCCTTGACCGTATAAATTCTCAATATCTGGGACAATAATATTCCCAGACTCAGGACTGAACTGCTTAATGATGGTAGGAATTATATAAAGCACCATATCCCGGCGGAAAATAAGCTTGTTCTGCGAAAGCAATGTCCATGCAAAGTAAGCTTGGAAAGTTGGCCCAATCAGGCTGTTTATTTTCCACTAAATTCCAGCTCGGTTAAGAGAGCATTTAGTTCCAGCTCGTTGCAGCGACATACCGTGTGCTCTGGGTTACAGCACAGAACAGCTGAGCCGCTCTGTGAATAGTCAGCCGTGGACACATTGTCTGTCTGAAGATCAGCATGGAGATTAGCAAATGCTTCCATCAGCTCAGGCAACACCTCCTGATACTCCTCACTGCTGCTGTCCAGCGGTTCCCCTTCTCCGGGGTCCTGGTGGACGTTAAACACAAGTGGGGGATCATGGTGCCTCTCTGGCCCAATACTCCCATTACACGCTAGTGCTCCACCTAGATGCAGAGAGACAGACTACGATCAGATAATTAATATGGAACTCATCTTACAGGGTAACAGTCATACAGGCTGGAAAAAGGACCCTCGAAATCTAAGAAATTAAACAACCCGACTGACTAAACAACTGAAGATATTTCTGATTCAGCCTCAAAAGAAAATGTTTCAGATTCAAAGTGGCAAATAAAAAGGAAAATTCACCCAGTATTTGGTGACATCTGAATTTGTTAGAACAATCTCTCTAGGCAAAAAATTCTTAATTTTTATTGTTCTTAACTACACAATGAAAATACAATTATTCCATTGTATTGTCCTGTTAATGAACAAGAGCTGTTTTTACTATTTTTACGTAATGTTATCATACCCTTTATGCCAGGCTTCCCCAAACTCCGGCCCTCCAGATGTTGCTGAACTACAACTCCCATGATTCTATGAATGAAATGGATAGGCTGAGAATCATGGGAGCTGCAGTTCAGCAACATCTGAAGGGCCGGAGTTTGGGGAAGCCTGCTTCATGCAATGCTTTTTTTCTAGTTTAAACAAAGGTTTACTTTTCTATTCTTTCTATATCACTAGAAGAATTGGTTCCCACTTAAATCTGTACTTTACCTGTTGTGTAAAATGCTTTATATTGGTCCAAACGGACTGCTTCGATCTTGCCGTATGTTCCTGCAGCCCCGCTGTTTGGATGGTAAAGGACCTGAAAAATAAAGGGTCAACAGGGCAAATTTTGTTAGGAAACAAACACACCATTTATGTGAAACATGGGTTGCATATAAAAATATATAATTGGACAGGAATTTTGTGTATAAATTGTGGTTCAGAGAAACCGAATTTAATTATGCAGACTAGAATTTTTCATTTACACTGATCAGCCACAACCTTAAAACCACCTGCCTAATATCGTGTAAGTCCCCCTCGTGCTGCCGAAACAGCTCTGATGCGTTGAGGTATGAACTCCACAAGACCTCTGAACGGGTCTTTTGGTATCTGGCACCAAGACATTAGAAGCAGATCTTGCAAGTTACTAGGTGTGGCCTCCATGGATTAGATTTGTTGTTCCAACACATCACAAAAATGCTCAAACAGAATAAGGTCTGGACATTTCTTTTTTAGAATTCTTTATTTTTGTTGTGCACATATAACAATATAAGTTTGTCTTGCCACAATAGCATCAGCACGCATCAGTATGACATATAATAGAAAACATTAGCATGGCTGCTATGAAACTGCACAATATTTGATGTTTTTAGTACAGTAGTATGCGCGAGTGGAGTCAGGAGAGGAGCTGGAAAGATTGTGTTATTGCATCTGATGTTACGTGTATTAAACATGAGGTGAAAGAAACCGGCTAAACCACTTACTTTAAAATGGTAAGAGAAGAGAAACAAGCTAGATGCATGGTATATGCTAGGTGTAAGATGGCTGAGATTACATTATAGCACGTTAAAAGTAATATGTGTGAGCATAGGGTTAAGCTGTTGCTTGTCAACCACTGGGCTCCACTTCGGATCGGATATAGAGGAGAGCTGCGTTGCCAAAAGATATGGAGGGCTTAGTGTCCACATTGTAGGCCAGCTCGTGAGGAAGAATGTAAGTCTGTCAAGCCAATACCCAACCTGGGCATGCCTTTCACACTGTTGTGCAGTCCTCCTGGGTGAGTAACCATGCAGTGCCAAAACCAAGCTTCCATCCAATCCCAGGCCAGAGTAACCGCTAACCCTTTGTGGTTGCCTTCTCAGAGACATCTGGAGGCCACTTTCTCCCCAGTAGGGGTAGTGTAGGCGGTCTGATGAATCATGAATATAGCTGCTCATTGCTGGTGACGTGCAGTCCGCCGTTTTCGCGGGAGATATGGCGTGGTTTATCAACCTCAGTTTATGAGGGCTTGAGGTGGAAAGTGCTGCACCTTTTTAGTCGCATTGTGTGAGAGGGGTCTCTTGGTCAGGCTGGAGTGATGACTCTGCTATAGGACACTGCATTCGTTGCTAAATTCAGGCTGATGAGACAGGACACCAATGCCCAGAAATCCCAGCACATCTTATTGAAGTTGGTCTCGAAGCATTGCACCCAATCTATGCCTTCTGGGCCTACTTTACTGGGTAGATGTTTTAGCGCGGCAACCATCTTTGAATCCCCATGCGGTCCTAGAAGATGCACAGAGAATAAAGTGGTTACTTGCAGCATAGTTAAATTCCCCAGCGGGAATCCAGAAAGGGGTGGGGGGGGAGGGATAACGGGGCTTCAGGAGGTTTACTACGGGGTGCACAATCCCAAGTCAGAGATCGGCCACCTCACCCAGCCGACAGGTCAGCAGTCCCAATAAGGCACAGTGCCAGGTTTCAGAATGAGCTTGTAAAAGGAATTTTTGGGACCTTAGTGTCTCCTTTGTTAAAGTCATTATTTACGCTTTGAGGCTCTGAGATGTCTGCGGCTTTTTATTTGCAGTTTTAGCAGGTTTAATGCTTGTTTTGGCAGGAGCTCCTAGGAAGCACGTCTGGCCAGCTTGAGAGTTAGGCTCCTCCCCCAGAGATCTAGGAAATTTAATGGCCAAGGCAACACCTTGAACTCTTTATCATGTTCCTCAAACCATTCCTGAACATTTTTTTTTCAGTATGGCAGGGTACATTGATCTGCTGAAAGAGGACACTGCCATCAGGGAACACACTACCATGAAGAGGTATATGTGGTCTGCAACAATCTCTAGCTGGGTGGTACATGTCAAAGTAGCATCCAAATAAATGACAGGACCCAAGGTATCACAGAAGAACATTGTCCATAGCATTAAAACTGCCTCTGCAAGCCTGCCTTCCTCCCATAGTGCACCCTGATGGCATATATATTTCCCAGGTAAACTACACAACCAGCCATCCACCTGAGCTAAAAGAAAACGTGAGTCATCAAATGAGGCAACCTTCTTCAATTGTTTCATGGTCCAGTTCTCATGCTCACATCCCCATTGAAGCGCTTTCAGTGTGGACAGGGGTCATCAATCCATTATGTTTATCAGCAATTTGAGCTACAGTAGCTCTTCTGTGTGATCGGACCAGACAGTCTAGCCTTCTCTCCCCATGTGCATGAATGAGGCTTGGGCACACATCACCCTGACACCGGTTGTCCTTCCTTGCACCACTTTTGGTAGGTACTAACCACTGCATACCAGAAACACCCCACAAGACTTGCCGTTTTGTAGATGCTCTGACCCAGTCGTCTAGCCATCACTATTTGATCCTAGTCAAGGTCACTCAGATCTTTTCCCTTGCCTATTTTCCTGCTTCCAACACAATAAATTCAAGAACAAACTGTTTACTTGCTTCCCAATACATCCCACCCTTTGACAGGTGCCATTGTAATGATATAATCAATGTAATTCACTCCACCTGTCAGTGGTTTTAATGTTGTGGCTGTTCAGTGTATTTGTTAATCTTTTTTTTTATTTTTGCTGTGCATATGAAAATACAACATGCATGGGGTACCCCAAAGGCAATCCTCATGCTTTAGTTTTAAAACAGTTATAACAGTGGGGGGTGTGATGATACATGCGCATTTTTATGGCGAGTATATAAGATTATTCATGTTGTATGCAGCTTAGTGTTATATAGAGTAGAGTAGTGATAATCAGACGTTAAGCTCAAGCTGGTTGGGCGTCAGCATAAACAATAATATTACATCTAAAGCCAAAGCTACAGTGAGAGGTTATTCTCTCCATCAAAAGAGTGGGTTAGCGTGTGTATGCTATACTTTACTCAAGGTAACAGTGTCCACACTAGAGTTGTCAGAGTCCAGGCCGTTGATGGGCTTCAGGAGATGGGCTGGTGAGTGTGTGCTTAGCCGTCCTCAGCCAATGCCTCTTGCATGCCGCCGTGGAGAGTCTGGTTCCCGGTCAGCTTTAGCAGTGCTCCTCTCCGATGTGTGGGAGCGTGGGTTGCCGTGCTCATGGTGCAGGCGCTGTGTGTAGAGTGAGAGGTCCCTGTCCCTTCGGCTCCGGGCTGTTAAGGGAGCTGGCGCCCTCTGTCCATGGATCTTCCTCCGTCGTGAGGCAGGATCATGGGTCCCCGGCTTGCGGTCATCCCTGTGGGTAGTTGGACTGCGGCCTGAAAATTCCTCGAGTTGGGCTCCCAGCCCAGAAGATGGACCGGTGTCCGCTGCTGGTTGGCAGGTAGGTCCCATCTTGGGAGGGGTAGGCAGGGGTTCATGTTGGGCAATGCGGTCCCATAAGGCTTGACAGATAGCGTCAAACCGGGCTTCGAAGGCCTCCCTCCAGCTCTGGTCTGTCTGGCTTGCTGGGCTGCGCTGTGATTGCGATGCGGCGGCCATCTTGAGGTGCCGCATGGCTCACCAAGTTTTCCCGCAACGGCCTCTTGGCTTTAGCTTTGTGTGTTTCAGGCGTCCTGTGTGGACCAGGATATCCCCCACCGGTCCGGGGGGTTAGGGGGGTAGGAGTTGGGAGGTTAGAGCGGTCTGTGAGCCTGTTCTCTAGCGAGGAGAGCGGCCGCCTCTCCCCGTTTAGGTCCCAGGTAGGCCTCAGATTTTCAGGGTTCCCGGTTTGTGACATGCATGAGTCAGGTGTCAAAGGGTTTCCCCGGGTGTCCCCTCCTTGCTTGTTTTCCTCCAGGCAGTGGATGTGCTTGATTTTTGGGGGGGTTTTCCCCCAGAAAGGCAATTTTGGTCAGGAGCTTGGTTTCTGCACGTCTGCTCAGCCTGGAAGCTAGGCTCCGCCTGTATTTGTTAATCTTTTACAGAAATATAGAGCGTATACAAACAGTGTACTTTATCTTGAAATATTTTACACAGGGTCTGACATATTAATTTAAAAGCAAAACCACAGTTTCTATGACAAAAGTAGATAAGTAAAACTGTCAAATACATGACTTCAGGGTCCATTAAAATACCAGTAAGCAATTACTAGTAGTAAAAAGAATATCTGCATTTGAGCATACATTATGTACAGTTAAATGATGTTTCTAAAATAAATGTATTTTAAAAAGGTTTTATAGCAAGCTTTGTATTGCTATTATAATGGTAAAAGGCATATGAGAATTTTAATTCCCACCTCCTCCCTCCCCAACGTAGAACTTGTATGATCTTTGAAGTTTCCTTAACTGTTTGGAGGGGGGCGTCAATTTGGATATTTGCAGACATTAAGTGGGTGGAAGGAGTTCCTGGCAGAGAAATATCGTCCTCTACAAGTTGGTAATCATTCTTGTAGTATAAATCTAGGTTAATCTGGCTTTATAGACCAACTTGTGTTTGGCAAAGTAAATGGAAGGAAAAAAATACATTCAGGATTGTGGTAGTGAAGGTGTCAAAGGGGACGAGTCACTGCTCTGGAAATTTATAATAAAAGATTGAGCAAAACCCATCACAGTCCCAGCCAGCATAGGATCGAAGGAGAAAGAGACACATTGTTTAATTTCTCCTTTTCTCTCAATGCCGACTGCCAAGTGCATTTTTCACACATTTGTAAATTCATAATAGTACAAATACTAGGAATTTACAGTTTCCCTTTAAAAATGCACTAGACGTGTGCTGTAGTGGTTATAGTGCCAGGACTGCCCTGCCAACCCTACCCCCTTCCAAATGTAAGCAAAACCTATACTAAAGGTTTGACTTCTCACCTGGGGTCTTCTCCCTGCCTCTCAGCAGTCTGAAAGCTCTCTACATGAGCTATGCCTACTTATTGGCTGAGAGTGTTCAGCTGATGCGCCCAGCCAAAGAGCTAGTCCTACACTGCAGGGTTTAGCTCATGAGAGCCAACAAAAAGCTCCTAACAGGAGCTTCCAGTTCTCCATACGGGAAGAGGAGAGGCCAGTGACCGGTGGACCCCAGGTTGATAGTCAAACTGTTAGCAAATAATTTGACTACTTACATAGGGGGCACCAGGTAAATGCTGGCACCATAATCACATCGCACTGTAGTGACTAGAATGCTTGGAGTGTTCCTTTAATCACATTTACATTTTTATACAAATAGTGGATCTATGGGCAAAGCCTGGGCTCCATTTTTTGGAAGTTGGTACATTTTGTACGATGAAAATATAGTCACATCACTTGGGTAAAGAGAGAATCTATTTACTCTATCGGAGGTAGGCAACCTCCGGCATTCCAGATGTTGTGGATGGCATCTCCCTTGACGCTTTGCTAGCATTATGGCTGTTCGAGCATTATGGGAGTCCACAACATCTGGAGTGCTGAAAGCGGCCTACCCCTTCTGTAATAATGTTTGTACGGTTGCCTTGGTCGGATGTAATGTAATTTGATTACAAGGTCAGGAGACTGATTCCCTTCTCCTTCTAAGCCATGCCAAGATGAAAAAGCACATGCACTGCAAACTGCATTAAAAATAATCTTCACAAAACCAGCTGTGTGAGTGGCTGAACATCTGTTTCAGGGAAAGAGGAAGGAATGATTCATTGGCGTCAAGCTGTGTGACCGGAACATGAGCTGAAGACGTTCTACATCTAGTTTATAACAAACCGGTCTCCTTCTGCAGGTGTCGAACGACATCAATGCCAGGAGATCAAGCCCAGTGACCAAACTTCTGCCACCATGTGGTTGTTGACTTTCACTTTTTTTCCGATCTTCAAAGCAGAATGAGGTCAGAATGACTTTCAGAAATCCTTCACTTCCCAAAAATGGAACAGCTGGAACTCTGGCATGCAGCACCTTCCAAGAGAGCAGGTGTTTATGGGAAGAGCAGCAGAATGGGTGGCAGGAGTTTGCAGGGCAATCTGCCCACTCACAATGGAGACGACAGTTAAAATGTAGGAGTTCATCCACTAAGCACTAAATTGTCGTGAACTTAAACCTGAATTTAGACAAAAACAGATATGGAAAAATACAGCTATGGTTCAAACTTGGCCAATTTTATTTAGTTTTTTTAGTTTACCGCAGTTTGCCGTTTAGTGAATATCCCCCATAGTTTTTCAGTGAGGAACTCAGCACAGCAAATGTCAGAATCTAGTATAAAAACCAAAGCGTCTATCTATATGAACATTGGTCTTTAGGATATGAACTGAAGTTAGCATTTTTGTAGCCAATATGGGATTTAGTATGGAAGGTCCAACTTAAAGGACTACCATAATTATTCATTTATTTTTTTTACCTTCCTATAGGTTTATTCTATCCATATCTTTAGCCCCCCTTCCCTGTTTTTCACCCAAATAACTTGTGAAAGTAACGTGAAACTTATCTGGAACTCCTGCTAGTTTCCATGACATCCTACTCATCAACATTGCATCATCATCTTCCTGGTCGCTGTTTAATCAAATGCCTCTGATAGAGGAGAACCGATGGCATGCCTTCCAACTGCCCTGATTTTCGCAGGACAGTCACGATTTTCAGATCCTGTCCAGCTTTTGGGGACACCAGGGAACTGTCCCCTACAATCATAGCATGAGCACATCATTATAATCGGGCACTAGGATGCTGCAGGGACCACTAAAACAATACTCACTTTTTGTCCTGCCCTCAGTGGGATGGTTAAAATGACTGGCAGGCAGTAATGCGGGCAGACACTCCCACTTTCCGATTTTGTTCTCCATTTTTGGCAGAGCCACTGATGCAATATTGTCGCTGGCCGCCTCTTTTACTCCACTGTTAGGGGTGTCCCGATTCTTGGACTGCCAATTTTGAGAGGTATTCAAGGTAGCAAAACATAATGGACCTGGAGAATCCCGTCCCAATTTAGCCATTTGGCCTAAAATGTAATTAAAGAATAGTAGAATATGTGTAATCTTATTTTAAAATATTATCTGCATTTGGTTTTTATTTTGAAAACAGTAATGCACCCAGAATTCCCTGTCGGCTATGGGCAAGCATTATGGGTAATGTCCAACGCCCAGGAAGTTTGCTTTGACATTAAGGGGTTTAAAAATTCCTAATTAGAACCACCTGTAAGTGACTGAATTATCCCACAAGCAGACAGGGAACACGGCGGATATTCTTTGAATGTAAAGTGCTCGATCTCATTTACCAGTAATATCCAAACAATAAAAGCAGGTCTCAGGAAGAATAATGTGTTCGTGTTCTTGGAAACTCTCGCTCTTCCTGCTGCAGCTGTTTTATGCTATCAAGTAAATCTTGGGCTCACCCTATGACCGCTCTGCAAACGCCCAAACAGGATCTCAGATATGTCTTTGCCGTCAAAGCGTCTGTCCACTGGAAGAGTGGCGTTTGCCAGAGATACCAAGGTGGGGAATATATCCAGCACACTGTGAGAAGATAAAACATAGGGCGTTCAGATAGTCGGCATATTAGGGAAGATTGATGTTTTGTTACATTTAAACTACAGACTGGGTTTGCTGCAGTTACAGGACAAAGTTATGTGTACATAGCTGGATTAACTATAAGGTGGCAGGGGCCGGAGTTAGACTTAAAGGAACACTCCAAATAATTAAAGCCCTTCAGCTTGCTGAAATGCTTTATGTGTGAGAATTGTGTCTTCTTTTTCATTTCACAAAAAGTGCAGATTTCAATACTAATTAACACTTTTATAAATTTACCTGGTCACACCCTCCTGGCTGTCAATCAGTCGACCTGTCCTTTTACTTCCTGGTTGCTTAGCTCAGTGGAGCTAAACTCAAGAAGCAGCAATTGCCCAGAGCACCTGCTTTCATTTGGACGTCGTTGTTTGGACAGACACAGAAAGTCAGGGTTTAGGATGACGATATTGGGGGATATCTACTACACAGATTTTTATTTTTTAGGCAGTGGAGTCTCCCTCTAAAGATACTAGGCCTTTATTAACCTTCCTTATAGGTAGAGTGACTGTGGCCACAAACTGGTAATCTCCTCAGGACCCTGTGGGAGCTTTTTGTTTAACGGTCTATGAGTAAACTATCAGACAGACATAGATTGGTCAACTTTGCACAAATCAGGAGATGCTGAAATGTTTGGGTGTGGGGGAGCGGTGGTTGAATTCTCTAATTTAATGCAAAAGATTTGAAAATATAGAATCCCTATTACCAGCTGCAATCAAATGTGTAACATACAGGGGATTAAACTTGACTTTTACAGCATGTTAAGCAATTCTAGTTGGGATATTTCTCTAATTTCAGAAGGTATAAACAAACTCGTGTGGCTTTGTTCACTAAATCACAATTGTGGAAAACAGACATTTTTTTTTCATAATTCAGAATTGATCAGAATTCTCAGTTTGACAACTTTGATGAAATCTCAGGGTTGTCATAGCTAGCGATTCCAAGCCAGCATTTATTAATATCAGGATGATTTGCAAATACATGATATAAGTGATCAATAAAGAGAGGACTCCTTCCCCATTTCCTGAAGCATGTTCTGGTTTAATATTGACTTTAGAGGCAGATCGTTCCGATCCTAGTGTTGTCCTTCCCCCCCTTCCCCACTCGGAGCTGTCAGTTTCTTACAAGGGCCTGTTTAAAACCTTACCAGACAGCAATAAATCAGCTGCAATCACTTAGTTAAGGGCTTCTCTTTAGCAGAACAGATGAACAATTTATCAACTGAGAGTCTGCACAATGAACAATACTGGGAATAGCTGGCAGGGTGTTATTAAGACACGGTTCTGGTAGAAACCAGTGGTGGCATAGCTGAATAAACATTGCCCTGGATGGGAATATGGTATTTGCCCAATGCTTGACCTTAATCGCTGGTTTTAACAGGCAGCGGGAGGGTTTGTTCAGTCAGTGGGATACCACGGCAATTAGTGCCAAGGACAGAGGTATCCTTCGGGGTGCTACATCTGCTTGTATCACCTGGGGTGCTGTGCGAATGATCCCAGTCCATGTTCATGTGGGTCTTCTAGATAGGAAGTTGTAGGTTTTGGTTTTGAAGCCTCAGATATACAGCTCGATGTTCGGATCAGCTTAGTTCACCATTTAGTGAATAACGCTCTCTGTTCGAGAAGGTGGTGTTCGGTCTTGGGTCACGTTTAACATGTTATTTGAGTAGGAAACTGTGTAAACATGACCCTTGTAATAAGAGCAGATAACTGACAAACACAGGAATTTGTTTTTGCAAAACATGTTGAGAGCTTTCAACAGGTAGGTTAAAGGAATATTCCACTGCGGAAATGGGCAAAAATGGGAAATCACAGTTTAGTAGATTTTCATGCATTTATTCATTTGGGGTATATTTAAGACCAGTTTCTTATGAACTACAGCCTTTGCACGCTCTTCCTCTTTTCCATGGAAGGGACTTAATCTCTTCACGGGGATATAGTCAGTCTTCCCATTAAGGAAGCCTCTGAAAGTCTCCCCCATCTATGTGCACTTATAACATTCTGATCTGAGGTCTGTGGACGCTGGTCTGAGGGCTGATCTGAGTTATGCAGGGGGAGGCAGGCACACTCAAGTAGAGTGAACCTGCTCATCCATTAGCTCAGGGGAGCTCACAGAAGGAGAAAGAAACCTCCCTGGCTGTTTGATTGACAGCATGTTTATAGACTCATTATTATGCGATACTTCTCACCCATAAAACACTTTAGAAAGCAAAGACACTTTATGGGTGCGGAGTAGTCCTGTACGTTATTTCCCGTTTATTCTCTAAACCGGAAAACGTGGCAAACTGACAAGGGAATTGTGAATTTTTGGATGTGTTACATGACAGTTTAGCTATATTTGCCCAACGTTGGCAATTTCCCCTTTTAGATAATTAGAATTTCCCAATTTAGTGAATAGACCTTGTACACATTTAAGCCAGGCCCAGACTAATCCTTACCTGAGTAGGGCTGAAACAGTGACATTTTGTGGTGTATTCTCTGGCCAGTACACTACGGCAGGAACACGGTGCCCACCCTCCCACGTGGTTTTCTTCGAAGCGCTCCCACCTACAAACCAAAGCATGGTTGGATACATGGAATGAACATTTTACTGTAATGATAATAATATAAGGACAATATACAAGGCACTGCATGAAATACAGAAAAAAAAAAAAAAAAAAAGAGTTTGTTCACTAAACTGGAAGTGTAGAGAGTGAAAAGGAGATTTGGAAAGCTTACCCTAAAGAAGCCGAATTGGACAAATTCTCCAAGAAGGCTAGGTTTCCAGTTCAGCTATCTTTACCTAAACTTGTCATTTCCCTTGTCAATCCTCCACTTGGGCACCGCCAACTCAAACTGCACAGACTGTCTCTGTGCCACACTGTGCCAAGTAAAAGAGATCCTGTACGAGTTAGTTGTGCCCTTATTGTCACAGACTCTCTTAGAGTGCCCACACATCAGTGCTGAGACAATTCATATGGTGGGGTGGGAGATTTAAAAGCCACCTTGCTTTATAAAAATATATTTTTTTTTCATTTTCAGTGTCTACTCTTGTTAATTTGTTTTGCTTTGCTTAAAGGAACACTACAGGGTCAGGAAGACAAACATGTATTCTTGACCCTATAGTGTTAAAACCACCATCTAGCCCCCTCTCTAAATCTAGTATCTTACCTTTACTCCAGTCTGCTGCTGCTGCTGGCTCTGCCCCTGATCTGCCTGCTTGGCTGACATCATCAGAAGTGTTGATCAAAAGCCAATCACAATTATTTCCCATAGGACTGGCTGAGATTGTCAAGGAAGCAGATCGGGGGAAGAACCAGCACAAGTCAAACACAGCCCTGGCCAATCAGCATCTCCTCATGGAGATACATTGAATCAATGCATCTCTATGAGGAAAGTTCAGTGTCTGCATGCAGAGGGTGGAGACACTGAATATCAGTCACACTGTGCGCACTGCCCCAGGAAGCACCTATAGTAGCCACCTGAGGAGTGGCCAGTGAAGTTATCACTAGGCTGTAATGATATATACGTTGCTCATGTTACATGAACTGTGATAGCTGTTTAATTTGTACCCTAATCCTTAATGCATTGTATGAGACTGTACACTCTACTTGTGTATGCCTGCTATTTGCATTTACTATTGAAAACTCTATAAAATGTACTGTGTGGCCTGCATTTTTGACTATTAGTGTTACGAGAGGTTATAAAACTGAAGTTATACACTACTAGCCAATCCTGGAAGGTCCGTGGCACACTAAAACTAGGAGTGAATTTCTATGGCTGAAATGTCACCTGCCAATGGCTAGTGAAGATTTTGAGCATTTAAAAACAAACACTTTTTTAGAAAATATGTAGATATATTATCAAAATGACCCAACATGTCCTTAGGACCAATGTGCTTTATAACCCTTATTATGTCAACTATCCAACCCATGGACCATCAGTGAAAAAATTAAGACAATGCACATTTAAAACACAGTAGGGTCAGAGGTCCAAATAAATTGTGCCCCCACCCTGGGGTCATATAAACACACAGCACAGTGAAATTAAAGACACATTTCTTCTATATGAGATTGTGAGTCACCTACATCACATTTCAGTGGTCTGGCAACATTCAAGGAGGAGAGACCTTAAACGACCTTAAGACTCCTTGACTGCTCATTATGGCTTAGTATTTTATCAATAAGCTCAGAGGAGCTTCCTGAGCCCACCCCTTGGTGCTGGTATAGATTCACACCGCAGCAAGCATTTAAGGGCTTGTATTACTAAGCTATACCCAGGTCTATGGAAAATCAGAAACATCATTCTTTCATTTGACGATTGTTTTGTTCACCTCTAAAATGAAATGCACACAACGTTTCTGAATGATTTCCAAGGAAATCGTACTCTGCACCCACACAATTAAGCAATCTATTGGAGTTTATAAACTAAAGTGGTGGTGGTTTACATATTTTAAGTTAAAATAGCCGAGCTGGTGAATTTTTCCAATTCGCTACTTTGGCCTAAATTTTTTAATTCTCAGTTTTGTGAATAGCCCTGAAATTCAAAAAATAATATGCTTTCAAACAGAATTCGAAAAACGTCTGCTAAACAAAAAGTTTGTTTAACATCTACATAGCCTTGTGTATGTTATTTTGTTTCTGGTATGTGTGTTCAGCACCCCTGGGAGCAGAAATTGAATTTCCATTACCTCATGGTCATTTGCCGCTGGCCAGATCATCACTGAACTAGGGTCAATTGCTTATGTAATAGTTGGTTGGACCCCCTAAAAGATGATGCCAAGGAAGTCAGAGGCCATCTTCAACCAGGATTATAAATAAACAAAGAAATACATTTACTATTAATAAAAATAAAAAGTACATATATCTCTCTATTATATGAAATTGTGAAGCAGAAAAGGGGAAGTAAGGGGTAAAGTGCCCTACATGACTTTTTTTTAAAGGATCTTGTTGGGACTTTGGTCTCTTACCACCCCTCTTTGCCCTTTACAATCTCATTTTAATTTTACAAAGATTAATGTTGTGAATTTTTTTTAATTAATTGTGATCCTGGCTGAGGCTCGCTTTCTTGTGTCTGCTTTTAGTTAGTCGATCTCCTCATGGAGGTGGAGACCTCACACTAGACATATCAGGAGCGCCATGGTACAAAAGGCAAACCTTTTTTTACTCCAGTTTTTCTTTAATTAGGATTATTGACAGGTTGATAAGTATAATTTCACGTGACACACTACAGAACTAGTGTTACACTATTCAATGTTTTATATATGCATATTCAAAAGAGTACAAAGATAAAAATGTCAACATACCTTGCTTGGTCTGCCACGATCCCACGAAAGGGCCCACACTTCCTGCAAACTGACATTTTTCAGCCCATGGTCCATTGTCCCCTGAGATAGAAGAGGATACTGATTTTAGAAAAATAAAGCTGAGTATTAGTTATATGTCCTACTGTAGGAGGCAGACAGAGGATATGGGTAAATATACTGGACTTTCAGGAAATAACTCTGGGATGTAGAACAAAGCAGGGGCCTTGCTAGGTTCCAAAACACCTGGTGTTTTAGCCCATGGGAAAACTTGATGGTTCATACACTAACAGAGAGGTGGAGACACGTCATGACACATGCCAGTCTTTCCATATTATCTCACTCTTCTCTACCAGTGAACAGAAAGCTGCTGACTCTCCAATTTCTCAATGAAAGCAAACAGGGCTATTTACTAAAGGCAGAATGTCAGTTTTAAAGCCAGGGAGGCTGAACTGAAAGCATAGCTGACAGACGATTTTTCCAATTTGACTCTTTTCACCTTAAATGTTAAATTCACCGTTAATTCTCACTTTAGCAACTAAACCCTGATAGAGAAATGCACATAGTGCAGAGTCAGGTATTCAGTGCTATTCTGCCATGCTAACTATTAGGGGTGTGTGCAGCAATGTTGGTAACCTCACAGAGCACTAGATTACAGAGATTTCTTTTTAGAATAGGTGGCTGCTTTGAAAAGCAGATTCTGATATAAAATTAAAAATACATTTAAAAAGATAAGAAATCCTTCTGCCCGTACCACCAACTATAGAGATCCAGGACAAAAAGGCCCCAGATACCACAATCTAGCAATTCCTGTTGAACTGAAGCCTTCTGTAATGGCGATGAGAAAGACTATTACCAACAGGATAAAGTAAGTATCCCAGGAATTTAGAGGAATTCGTAATAAGCACCAAAATAAGTTTAGCTTGAAAGAATATTGTAGGCATCAAAACAACTTTAGCCATTTACAAGTTCAATTACATTTGTTTCTGCAGCACTAGCCACACCTCCCCTAACTGTGACTGACACAGCCTGCATGAAAAAATTGTTTAATTTTCCATCAGATGTAACTTACTTAAAAAGTTTCTATCTCCTGCTCGGTGAATTGAACTTTAAATCACACATAGGAGGCTTCTGCAAGGTCTAGCAATCTATTAATAGAGCAGGAAATAATAAAGTTCTAAATTAAACAGAATGTGCAAAAAGGAAGTATGAACATTAGATCTCATGTTACAGGAAGTGTTTAGAAAGGCTGCGTAGGTCACATGCAGGAAGGTGTCACTCGAGCTGCATAAACAAAGTGATTTTACGCCGAAAATGTCAGTCACTGATTCTGAAGGTCCATGGTGCAGAAAATTGGGCTAGTTTCAAACCTCACATAAGATCTTCCATGGAAGAGTGCACTGTAGGCATGTGTAGGAGTGAGACTAAAGAGAAAAGACGATGATGCAATCATTGGAGATAGAATGGGGGAGGGGACAGTGCTATGCTCGGTTTTAGGTTATATAACCATAACATACCGGATATACTCGAGTATAAGTCGACCCGAATATAAGTCGAGACCCCTAATCTTACCCCAAAAAACTGGGAAAACTTATTGACTCGAGTATAAGACTAGGGTGGGAAATGCAGCAGCTACTGGTAAATTTCTAGATAAAATGATATCCCCCAAAAATTATATTAATTGAATATTTATTGACAGTGTGTGTATATAATGAATGCAGTGTGTGTGTGTGTGTGTGTGTGTGTGTGTATGAATGCAGTGCGTGTGTGCATGAGTGCAGTGCGTGTATGAGTATGTGATGCAGAGCCTTGGTGGGGGGTGGGCATTTTTTTTAAAATTATTATTTTAATATGAATTTTTTGTTATATTATTAATATTTTATTATTATTTTTTTAATATTATAAATTTTATTTTATTATTGTTTAAATTATTATTTATATTTTTTTCGTCCCCCCTTCCTGCTTGATCCATGGCCAGGCAGGGGGGCTCTCACTCTCTGGTGGTCCAGTGGATGGGCTGTGTAGGAGGGGGGCTGGCAGAGAGCTGTTACTTACCTTTCCTGCAGCTCCTGTCAGTTCCCTTCTCTCTCCTCCGGTCCGGTCAGCTCCCCTGTAAGTCTCGCGGTGTGAGTGCCGCGCGGAGCCGGAGGAGAGAGAAGGGAGCTGACAGGAGCTGCAGGAAAGGTAAGTTACAGCTCTCTGCCAGCCCCAAACAGGATCGCCAGGCTTGTAATGAGCCCGGCGGTCCTGGTCTGTATTATGGCAATGTAAGTAATACCGGCATTGACTCGAGTATAAGACGAGTGGGGGGTTTTCAGCACAAAAAATGTGCCGAAAAACTCGTCTTATACTCGAGTATATACACGGTACTTAAAATTATTCCAAAAGGCATTAAAAGCTATGCAGAGATTCAAAACTACAGAAAAAAGTTTAAGGAGCCCATATTGGTGTACTATGTATTTTTTTTATTATTATTATTTGAATGAATGGATTGCTTATTAGAATTATTTCTATACGATTCAAATGTTCATGTTAAAGCCTGTGCACACAGTTACCTGTAAACCAGATAAGAGTGTTATTCTGCTTAGCGTTTCGAGCCGCGACTCTGATCTGGTCAATCATCTGATCCATCTCTCGCAGGTTCTCAGCATATAGCGACTGGGCAAACGTTGCTGTGGGTTTGGAGAGCGGTACGTGCATGTGAGCTAGTGCAATGTACAAGAAGAAGGGCTGATCATGGTCACTGCAAAAAAATAAAAAAATAAATAGCAAGGAGACACAAAAAAAAAATAAAAAAAAATAACCCAGATCATTAGGATGAAGATTGTATCCACAAACACATAGATGGAATTAATTTCTCATTCGCACTCAGTGGGTACCAAAGCTTCACACGAATGAAGTGATTGCATAGAAAATATTTGTAACATATTGGTTTGGTTTTTATCTGACCGACGCAGTAATGTGAGGAAAGCAGAGATATAGAGATAAAATAAACAGTTTCACTGATTCAGTGGCCTATTTCATTCATTAGAAGTTGCATTTATATCCTTAAAACTCAGAGCCTGTAAAGTGGTTCTTAACCGGGAGCCATTATTGTGTTCCCATGCTGTATCGTGGATCCCCAGTGGTTGGAACAGAGTAGGTCACAAGTAGTAGAACACTTCATATAATTTATTCTAACAGCCCTGCCATCTCCAGGGCAAGGAACTCCTCCCTAATGAAGGACTTCTACAATGCTTGTTTTATTACAAATATTATACTTAAGCTACGACCGCTATGACCACGGCCGTAGACGTTCGTCCAGCTTCCCATCGCATTTTCTTCTCTTCTTTTCTGGAATAATAATACTCAGCTATTGCAATAATTTATATGGTCATTTTTTCATTGCGGAATCTATATGTGTATCAAATATATATTTTTTTAAATTATATAACTAAAATGAAAAAAAAAAATATTTAAGACTGAACTGAAGTAAAATAAGTGTGCCCTATTTTAGCAAAAATATTTTTTCTAAACAAACATGGTTTTAAAAATACTACTTTAAATTGTATCTTTAAAAGTAAATAAGTAAAATGAGTGCATTCGTTTGCAGAAAATACGGATTTCCATTTCTTGCTACCTCCCTAGCCAATCAGCAGCTGAGCTAGTGACTATCAGCGATGCTTTAGACTGAGCAGTGAGATCTATTTTTTGCGTTTAGCCTCTCACAATGTAGAGAGATGGAGAAATTGCGTACTCACGTTGAAACATGATGGTGACCTGGTCAGGTGAAAATGACGTGCATAAACCAATTATATAAAATAAAATGATCAAAATTTATTAAGGAGAAATTAAAGTGTTTGTTCATTTAAAAAAATTAACCAAAAGTATAATGTTTCAAAAACTTTCTTCTATCACACGCTGTTCCCTCACCTAAAGCGTTAAAAGTGTCAAGGATTTCACAACCTGGCAGCTCAGTACCAAGCTGTAATTAAATGTTCCCTTGGACGCAGCGCCTGCTTCTTTTGATTCCCCGGTAAAGTCTGTGCCAAACGTGGTTGGAAACTTTCCCTTAGGAAATATTTACAAGTGAACAAAACTGATGATTCATCAAAACTACGTTTTTCTTTACGGGATAATCTAAAATACCTGCTTCTTTGTAGGCATTAGGGATCTTCTTTTATTGGGCTCTGTCTAGTTTGCTTGGAAAACGATCAAATAAAATGCCAGAGAACCCCAAGATCACCCTGACATGTAGAAGGTCCTTCCTCCAGCCATCAATAAAAACAAAGACACCAGTCGAGTTATGCACTAAACACTGGTAGTGCAGAGAATTAGAAAAGGAATTATACTTATTGGTTATTTTAACCTTTTCTCCATCGCTGTGCTGCTCTCTCTTTTTGGCAACCCTGCCTCCTTGGCTGGGATCATAAATCTGGATGATTACAGCCATGTCAATGGGGAAGGCTAGTGTGCATGCGTGGCAAATTGCCAACAAATTCCCAAAGCATTGGGAGGCTAGTGCGCATGCACTGTGCCCGTCAGTTGCTGCTCTAGGAGAAGCATTTGATTGAGAACAGAGTTTGACTCTTTTTTCAATGTGGAAGCGCTTCTAGAGGCCGTTCGTATGTTTCAGTATGACAGCCACTAGAGGTGTGTTTAATTGTTAATCCTGTATTGGAAAGATTTCAGTTTCATCAAAAATAGCACTGTTTTACATTGCAGGGTTAAAATGATAGGACCATTTCATTGAGATGAAGTAACCTGGTTTAATTCATTGTCGGCCATTTTGAAGTCAAGCAAATCAGCAAGGTAAACGTGATTTGAGAGCAGGGAGACTAGTAGGAAGCGGTATTGTGAGTGGAACTAAAGGGCTCTTCAAGTCAATAAGATGGTTAGATGCATTAAATGTGGATTTATATGGGCAAATCAGAATTAAACCATTTTGCCAGAGAGACTGCCATGTGTCATGTGCAGACAGAGCGTCACTAGCAGTGAATGTGATTTTTTTCCCCAATTTGCCTGGTCTGCAAAAACTGTATGTAGGGGGTAGAATTTTACAGTTAGCTTGGAATAAGGGTTTTAGACATGTTAATTGGTCAAATTGTAATAGTTGGTTTTGTTTTTCTATGTGGAATGGGGGTTGCAATGTTTGATTAAGTAATAAATAAATAGTCCAGCTTGAAAATACAGCCACGTTGGATATTTCTTTCTATAATTTTCTATTCCCTGGTTAATTCTGCATAGTTTGTGCTTTAGCAAATAAGGAAAGAGGATTCTGGACTGCATTTCTTATTATGCCAAGCCAACATTCACTGGCTATGCATCGTGGGAAGAACTACAGCTCTGAAACCACTTTAAATAAAACCAATCTAATTTTGGTTAGAATTTGTACATTAAACAGTATGGGTTACACTGACACAAGAGGTTTTCTCCAGGTAAGTAAAGAGTAATTACTGTCTGATGCGGACACACAGTGGCCCAAAATATGGCTTAATAATCTAGATCCTGTTCTGAATTGGTTGAGACTAATCACATCCTTGTTTTGGCTTATTATTAGACATTAAATAAATCCTTCCTGTGTGTTTTCAAACAAATGTGCTCCCTGGAACAAAGGGTAACTTTTCACTAGGGTCACAGACGAGAAACTAGACTAAAGGGAGAGGTTTGACAAAGTACATTAGGTGTCTGGGACATTGTCAGATGCCCAACAGAAACCTGCGGAGTGCAGCAATTTTATAAACTAGTTCAGCAGGTGCTTTAACCAGGGATCCTGGTAGGTTAACTCAGTAGAGATGCAGATATTTATTCTTCTAACTATATTGACGAGGTAGAAATTCAGTCCAAGGCACCCTGTACAGAGAGGATTAAATAATCACTCACCTTGCATCCTTGATGAAGTCAGCCGCCTTGCGCACATATTGGGCAGGTAGGTTGCTCAAATTTACAGGCTGTTCCACTATCACACTGTTCTCCAGCAGAGGTAGAGCAAGATGGGGATAACAACCACTCCTTGACCTGCGTGACAAGGCACAGAGTCGTCAAGGAGTCGAGCACCAAATTTGATACCAACACATTTGGGAAAATAATTAATAGGCTCTGTGTCAAATGAAATTCTATTATCTAAACTGAGCAAATATTGAGATAATCTAAAGTAACCCTAAATTTAAAAAAAAAAGTCTTAAATTAACCTGTTGTCAAATTACCAAAATTAACTCCAAAATGGGTGTTAATAGCCCAGGAATCAAGAAAGACATGATTATCCATCTCTCAACCCAATGGCCCTCCTTTAAATGTGTTTTTTTAAACAAAATACACCCTAACGTGCAAACAATCAGGGTTATTTACTAAAGAGTTAGCTTAAAGTTAGCAGAGTCGGCAATAGCAGTCTGTAATATGCCCTGATTGCCATTGAAAGACAGAAAGAGAATATTGATTAATGTAGGGAAAATGAAGACACATTAAAGGATGGTGAGGGAGCAGAAAATATGTCGGAACACTTGAAATAAAGGAAGCATGAGGGAGATTTTATATAAAAACACACACCCTATGGCCAAACTATGAAATTCAAACCAGAAACAGTCTATTTAAACGAGTGCCTCCGCTGACCAGTCAGAGTAAAGTGCATTATTTTGGTACCTTCTTTGCGACTCGTGATGCAGAGGACATGGTGAACATGGTGGGGTGTCATATCCTGGGTGGTCAGTGCACCCCATGTCATTGCTATAAGGAATACCAAAGTAATAATCGAAGCCTGCACAAGGAAACGTAGGTCAGCTAAGCGTGTCCAGTTATACAGAGCTGCTGTAGGGGTTAGTGCTTTAGATTCAGCCCATTACAATTTGCGCTGTAAAGGGGGAAGTTAGGGCTGGGATGAGTGGCAGAACGGTTACGTGGCAGCATTAAAAATAAATAAATAAAACATTATTCCTGGGCAGCAATATGTAGGTTTATAAAATATTTGCCTTTTGGCTGAAAGCAGAAAAGTGAATGTTGGTGCAGGACTCACCTAAGAGGTTTGCCTTGATGCGACAGGTGAGCTGCAACTGAATGCCCATTGGAGTGATTCTAAAACCTCCCGCTATTTAAATGTGCACAGGGTTTTGAGATACAGCACGGGTAACTTATTTTGTTCTGTGTATTTGGGCTGATGAATACTGTGGCTTTTGCTGCTGCCCAGGGGTAGGGGGAGTTTGTGGTTAACTGTGTGTGTTTGAGGTCCCTTCTGCATTCCATGTGACGACAATACACAATTTTTGGTTAGTGGAAAAACGGAGCCCCTTACCACACAGTTTAAATATATTCCACCTACCCCGGTTATTAGGATGATATAATCCATGGTGTCCCAGGTGCCATTTACCTAGAAAGTAATATTAACTAATTTAGTTTTAGTGAAGGACAATAGACCATCTCTTCTTCTATACTATCTTAATGTCCCCGTTTTCTACAAACTCATTATTTTTTGTTTGTGCGAATGTGTAACAGAGCTCAACAGCAATAAACCATACAATATCGTATCTCTGAACTATAAAAATATATTTTTTAAAACCATTCTGTGTAAATAAGATACTTTAGGATAAAGTCAGCTCTCTAAATAATCAATACTTTGCAAAGTCAATGAAATGTCTTACAACAGCCCACCGCTGACCCAACCACCTACGACGGAAGTGTCCCTGTTTATCCAATTGAAAAGTTGGGGGGGTGATCTCCTGCCACTATTCATTATCGCCTTGATTTTATATTTTAAGAAATACTCTTCAAAAGAGTTAATATTTTTGGAGGAACTTTTAAAAGGACTTAATATTTTGAAAAAAAAAATTTTTGATTTTTTTTTTTTGAACATTGATTTTTTTTTTACATTTTTTTTTATTTTGGAAAAGCTTATCCAAGCATATTAAATTGAGGTTATATGTGTCAATATTCTAGGTAAAAATATACAATTTACAAGCATTACAAAAATTAAAAGCACATGGCCAAATTAAGGAAAGAAAGTAGTTTTACCTATCAGTCCGGTCCGATAGCCAGATTGCTTTAAAACATCTGACAAGGTGGTCTCGTTAAGCGGAAGTCCACCGACAGACGTCACTGCAAAGTTATGCGTCACGCCATTGCGAATTCCAAGCCTTCCAGTCAGCAGGGAGGCGCGAGAGGGAGAACAGGTAGAAGCGGCTGAATGGAAATCTAGAAATCTGAGAAGGAGAAACAGACTTTAAAAATAATAAATACATTTTAAAAATGTGTGTTTTTGAAAACACGTCTGTTTTGAAGTCTTTGGCAAAAACTCTGAATTCTTATGCACACAACACATCCGGAAATACTTCTGAAATTGAATACTCCTGGTCTGGGAGGTTACAAACTTTATCCCCGAAGCACATAAAATATTATGTTATTAAACAATCCAGTTAACTCAAAGAGCCACAGTCCCAAACAAAAAAAGTTAGCAATGGGATTTATTTTACATTTTATAAACCGCTAATGATTTCATTTTTTCGATTTACATTATTTGCCAGTCTTTGCTTAACTAAATCCACATGGAGACATTCCACTGTTAAGTTGTTGGCATACATAACACTTCGAAAGGGATGTCCGAGCGGGCATGTGCTTGCATGGCACTCTCTAACAGATGCCTGTGTAAGCATGAACCGATTATGTCACTTTAATAGTGTTCAATGGAGCAACAGACTGAAAAACTGTCACTTTCAGAGAAGTGACAGTTCCGCCCTAAACAGGTTGAACAAATATAAAAATGCCACTGATTCGGTAATATTTGCAGATGCCCAGAGTTATTTAGGAGCTTGGACGTTGCTTTAGTTGGGCATCATCTTTTGGGCCAACCTTTTTTTTTTTTTTTTTACAAAATACAATTGTAAGTGTGTGTAATATTTATTTATTTTTTCTTCCCCCAAGAGGCATATACAAATCATATAAAATGAATTCAAAGAATTCATGTGTTACAAATTATAATTTAAATCACAACCACTCAGTGGAGAAAAATCTACAAAGGAAAAAAAAAAATGAAAATCTGTTTCTAAAGAACATTGCATGCAGACGCAGAGATTTGTAATTTCTGGTGAGTACCAGACTACGTTGTGCTCGAAGTACTCATTTCATAGAAACTTTCCCAGTTACAAGGAACTTAGCTGTTCTCCAAGAGCCACAAAGTCAAACAATGATTACACAGAGCTAAAGGACTCCTACAAAACGCAACGATGACCTCCTCTCCTTCAGGAGAGGGTGATTCGAAGTCTAGCTGGTTTGGATTGTTTTAAAATGATACATGTTACACTGGAGATTGCGATTTTTGTGACTTCGAGTTGTTATGGCAACACAAACAGTTGTAGTAATCACAGTGATGGCCCATTGTGTTTCCAGCTATATGACCCCTTTCCTTTATCTCTCATCTGCAACGCCAATAGTTAGCCACTTCTTAAAAGGACACTATAGTCATCAGAACAACTACAGATTTTTGTATTTGTTCTGGTGAGTAGAATCATTACCTTCAGGCTTTTTGCAGTAAACACGGTCTTTTCAGAAAATATTTTTACTTTACAGCCTAGTGATAACTCCACTGGCCACTCCTCAGGTGGCTACTAGAGATGCTTCCTGGGCCAGTGCTACTATTCCAATTACAAAGCAGTGTGATTGGCTTTGATAATCACTACTGATGATGTTAGCCAAGCAGGCAGATCGGGGCAGAGCCAGAAGCAGTCGGGAATAAAAGTAAGATTTTTATTATATATAGGAGGTCAAGGGGGCCAAAGGGGCTGGCATTTTAACACAATTGGGTCAGGAATACATGTTTGTGTTCCTGACCCTATAGTGTTCTCCTTTAACCCCTTAAGGATCAAGCTTCTGGAATAATAGGGAATCATGACATGTCACACATGTCATGTGTCCTTAAGGGGTTAAAGGGACACTATAATCACCAAAACAACTTTAGCTTAATGAAGCAGTCTTGGTGTATAGATCATGCCCCTGCTGTCTCACTGCTCAATTATCTGTCATTTAGGAGTTAAAACACTTTTTGTTTCTGTTTATGCCACCCTACTTACACTTAACCTGCTGTGACTCCACTTACATTCTCCAGTTCTGTGACAAACCATTTTCAAGCAGTTTCACAAAAACCATTGACGCGGTGCCTGTATTCAGGACAAATTATGTCCAATTTCTACAGTATTCAATGGATGATCAATAACATTTAGACATGGACCAGAAGGAGACGTCAGGGGCATGCTGACACCATAACCACTACAGCAGGCTAAGAGTGCTACTTTAAACATATATATATATATTTTCTGTAGAAAAGTCATCTTAACACAGAGAATGCAGGCTCGTAGACACATCTCGCCCAGTTGCATTTAGTTCTGTATTCTATAATTAGCGTGAAATTAGTGTAAAATTAGATGTGGTCGCCTCTAGCCCAGAAACAAGGGTCTGTCTGATTATCAAGCCTGGCATTTCTCACATCAGTTATATTACACGATGAAGGAAAGTTATTATATGGTGGGATTAACGGACCTTGCGCTACTGGTTTATGCCCTTGCACCAATTTACCCATCTGCAAGTACACAATTCTGCTTTATTGCCTTGGTTTGTGACTCACCCAGCTGTGTGTTCACTAATCTAATATAGTGATTTACCCAGCCGTGTGTTCACTAATCTAATATAGGGATTTACCCAACCGTGAGTTCACTAATCTAATATAGGGATTTACCCAGCCGTGAGTTCACTAATCTAATATAGGGATTTACCCAGCCGTGATTTCACTAATCTAATATAGGGATTTACCCAGCCGTGAGTTCACTAATCTAATATAGGGATTTACCCAGGCGTGCGTTCACTAATCTAATATAGGGATTTACCCAGCCGTGAGTTCACTAATCTAATATAGGGATTTACCCAGCCGTGATTTCACTAATCTAATATAGGGATTTACCCAGCCGTGAGTTCACTAATCTAATGTAGGGATTTACCCAGGCGTGAGTTCACTAATCTAATATGGGGATTTACCCAACCGTGTGTTCACTAATCTAATGTAGGGATTTACCCAGCCGTGTGTTCACTAATCTAATATAGGGATTTATCCAGCCGTGTGTTCACTAATCTAATATAGGGATTTACCCAGCCGTGTGTTCACTAATCTAATATAGGGATTTATCCAGCCGTGTGATTACTTATCTAATATAGTGATTTATCCAGCCGCGTGTTCACTAATCTAATATGGTAGCCCCATGTAGCCAAAGCACAGCTAAGCGAAAAAGGGCCTTGACAGGGGTTAGGAGGCGGGCAAAGGAGGAGGGGAGGAAGTATGGAGTTATGGGTAAATAGGCTGGGATATTTAAATAGGCAGCCATTTTAAGTGAGCTCACTTCTAATTTCCTACCTGGCCGAGTTTGTGTTCACTTCTGTGTTCCCAGATTTGGCCTGGTGGGGTTTTTTCCCTTTTTGTCTCCCTGGAGGGCTGATGGACAACGTGGAGCGGCTGTTGGAGGGGATCCGGTCGGCGACGAGACTCCAGGGTGCCGACTGGTTGTGGGCCCAGTTGAGATCGGCCCTGGCGGCGGCGGTCCGGGCCAGGAGGCCCCCAAGACGGCTAAACCCGGGCGCGGGGCCCGGCGTAGGCGCACAAGGCGGTCCTGTGGTGTCTGAGGTAAGTGGCAGCAGGCCCGGTAGCCACGTGGTCGAGGCACGTGGTCGTACCCGGAGGCAGGTGGACGGCGGCGCCGCGGCTCCCGAGGTGGAGGTGCGCGGACGGCCCCCTGGAAGGTCGGCGGGCACGGAGGGGCGGCCCAGGAGGACTCCTACCCCATCGGTGGTCGCGGAGGACGGGGCTGGATCCGGGAGGACACGCGGCCGGCCCCTGGGCCAACAGGCAAGTGCAGGGGGCTCCAGTCGGGCCCCCCTTGGCGGGCAAGGTGCTGGGAGTGGGCCACAGAGGAGCAGGGGACGGGCGGCAGAGGGTGGGCAGGCCCAGCGGGTATCCCCAGTTAGGGAGTGGGGGTTGACAGAGAGGGCCTGGGGTGGTGCTTGGATCCCTCAGGGGTTGGGGGGGCTAGGGTTTATAGGGGGTCAGTGGGCTCTCCTCAGTTAGCGAGTGGGTCCTCTGGAGGAGTTAGAAGTAGGCCTCTGGGTTTGGGACAGTCTGGGTCGGGTAGGAACGTTAAGGGGGCTGGGGAGGCTTCGATCTTGGGGGCACTAGGAGAGGCTAGGCATGGGGCCCGCCCGGGGGGGGGGGGGTTGGGGTTCACCCCAGGAGCGTGGCCAGTCAGAGGCGCGCAGTAGTAGGGGGGGTCTAGTTCAGGGCAGGAGAGTGGTAGTCCTTCACCAGTTAGGACCTCGGGGTCTGGGGGGATGGTAGGTAGGTCCAGGCGGCACCGGTCTGGGTCAGGTAGCTTGGCTAGAGACGGTGCAGTAACCCCCAGGCGCGGTCGGCGGGGACGGTCCCCGAGTACGGGCGGGAGGAGTCATAGTCCCAGGGTTGCCCAGGCGCAGAGCAGACGGGCACGCGGCGAGAGGCTTTGGAGGTTGGCAGGCGCTCCCAAGGTCGGGACGGGAGGTGAGCATGGGTTCAGTACACCCTACCCAGGACTACTTCTCCTATTTCCAGGTCTCGGAGCCGTTCTCCAGCTGCACAGGGGAGGCACCAGGTTGGTTCCCCGGTTGGCGGGATACCTACGGATGTCGCTCATCATGGACGCCGGGCGCTAGACGACGCAGCCCCTGCCGCTCTGGGAACAGGGGGCTTGGCCGGTGAGTCCAGCGAGTCACTACACTCCAGTGCACTAGTACACACACTTCAAGCGCTACTCCACTCATTGGGAGCGGGGGTTGACAAGGGGGGCAGCGTTGGTCCGGTATGGGCTCAAGGTGCGGGGGTCGCGGGCGCTAGTGTGGGGATGTCCGCGGGGCCTAGCTCCGGCGGTGACGCTGGGGCGACGGCAGAGACGACGGACACAGGGGGTGAACGGGCGGAAATTTGTGGGGGTGTTCCCGACGCGGCTAGACAGCACGCGTATGTGTCATTCGCGGGCCCGCTGGGGGTACACCTTAAGCAGGAGGTAAAAGAGAGGATCTGGAAAGGTGAGTTTTGCGAGATCTTTTCCCTTCTCCTCTTGGAGGACTTTATTGACCTCAAGGAGGAAGATAAAAGAGACGAGAAGAAGGAGGAGGAAGAGAAACGGAAGAGGTATCGTAAGATTCCGAAATCGTTTGGGAACTGGTTGAGGGCGTTTTGCGTGCTGGCTAGTGTGCTCGGCGAGAAATCTCCAGGGTTATGCTCGTCCCTGTTCTGCTAGTTGGACGGAATTTGGGAGGCGTACCACACCTATGGGGTGTTAGCCTGGTGGCGGTACGACGAGCAGTTCAGGCAGCGGTTGGCGGCGAATCCGGGTATGAGGTGGGATCAAATGGACCTGCCTCTCTGGATGAAGCTGATGATGGCACAGAAGGCGCAGCCCTTTCAGCACACGGCCGGCGCAAAGGGGCAGTCCGCCTCGTCAGCCGCCTTTCAAAAGGGCTTATGCTGGCTCTGCAGCTCGAGCCCAGGGCCAGCTGCTGGGCTTTCCGAGGGACCAGTTGGCAGTGCAATGGTTTGGGTTCAGGGGGTTCGGCTGGGGGGAGGTCTGCTGGGCTGTGTTTCGGAAGATAGCGAGTGGGGAGGCGCCGGACTTGCTGGTCCTACATGCGGGGGGCAACGACTTGGGCCTCACACCGCAACGACGGCTGGTAAAGTGGATGAAGCAGGACCTCAACAAATTGAGGGACCTGCTTCCCAGGATCATGTTAGTTTGGTCGGAGATAGTCCCGAGGCGTTGGTGGCGGCATGCACGGGATCCGGTGGCTATCGATAAGTGCAGGAAAAAAGTGAACAGTTTGATGGCGAGCTTTGTGAGGAAAGTGGGGGAGTGGTTGTGCGGCACGGCGAGTTGGAAGGCAGGTTGCCAGGGTACTACCGCTCGGATGGAGTCCATCTCTCGGCGGTAGGTTGGGATCTCTTGAACTTGGGTTGGCAGGAAGGAATGCAGAGAGCGCTATTTCTTCGTGGTGGCAGAGCTCAGACAGCTTAAGGGATCAAGGTCTGAGCTTGTGGGAAAAGGAGCTGAAGCAGAAGGAATAGGCTCCCTAGGATAAATGTGACAGAAAAGGAAATTGTGGTCATTGGTGGTTGGTAGGTTTCGAGTCCTGTCTGTGGCTCAGAACCTGGTGGGGTAGGGGTGTCCGGGTATACCCCTGCCATGGTTAATTTATGTTTGGCACTTTAAGTTGGTATGTTGGAATAATGTCGGTATATGTTATATATATATATGTGTTATATATATATATGTGTGTTATTTATATGGGGGTCATTGCCTTTTATATAACAGAAGGAGTCGGAAGCGAGGGCGGAGTATGGGGGCAATGACCCATGTTTATTTGTTAAGTTATTATTATTATGTTACAATGAATATATTGTTATTAATATTTAAGATTGTTTAATAAAGCTGTGGACAAATTTTCACATATACCCGAGTGTCAGTGCGACTATTGGGTTAGGTATGTGGGAGGGTTGTCCTGGAGTCCGACTGGCCATATGGCGACTATACACCTGGGGATTTACCCAGCCGTGAGTTCACTAGTGACTTACTCTGCAGTGTGTTCACTTGATTACAATAGTGACTTACTCCTCTATAGGGTGCTCACTAGTTTATATTAGTGACTTACTTCCTGTGTTCACTGTTGCACATTCATGGCTTGCTCAGCTAGTATACATTTGTAACTTGCTTTGTTGTGTATTAATTCTTTTTCATCAGTTGCCTATCTTGCTTGGGGGCACAGCAGATACAAAGACAATGAGATGCCAAGTGTGGAACCAGGAGCCCCGACTCCAAAAAAGAATGAGGTGCAGACGTATTTACACAAACAGCATAGACCTACTTACCGCAGTCCCTTTGAAGCCATTGTATCCAGATTAGGAGTATTTGTTGGGAAGCCTGCCTGGTTCACACCAAGGTCTCCCCATCCAATGTCATCTGCTAAAATCACTATGAAGTTCGGCTTTTTGAAGTCAGCCCTTTTGGGCAATATTCTAGGTCCTGTGAAGCAGAGGTGGAGACCGCACCAAATAAACCCAATCACCAAGAAAGTCTTCATGAAAAATAGGAAGAACACCATTTTTCTAGCAATAGAAAAGTCGCTTAGATCCTGCAGGAAATTAGCCAATATCAGCAAGAACTTTGCTAAAATCAGGGTAGAAGTAAAGAGCAGGACTCTCTATATCCACAACATTTTCAGAGTATCACAGCAGGATGAACCAGCAGGTAGCCCAAAATCTAGTAGAACCATTGAGGTGATCAGGCCTGGAAAAAACTACATAGTTCTCAAACTTTTGAAAGATTTTTACAAGAAATTAAGATTAAAAACGCCAACCTGCCTCTCGAAACCCAGGGGAAGGTCATAGAAAATGCAGACTATGAAAGACAGTCACTGGACTCAAGATTGAATTGAGGAAGAACTTTGATGAGATTGGGATTGGAAACACCAACATATTTTCCAAACTCCAGAATATGCGCATTCAAATATCTGAAAGACAGGAAGAAGATACCAACATTTAATATATACAATGATATATGACAAATACCTGAAGGGTAAGTGGTAACCCCTAGAATTTGAATACCTTGTAATCTTTCAGTGTATTTCTATGTGCAGCATAAGAATAGGATCCATGTCAGAATACAACTAGGAGAATTATTATGGAGTAAGGAGACTTGGCTGCCTTAGTACAGCATACCGTATATGTCATTAAGTAGGGAGAATTGTGGGTCCTAGTACAGGATCTTGTATGTAGTAATATATATCATTATTATGTATGGAGGCTTAAGGGCCCTAGTACAAGACCTTGTATCTATTAATATGAAGTATGGAGGCTCGGGGGCCCTATTATGGGACTATGTATATATTAATATTAGGTAAGTAGACTCGGGGGTCCTAGTATGGGACTATGCATGTATTAATATTAGGTATGGAGGCTCAGGGGCCCTAGTATGGGACTATGTATATATTAAAATTAGGTATGGAGCCCCAGGGGCCTAGTACAGTAACTTGTGTATTTTGATATTAAGCATGGAGACTAGGGGTCCTAGTACAGCACCTTGTATATATCACTATTAAGTATGAAGGCTTAGGGGGCCTAGTACAGGACCTTCTATATATTACTATTAAGTATGGAGGCTCGTTGGCCCTAGTACAGGACCGTGTATATAGTAATATTAAGTATTGAGGCTCTGAAGCTCTAATTTTTCACCCTGTGTATGTCAATAGTAGGTATGGGGGTTCAGGGGCCCTAGTATAGAGAATGTATTCATTAAATGCCAAGTCAATTTAGATTTTGCCAATTCAGCTATTCACAAACCGCTTAACTGTAATCAAAGCCCCAGTAGATATATAGAGGGTAACACCAAGACCCACCGCGTGCTAAACTCTCCTAATCAGAAAATGAGACCCCAAGCCCAAAATGTTCCCCAAATTTCCCTCTTTAATTAAGCGATCAATCAGTTGTAATTCAGTTTAGATATTGTCAAACAATTCACACTGATGCAATGCTATGAGATGTATTTGAAATTAGCCAGAAACCATTCAGCCCAATGTGGTTTCAGTTGATATTGATAACGCGAAGAATTTTGTCAGCTTAGCTGAAAAATAACCCATAATTAAATGAAAATGTTTGCTAAAGCTAATTCAGGATTTCTTGAATAGACCTCTTAGAATGAAATGTGATGGAATTTTCTGTGAGGGGGGAGCCATGTCTTCATTTTCCAGGGGGCAGGAAGTAGTGAGTAACCTCCAATGATCAGTGACTCTCACGAATTCAGAGAGGCTGATAGTAATTAGCATGAATGACACAGAACAGGAAAACCAAGTACAACGCAAAGCTGCACTCGACAGATCATCTGTTGTTCTAGTCCCAGCCGGCAACAACCTTTATACACAGAATGTCCACAATATTTACACTAGCAAAACAGTACATGTGACCCCAACCAAAACACACAATGCTCACTAAAGCATAAAAACTATTTATATGTTCATTTTTGTTTTACATTGTTCAGCAGTCTTTTAAGAACATTCGTAACAGATCTACACTTTTACTTCCTGTGTTGTGATTAGAGCCATCTCCAGAACGTACCTGGCTTCCCTCTCACTAACTGGCTGCTCATGTGCCATCTTTTTTAATTTTTTTAATTTATCTAAAAACTGGTGAAAGACAACATACCACCAACCCCCTTCTCCCACTCTCCCCCCAATATTCCAAAAGGTCGAACAAGAACATTTTTCTTAAAGACGAAGGGAGATTAGGTGTCTGGAGGTGTGACAAGGAGCAGGTATATTCCAAGACATATTATGTAATTTCCTGATAACCATTAGTGTAAATAAACATGTATTTTAAAAAAAGGCCAAATAACTTATTTAAATATATAATTTCTAAACATATATTTTTGTAGTTTAGGAAAGGTGTACATTAAAAATACACATTCATTTATTACACGTCTTCTCTCACACAGGAGGCTGCTGGCAGGGGATAATACTATATGTTGGCATTACTTGGTTCAGAGTTTTAAACAGGGAGATAAACAAGATCCTAAGTCCATTGTTTTGCCTCTTTTTCCCATGCTGGCTGCCAGGTGCAAAGTGCAGATCGACAAGTATATATTTGGATTTTTAAATTTTCCATATCTCACAAACACATTATTAGCATGAATGGACAGGACTATCATCAGATGTCACCCATACCCCAAAAAATTAGATGCTACATTTCTCATCCCATACTGCAGCCAAATTCTGTCACGACACACCTCTAATTATTCCTTTATTATAAATCACGTGAAATTCACTGCAGCATTACCAGACACGTGCACAGACATGCCCATAGGTTAGCTCTAAAACCTACACAAAAAGCCATTTTCAGTCAGTAACCGGCTGTAATGTGATGGGACGCTGGTAAAATCTGAAGCAAACTGGATACAGGTGTTTCACGTTATGAAATGGTAAAAATAAATATAGATAAAGAATATACATAGTAAAGGGTTATGCCAACCATTATAATTACTACAGCCCGCTGTAGTGGTTATGGTGTTAAGCAGTACCCTGCTGCCTTCTTACCCAATGCTGCCGGATGCACGGTGTTGTCTGTAGAGCGGTTTAGGACATCCAGTTTCCGCAGAGCTGCAGAATCCAGATATCGATTCTGCAGCTCGTTCATTTTTCAAGAGCAGCTATTTTGGCCTGTGAATATTTTTCCAGATCAGCTATTTTGGCCTTTGTTTTTTCTTTCAGATTTCATCTGGGAAAATTCGTATTTTTGTTAAGGGACCCCAAACTTTCCAATTTTACATTTTGTGAAAACACAAGTAGTTTAGGCTACCACGTTAGTCCCTGGAACAAGTTTCCCTCACCCCCATTTCCCACCCCTTTTGAATATGTATACTTTCACGCATTCGTATTGGCATAGTTGGCATTATGAACTATTCTTTATACCAGTCCCATATATTGTATCTCTGTATCTCGCTTAAGAAACAAATTTGAAAATACAAAAATTAAAACCTGAGCTATGTACCTTACTGCCACTGGTTATTCCCTGCTTTTATTTGTACGGTATCTAAAAAGAAGAAGAAGAAAAAAAAAAAAGAAAGAAAGAAATGAATAACTCAGATTTCCCAAGATAATGTCACAGGATACCATAGCATGCAAAGGTCCGCGTGATGTAATTATTATTTTCCTGTACAGAATATTTTTCCCTTTCTGGGAAAGGGCACTGTAATATGATTTAAATACACCACATCTCCTGCTCAGGATGAATCGGACCATCTAAGGCAGGGGTTCCCAACCCAGTCCTCAAGTACAACCTTCCGGTCCAGGGGTTAGGGATTACCCTGTTGTGTCTAAAGTTTTTTTTGTGCGTTTTGTTTCTAAAAAAAATAAATAAATAAGTACTGAGGATTGGGTTGGGAGCCACTGATCTAATGAAACCAGGTGCCAATATGTCATTTGGAGATAGACAATCTAAAGGAAAAAATAGGCCTTCATTTTTTATAAACTTTTATTTTAAATAGTTATAGTCTCCACGTCATTTTGTGATACATACATAAACTAACTAGTCATTTTCAGTGCATCTCGCTGCTTGTCTTAAGAGCTAGTGTGAGATCACGAATCCTTGCAGCAAGTTCAAGTAGCCGGCTGGACTCTCAGAAATGCACTCTAAGACGATTTCAGCCTTTTCTAGAGTGCGTGGGCTTAGCAGGTGAGTGGTGCTTCAGAACAAAGAAAGCTTAAAGATGGCCATCCCCACAGAACAAGGAGAAACCAAGATACACACTAGAAAGAGGAATTAACGTATATGTATGCATTACACATTAATAAACCAAACGCTACATTATATGTAGGCTTGTACGTTCTATAATAAGTTAAAAAAATGAGGACAGTTTTTAATATATCCTACAATACATTAAAGATTTTTCTAACTCAGCATAGCCCCAATTAGGCTTTTCGAGGGCCATAGTTTCTTAATCCAAACTTTTAATAGTTACTTATTATCTCATTATAAAATCAGAAGGAGGAGTGACTTTGAGCCATGAAAATGTCCTGATTTAAACTTCATAGCCGCAGACATTGCTAAGCTTGTGCCCGAGGCTATCAATACTTTTATTGCAAGGACTTGGAGATAAGGTTCCTAGAAACTTTGGTGGACAATTCTCTGAAAGGAATTTCAAAACGTCATCTATCCTTCTACAGCATTTATTGAGAGTCAAAACACTACATTCACAGCTCAAAACATCTGCTTGTTTAGTTTTCAATGTTTATGCTTTAGAGAGCTTACAGCCTAGGTTTTTCAATTAAGCCAATTGAAAGCCTAAAGTACGGGGCTGATTCGAAGAGCTTACAGTCTAGTTTTATCTGGGTTGCCACAAGTCCAACTCTACAGCACCAAGACTTCCCCTGTTTGAAAGAACTTAACATCTATTAAATCAATATTTGCAAACTGTATTTCCCATAGTGCTAAGCTAGCCCAAATAACTAGTCCCTAAAATGTATCAATTTACCTGGAGACAACATTCCACAATGGAGGAGATCTCTTCTGAATCAACAAAAAGAATGAGTTGAATAATGATTCAAAAGAGAAAATATAGGTCAATTCCTTGCACAAGTTGTGTTAGTGATCTATGATTTTTGTGATGGAGCTCCTGTACTCTGACTGAATACCTCCGCCAGGTCAACTTCCTCGCTGCTACCAGGGACTCTGGAGCACTTCACGCTCAATTGCCGAAGCATGACTGAGGTCTCTGAGGACCTCTTCCACCAGACCAGGCTGTGGAGAACATAGCTCTGGAGACCCTCTTAACTGTAGAGCAAGGATTATAGCCTTACTGTAGCTTTCTCGCTCCACACATTATACGAGTCTGATTGTAGGGGGCAGAAATAATTTTATTACGCAGCTATTTATACCCAACAATGAGGACTCTCCCTGCAGGGGGTCTTTCATACATTAGAATTTACAGTACAGTTGTCCCTCCCCGGCACCACTCTGAGAAATTAATCACATCATCCCCAGCTAACAAAATAATATCCTTGCTGTGTCCTCACAGTTCTCGAGGCACTTCCACACAATACATCTCCCTGGAATATATTTTATGCATGCTCTACGTGATGCATCATGAAAAGAACGTGTCATCGTTGGAGATCTACGGAGGCTATAACAGCATCTTTACATGAAGCTAGAGAGAAATGTACTACAATGTGGACTCCTTGATGTGGATATTTGCAGTGAGTAGGGAATGAACTTAATTGATTCAGTCCTCTACCCAGCGCTGTATCTATCACGACGCTATCAAGACATTTGCCTTGGGTGCCACTTTCCATGGGGTGGCAAAAATCACTGCACCCAAATTCCCACTCGGATGCCCACGCAGTGCCGCAACTCTAGCAGCCAATGGAGCCCGTCCGTGCCTTTTTTTGTGCCCACTCACTGCTAAAGCCAACTTCCCTCCTGGGCTTTCAGACAGAAAACATATTGCGGAGACTTTTCCTGTTCCAGGAAAAGGTCAATTAATCTGCATGAGTCACTGGAAGACTGGCTGCATCCTCACTGTGAGGGAGGGATGGGATTACTCCCAGTTTAGCTCCGTTACAGACAGAAAGTCAGGCTGCACTGGAAATGTAATGCATCCTCTGATAGGCGCCTGGGTGACTTCTTCATTGGACAAGCACAGATTCCCTCGCATAGGCGGTGTGTCGGCTTATGTGGAGAAAGCTAATTATGTGGAGACAGATGTGAATAGAGGTTCACTCCTCTTACGGTTCATAATTTATTTACACACACACACACATTTTATATATATATATATATATATATATATATATATACACACACACACACACATACATACATATACATATATATATATATATACACACACACATATATATATATATATATATATATATATACACATACACACACACACACACACACGAGATACTCAAAAAATTTGAATATCGTGCAAAAGTTCATCATCAGTAATGCAACGTAAAAGGGGAAACTAATATATGAGATAGACGCATTACATGCAAAGCAAGATCGTGCAAGCCGTGCAAGCCATGCTTTGTCATAAATGCGATGATTATGGCTTACAGCTCATGAAAACCCCAAATCCACAATCTCAGTAAATTAGAATATTACATGCAATCAATAAAACAAGGAGTGTACATAGAACAATATCGGACCTCTGAAAAGTATAAGCATGCATATGGACTCAGTACTTGGTTGGGCCCCTTTTGCAGTAATTACTGCCTCAATGCGGCGTGGCATGGAAGCTATCAGCCTGTGGCACTGCTGAGGTGTTATGGAAGACCAGGATGCTTCAATAGCAGCCTTCAGCTCTTCTGCATTGTTCGGTCTCATGGCTCATCTTTCTCTTGGCAATGCCCCATAGATTCTCTATGACGGTCAGGTGAGTTTGCTGGCCAATCAAGCACAGTAATCCCACGGTCATTGAACCAGGCTTTGGTGCTTTTGGCAGTGTGGGCAGGTGCCAAGTCTTGCTGGAAAATTAAGTCAGCATCCCCATAAAGCTCGCCTGTGGAAGGAAGCATAACGTGCTCCAAAATCTCCTAGTAGACGGCTGCGTTGACCCTGGATTCGATTAAGATGACATGGCTCCCCAAATCAACTCAGACTGTGGAAACTTCACACTGGACTTCAAGCATCTTGCAGTGTGTGCCTCTCCTCCATTCTTCCTCCAGACTCTGGGTCCTTGCTTTCCAAATGAGATGCAAAAGTTGCTCTCATCAAAAAACAGGACTTTGGACCACTGAGCAACAGACCAGGTCTGTTTTTCTTTAGCCCAGGTAAGACGCTTCTGACATTGTTTGTTGTTCAGGAGTGGCTTGACAAGAGGAATACGACATCTGAAGCCCATGTCCAGGATCCGCCTGTGTGTGGTGGCTCTTGATGCACTGACTCCAGCCTCAGTCCACTCCTTGTGAAAGTCCCCAACACTTTTGAATTGCCTTTTCCTGACAATTCTCTCCAGGCTGCGATAAACCCTGCTGTTTGTGCACCTTTTTCTTCTACATAACTTTCTATTAATGTGCTTTGATACAGCACTTTGGGAACATCCAACCTCCTTCGCAATTACCTTTTGAGGCTTTCCCTCCTTATGGAGGGTGTCAATGATGGTTTTCTGCACAACTGTCAGGTCAGCAGTCTTCCCCATGATTGTGATTCCTATTGAACCAGACTGAGAGACCATTTAAAGGCTCAGAAACCCTTTGCAGGTCTTATGGCTTACATAGCTGACTAGAGTGGGATACTGTGAGCCTAGAATATCTCACCTTTTCACAATATTCTAATTTACTGAGATTGTGGATTTGGGGTTTTCATGAGCTGTAAGCCATAATCATCGCACTTATGACAAATCACGGCTTGAACCATCTTGCTTTGCATGTAATGCGTCTATCTCATATATTAGTTTCCCCTTTTATGTTGCATTACTAATTTTTCAAGTATCACATGTATATATGTATCGAGTGTGTATATATATATATATATATATATATATATATAACATATACACACACACACACACCACTCCCTCTCCCCTCTTTCTTGACTCTTAGTCAAGAGTCAGTATTTATTCACTTTCCCTTATGTTCAAAGGGATATAGATGATGAAAACTGGTGCCTTGCCTATAGTTCATCCGATCCTCTAAAACGAATGGTTATAGTTCTTTTTTATTTTCGGATTGTACAGCAATAAGCAGGTGCGTGGTAGGACAATGTTTATATTATGAGACCGATATATCTGTAATCTGAAAGAGCAAGACTTCAAGGTTCAAAGTGTGTACCAAAGAACTACCCCCTAAGCGCAGAGTGAAGAGAGTGCCAGTATGTAGCTATTTTGGGACATTGCACCTCTCCACACCATCATCAGCAAGCTGATGTATTTATACCAGAGATCCAATGGAAGATTTGTGGAGTTCTATAAACAATGAGTAAGTAATTTTTACTTTAATTACTGGTATCTAAAACTTCTAGACTCCTGATGTGCCAGAGACTCAGCGTAAAATCCTACCCAGGTTACCCTTCCATTTATTCTTGAAGGTAAGTAGTGTTACTATATCAGGCTGCAGCGTTGCATATGATAAGAAGATGCCATATTCCCAAGAAATCTGTATTTATAGCAGACGCAGTGCGGCCATTCACTTATTCTTATCGGTGTATTTTCCGGTTATTGACCAGGAACACTCTGATTGGTTGAAAATACAAAGCCTCAGAATACAGCATAGAGAATCATATAGCTTGCTGCCAATATGGTAAAATCTGAACACGTGTTACCAGCTTGGATGTATTCACTAAACTAAGAATTAATCGTTAACAGAGGAACTACACATTAGAACAAACTAGCAGAGCTGCATATTTATTTTATTTATTTTTTTACACAATGCATCATTTTGGCTCTAAATACTGCAAGTCAACTCTCTGCAATCGCCAGTTTATTAAATTGTGTTAAAGGAACAGAAACATGTATTCCTAAACCTATAGTGTTGAAAACACTATCTAACCCCCTGCTCCGCCTATAGTAAAATCATCAGAAGTGATGATCTCAGCCAATCACAATGCTTTCCCATAGGAAAGCATTGGATTGGCCAAGATGGTCAATTTTGGCGGTTTCAACCTCAGAGGCATGCTGGGGACAGAGCCAATGCATCTCTATGAGGAAAGTTCAGCTTCTCTGTGCAGAGGGTGGAGACACTGAATGGCAGTCACACTGTGCAGCATTGGTCCAGGAAGCACCTCTAGTACCCATCTGAATGGCGGCCAGTGGAGGTGTCCCTAGGATTTAATGTAAACACTGCCTTTTCTCAAAGTTTTTTTTATTTTTTTTTAAAGGACAGTGTTTACAACAAAAAAGCCGGCAGGGACTAACTATACTCACCAGAACAACTACATTAAGCTGTTGCTCTGTTGACTATAGTGTCCTTTAAATATGCCTTTTTGAAATTACATTTTGTTGCAAAAGATTTAATAATCCCCCAGATAAACAGAAGCTTTGGGTTGTGTTTTAGATATTTTACCCAACAAGTAATAACTGATAAATGTTGGAATGTAGACTCTTAGTTACGGAGTAAACAATGTACTTAGTGAATTGTCTGCAGGGCTTTAATAAAAAGGTGATCTACGGCATGCTGTATGAAGGCGGATTAAGTGGACTCCGGTGCGTGCATGAACTTGACCTCATATTTTCATTTTAAAATGCACTAATGCAGTCAGGAGTTTGAAGTTTACTGTAGCAGATGGCATTATGCAACATGAATAGATTTAATATCGCAACTAAGGCGTTTGCCCACAATAAAAAGGTCTGTGTGTATGCTTATTAGCCTCGGTTGTACAACAGCTATAATCCTACCATGGTTATTCAGTAAGATAGCCAACAGCACGGACCAGATTAATAGCAATCTATCTCTAGATTGTAAGCTCACGTGAGCAAGTCCCTCCTTTTTTTTCTCATTTCTGTTTACCAAAACTTGTTCATTTGCATTTCTTTTATTCATTGCACTGCCCTGCTGAATAGGTCTATGCTATAGCAATTTTACCACATGACAGGAGGCTTCGTATTTTGCATATCTCTCTTTACTAACTCCATACATCAGTAAAGAAACAGAAAGAAAAAAGAACCAATCACAGGAGAGCAGGATGTACATAAGGCAATGTGACCTCATCATTTCCTCTTTCTTTGCTGCTCCATCAAGCAGACAGATCAGATTATTACTCTTCTCCATTACTTTATGTTTACAGTGCCTCTTTGAGGTTGTTTCTGTATTATATTTTTTATATACTTTGCTGTATGTTCTTGCTGTACTTCTGTACTATGTGCAGCTGTGTTTTTTCTATGTTATTTCATTGATATTATGTAGATTTAACATTCTCATTTCATAACCTTTAGTTGTGAATAATATCACTTGTAATCTATCAGTTTTATAGGCATTTCATCCTTTGTTTTGATAAATTTTGTTATTGTCTTAATAGGTTTTATGTATAGTTATGGTAGATGTACTTTATACCGTATGTATCATGACTTTTCTGATGATTTTCCTGGCCTTCTATACCTGGGGACCCTCTTTCACAGTTTCCTCCTTCTCAGGGGGATTCTGGGTCTGGCTGGGGCTTAACCCCTTCCCCTCCTGCGGTTCCCATCGGCTCCCACCGGCTCCAGGGCATTAACCTCTTCTTCCGGCCTATACGTTCGACCCCTTCCTCCTACAACCCTCAGGGGGATGGCCGGACTCACTGCCCTCGCTCTCTCAGGCTGCCCCATACCATACACCCGGTAATGTGCTGGATGCTTTCCAACATCCACTACCTTGGTGCAGGGCAGTCTGAGGGGCGACCACGAGGTAGCCTGAGCTTGACGCGGCGGCCATCTTTGATACCACGTCAACCGAGACTCCAGGGCAGGGGCGGGCTGGGCCGGGGGGCAGGGAGGCAATTGCCCCCCAGGCCGCCCTAAATTCTGTCAGGACCGGCCGCTGCAGGGCCGGCCCTTTAAATGCTGCAGCCGCCTGAGCGCTCTGTTAAGAGCCTCAGGCGGCTGCAGCACATATTCTCCCCTCCCCTGTAGCTGGCCGAGCTGCTCCGCTGTCCACGGTGCCGGCCGGAGTGATAGGAAGGAGTGTGCACTTCCTGTCAGTCCGGCCGGTTACAGGAAACAGAAACTCCGCGCGGAACAGGAGTTTCTGTTTCCTGTCACCGGCCGGACTGACAGGAAGTGCACACTCCTTCCTATCAGTCCGGCCGGCACCGCGCACAACAGAGCAGCTCGGCCAGCTACAGGGGAGGGGAGAGAAAGTGAGGGGGGGGATTAATAAGAATGGGGAGGGGGAATTCAAGGGGAGGGGAGGGGAAACAAAAAGAAGGGGAAATTAAGAAGAGGGGGGGAAATTGGCTAGCTAGGCTGGGAAATTAAGGGAGGGGGAATCAAGAAGAAGGGGGTGGGGGGAAAATTTAAGAAGAAGGGGGGAGGGGGGAATTAAGAAGAAGGGGAGGAGGGGAAATTCAAGAAGAAGGGGAAACTAAGAAGAAAGGAGGAGGGGGAATTAAGAAGAAGGAGAGGGGGGAATTCAAGAAGAAAGGGAGGGGGGAATTCAAGAAGAAGGGGAACTAAGAAGAAGGAGGAGGGAATTAAGAAGAAGGGAGGGGGAAACTAAGAAGAAGGGGAGGGGGAATTGGCTGAAGGTGGTAATTAAGAAGAAGGGTAAAATTTGAAGAAGGAGGGGAGGACAAGCAGAAGGAGAGGTGGGGGATTAAGAAGAACAGGGGGTGGGGGATTAAGAAGAACAGAGGGTGGGGAGATTAAGAAGATTAGGGAATTGGGGGAATTCAAGAAGAAGGAGGAGGGGAATCATAAAGGTGGGATTAAGAATATTGGGGAATTAAGAAGAAGGGGGAATTAAGAAGGAAGTGGAGGTGGGAATTAAGAAGAAGGAGGGGAAATTCAAGAAGAAGGAGGGGAAACAAGAAGGAGGTAATTAAGAAGAAGGGGGTAATTAAGAAGGAGGGGTGGGGGATTAAGAAGAAGGGGGAGGGATTAAGCAGAAGTGGGAGAGGTGGGGGGATTAAGAAGAACAGGGGGTGGGGGATTAAGAAGAACAGGGGTGGGGAGATTAAGAAGATTTGGGGGAATTAAGAAGAAGGAGGAGGGGGAATTAAGTAAAAGGGGGGATTAAGAAGAAGGGGAGGGGGGAAATTAAGAAGAAGAGGTAGGGGGAATTAAGAAGAAGGTGGGGGATTAAGAAGAAGGGGGGAGGGATTAAGAAGAAGGGGGGATTAGAAGAAGGGGGAGAGGTGGGGGGATTAAGAAGAACAGGGGGATTGGGGGAATTAAGAAGAACGGGGGATTAAGAAGAACGGGGTTAAGAAGAACAGGGGGAGTAAGAAGAACACAGAGAGGAGGGGGAAGAGTAAGAAGGACACAGGGAGGAGGGGAGAGAAGGGGAGATGAGGAGAACACAGGGAGGGTGGGGGAGTGAGAAGAACACAGGGAGGGTGGAGGGAGTGAGTAGAACACATGGGGGGAGGTGAGAACACATGGGGGGGAGTGAGAAGAACACAGGGAGGGAGGGGGCTGAAAAGAATACCGTAGGTTTGGGGGAGGGGGGATGAGAAGAGCACAGGGAGGGTGGGTGTGAGAAGTGACTGCTAGGGAATGGGGGGGGAGAGACCACTAAGGGGCAGGGGAGAGCTCTATAGGACAGGGGGCAGGACAGGGAGCTCTTTCACACTACGCGCACACACACAATGCATCCCTATACATACACAAACACACAATGCATCCCTACACACACAGAAACACAACATGCTTCCCTTACACACAGAGAAACACACAATGCATCCATTACACACAAAGACAATGCATCCTTTGCACACATACATAGAAACACACAATGCAAACCCTTACACACACATGTAAACACACACACTGCTTCTCTTACATATATACAGAAACACAATGCATTTCATACACACACTCAATGCACACACTACTGACACACACCTTGCATCCCTTATGCATACAAACACAGATTCACACAGTACATCGCTTATACACAAAAACACACTGCCTCCACTACAAATACACTGCATCACCTACACAAACTGGTATCCCTATACACTACATACCATAAGCACACACATTAGATCTACATCTACAATAACACATAACACATCCCCTACACACTCCACTCCCTGTGAGCGAACTCATGGGTGGAACATGTAGGTGGACTTTTAGGTGGGCCTTATGGGCATACTCACCGTCAGGCCCTGGGACCCAGACCTTGAGCTGTTTAAGGGGCCCCAAAAAAATGGAGCTGCTTCCCATTCTACTAGAACTTTGAATTTTGTGACCACAGTTACAAACAGCCTTCAGAGATCCTCTTCTACACCAGACCAGTGGAGCCAAACCGCAGCCCATCATCATCCTCATCTGGTTGTAAGTAGGCAATCTAGTATATTATTAGTGACACTAATCTATAATTTACCTCACATTAAAGGGACACTATAGCTTAATGAAGTGGTTCTGGTGTCTATAGCCGGTCCCTGCAGGCTTTTTAATGTAAACACACACTGTGTCTACACTGTGTCTACTGGTGACCCACAAGAGGGGATTGCACTGCACTCTCCTCCTGCCCAGACCTGTCTTTACCGCAGTGCAAGTGCCCTCTGCCCCTAATTTACAATGGCTCACACTCACAGCAAGCAGTGCCTGGAGCCCTTTGCAGCGATGGGAACAAAGAGGTTCTGCGGCAGGTGGCCGTCCTGCAAGCATTACATTAAACAGCTGTGCCCCATGCAGCCACAGGTGGCGCTGTGCTGGGAGAATGTGATTACTCTTCACTTCCTCCCAGCCTACAGCGCAGCGCATGGGAGAGGGAGAGGAGGAGGCATGATTTAATCTTACAACAAATCCATTCAGCAAATCTTTGGGGGGATCAGCTCTGTTTGCACAGTTTATTGGTGTTTACTCTGATGTCTGTATTAATATTGAGGGATTTCTAAGTAGTAACATCAGTATGTGTCAGAAGGGCCAGACGTTGGGGTGTGCAAGCTGTGCGGTCACGCAGGGTGCCATGACAACAGAGGCGCCCAACACAGCTCACAAGTTGGGGACCCCAGCATATTCAATTTAAATGATTCGCTGGTGGTCCACTGGTGCGCACCAGCAGTAGGTGCAGTCAGATTATATCCTCTCTCTCATGGTTCTGGCGCTCAGTTAGTGAGTCAGAACACAGGCTCAGAGATTCTCAGCCTGCGCTCTGACAACATTGAAAGTCAGAGCCGTGAAGGAGCGGGTATGGCAAAGAGCTACTGATTAGCATAACATCAATATCATTTATAAAACCAGGTGGGCATGGATGGTGAACTGATTTGGTGGTGCAATGGGCCACTTGACTGGTTTTGCCCCCCAGGCCTAAGGCTGCCAGCCCTCCCCTGCTCCAGGGACCATGCTCCCCTCCTTTTCCCTCGGCGGCCATCTTTAATCTCGCGAGATTATGGGCGGCCATTTTGCTACTCTCACCCACCACGATTTCGGCGATCGAGAGTAACATATACCTGGGCTGTCAGCTAGCCTAGCTGCTCTCAATGGCTCACGATGCTCTGACACGGCTCACGATGCTCTGACACGGACGTTGGACCTCATGGTCCCATGTTCAAATCCAGGTAAGTATTCTAACTGGCCTATTATTTACAGATTTGAGTCGTACTCATGTATAGTTTGAAGTGCTGGAACCTTAAGAGGAGATCACCCCCAAAAATCCCTTAAAGGGATAGCACCCTCATATTCCTTAAAGGGATACCACCGTGGTACTACTTAAAAGGGATACCAAATCCTTAAAGGGATAGCACCCATGGACACAGACTATCAAGATGGTACTGTATAAGTACATATCAGTGATGGGAGATTTGAAGGGATATCAGGAATCTACAGTCTGGTAATGGATGCTCAAAGAGATGACCCCTATCACTTAAGACTACCTGTCAGAACACGACAGACGACGGAGCTTAGAGCTAGTGCTATATCCTATTATCCCTCAGGTCAGTCACTTTTGTCTCATTACTGCCATATTAGGCACTAAAGGGCTTATTACCCTGTGCCTGCCTGGAGTGCTGCCCCCATTACCGTGCTGCTTTTTGGAGGTCGCTCTGTGGCCACCTCTATAATCCTGGGTGAGTCCCAGTTATTCAAATCCCAATATTGTGGTTTGCCCTGCTGGGACAATTTGACAACACTATGTGACAGATACAGAATACCCTGCCGGGGTTATTACACCTTACTGTCATTTATACAGACCCTGCTGGGGTCCACTGGCATTACACTACAACAGATACCCTGCTGGGGTACCACATATCACACACCCTGCTGGGGTTGTTTTGGTACTTTGAGACAATAAATTGCACACAATAAGTGCACACTACTGCATATCACACACCCTGCTGAGGTTGTTTTGATACTTTGAGACAATAAATTGCACACTACTACACCCTGCTGGGGTCTGCATGGTGCATTGCACACAATGAAACGGATTGTGCTCTCATCCAGTCTGTTTTATTTGGCCGCGACCCACGCTTGACGGGTACATACCCCGTGTACCTGAGATGATCTCTGACTAGGTATAAGCCAATCTATTCGGCTCAAAAGGGGACAGAGTCACAAGCTTCAGCGCAGAATATCCTCCATGGCGGTGCATTAATCATTGGAAGAGCTGTAGGACACTCTCTATCAGGCTGATGGCCAGCACTGATGGGTTCATACCCTGTGCAACCGGGGTGAGCCCCCTACAGCACTGCTGCTTTTACTCCTACCCCTCTCAACAGCGAGCTCGAGGATAGAAAACCTGAACTTCGGATCTGGGACTGGCACTTACAGGTTCAGACCCGTAGCTCTCGGGGTGAGACCCCTACGATGGGGGAGTCACACTACCCGACCGAAGGAAGTCTTACAGCTGAAGGAATACCTCCGTTGAAAATGAATCATGATACGGTATGGGTTTATGCCCTGTACCTATTCTGCGGCCTGCAGTTAAAGGCCCACGCCCTATGCACCGGGCCTGGCTAGGCATGCACTGCACTAAAATGCCGAATAGATGCATGTGGTTACAACCGCTGAACAGGAGCTCAGAGCCGCCTACTTAACAATATATATTCCCCTTGAGGTGAATTTAATAATGGAAGAGGTGACTGACACTATCAGGGCGAAGGGTTTCTGTGAACACTGCCTACTGTCATAGTAGACTGATCTGTTTGCCCTGCATCCTGTGCCTGAATACTGATTTGTGCCTTACACAGGAGTATCCCTTACTACCATAAACCTACTTGACTCGTGGCTTTGCAGCCTCTTGCTTAGAATGTCCATTTCCGCTGACGGTCGGACAAACCCATGCCCTTCCATGCCGGTCAGAACAGCTCAGACAACTATAGTGACCAACGGAGGAGGTCTTTCAGGATTCACTACCTTACCATGGGCGATGCTGGACGCCGCCAAACATCGTCCGGAAACGGGCATACAACTTGGGTAGATGGACTGAAAAAACAATTTCTGCTCCTCGCAGGAAACCCCAGTGTTGGCCTCTCCCATAGGATGCCCATAGCAGCACTCCTCCGCACTGATGGATGGTTGGCGGTACTGGGCGCCAAGATAGTCGGAACCCCAGACACAAGGCACAAAGTTCCGAAGGGAACTTATTAGTCACGCAAGGGTCCCACGGCTTTCATAAGGGCCCAAACCCCTGGGAGGGAGGTGTTATGTGGATTACCTTACAATGGACTCTTTGGAACCGGTTGGCAACAAAGACGGTTGTCGGCCTCTTCGGGACATCTGACCCGAGATCCGCTACCGCTAGCTCTATTACCCATATAGAGCGAGAGTCAACCAATGGTGCTCCAGATAAGCGGACAGAGAACACGGTACGCACAGATTCCATCAATATACCTCTTACTACATCCACAGGGGATTTCACCACATCTAGATGAAAGGCACTCAATCCTGGGGAAGACCACTTTCACGTAGTCAACCGACTTGCGTTCAGGACCTAAAGACACATCAGGACGGTCTTCTTCCTTCTGGCTCGACCACCTTACCCAGTTTTCAGGGGACATCCTCTCTTTCCCGATCCAGTAGCTTGGAGCCTGGTGGGCCCTGATAAACTACCGAAAGAAGTAATGTATACAGGCGGGGAAGACGAGACACTCTCTTCTGGGAGAACCTCATTCAGATCACTCCAGGGAACTGAAAACTAGTCAACACCCACGTTCATCCGAGAACCGACTGGAACCTCCATACTTGTGGAAGACTATTTGCTCAGAGGATTCGTAGACTATTCCACAACTTGTGAATATTCGCACGACTCTCCGCGGCACCACCGCGACCCTGTACGTTGTATACCTAGACTTCTTGGTCCTATACTTCACAATACATAGATTGATAAAGATGTACTAGATCGGCTGCACCATACTGCAGGTAACCACAGATTAGGCAGTCAGGTTTCACATCCACCGGGATGGACCAACTCACGTTTATCAGACACCATGTAGGCTCCTTCAATCCCAGTCTTCTTCACAGAAGATCAACCTGTCTCCCGGGGGAGACACATCTCATAGGGGCCGACTGATTTGGATATTACTACTGTGGCAGTATAAGTCGAGGCACGATGGTGATCGTGCTCCGTCCGACCGGACCTCCCCAAATGACTTATGCTTCTCATGCTTACAAGGTTTACAGAAATTCTCGAGCAGGCGAGGATCTTCTCCTGCTACATTCATGACTGACAATTCCTCTCAGAGCCGTAGGGTACTCACATCTTCTATCCCGGGAGGGTCGGCTACCTGGGGACCTGGACCCGCTTTGAGGGTTTCTTGGCAGGTCAGCGGACGATCACTGGACCTCTTTGGAATCTGGAAACTCAGGGATGCGACGACCCTACCCCTACATCTGGACATTCCCAGCCTGTCTGGTTCGGTCCTGCATCTTGATCCCTTATGTGAGGATGGAGACGGAACTGCAGCCCGTATCACTACCTGAGGACGCCCAAGGGACTAGGATCCTCTAGGATACCAACTACCCAATGTCATACCTCTTCAGCTTATGAGTTGTGGAGGTCGTTCTCCTTTCACTCTACAGGACTAAACATCCTGCTGACAAACGGTCAGACTTGGTCTTGTATAATTTCCCGTTAGATGGTGTATACGTGGGCGCTCAAAGGGGAAGACCTCCCCACAACGCTGAATACTGGGTTTCTAGGCACACCATAGGACTCTTATTTAGTTCTTTACTCTTTTCTCAGCGTTAAAAATGCAAAATACGAAGCCTCCTGTCATGTGGTAAAATTGAAGATTATGGTAGCTTTAGTGTACCTAATAATCTTAATTTTAATAATGACAGGAGGCGAGTATTTTCCCCCCCCTGCTTTGCTGCCCACCCTTTCTATTTGTTTGCTTTGCAGATATCAGGGGCTAAGGTAGGTTTGCCTCTCACATTGATGCTTATATGATATGTTCGTACTTCCATTAATATGGAATCCTCATTAGAGTTCTCATTACAATTACTCAGTTATCAGATTATAGTTACTATTTTCTCCAATGGGATGTTAGGTGGTACGTTAATTGGAGTTACATGTTCGTGACTATGTCTAAACCTGTCACACATTCTCTTTTCAGTATGATTCGTCTCTGAAGATAATTGGCAGTTCACGTGAAACTATTGGAGATTTTATTATTCGGATTTGTCTCAACCCTGAACTCTTTTTCGGTGTTCGTATAGAATTCTTTGGAAGTTTGCTCGTTCGCACATGGGAACTTGGAGTTATTATTATTAGTTTTATTGTTTGCTATATATTTACTTCTGCTTGTTGTCGCTTTCTGAAAGAGGAAATGATGAGGTCACATTGCCTTATGTACATCCTGCTCTCCTGTGATTGGTTCTTTTTTCTATGTGTTTCTTTACTGCTGTATGGAGTTAGTAAAGAGATATGAAAATACTCGCCTCCTGTCATTATTAAAATTAAGATTATTAGGACACTAAAGCAAGCATAATCTTCAATTAAAAGGTGATTAATATTCAAAAAGAACAAACAGCATTTGTAGCGGAGCTCCTTGTACCGAGCAGAATGGGGAACTCGCTCTATCCACCCCCAGGCACTGGAAGACACTCAGTCCTGGGAGCTGTAGTCCTTACAAGGACTTTCCCCATTGAATCCTCCACACTGGAACAGTGATTAATGAGTAGCCCTTTCCCCTCCCAGTAACCAGACGACACATAGTTCTGGGAGTACAAGCTGGAATGTTTTAATCTGGCCAGATATCCTGCTTTTATACAATTTCAGACACAGTTAAGCACGTCCCTGACACTCGCCCACACAAACAGGATAATTCCTCTCCTGGACATGAAAGGGGGGACTAGTTACAAGTATAAAACTCCTCCTCTGTGCCTGAGAGATAATGGAGTCAGGACCTGAACTAACTCCATTATCTCCAGGCACAGAAAAACATACAATATTACAAAACCCCAAAAATGCCTTTAAAACACATAAAAACCCAACAAAAGTTACATCCTCCGGGTTCGGAATTTCCCGGGTAGTCTATACGATCTATGCCCAAAACAGTTCCATGAAATCAGTGCTAAGGGTCGGTAAAGTTCGGTAGTTAGAAAACAAACTACCGAAGGGCATCCATAGTTCTACTCTGGAGCTAGTTTACCTTGTTCATGGGAACATTTCCACCGAACAGTGCCCTTCTAAGTCGTATAGAACCGAATGCAGGCGATGATGGAATCCAGCGGTGTTCATGAGTTTCTGTGTCCGATTTCAGTTCCATGAACTCGACGACCAAACACCACTGCCTGCGTTCATGCAAACAAGATGGTCACCACCTCATGGTCGTTCATGCGAACAGCGCCCACCCGGACGAACAATTAGAACACTGCAGTGGAACGGGTTACAAACTGTCAATTAGGTTTAACAAGCTCCTGGGTGGTCCATGGTTTGTGCGCCTTTTCGGTTCCCGAACAGAAAGGAGAAAAGGCACGAACCAAGCCAGTTACCTAGTCCTTTACAGGTTTCCCTGCTAGGCATATAGTCTGTGGGCAGGAGGCTGGCAAGCAAGCTCCTCCAGGAGCTCGTGGCAAGTTTGTCACAACATTGTTAAGACACCATCCTTTGGGGACAATTATTTTAGAACCAAACTAAACATGATAGATCTGGTTGGACTGACTCAAAATGGGACCTTTATGCCAGAATATTCGTCCCCAAAGTCTATTTCTCTGGGACAAGAAAAAAAAAAAAAAGTCACCAAAATGAATGTGTTCAGCTTACCACTCAACTGTGGAAGCAGAGAAAAATTTGCATCACTGGTCCTGCCAAGAAACAGGCACCAAGAAACTAACCCGGGATGGAGGGACAGGAATCAAGACTGCACCGTGAACTTTGACTCCTCCCCCTCTCCCCCGGGAAAAAATAAGCATGTCATAAAGAATCTTTATTTTAAAAAAAACCAAAAAAAAAAACTCATTGACCATGTTGAAATTTCACTAAAGATACATAAAGACAAAGTAGGGACTAGTTTGTGTCTGTATTTCTTCGCTGTCTGACTTTCTTAGGCTCATGGCAGATATAAAGTGTCAATCCAGATAGCCATCAGCAGTGACAACTGCAGGGAATTAACTGCAAGAGCAAGAATCCTCTATAGACCTTGCTGTACTCTCGCAGTAATGTCTGCTCCGAAGAGGACCCATCATTCCGGTGAATCCACATAGGCGAATTAAAACTGGCGAATTCTGTTCCTGAAAGATGGCTTAAGAAAGAATAGACTTATGTAACACTAAAATTGAAATACCATTAACGTAAATGTGAAGGCTTGGCCTGCATTTGTGGGAGGGGCATATTAACCTACTTAAACCCCCCTCCTCACCTTCCTCAGTCCCGTTCGTTTTGACGATTCGCATGTCGGGTCGTCCTTCCTCTCCTTTCCTGGGTCTCCATATTTGCGGGTCATTTCTCCGGTCTCTCGGGGGGGGGCTCTGCTCTGCTCTGCTCCAACGCTTCTCGTCTCCGCGCCTCTCTCTCTCCGGTTTTCTCGGCTGTCAGCCCCCTCGCTGCCACTGGCGCTGTCGCAAGTCTCGCGTCTGCACTCACCGACGGTCGCACGCCCATGCAGCCACGCCAGCGTGTCGGGTGCAGCGTTTTGGGTGAGGTAGGTTGCTCTTCTGTCTTTGTAGGATCCTTGCCCTGCGGCAACTATTAGTTTATGCTAGTTAATCCCACGAATACGGGGATATTCCATTTCACAAATTCAACATATTTTAATACATTTATTGCTTACACCTCAAGCAGCATTCAAACAATTAATTTGCTGCCATGTTCTAACCCTCGACTTTCTATAAATCACAGATGCAATTAATCGATTTTAACTCTTATATCATCTTGCAACAAATTATTTCACCATTTATTTTCACTACAGCCTACAGTCCCCACACCAATGTATATGACTTCTCTCATCAATTATGAATTTATTTATTTTTTAAGATGAAAGTAAAGGAGAGCAATTTGATTGCAGAGTGAGCAAAGTATGAGGCTGATATAATGCCCCATGCCGTCATTGCTCCTCTGTCGCAAGGGTGCTATGCTTGCTCACAACCAATGCCAAATATGGAAATAATTCACATTAACACTTCTTCTGGGCTAGCTAATGCCACTGCTGAAGGTTAACGCTTTGTGCAACATTTCTCTGTGAAACGCTGCATATACCGACTTAAAGCACCACAACTATTTAAATCACTGGGTCGGGGGTTCTTAGGGGCCCTCAATGTATTTAGATTCCAGTATGGCCATTTGTTAGGAACTTTTCAATATCTTCTGACAGATATTTCTTCATGTTGTGGTAACTGGAATATTTTTTTTTTTTCCAAAAGCCAGTGAGGAACTCTATATGAGTCTGTTATTTTAGTGGGTTTATTCCAATATCATCCACACCCTCTCATCCATGGTGCACTCACATCGTCATTAGACTTGCCTGTCTGTTTTCTAGGGTGCGCAGAGGGATAGCACATGATGTACAACAAGTTAGGTTAACTTCATGCATTAACTATAACTTTTTGGTTTCACATATGTGCACATAGTCTACCACTCTCCTTTTCCATTCTAATTGGCTGGACTCCGTCGGGCTCACTCTGCCCTCCAGTCGCGGTTGCCCCTATGCTTTTTCATTCCCCGTCCGCTCTTCTTTTTTTATTTCACACTGTACGTCCCCGCTCTTTGCCCTCCCCTCTTAGTTAGCTGTTGCTGGCTGTCAGGGTCCTAGGTGTCCGCTAGCTGTAATTCCCCTGGCTTCTTTGCCTAGGTGAGTGGTCCCGCGAGGCCAACACCCATCCTCGCACTCTGAGGTACTACGCCCCTCGGGCCAACTCATAGTTAGTCGCCTCGCACTGTTGCATAGAGAGGGCCTCACCTGTCACTCCCACTATCTTTTGTTTAACCGTCACCGAGAGGCCGACACCCTGCTATCCCCTCGCGCCAACGCATAGATAGAGCCTCTCACGCCGCTTGGCATCTAGCAGGGCCTCACCGGTCACCAAACCTAGTTTTAATTGTTTTGCCTTTTGGCTTAGCTAGTATGCCAGCGCTCACACACGCACACACTCGCACTGGGTCTCGTAACCCCCATGGGGTTTACACCACCACAGTTTCTGTTACCTACTGCCGAGCTTCCTCCTTCCAGCCTGTCCGCCCGGACTTGGTCATGCTTACTCTGATTTCGGTTACGGTCAGCACTACGGTTTTCCTCATTCACCCTCACAGGTTTCAATACACGTTTCAGCACATCTGTCCTCTCACACTGCCTTCCCTCCCCTCTTAGTTAGCTGCGGCTGTCTGTCAGGGTCCTAGGTGTCCGCTAGTTGTAATTCCCCCCTGGCTTCTTCGCCTTAGGTTAGTGGTCCCGCGAGGCCAACACCCATCCTCATACTCGGAGGTACTACGCCCCTCGGGCCAAATCATAGTTAGTCGCCTCGCATTGTGTCATAGAGAGGGCCTCACCTGTCACTCCCATGCTATCTTATGTTTAACTGTCACCGAGAGGCCAACACCCTGCCACAACGTTCAGTGGCCACGTTATCCCCTCGCGCCAACGCATAGATAGAGCCTCTCACGCCGCTTGGCATATAGCAGGGCCTCACCTGTCACCAAACCTAGTTTTTAATTGTTTCGCCTTTTGGCATTAGCTAGTATGCCAGCTCGCACACATACACTCTTTCACGCTCACGCGCATGTTGGGTCGCTTATGCGGGGTCTTCTTCGTCTTTTTTCTAGCAGGTCTGGGTCTGGTTCTCATCGCCCCGTGGAGTTTTGGCTCAGGTCCTGGGCGCTTCCTCGATTTGCTGCGGTTCTCATGAGTCGGCTTATTCCCCCATGGCAGCCTTCCGGTCAGCTGTTCTCTCAGTGTCTGTCCACCTACATGGGTTTCGCCGCTGTCGGCTATGGGGCAGTGTCGGATGGCAGTTTGGGTTAACTGGCATCTGCCCTTTGGCTGGATCCGTACCGGTCTTCCCGCACCTCTTTCGTACGATAAGTCCTGTGCCTCCTTTACGCGTTCTAATGTGGCCCTGCCTATGGCCTCCCCCGCAGCTGCTTCCATTCCCAGCTTTTCTGGGCTTGTTCGTGGGCTGCCAGCTTTGTAAGCTCGTGGTTGCCTTTCTTTCACGTCTGGCTCTCATTTTTCTAGCACTCGCAGTGCCTGTGTTTTCGGACCCTCTCCCCCTTGGAGGCTCCTGTCTCAAATATCACGTGTACTGTCTCTGTTGATATGTTGTCCGCGATTGACTTTCGCTTCTTTTTGCCACCTCTTACTTGCATCAACTCTAGCTATCCGGTCTATATCTTCACATGTTGTACAGGGTTTCTAGTCACACGCTTTTTCATGTCGTCATACCAGTTTTACCATACTCAAGGGTTCAAGTTCTGGGAATTTTCCAATCTCCAGATTTCCCATCTATAGCCAAGTTTTATAATCACTATTAGACCTATTTAACACTTGTCATCACGACCGGGCATCAACTTTCAATGTAGGGCGATATCTGCTTGATCCAAGGATAAATCCGACTGCCATTATGGGGTCAAGAAGGAATTTTTTCCCCTAGCTTGTTGCAAATTGGAAAGCGCATCAAACTGGGTTTTTCGCCTTCTTTTGGATCAACAGTTTTAATCACAGACGTGAGGTAGGCCAGAATTGGGGGACGCTAGTCTTTAGCTAGGTTACTAGGTAGTCTTGTTGTCAAGCCGCTATACAGTTTCTCGTGAACACACATATCTCCCACAGTCACCACGTTTTTGTTTTTGCAGCACCGTCTCAGGAAATCTCACTTATTTATGCAGTCTAATGTTTACTTTCTCTACCCCACACCCAGTTTACGCTAGATGGCCAACATGTTTTTCCTTACTTACCCTTGCACAAGTTAGAGGGCCGTTGTAAGCGCCGGGCGCCTCATTACTCACTCAACTGTTACCACACAGATAGGTTATTTAAGGTTGTTGATTGCTTTTAAACAGGTTTCCTTTTTGCCCTCTTTTATTACAGGCCTCCCACGACGTCGGTTCCGACACACCACAACGTCGGTCCCCTCCCCCTTTTTATTTCCTTTTACGGCCTTATTTGCCCCTCACACAAATGTGAAGGCTTGGCCTGCAGTTGTGGGAGGGGCATATTAACCTACTTAAACCCCCCTCCTCACCTTCCTCAGTCCCGTTCATTTTGACGATTCGCATGTCCCCACCCTCCACTCCCTTTATTATACTTTTCATTACACTTCATGGGTGGGCCCTCTTTTATTACAGGCCTCCCACGACGTCGGTTCCGGCACACCACAACCGACTTATTCCCCTCCCCCTCCCCCTTTTTATTTCCTTTTATGGCCTTATTTGCCCCTTACACAACTATGGTATATGGCAATAAACATTTTCATTGTAGCACAATGTTGGATAGTGGTATCTTCTTGTATACATGCGCATTACATTCGCCAGCAAAAAATAAAATAAAATTCCAGCTTCCAGGTTTCAAAATTGAGGTGTGCATTAGACTCGATGGTGTATTAGAATCGAGGAACTATGGTACATCACAGATGTTCAATGCCCTACTGCTGAGTTACAGGGCAAGACAGGGCAAGCAGAATTTCAACATTTGTATTTATTTTGAAAATGTTTGGATGGCAGGAGATCAAGCTCCACCTGAAAAGGTACTGAAAAGCTTGGACAAACCCCAGGATGGCAGAATGCCAGGTATTTCTACCCGTGATTGCAGTTATAATTCCAACAGGTGTAGTGGTCAGGGGACAGCGACTTTGCTCGAAGGTTAACTTAAATTACACGATACGGGTCATGGAGCCATTAGTCACTTAGTGTCAGTCTCGCAAGGTACTCAATAATAATTTCTGCATAGCTGCACACTGAGTACTTTAACGCAGTCAGGTGACTACACGTTGCCAAACTGAACAAGACCACGAGCTGGTGTTTACTTGCTCATGCCAAGCTGCTTTCTACAATAACAAGCTTGTGTTGTCTGTGGGCAGATGTTCAAGCCAAGTCAGCTGCCAAGGAGTCTGGTGGACAGCAAATGCCATCACTAAAGACTTAGTGGGACACTCGCACTTATATAGAGGGTTCTCCCAGGCACAAACAAGGGGATTTAAACTGGCAGCAGCTTTGCAAGCTGACCATTTACAAAAGATGTAGGAAACTCAGTGCACTTTAGTATATAGCGTTCATGTGCTGTAGGAAAGAAATTGATTAATCAAGGTAATTCTATGGAATTCCTCTTTGAATCATTTGTTCCTTACAATGTGTTTGCCCCTAGTTTTTGTGTCCCTTGATTTCCACGTTAGCGATGTGTGTGACGGCTTCCTTAGGTCTATGAAATGCATTGCAACTGGATCAAAGAGCATCATATTAAGGATTATTACATGGTTTTTATTTATAGAACAGCGCCTTACGGATTGTGACCGAAAAAATCTAATTAATGACACTACAATGTTCTCCAAATCTAGATAAATACCATGCGTTTAAACTGGACAGGGAACCTCTGGGAAACTGCCACTGCTTGTAACTGGAGAGATAGATCTTCAAACGGAAAGCAAGGATTTCCTTAAATTTTAATGGAGCAGAGTTAATGGAGCAGAGTTAAAGGCAGAGACCAGAGTGAAACCATGGGGGTTATTCACTTAATATCACAGAGATCTGCAAATTTATCTCAAAACATGCGAGCTGGAGACCCAACATTAGAGTTTTCTTGGTAGCCAAACTAGAAACAGGAGATTTCGCTTTGAATTCTCACTCTAGTAAATACACCATAAGGCAGGGCTGTCCAACCTGCACCCCCCCCCCCAAGATGTTGCTGAACTACAACTTCTATGATTCCCTGGCTATCTGTTTCATTGAAAGAATCATGGGAGTTGTAGTTCAGCAATATCTGGGGGCAGTGGCGTACACATGACCCATGGGGCCCCGGTACGAAAATTGATCCCCAGCCCCCCCCACCCCCCGAGCTTACTCGGTGTGAGTTGGGGCCGCAACACATGGCGGCATGCACCTGGTCGCAGGGGTTGCAGGGCTGCGACCCCGCAACCGCGGTATGCACACACACTTAAAGGACCACTACAGACACCCAGATCACATCAGCTCAATGAAGTGGTCTGGGTGCCAGGTCCCTCTAGTTTTAACCCTGCAGCTGAAAACATAGCTGTTTCAGAGAAACGGCTATGTTTCACTGAGGGTTAATCCAGCCTCTGGTGGCTGTCTCATTGACAGCTGCTAGAGGAGCTTCAGCGATTCTCACTGTGAAAATCACAGTGAGAAGACACTGAACGTCCATAGGAAAGCATTGAGTAATGCTTTCCTATGGGCGGTTTAAATGCGCGCGCCTCTTGCCGCGCATGTGCATTCGGAGCTGAGAGGCGGAGGGATCCCCAGCGCCAAGGGAGTCCGACGCTGGAGAAAGGTAAATGCTGAAGACACACACATTCTCACGAACAGACGCATACACACTAACAGACTTTACTGACATACACACTCACTTACAAAACATACACTTTCACTGACAAACACACACTCACTAACAGACATCAAACACACTCAGTAACAGACACACACAGTAACACACTCACTAGCAGACACACACCCAATAACAAAAACACAAGATCCAGCGCACTCACCTGTCCACTAAACAGCAACTTCAATGTTGAAAGATTTTATTAGTTTTTTAAAAACACCTAATCTAGGCAAAAACAATGGGGGTTTAGTTACATTATATAATCATACATTGTATAAGCCTGCCAGAACGTCAATGTACCCCATCTTTGGCAGGTCCTACACTAACAGCCTAATGTCTGCATTATGAGATTAACCTCTTACTTGAGGAAAAATATAATGTATGATCATATAATGAGTGCAGCCAACCCCCCCTTGTTTCACACACCCAATAACAGACACACTCACAGGCGTGCGCAGCCTATTGCATTAGGGTGTGCACCCTAAAGCACAAGCCGTAATATATATATATATATATATATATATATATATATATATATATATATATATATATATATATATATATATATATATATATATATATATACATACACACACACACACACACACACACACACACACACACACATATATATATATATATATATATATAGACATACATACATACATATACACACACACACACACACACACACTGCTGTGTGTGTGTGCTGTGTGACGGTGCTGGTAGTGTGCTATGTGGGTGAGGGTGTTTGTGTGTGCGTGCTTGTGAGGATGCTGTTAATGTACTGTGTGTGCGCTTGTGAGAGTGCTGTTTGTGTGTGTGTGCGCTTGTGAGAGTGCTGTTTGTGTGTGTGTGTGCGTGCGCTTGTGAGGGTGCTGTTTGTGTGTGAGGGTACTGTTAGTGTGCTGTGTGTGTTTGTGATGGTGCTGTATGTCTGTGGGTGCTGTGTATGTGTGTGGGTGCTGTGTATGTGTGTGGGTGCTGTATGTCTGTGGGTGCTATATGTATGTGTGCTGTATGTGTGTGTGCTGTATGTGGGGGTGGAGGTGGGGGTACATTACTTGCTATCCCCCCTCCCTTCTTACCTTTTGTAGGGAGGGGGGATCGTGCTGCTGATTCCATCCCTGGTGGTCCAGTGGAGAGTGAACTCTAGCCCCTGTGGGGCTAGAGTTCACTCTCGCGAGATTTGAGCGTTGCCGTGGCAACGCTCATATCTCGCGAGAGGAACCCGGCGGAGCTGCCGGCAATAGCTCCGCCGGGTCCTCTCCTGCCTCCCTCCCTGCATGTGGGTCAGTGGGGAGGGAGGCTGAGAGCAGAGCCGGCGCTCAGATAGCGCCGGCTCTGCATGAGCCGACAGGGGAGATCCTGAGATCTCCCCTGCCGGTCTCAATATACATAGGCGTGCTGCGGGGATTAGGGTGTGCCCAGGCACACCCGGCACACGCCTATGGACACACTCACTGACACACACACACACACTAACACAAACAAAGGTGGCCGGCTCCTGGGCCCCCCAGGGGGAAGAGGCTGGCCCTGTGGGTACATACCGGGTCGCAGGGGCGGCCGGGCCCCCTGGTGGGCCGGGCCCGGTCGCAGCCGCGACCCTGGTATTTACGCCACTGTCTGGGGGGCCGCAGGTTGGACAGGCCTGTCATACAGTGTATGCTTACAGAGGTTAAAAGAAGTTCCATTTGTGCGTATAAGGTGGGAAGTGGGTTTATTAGAGTCATCTTTATAATAAATTATATATTTACTGTTTTTGGAGCTTATTTTATGTCAAAGTGAATCTGGAAGGCTCACTGAACAAAAAGCAAGAAATATAAATATTCAAGGCGCAATCTGCAGGTGGCTGGTCACATTCTTACTGATACAAGTTTTATATACGACTACTAACATTATTCCTAATCTAACACATGTACACAACACAAGGTGCTTTGTTAGGGTCTATTGCTATAAATAAAGATTTATAGTGCTGAAACGGGAGACAGATTTAGGGTCAAAATCACTGATCTGGAAAAGGTCTCCAAATTGAAAAATTTAGGTCTGAATTAAAACACTTCAATTTTTAACTGGAATATTTTTCCAGCACCACAATTTGTGCCTAAAATATACAATGTCAAATCTCCACAATCACCAGATTGTTGAGTAACTCTATTAGTGATTAATTCAAGTCTGGGCACAACAGAAATCCCCACTCTCAGTGCACAGTGTTAGATCGACGTAGTAAAGTATAATAAGAAGAAACTATTGTACAGTAATCCCAGTACACTGTCCTAAAATATGTATTTGTTCTATGAAACAGGTTAAACATAAGCTTCCTTGGCATACCCACTGGAGATCAGGCAGAGCATTAAAGACACATTGGCAGAAAACTGTAGTAAGATGGAAGCCAGATTCCAAAATTTAGGCTAACATAGCATCGAATTTTGCCTACGTTTTGTAATCAGGCTTTCCAGACACAAAACAAAATGCCGTTTCATGAATAAACCCCAATTGGTTTTAAATATGCAATAAAATTGGCCCTTGTCACAAACGAGACCCTTACAAGTGGCTATTCTCTTACGTCTGCAAACCAAACATACCGTTGATACAGTTACTGCCCCACATTATATGAAGTGCCAACGTGGAATAATTACCAATTTGCAGCCATTGAGGAGCCTGCAGTTTTCAGTAAATGAATGTGCTGCAGGGCTCATTGTCTTGGCACGGATTATCACCTTGCAGGAACTAGAAAATCAGGACACTTCCACAAACAAAACCACTGCCTCCAGACGTCCGTGTGCGTCATAACACTGGATGCAGGGCACAAGAGATATCTAGCAGACAGTTATATTGCGCAATGGAGGTTTTAATGAAAGCAGAATAGAAATCTCCTTTTTGATAGTTTCTCTATCGTCAAGTCCACTCAGGCTTACGTATGAACCAATGTTTGCCAAACGGAGACAATAAACATGGCTTTAACCATCACACATGAACAAGAGCACAAAGATGAATTTTCTGTGAGCACTGTAGAAGTACAACATTGAGCGCTCACCAGAAGCCAACATTAGACAGACCAAGGGCGTCAGTTTGATAAATGATGACTTGATGAAGACCGTTCATTGGTTGAAAAGCAGATGTGTGTTATAAAGGGGACTTTGTGATAATCGAGAAGGAAAGTACACTTGTGGATTTCGGTTAGCAATTGTTTTATAGAATCACCCCAAGATGTCTGTACGACACACACTCGCGCATTAGACCTCCCCTTTAGGAAAGCATTGAATCAATACTTTCCCATGAGGAAAAACCTGACGCTGGATGTCCTCATGCAGAGCGTGAGAATGTTCAGCGTCAGATACCGGACCAAAAGGTCCGTTTCAATCCAAGAAGCCCTCTAGTGGCTGTCTGGCAGACAGCTACTGGAGGCAGACTTAGAGCTGCAACGTAAACATTGCTGTTTGACTGGAACTGCAATGTTTAACATTGCAGCACTAAGTGCAAAAGGGACACTACACCCAGACCACTTCAATTAACTGAAGTGGTCTTGGTGCCTATAATGTCCCTTTAATCGGTTTGATATGGCTGTATGGAAATAAAATTAGAAAATTTGAGAGAAAAAGTACAACTTTAAAGTGATTAAATAGCTTTTAAAAGTAGATATAACATATTGATCGTTTTGTTGCAATGATGAATGGGATGTGATTTAACCCCTTAAGGACCAAATTTCTGGAATAAACGGGAATCATGACATGTCACGCATGCCATGTGTCCTTAAGGGGTTAAAAAGGTGATAAATCCACATTAAAGATAACAAGCAACTTCACAAAAAGAATCAATTTAAACCAACTTTCTAAGTCAGACTTTCAGTATGGATAGAATTTAATTTGCACCTGCCACCTGAGGCATCGTTATATATAGACATAAAAAAATAATAATAATTATATATAAACGTACTTTTTTTTATTATTTCAATGTAATATTAAAGGGGCAGGAATATAGGCATTACTTTGCCTTAAAGGGGCAGTCTAAACACCATGATCACTGCATTATTTTCATCACTAGCATTCTTACAGCTCCAACATTATCCCACAGAGCTTTACTTTATGCAAAAATATAACAGCACACATGCGGCGGTTCTGCCCCACTTTTTGGGATGGCATTAGGGAGCTGCTGTCACAGGTATTCAGTAGGCTGCTAGAACTAGACCCATGGACGTATTTCCGATCGAAACCAATGGAGAGGGTGACTACTACTGAACAGAAACTCCTTAGCTAAATATTAGTAGCTAGGAGGGCCCTAAAAATACAGATACGCCTTCTATAGAGAGTGTTCAGCATAAGATCAAGACACACTGACTGCATCTGAAAAGTTTGGCATCCCCGGGTGGAGTATATAAGACAATTGGGTTTTGGTCATTCTGGTTTGCAGGGGCTCCCGGTTCTCAGCTCTGAGGTGATCTCGCCTTTTCTCTTCTATTCTTATTCTCAATTCCTAGCCTTCCTTCTTATGCGTCAGTGGAGCTGAACCAATATCCACTATTTAACTGCGAAATGAAGGGTGTTATCGCTGATCCACTTTATTAGTACTTTAAAAGAGGAATGCAGGAGGACACAGAATTGCAATCTTACATTGTTGTCCACAGATATTGAAAGGATCTCTGTAAATTTGGAACATTTAAAGGTAATATGCTGATAATCATTGTGTGACAATTTTATCGTGTCACTTAATGTACAAACCTAAATACATACATAAACACACACACACAAAATTATACAGCCATAATTGAAAGTCAGGTTTATTGTGAAAAATGTACAGACTTTCATAGGTTTGCAATAAACACAAACAAAAGCAATTGAAATGGCTCAAGTGGTTTCCCCAAATTCAACCCGAAAATGCAACTTATGACTTCTCCAGTCTCAATTAATGAACCCCTCTATGGCAAGCATTGTTAGTGCTTCGTGGAGCACCACCACGCTTAACGAGCCACCACCACGCTTAACTGTAGGCAGAGTGTTCTTTTCAGCATATGCTTCATTCTTCTTCTTCCACACATACCGCTGATCCATTGGGCTTTTAAAGTTCCATGTTTGTTTCATCGCTACATAAAACAGAATCCCAAAACTTCTGTGGCTTATTTAGATTATTTTATGAATTTATATAGCGCCAGCAAATTCCGTAGTGCTGTACAATGGGTGGACTAACAGACACTTAATTGTAACCAGACAAATGGATGCACAGGAACAGAGAGGTTGACTGCCCTGCTCAATGAGCTTACATGCTTGAGGGAGTGGGGTATATTGACACAGAGGGTATAAGTTGGGGTAATGAAATAGGTTGTAAGAAAAGTATTCACTGAGAACTAAGGTTATTTTTGACAGTTGCAGGAGTCAAATTAAATGAAATAAAAAAACGTTAACAGTTTACACGATATGCTTTCCTGAAGTGTGTTTTCAAAGATTTTTTTGAAGGAGTGGAGACTGAGTGAAAGTCTAACAAGAGAAGGGAAGGGACTTACACAGAAAAGTATACAATAAAAAATATGTGGACACTGAATACACAAATGCCACAGAAATCCACACACCACTCTCTTAATCCCAAAACAGTGAATATATATAATACTTGCAAATACAGGGATATATACTAGTAGTGTTCCGTGTACTTGGACCCTATAATCACATAAAACAGTACATAGTGTAAACTGTATATGGAAATAATAATAAAAATATATAATGGATCCACTCACGAATTCTAGAGCCGTGCCAGGCTCTATGTTAGATGCCCAAGGGTGCCTATACAGGCTAGGTGCAGAGTCTTCACAATACTCCTCAAGGCAGAAGAGACAGCAAGGATGGTGTAAATAATGAATAGATTTATTGCAAATAAAAATTATAAAAACAACTGAACAAGTTGTATAAAAGAGTGCAAATAAGCAATATAATATATGCAGACGCGTTTCAACTCGATCAGAGTCTTCGTCAGTGCATAAGAAAGTCCATCCGGCTGATTCTCTTTAAGTGTACCGCTCATCTGGCTTATAAAAATAAAAATAAATAGAAAATAATAAATAATAAAGAATAAAAAAATAGTAAAATAAAAAATAGTAAATCAAAAATAATAAAAAATAATAATAAAAATAAATATAAATAATAAAAATAAAAAAATAAAAAATAATATATAAATAAAAAATAAAAAATAAATAAAAATTCCGCCCATGTGACCGGCAGCCAGATGAGCGGTACACTTAAAGAGAATCAGCCAGATGGACTTTCTTATGCACGGAGGAAGACTCTGATTGAGTTGAAACGCGTCTGCATATATTGCTTATTTGCACTCTTTTATACAGTTGTTTTTATAATTTTTATTTGCAATAAATCTATTCATTTTTTACACCATCCTTGCTGTCTCTTCTGCCTTGAGGAGTATTGTGAAGACTCTGCACCTAGCCTGTATAGGCACCCTTGGGCATCTAACATAGAGCCTGGCACGGCTCTAGAATTCGTGAGTGGATCCATTATATATTTTTATTATTGTTATTTCCATATACAGTTTACACTATGTACTGTTTTATGTGATTATAGGGTCCAAGTACACGGAACACTAATAGTATATATCCCTGTATTTGCAAGTATTATATATATTCACTGTTTTGGGATTAAGAGAGTGGTGTGTGGATTTCTGTGGCATTTGTGTATTCAGTGTCCACATATTTTTTATTGTATACTTTGTATCTAAGGTGTTGGGGAACACTTTTTCCACCACCACTTGTGTGTCTTTGTATTGTGTAAGCGCCATTCACTTATTTATTTTTTATTTTTTATTACACAGAAAAGGTGCAGCCCTAGAGAAATCTTGTAGGCGAGCATCAGATGTGGGAGTACAGACAGAGGATAGACTTAGGACTTCGGCAGAGCGCAGGGGCTTCAACGGGACATACTTGTGTATTAGGGAGGATAGGTAGGTTGGAGCAGCATTATGTAGCGACTTGTAAGCAAGCACCAGAATTTTAAATTGAGCCCTATATCTAACTGGAAGCCAATATAGGGACTGACAGAGCGGGGAGGTGTGGGAGGACAGGAAAATGAGCCTCGACGCTGCATTCATTATATTTTGCAGTGGCGCAGTCTGGGAACACGTAAGACCACTGAGAAGGGGATTGCATTAGTCAAGGCGAGAAAGAACAATGGCATGGACTAGCACCTTAGTCGCGTTTGATGTTAAATAGGGGCAGATGCGAGCTATGTTTTTGAGCTGACTTTTCTTGTGCTTTTCGATGAATAGTGGTGTATGTCTTGGAGTTCTGGCATGGAAACCTTCTGCGTTTAATACGTGCCTTACTGTGCTCACTGAAATCTCGGTGCCTGTTGCCACCAAGTCTTGCTGCAGGTCTTTTGCAGTCAGTCGAGGGTTTTTCACAACCTGCCTTCTCAGAAACCTAGTTGCAGCCATTGATAGCATCCTTTTTCTGTCCCATCCAGGTAGTATAACCACTGTTTCTTCATCTTTGAACTTGCGAACTATGCATCAAAGGGTGTCTCTAGGAATATTCAGTGCCTTTGCCATCTTTTTGTATCCAGTTCCTTGTTTGTGAAGGGCTTTGATCTCTTCTCTTAACTTTGTGGTCCATTCATATTTCTAACATGCAGTCAAAAGTGACACTAAACAAATCCCAAGCCAGTTCAGATATTTCAAGTGTTCCAGCTCAAGTACACCTGGTGCTTGTAATGAAGTTAATTAGTTGCATCAGGTGTGCTTGAGACAACACCTGTTTTACATATTTGTGCTGTTGTGAGGGATTCCATTCAGGGGGTTGAATTATTTTAAAATTGGAGAAGTCATTATAAGTTTCATTTTCAGTTGAATTTGGGAAAGCCACTGGAAGCATTCGTTGTGTTGAACTATTTTAATTGCTTTTGTTTGCTTTGTTCATTGCAAACAGCGGAATGTCTGTAAATTTTGACAATATGCATGATTTTCAATGAGCTGTTGAATAATTTTGATTGCAACTGTATGGAAATATATACATATATAAAAAATGCAAACTATAACAAATGTTAATAGGAGGCAATCTCTCTGATGTTGGAGAGTAGTGATAAGAAGTGTAACATCACCTTTGCCCCTGAATGAATCTAAATAACAAGACTGGACTGCATATGATAACTTAGACAAATCATTGTACCAAACTGCACTGAAAATAGAGCTGAACATAAGGAAGGGTTATAGGTTGCCACAATGCTTGTAGAGTCCAATTGGTGTTTCAAATTAAGCCTTCAGTTCACAGCAATTGACAGTTTCATAACTTGAATCCCTTTTTTATTTAACATCTTCACTGCCTTGGAAACAGGCAATGGAAAATAATAAAATTATTATTTTTTTTTTAAATCCTCCTTTGCTTCTCTCCACCTACCAGGCTTCTATCTTAGACAGGTAGCAGAGGGTTAGGTATACTTCTTAGTACACACTAGTAAGGTCGGTAGTTTCCTAGGGACACGTTAGCGGTGTGTACTTGGAATGGACCTGAATATGTTACTATTCAGCCAGGAAATACTAAGGGCAGATGAAGATCTAACTTTGATATTACAGACCTTTCCCCTGCACAATTACCAGTGCAATTTAACAAACACAAAAATCTGTGTGAAATGATCAGGAGTCGAACAGAAAGCTCATTGCTCCACGATACTAAACTAAACTAAACTAAATCCGTTCTAAACACCTCGTATAACGGCCACAGAATGGATTGTTAAACCGCTTCACATAATCCAGGTTTGTACAGGAAGAATTTCAGCACCCCATATTTATTACAAGCACATTCAAAGCAACATCTCAACCCTCTAATAGCCGGAATCTTAAACTCTATCCCCCAGATGATGATGGCCTACGACTCCCATAACTCTTTGAATGCAAGAGATGGTTGGAGAATCATGGGATTTGTAGTTGACCAACATATGGGGGGTGGGGGTCAGAGTTTGAAATTAATGCTCTAAGGCAGGGGTTCCCTACCCAGTCCTCAAGTACCCCCTACCAGTCCAGGATTTAGGGATTATTACACTGTTGTGTCTTAAGTGTTTTTTTTTTTTTTCTTTCTTTCTAAAAACTACCATAGACACAACTGGGTAATCCCTAAATCCTGGACTGTTAGGGGGTACTTGAGGACTGGGTTGGAAACCACTGCTCTAGGGGGTCGTTTTCAAATCATTGGGTGAATAAGTGAATTGAGCATGTGTGACAGGAACAGGTACATCCAATTTGCCCAATGCTGCTTTACACCGAAATAGTAAACAGACAGATAATATACCGTTTCTCCTGGATACAGACATGATCAGTCAATGCATTTAACATGTGACCTACATTCATAAAATAATGCATAAAATACATTGAAGGATTGTTTAAAAAAAAAACAAAAACAGCAAAGACATTTAAATGTGAAGACATTTATATTAAAGAGGTCTCATAACGAGGTCAATTAATGAGTTTGCTCATTCATGTATTGTAATTATCAAACAAGTGATAAAGTGCAATAAGTGAATAGAAGGTGCTTAAAAGTCATTTAAATATTGTAAAATCAACAGCAACCATATAAAGTGCAAAGACTCAAATACGCTCACATTCAATAATGAATGCATATACAAGGTGCGTTGCACATGTACTGCGGTGGATACCTGCTTATTACACGTTGTGGTCACACAGAATTACATTAAAACACCAAATAACGTGTGTGTATATATATATATATATTTTTTTTTTTTTTAAAAGGCACAGTGCACCTTATATTTCTATCATTGTAATTATCAGTGATTATAGTTTAGATTGTAAGCTCATGGGCTTCTAGCATAGTACCCTGCATGAGGTAAGTATCAGTGCAATAAGTTCTATATCCCCCTGTCTGTATAATACAAACATTTTGCAAATACACTCTAGATAAGAGAGGTGCACAAGAAACGTGGAAAGAACAATCCAAGAGTCATACTGACTACAATGCGCTGTAGTGGCTATGGTAGCAAGAGCGCCCCCCTCCATTGTAAGTAGCCAAAAAAATTTAGACTGAAATTACTTCTTCATCTTGGGTCTCCCGGACGCTGCTCACTGCCTCCAATACACCAGACAGAGAGCTGGAAGCTTCCGATTACGAGAGTGTCTGGAGAGCACACTCAGCCTTTGAGCCAAGCCCTGCACCGCCAAGCTGAGCTCTGACAGGGAGCGTCAGTCTCTCTGTCTGAGTTAGCAGAAAGCAGAGGACCCCCGACCCCAGATTTTAAAACAGTTTGACTATTTGCATTGGGAGGGCACCAGGGCCTGCTAAAGCCTTCAGCCACTGCAATGGCTGCACCATTTTGCCATAATGCCAACCTTTCCATCCAGTCCTCCTTCCTCAGTCTCGCAAGTTGCTTTTTCTTCACTTCCAAGTGCCACTTCAGATTTAGATCTTGTCGCATAATATGGGAAGATAATGGCGCCACAATCTTCAAGTTACTTTTAGTATCATCTTGCTCTACAAATAATTGAGTCAATGTGATAAAAGGGGTCAAATGTAAAAACTAGACATATGGGGGAGGGCTGTACTAGGAACTAGTAGAGTAGGGGGACAGAGGGAGATTTAAAAAAAAAAATTAAAAAAAAAAAGGCGGTGGGATGGCCATTTAGAGTCATGCAGGAGTCAGGCCATACAAAGCCGCTTTAAAGAGGGGTGGTGACCAAAAGACCTCCCTCCATGCAACATAAAGAGATTTATTTTTTCCCTCACCCTTCCAGGTGGTATTTTGTATAGTCCAGGTCCTCTACCAGAGACTTGAGAGTTCTGCACAGTATATATATATATATATATATATTCCAAAGTGGCAACGGCTGCTCTCTGGTTTTAAAAAAAGTTTTATTGAATCATAATAAAAGCAATGACCAACGTTTCAGTCCCAGCTCGGGACTTTCCTCAGGGTCCAAAAAACAGAATAACAAATACCATGAATACAAATCCTAAATATATACCTATATATTTAAAATTAAAACTGCCATCACCACCGGGATCGCCGGACTTCCGGGTATGCGCGCGCACCCGCATGCTTACTCCTCCCACCCCACGTGCTGACGTAATACGTCCAATCACCATGGAAACATATACACGAACATCTCAACACCGTGGCAACTGAATGCGGTGGGACTTTGGACGTGAGTGCAGGGGATTTTCGAATTTTTATATATATATATATATATATATATATATATATATATATATATATATATATATATATATATATATATATATATATATATATATATATATATAGTATATTTTGACTGATGAATTGTAGGTAAAATTCGCTTGGCTAACACTATAGCTCCGTCTATTACTAAAAAAAAATAAATAAAAAAAAAATCACACTCTACTCGAAGTAAAATAGTCCCCCACCTCTTATGTATAAACAAAACAACAACACACACACATTAACACTAAAGTGAATTTAAAATAAATATAGGCAGATTTTTAAAAATCTATAAAAATCCCCACATAACATGACGTGGTCAAAGAACAGCAAACTATTGGTATGCGCAGTGATCCTGGTAGATCTTTCACAGAAGGCAGTGGACCATCTGAGGTATTATGGCTTCCTATGGAGGATTAAGGCAGCATGCGCCCAACTAAACACTCAGGTACTGCAATTAGGAAACAGTCTAAATTATACAATGGGAGGTACAGAAAAATGGGGCTAACCTCTGGTTGAAAAACATGGATATTGCTTCTTTCATTTGCTTTCACATGTGTTTCAATGTCACTCCCATCTACAAAAAAACGCTATAAGGAACATTTTCGAATTCCTAGAAAAATTCTGCAAAACAAACATTCAGATGAAAATATATTTTTGCAAAGTGTTTTAATGTATTATTGAGGGCTAACAGCGTGCCCCAACGGTGGGGAGGCAAAATCTGAGGGTATACGCTACAGCAGACTCTGACAACTTTCTTACAGCAGAGGGCATCCATCCAGCCGAGCACCTCCACCTGACAAGTGTTGGTGGTGACATCCCAAGCCAGCTAGGAACTCCACTAGCTAGAGTAACGGTCTGTTTCTCTTATGTTTTCTTTTAGGTTTATGTTATCCTGATTTATTCTTCGATTGTTATACTTTAATATAGTCTTAAATATTGCCCTTTTTCAGGTCATACTGTGTCAGATGTGTTGAAAGTTTTACAAAGCCTAGTATTTCGGTGTACACAAACAGCTCTGTGCACTGCAACAGTCTCCACTGTACTGTAGAAGATATTGCTGCTTTATTACTTATTCAAATTGAATAGATGTATACCAGTGCTGTACGGTGTGTCCCTAAATGCAGAGAACGGAAAGAATGAATAAAAACAAATAAAACATTTTTATAAAATTAGCAACCAAACACTAATGTATTTCAATCTCACAAAAACAGTGATACACAAAATCAGAAAAAAAGGGGTTATATATAAAAATAATTATGCAATTTCCAATATAAAATTGTTCTATTTGGTTATATTTTCACCTTGGGCCCAATACAGTATGTGTCAAGCTCTCTAAATGGGCTTTACACAGGAGAAGAAAATGGGGGATATTTACAGCTCACTATTCAGAGAACAGGATTTCAACAAAGTAAAGCCTATTTGCACCTAGTTTTATTCATTATATGTAATAAAATAAATTAAATTAATAATAATAATTGCAGACTTTTTCTGTTTTGCACAGGGAAGAGTTTCTGGTGGGAATCTTTGTATGCATAAGCACAGACACTAATCTTGTTCTAAATAACTTGCTGAACTTACTACATGGAAACCATTTTATTTGTGACCCCCATGGCAGAGATAGTGGAGCATTTACATAAAAAACAAAAAACAAACAAACACTGTATTGTATACATACATACATACATACACATACACTGAAGGTGATGGACTGGCCAAGCACGTCTCCAGACCTAAACCCTATTGAGCATCTGTGGGGCATCCTCAAATGGAAGGTGGGGTAGCGCACGGTCTCTAACACCCACTAGCTCTGTGATGTTGTCATGGAGGAGTGGAAGAGGACTCCAGTGGCAACCTGTGAAGCTCTGGTTAACTCCATGCCCATGGTGGTTAAGGCAGTGCTGGAAAATAATGGTGGCCACACAAAATATTGACACTTTGGGCCCAATTTGGACATTTCCACTTAGGGGTGTGCACACTTTTGCGGCCAACGGTTTAGACATTAATGGCTGTGTGTTGAGTTATTTTGAGGGGACAGGAAATTTACACTGTTATACAGGCTGTACACTTACTACTTTACATTGTAGCAGAATGTCATTTCTTCAATGTTGTCACATGAAAAGATATAAAATATTTACAAAAATGTGAGGAGTGTACTCACTTGTGAGATACTGTGTGTGTATAATATATATATATATATATATATATATATATATATATATATATATATACACACACACACACACACACACACACACATATACATACATACACACACACACACACACACCTCACATTTTTGTAAATATTGAATATCTTTTCATATACATACACACATGCCAAGGAATCCATGCATAAAGTGGAATTATGAGGCAAAAATGTGGTTCTTTGTTGAGTTTATTTGCTTATGCCTACCCAGAATCCCTTGCAGTAATGAGAGCACTGTTAAAGTGAGATTTCTGTGGGAAAAGCAAGTCTTATGGCTTGACTGGTGTGTGTATTTGTGTTTAGCAAAGTATTATATATTTCCCCAATAAATGTACTGACCTGGATATTTAAATGTTTATTTGAAAATATTAGGAGTTTTATTTATTTTTTTTAAAATCAAGTGCACAAAATCTTTTCAGTGACTAGGTTAAAAAAATCTTTGTCACTATCATAGTGTCCTGGCCCACAGACCAATGATCCTTCGTTACAACCCCCAACTCCTCACAACCTTTTTTGACCCAGGGACCGTTGCAACTCAACTTTTCCAATGTTGTGCTGGTCACGCAGGGTCTTCGGTCACTGTATTGCCATCTTTGAGTTTCTAAGAAGGCGGTGGACAGAAATGCCATCTTCTGTCCTTCCTTAGGTGTGCGCATTAAATAATAAACTTCCCATGGACCTGTATTGACCTCCACAACCACTTGAGTGGAAACAGAAGGCCCACGACCTGCAGTCCCAAAGGTGGAATGCTGGAAGAAGGCAAGTACAAGTTGGCGAACCAGTTACAAAGGCCGCAGAACTTAACTAAAGCTCCATCCTTTGTCAACTTTTGCCGACCTACAGGTTAAACATTAGGAAAGTATTCCCTACCTTTCCTTATGTATTCATTTGATAAACGTTGTAAAATAAAAAACAGGGAGAGCGAGCTTTAAGTGCAATTAAAAATATTATGTTTTAGAAGTATTACTTAATAAACGGACACATTGTGGTTAAAAACCTAAAGCTAGTTTTAAAAGGGAGTGAAATATTGTGCATTTAATTTATATAAGTCAATGTAACCCACCCTGATAAGTTATTAACTGGCGTGCAGATATTTGTTTTATTATTTTATTTTAACCATGCATTAGATAGAACAGAAACGTTATCAGGGATCACTTTCATCCAATGGTATATAGCCAATTAACCCTTTGTGGGTCACCTAGGATTAATCCGATCAGCACCAGGTAGTTTTTGTAATGAATAAACTAAAATCATGCATGCAGACACAGATCCTCTGTCCCCAATAACTCCCCAGTAAACCACCCAATCTTAACCCTTTCATTGCCAGTCCTTCTGCACTGCATTGGCAGCTCACTAAATATGTTGTCACCCATCCCACGTTAACACAATCAGTGCCAGGGAGTAAATAGTATAAGCATGCCATCATGATCCCACAGGATGCCAAGTGATCCTGAAATACCCCATCAATGCCAGCACGTTATTCCTTTCAATGAATTAGCAATGCCAATGATCCCCTTCCTGAGCCACCATGTGTAATGGTTGCGGTTTTAACCCTCTCGTGCCCTTGGCAGAATGGGCATGCTTTGCTCCCATGTGATAACCCAGTTAACCCCCGCAGTGCCGGGCCCTGAGCGGATGGAGGTGAGGGGCAGGAAGATCGTGTCTTATCAGCTGCTTCCTCCTCTCATCCTAACTGGTGGGAACCTGTTCTACCCGGCCTGGGCGAGCACCTCCCGCGCGTCCCCGCCTACCCGTGCTCGCGATGCGCGTGCCCACGCCTTAACCCCTACACTGCCGCCATGCCGGCCGGAGCCGCAAAGAAAGGGTTAATAACACCTGACGCTCTGTCCTTCCCCAAGGTTCGAATTCCTGACACTTTGTATCACAGTGAGTGTCTCTGTGCCAGCGGGATGCCATCCCAGGGAGCAGCATACCCACTGCTGGGCAATAAGGGCAGGAGACTGGCACACAGCAACTACAGTTTCCATAGTGATGCCATCTGTGAAATAAATACTGGTGGGTCTTACGGCCACCCTTCATCACTGGCACACGTGGCAAGCTCAGAGCAATAGGCATCAGAGGGTACAAGGTGAATTTGCCACCTGTAATAGTTTGCCAGCCTTGGGCAGAGCTCACATTTTACAGGGCATGGATGGGAGGAAGCTGGTATGATGGTAGAATAACCATCATTTTCTACAGATAATAATATTTAGATTTATTAAATAAATGCAATAATAAATAATGCCAGCTGCCTGGGAGCAGTAGAAAGTATGAAGTGGCAAGCCCTGGCTGAACCCATGCTGATAAACCTAATCTTATTTTCTAATAACCTCACACATCTCCATCAAGTTAATCTTCAACAAGTAGACCTCAGACAAACCAAGAGGCACTTCTAAATTTCAATGGAATCTGAATAGATCTCATTATCATGGCTAATATTCCCAGATCAGGCACTGTGTGCCCTCTTGGCAGTCCCTGTGTAGAGCAATATGAAATGCCCTGCCTGTACCCCTGGCAGCCTGCGCCCCTCTTGTCTTGGCCAAAGAGCCTACAATCTACTGGCAATGAGCAGATTGTAGTGGAGCAGGTTGTGGAGCTTTGACAAAGGTTACAGATACCCTGTAACAGGGCACTGGGCTAATTAACCCCTTAAATGGCCGTGACAGGGGAGGAAGAGGGGTAACTCCAGGGTTTAACCCATTATGTGGGGATTTGCAATGGGTTAATGAACAGTGTGAAATCCCTGATGGGTGTAAGCGCGTGCACTCTGTCAATGCGCGCCCCCGTGTGTCCCATGCGCGCCCCCGACGTAGTCAGACCGGCTAAAGCCGGTACATATATAAACGGAGGCTGAGTGCTGAAGTCAGGACAAGCTGGAGCTGCTATGGGTGTGAGACAGGGTAACTGAGCCATGCTGCCTGGCTGAGTGTGAGCAAGAGCACTCACCCTCTGACTGTGAGTACAGATTCACATTATTATTATTATTACACACCATACTCAGCACCACTATACAGGGGGCAGTGAGCCATGCTGCCACAGTGACCAAGGGCACCCACACTCATTCCATTGTAAAGGGACGCTGGCTGAGTGCACCCTCTTACTCAGTGTAATTGTATATGGGGACAGAGATACATGCTGTCACCCATCTCACATAACTGGGGCGGAGTGTGAGTGCACCCTCTTACTCAGTATGATTATATATGGGGACAGGGATACATGCTGTCACCCATCTCACATAACTGGGGCTGAGTGTGAGTGCACCCTCTTACTCAGTATGATTATATATGGGGACAGAGATACATGCTGTCACCCATCTCACATAACTGGGGCTGAGTGTGAGTGCACCCTCTTACGCAGTATGATATATGGGGACAGAGATACATGCTGTCACCCATCTCACATAACTGGGGCTGAGTGCGAGTGCACCCTCTTACTCAGTATGATTATATATGGGGACAGAGATACATGCTGTCACCCATCTCACATAACTGGGGCTGAGTGTGAGTGCACCCTCTTACTCAGTATGATATATGGGGACAGAGATACATGCTGTCACCCATCTCACATAACTGGGGCTGAGTGCGAGTGCACCCTCTTACTCAGTATGATTATATATGGGGACAGAGATACATGCTGTCACCCATCTCACATAACTGGGGCTGAGTGTGAGTGCACCCTCTTACTCAGTGTAATTGTATATGGGGACAGAGATACATGCTGTCACCCATCTCACATAACTGGGGCTGAGTGTGAGTGCACCCTCTTACTCAGTATGATTATATATGGGGACAGGGATACATGCGGTCACCCTCTGAACAATAATTCACCCATCTCACATTACACAGAACTGGGGCTGAGTGAGTGCGCCAGCAATGTCATCTCGGGATCACTATATAGGGGACAGTGAGTCAGGATGAGTTGAACTCAATGGGACTATTTCTTATAAGGTCCAGGGTAATTATCAACCTCTATAGGGCACCCAGCGTGACTAGCCCATTTTACAAACTGGCACCCAATGTAACTAGCCCATTTTACAGCAGGCACCCAGTGTGACCAACTCATTTTACAGCGGGCACCCAGTGTGACCAACTCATTTTACAGACTGGCACCCAATGTAACTAGCCCATTGTACAGACGGGCACCCAATGTAACTAGCCCATTTTACAGACTGGCACTCAATGTAACTAGCCTATTTAACGGCGGGCACCCAGTGCGACTAGCTCATTTTACAGCGGACACCAAGGAGGACCAAGTGTGACTAGTCCAAGTCATTGGGGGATCCAGAGTAACTAGCTAAGTTTGTGGAGGGCATCCAGTGTAACTAGCTCATTTTATGTTGGCATGGTGATCCTAATTTTATAGACTTTCGATATTTATAAAATATGTATGGGTCTTGTAATTTCAATTTTGAAATACATTATAAGCAATAAAATAAAGTTTGTATGTGTCTATATACGTTTCACTAAACATAGCTAGACATAGGAGACAGCATGGCTGAAGTATGAGCAAAGTACGAGGCTCGCCCATGGAGCTCAATGTAAAACTCTCTGTTTAGGAGCCTGGGAAGAGGCTCGTCCATAGAGATCTAACTAAACAATTTAGGAGAGTGGAGCTCTATATAAAACACTTTAGGGAAGATCTGTGGAGCACTATGTAAAAAACAAAACAAAAAAACACTCCATTAAGTAATATGGGAAGAGGTTAATCTGTGGACCTCTGCGTTTAGGAGCCTGGGAATAGTAAAATAATGCATTCAGGAGCCTGGAAAGTTTAGCATCCATAGATTTTTAAAAAATTTATTTTAGAAGCCTGGAAGAGTCTTTATAGAAGATATGAAGTTAGACAGAGAGTGCTTTATACAGCTTTACATACTGTATTTTTTTTCTTCGGAGCCGGTTACAGGTGCATCCATAGACTATGTAATATACACTGTGTGGGAATCAAAGCTTTTTCATAGAAATTTAATTTTTAAAAACAAAACAAAGAACACTGTATTACCCAGGAAGCCATAAATCATTTATATAAAAAATTCTCCATATATCAGCACGCTTGCCAAGCAATAATATAAATCGTACAGATTTCTCACACGGCTTTATTCCATTCCTGTTTTTGCAATATATATATATATATATATATATATATATATATATATATATATATATATATATATATATATATATATATATATATATATATATATATATATAATTTGCAAAAACTTTAAACTGCTCAAACTGAGCAGGAATGGAATAAAGCGGTCTGAGAAATACACACACACACACACACACACACACACAAAATAAGGGAGGGTTTAAAAAAAAAAAAAAAAAAGTGTTATTACACACATTTATTATTTGAAAGAATTCTTGTTAAACATTCCCAGTAAAATATATATTACTGTAATAGAGCGTAGCTCATTCAAATGCCCATTAACAAGTGCACAGACATTTCCCAATTATATTCTTTAAGGAGAATTCTGGGTGCATGCTATTTAGATAGCGTAGGGTTTATCTTGGGTGGTAACACCCTTAAGACTTCCCGCCTTCTGTATTTTTTAGTAGATCTACGCAGAGCACACTGGAAGGGTTAAAGGTAAGATTGTGTACAGGGGTACTTGCTGCAGTGGCTTGGAAGGATCAGTGCGCAGTGTGCGGAGTCGGGTGTACAAGAAAGGTCTGCAGAGAGATGATGTAACCAAGATTTTACTCTTAAGTCGTTTTGTGTTAGTGCATATAACCTAGTGATGGATTCTAGAGTTAGTCATATGATTTTTATATTAGGGTTATCAAAACTAAACGAGATCTGTTATAAGATATCGCCATTCATACTAGTCAATGCTGCAGTGTGAGTGTGTTGATAGGATAGCTTTATTTGTTTTAACTCAAAACAGTGGACTGGTTTTCTCCCCCCCTTAAAAAAAAAAAAAAAAAAAAAAAAATCTATTTTAATATATAGTTATAAACTATCAATTTCAGTAAACTTGGAATCTATAATTTCTTATTTAAATAACGTGCACTTAAAGTGACAGGCTCTATAAAGATGGTCATTGGGGTAAAATGTTTCTGGGAAAATATTTCTTTAAGGCGGCAAACCTTGCTAATATCATGTAATTGACGTTCTAGTTACCCAAACCAGGTATTAGCTAATTGTGCAGCAAAACAATGTAGCTTTCCAAAAAACAAAAAAAAAAGTGTCCATTGGTATGCTTGCTCTTGCATTAATGGGTTAAACCTGGCTATCTTTCCTGTCCAGTCATTTACAAGATGCTGGCATAGGGCTTAACCAATATGGTTATCTGACTTACTAAAAGCTTAACGGTCATGGCTTTAAACTCAGATAGTTTTGATAATAGATGTTTGAAAATAAACTTCTCTTTATAGACATTTTAGTCGTTTTTGCATTGAATACTCCATATGAGAAACAAACACAATGAATGAAGACAAGCCTTCAAAAAAACTCAATTTAAAACCAAGCATATCGACTAGTACCTTGAGTACTGTACATTGTCTGCATAGTGTATGTACCTGACAAACCGGTACACTGTATAGCACCAGTGATGGCTATAAACTACATTCCTGAGCTCTCGTGCTGGCTGAGAATCGCAGAACGTTCTGAAGTTTCAAGGTCAGCAATCACTGGTGGTAATAAATGCAATGGTGACAGATGTTTCAGAACTTTTCTCTTCTCCCAGACACACCACAGACCAATACAATGCTTGTCAGAGAACCATTGGGGACCTACGGTGACCAGGCATAATTTAGGATCTGCAGGTAATAAGGCAGTAGCTGTTAACATTTCCCACCAACAGGATGTCAAGTCAGGACAGATGCATGGCATACAATATTTGGCACAAGCCTTATATTAAAAAAAAAAAAAAAAAAAATAGATTTACCCTTCAATCAGGGCAAAAGCAACATTTTGTTATCCACACGGTACATATTTTATACTATAATCAAAAAATCTAATCGGTGTTCCACAAGTATAATAAAAAAAATGAAAAATAAATACAAAAAAAAAACTGGCTTTTTAAAATTTTATTTATTTACATCCTGCAGCAGTCACCCACAGTACTCCTGTAGAAGGCACTCTACGAGGCAGGTACAATGAGGCACAAGCAGGCAGCACCCCACTTGTTCAAACCCCATCCAAGCTATAAATCTGGTGTGGTGTTAAAGATCTAGCCCCCTCTCCCCCCCCGCCCAAAAGTCAGGCAGATTAGTAGTCTTATTCTGTCTATTAAACTATGTGTCTGCCAGTGCAATAACCTCATCCCCCATCCCCTCCAGGTGGCAGTACCACCGAGCTACCTGCTCATATCATCATAACTGTTAAATTAAAGGAACACTATAGTGTCAGTAATACAATACAAATACACCTGACACTAAAGTGCTGGGATGCAGCTTTAGGTCCCTGTCTCACCGAATATTAAAGGTGAGTTAACTCACCTTTACTCCCATGCCGCGCCGGTCGCGCTGTGGCTGGTCCCACCTCCGTGTCCGAGCTCAGCCATTGGAATCTTTTCCCATAGGAAAGCACTGGGTGGCTATTTCCCATGGTGCGCCAATCAGCATCTCCTCATAGAGATGCACTGGATCAGTGCAGCTCTATGGGGGAACATTCAGTGCGTCCATGCAAAAACGACGGTGCAGCACTGATATAGGAAGCCCCTCTAGTGGCCGTCTAAGTGACTCAAAAGTCAGTATTTACAGTGCTAAGTCTGCAGGGGCAGGCTATAGCTGTAGTGGTTCTGGTGACCATAGGGTGTCTTTAAAGGGGGGGGGCACACACCTCCAAGCAATCTCTACAGTTCTAGTCTAAATGGAGTGTCAGCTCCTATTTATAAACAAACATTTTCTGCCCAAAAAAATAAATAAAAGTAAATCACCCAAGAGTGTTCAAAAAATTTTTTTTAAAAAAATTCCACTTTTGATTAAAAATAAATAAAGGTTTTACCCACATTTCAGCTCGAATACACATAATATATCAGGAGCGAGATCGTAGATAATTATTCTTTCGTGAGATTTTACGTTTACAGAGATGCAGTCCTTCTACACGCTACGCCAAGACCCCCAAACAGAGGTCATGTCATAGGATTGGGAACACCATTCTAAAGATAGCTTGGTCTAACCAAGATCTCACGTTTCCTTCCCATGTTTCTAAGTTATCTAGAGATCTCCAATCTTTTTAAACCACGCCATCAAGTAAATTAGTGCACATGTTAAACATACCATATCTATCAATCACATCCTTTCCCAAAGAGTTTAAACATTTCAGGTCTTACAGTACTAGCCAGGCCATCAAAGTTACATGCCAGAGCAAGCCTTGAGAGTCCATGTCACACTCACTGCTCACCAGGGCTAAATATTCACTCTCCCCGCCTTGCTCTGTACATTGCTTACACACAGTGTAAATGATTCATTTTAAAGTGCACTCACCTAGAATACGAAGAAGAATGTGCTAAACGTTTGCTTCTTTTGAAATTGCACAAGTCCGTATTCATTCTGAAGTCTTATTTTCCTTTCTAATTTATGTTTAGAAACCTGTTGATATAGTTCAAATTCATGTCATATTAGAGGGACAGCCATATGAATAACTCTTCTATGCAACATCACACAGACAGAAATTAGTATGTAAAAAAAGTTACATCAACTACATGCGCTGAAAATATTAAAAAGGTACATTGATTAGCAGCACTTTTCAGCCAAGCAGAATATCAGCTAGATTTGAAATCACAGGCTGTTGCTATAATACAGACGAGCGTCAGGTTCTTCCTCCCACCTACTATAAAATAGACTTCCTGGAGACAAAAATATCAATTTCTGTTTAGGAATGTCTGTCTCTTTAAGTTTTACAGTCATCTTGGTTCTGGATATAAAGAGATACGTAATGGAGAAGAATGTATCTTTTTCAGAGAACTTAATTTACTAAATACTGTTTAACCCAGTCTGTGGATTATGTTTAATTAGATGTACTATCTGACTTTGTCCTCAGGGCGAAAATGACAGCCATGGAGAAGTGCACCAGCGCCAATGTTTATACCAAAGTGCCTGATGGCGGCTGGGGCTGGGCGGTTGCCGTGGCCTTTTTCTTTGTGGAAGTGTTTACGTATGGAGTGATCAAGTCGTTTGGAGTTTTTTTTAATGAGCTTATGGTCTACTTTGACGAAAGTAACAGCAGGATATCATGGATCATTTCCATCTGTGTGTTTGTCCTTACATTCACAGGTAGGCATTGCAGGGAAGAGATCTTTACTGGCTAAACTATCTGCCTTATAACGTGCCAAGAACCATGAGACTAGTTCTAAGGGATGAATTTCGAACATTAACTATGAGATCCTTTAAGGTCCTCTTGACATGTACAAAAATGCATTTTAAGCGATTTGACCGAATTAAATTCCTGGTGTTCGGCAAACTCGATCTGCCTATTGAGAAGGTATTTATATCTCCTAAAAGCAAAAAAAGGAAGTGCCAGATTCTAGCCTCCTCTTCTTGTTCATCTTCTGTAGACTCTGCCCTCTCCTCATACAAAGAAAATGGTTTTCCAAATGTGAGTCTTCTTAGACTTATTAGAAGTACAACTCTGTATGGAAATAAGGAATTGACAAAGAATCAGGACTGTTCTTGTGCATGGCCTCTAATCTGGAGGGACAAACACTGCTTCTATGGGTGGTACGGACGATGTAAACCCAGATTAGTGACCATTTTAGTTTTAAAGATGGGAATAGAAGACTTTGCTCACTTATGTTAAATAAGGAAAGATGAAAACAGTCAGGTTACCAGGAATAAAATGCCCACAGTGGTATTTACTACTCAGATTTTAAGGTGAAGCTCTTCCAGTTTAATGACCTTGGTCTTAAATTCACTTTGAATTCTCACGTTAATGAATCACCCGGTCAGAACTTATTGTAGATTCACTCCAGAAAAGGTTGAAGGGTTTATATTTGCTGAACTAGGAATTGTGGGAATTGGCAAGAGAATGGCAAAATCTTGACATGCTGCTTCTTTGGTCTAAAATGCTCATTGTATCGTCTTCACCCCACTTTGGTGAATAAACCCCTGACATTGGATACTTGGTGGGTTTTTTTTAGCACTGAAACTAAAGTACCATTTGTTTAATTTCAGCCCCTTTGTCCACTGTACTGAGCAATCGATTTGGACACAGGCCTGTAGTCATGGTTGGAGGATTTCTCATTGGTTTGGGCATGATTCTAGCCTCATTTGCACGCAATGTCATAGAAATGTACATCACTATTGGCGTGGTGTCAGGTAAGTACCTTTTAAGAAAATATTATCTCCAAGAATATTTCCAAGTGTCTCTCCATTACATTTCTACTAGGAAGAGCTCTAACACTCCTTGTTCATATTACAGTACTGTGAGTTGGCTCATGTTATGACTACATTACCAAGGTTTTTCTATAGGATATTTTAAAGGGATACCCCAGATCCCTTACTGAAGCTGTGTCCTTTCACTCCCTCCACTTTACAAAAATATGCATATTTCAATAAATAATTGTCACTTTTTATAAATCGACCTTGTTCGATTCCCCCTGGCTGTCAGGCAAACAATCCTGTTACTGCTTGGCTGTTTAGCTCATTTGCCTAAAGCACCTGCCTTGCAAAGACTTCTCATTGAACTGCATTGGAAAGTCTGTAAGTGGCAGCCACAGACAGTCTGGGTCGGATTAGAAGGGGCAGGTTTGCAAAGGCTGCAGACAAGAGAACTGCAGTTTTTGCAAGCTGTTTACACACACACACACACACACCACACCCCCCCCCCCCCTTCTAATGGGAAGGGAAAAGCATAATTGAAAGCAGGCATGTTTTCCTTGGGGGGGTAGATCTACTAAGCAGATTTTTCTTCATTTTATTATTTGGGCAATGGAGTGTCCCTTTAAGACAGACTTCCCCAAACTCCGGCCCTCCAGATGTTTCTGAACCACAACTCCTATGATTCTCAGCCTATTTCATTCATAGAATCATGGGAGTTGTAGTTCAGCAACATCTGGAGGGCCAGAGTTTGAGTAAGCCTGCTTTAAGACATGGAGATGGACATCGGATTTCACTGAGAAACACTCACCTACACTGAGCAGGGGGTTCAGATAACTTCTCTTACTTATTTATGGTCTGACTCACACGCATGTATTGTATTCACAGCTACACCCAGTCACTAAAGTGTGTGACAGTGATGTTGCTAGCAAATACAGAGATTAAAAAGATGAATAGATTTAACCATTAACACTTTGTGGTCCATGCACCGGTGTGTGCGCATTGCATTCTGGTTTTGACCTGAGCACATTTTACTGACCAGCGCAGTCCTTTTGCTTGTAGTATAAAATATCTGTGGATAAGTAACAGTATGAATGAGGCTAGTATAACAGAATATGAAACTATATTTACTGTAGTATCAATTTAAACAATTGATTTATACTTTATATTTTTTAGATTAAATGGGATTCAATCTTATCATTTTGCATGAAAGCTGCATTCTATATTTTCTTAAATAATAGCAGCAGAGATACGCAACTATTAAATACGTTGTTAGTTGTAAAAGGAAAAGTCCCATGCTCCTTTGCCAGCTGAGTTTTCAACCCAAGCTATGGTATGGGTTTTGTAATGTGATGACTATATTAAAGGCACATTCTGAGCACCAAAAACACTTCATCTTAAAAAGGGACACCATAAGCATCAAAACCACTGCATTACAGTGTACTAGTTTTGGTCCTTGTCCCTTTTCTCGGACATTGTAAAACATTGCCTTGCGTGAGGAATGGCAAGGTGTACATTTATCTGAAAAGACACCCATTAGACCTTTGATGGACTTCACATGCACAAGATGACTACACCAAATGTAGCCAAGGCTTTTCCTATCGAGATGAACGGCTGTGCATGCGCTGTAGCTCCACAATGCTTCTCTACGAGACAATCGGCATTGATGATCTCACAGTGAGGTGTGGGTGTGTCAGCCATTAATGAAAGTTTTGACATTAGAGTTTCCTTTAACTGCTGGCCAGTTGCACTATGCAGGCACTGCCCTTTTTACCTCTGCTGGAAAGTAGAAGAAAGTCTGAGACTTGCTGTTGTATCATATTGTTTATTCACAATAATATTTTTGTGTTTCCTCTAGGACTCGGTTACTGCCTCAGCTTCCTGCCAACCGTCACCATTTTGTCACAGTATTTTGACAAGCGCCGGTCCCTGGTTACTGCTGTTGCATCCACAGGGGAATGTTTTGCAGTCTTTGCATTTGCTCCAGGTAAAAACTAAGGATTAGTAGTGTGCTCCTTCCTCAAACTAATTAATTAAACACTTTCATCAGACTGCATAGCGTGGGGCAGTAACATGGATTGACTTTCTAATTGTTTGAAATGGCAGCACTGTATATCCCATCGGGTTCACAAAATACTGAAGGATTTTTCAGATAAAACAATTTTTCAGTTTTAAATTCTCCAAACTCTGTTTAGTGAGTAAATCATTGAAACCCTGACCTGCAGCTAGTTACGCTGATAATATAGTGTTACTGAGTGATTGATTAGACTCTGAATTGTAGTCAAAATGGCAAGATTTTAGGCTTACAATTCAGAGTATTGTGAATAACCCTGTTAGTTTAATTATTCGCTATTTCCGCTTACTCATTCAGTGTTTGTCTCCTCAGCTATCACTGCGCTCAATGACCTCATTGGTTGGAGATTTTGCCTGTTGACCGTAGGAGCATTGCAGCTGAACATTGTGGTCTGTGGAGCCTTGCTACGGCCGATTGTAATAAAAAAACAGGAAGAACCCAAAGGTCCTTTTAAAAGCGAAAATCAGGAGGCTACCTATATGCTTGAAAATGAGCAGACGCTCACATCTCTAGACTCCATAGATTCTGGAGTCGAAGTATCTACCTCACCTAAGAATGTAGCAAGCAGTACGAAAGCAGAGGTTCTGATAGAGCCGTCAGAGAAGAAGGCAATATTTGAGCCAGCGGAACCTAAAAAGAAGGTTCCGCCTCTCCTTGATTTTTCAGTGTTGAGAAATCCCAGTTTTATGTGCTATGCACTTTTTGGACTCTTTGCCACCCTTGGGTTTTTTGCACCATCGCTGTACATCATCCCCCTCTGCCTAAGTCTGGGTATCGACAAGGACCTGTCGGCTTACATGCTGTCCTCTATGGCCATTGCTGAGGTCTTCGGAAGGATTAGCGCTGGCTGGATCCTAAACAAAAAGCCAATCAATAAGATTTATATCGAACTCATCTTCGTCATCCTGCTGTGCCTGGCTCTAGTTGCCTTTCCATTTGCCTATAACTTTTCAGCACTTATGATTTGTAGCATATTTTTTGGCTACATGCTGGGGACGGTTACAGGGACTCACATCCCTTTAGTAGCAGAAGAGGACATTGTTGGTATCGAGAAGATGGCATCAGGGGTCGGAGTCTATGTATTTATTCAAAGCATCGCTGGGCTGGCAGGACCCCCATTAGCAGGTAGCCAAATTACATGTTTATCATGGATTAGTTCTTTCACATCACCAGGCTTTTCATGATCTCTATAAAGATCAAATGAATTAACGAGATCTGTATTACACTACTGAAACATGTCTATCAAACCTGTCCTACCCTTTTAACCATCCTCCCATTCTTTCTGTGCCCTCTTTAAATGTTGTGCTGTAACAGGGCTCTCGTTGCTATAAGTGAACAGCCCGGTAAGGATTGTGGAGACATTACATAATGGTTTCTCATTGCGATTGGAAGTCTCCTATTATAGTCAGGAGATTGCTTATTATACACAGTATCAATCTTTAAACAGTCTCTTCGCAATAAACAAGCAGTCTATGTTAGCTGCCTAGAATTCTGTAACAGTATTCAAATTTATATAAAGATGAAATAGAATGTATACGTAGGTAGTACATTACCAGTGTGTTTGCACCATTAATTTCCCTTTAAATAGAAACAGATGATGTGTACAACGATGAAGCAGACTTTGGTATTTGTGATTCAGGGACTTCAGCCAGTTACCTTGCTGGCTGCCCTTTAATCTCACATTTTACAATAACTAACCTTTGTACTGGCATAGCCTCAACCCGAGCTTGTTCTCAGTCAGAGTGTCTTGCCACAGAACGCAAGCTCGTGGATTGATATTTACCCCAAACTTATGCCACCGCCGATTACACATCACATAGATATTTTTTTTTGAATAGGTGAAGTTAGCATTGGCTGTCATCTTGATTAGCCAACCTGCCTTCAACCAGGTATGTCCTTCCAGCTCTGACTGTGACCGGCCTTCAGTCCAGTCTGGAATCTGATGTTTCAAGGCAGCATTGTAGACATAGCATCCCATCTTAAAAGAACATCATGGAAAGATCATTTGTTTTCCCTATTCTCAGAGGCTTGGATTAGTCTAAATCAAAAACAAATTGGTAACAATTCAAAAAGAATCTCTGTGCCAAGATCATGTTTCTGGACACAGCCATTTAATTTAATTATATTTACATTTTCACAAATCCCTGTCTGGGGAAGGAGTTGTTGCTAACGGCAGATATGTCACTTTACTAACCACCAGTAGCCACTTTTAAAGAACCACTCTAGGCACCCAGACCACTTCAGCTTAATGAAGTGGTCTGGGTGCCAGGTCCAGCTAGGGTTAACCCATTTTTTTTTTTTTTTTTTATAAACATAGCAGTTTCAGAGAAACTGCTATGTTTATAAATGGGTTAATCCAGCCCTCAAAGCCTCTAGTGGCTGTCTCATTGACAGCCGCTAGAGGCACTTGCGTGATTCTCACTGTCAAAATCACAGTGAGAAGACGCAAGCGTCCATAGGAAAGCATTATGAATGCTTTCCTATGAGACCGGCTGAATGCGCGCACAGCTCTTGCCGTGCGTGCGCATTCAGCCGAATGGGAGGAGAGGAGGAGGATCGGATGAGAAGAGCTCCCCGTCCAGCGCTGGAGAAAGGTAATGTTTAACCCTTTTCCTCTCCCCAGAGCCGGGCGGGAGGGGGATCCTGAGGGCGGGGGCACCCTCAGGGCACTATAGTGGTCCTTTAAAGAGGTTAGTTTTTAGCGTATGACAAGTTTTGTATGGCGTTATTTTTACTGTTCTAAATGTGTATCGCTTGGACTGGAAATGAGCAGATCGTGTCAGACAGAACCAGAGCCAGTATAGCCTTTCCTAGCACATAGGACTAGGGTTTAAACAGAACGATAACGGAAAAAGGAAGAACCATAACTGGACTCCAGCATCCATACACAGTTCAACCCAGAGTAAGCAAATGCTTAAAAGACACAATCCAAAGTACAAGTTAGGAATTAAGGAAGACGAGTGGTCAGGACTTGTGGGGTCAAGATAACCAGCAAAACTATTGGAGTGTCTTTTCTTATTCTATTAGAGAGCCACAAACTTTGTCAGGGAGTAATACTTGTACTCTGGCACTAGCTCATAGGCCTGGTCGGGTCGGGATAAAGGGTCCGTACACAAAAGACAAGCAGCATTTAAGTTCATTGAACCAAAAACTGGGCACATTTTTCAGTAACCTGTAGGTTTAATGTTTGTGTTAGGAAAAGCAGTTTAAAGCGTTAAGAGAAAAGACAGAAACACAACCTTTTTTAGGGTCAGGCAGACTGGATGGTAGGTACAGAATGTACATGAAATATCTGTAACAGAATACATGACTAGATCTAACCTTTATACCTTTTTATTTAGGGATGCTGGTGGACTGGACAAATAACTACGGTTCTGCATTCTACTCCTGTGCGGTCGGGATGGCACTTGGTGCCCTGTGCCTGGCCTTGGTAAGACCGTGCAAGAAAGGACTATGCAGGAAAAAGACAACGGTGGCACGGCACGAATCCATCAAATGCCAAGATTCACAAGAAATGCCAGTAGACTTCCTAGAAATGGACATGGGACTGGGCAAAAGCTGTCAGAGCCTCAACGGGAGTCCTTCAAACCTACACCAATAATTAGGCCAAATGAGACTGCAAAATCAGGCCATCTCTTCCACATCAAAAGACAATCCACACCAAAAAAACAAAACAAAAAAAGGGAACACAAATCAATTTAAATGTGAATGCTGCTTAGGAGATCATTCCTCACGCGTGTATAGCAGCAGCGCTGAGCACGCTGGGTAATCTTTATACGTAGTGAGCAGCGCTGGCTTGTCTCTCACACCTAGATACCTTTGCATGCTCGTTCATAGTGTACATGAGTGATGGTCGACTTTTGGCTGTGCATAATGGGACGTAGTCCACAACCGCAGCAGCAGGGCTAAAAAGATACCACATCATTGGTGCACGTTACTTGGGACCCTTGCTTGTCTGTGTGAATATCCCTTACAAGATGCAAACCAAACCCCGCAGGATCCTATTGGCTGACCACAAGATACCCAACAGCCACTGCTACATCTTTTAAAGAAACTTATAGCATCATGTGTACTGCTGCATCTGTCTTTAATCAGATACACTGAATAATTATGTACGTTTTGTTTGGTTTAGGGTTTTTTTTTTTAATGCAGACCAAATATTTATTAAATTATTGTAGAATAAGCTGCTGAATGGTAGATTTTGCTACAGAAGCACATGAAAATGAGTAAGAAGGTTTATACGGTGACATTTCTGTAGGAACTTTGCATTTTTTTCCTATAGTGCCTCAGGTCTTTATATTTTTTAATTCTAGTATTTAAATACAAAAAGCAGGTTGCAATGACTGATACTGGTACAAAACTGTTCTAGTCAAACTCATGCCTTGAATAAAGAGATCTTCTGACATTCAAACTGAAAGGTGTGTGTTTCAGTGAAGGGTGGTGCAGGGGGCAAAATAGATTAATTAGATTATTTTTACACCTGGCTGGTAGACATTAATGTATTTCAATTCTCCACTATTCCTGGATTGAGAAATAAATGTTTTAGGTTGTTACGGACACGAGGATTCTAGCTGTAGCACACCAATTTAGGAATATAAAATTTAGTTTGTATTCCTAACACTATAGGGCTCCTTTGAACTTCCAACAATTCTCACATTAGTTAATATTCCTGTTGGATTGTGTTCTATTCACTGGAGTTGGCTGTCAGACATCTTCAATGGTCAAATCAGTTAGCAAACCAGTATAGATAATCATACTATTTTACTGACCTAAAGAATAGGTGAATATAATGGAATTTTACGGTTTAAAGATTATTTTTTTAAAAATAGGGTTTATAGACCATACAATTGTCAAAATAGAAGTCTTAGTAGGTAAAGTTGTTGCAAATAAGTCAAATGAAACCTATCTGGTGTGACATATTGTTATAGACATGCTAATCTTATTAAAAAAAACGGGACCTCATTGAAAGAACTGACATTCAATTGTGCAATAAGAGGGAGCGTTCTGTATACCAGTTTGGTTCATAAATCAAACCGTATACTTTTTCTTTTGTGGATTTTGATAGTTTTTTATTTATTTATTTTACTTTTTGTCAGAGACCTAAATAAATTATTTTGCCAATTCTCACTTACACTGAAATCAAATGTAATATAGGATTCTGCTTAACAGATTCATTAGACTCTCCCTAGCAGAATAGAACTTATTTCTTCTGTGTTTATCTTACATTTTTTTCATACAATCCAGAATATTAAGTCGTCATATATACCAAGTTGAGGAGTGTAAGATTTTATTTTTAAAGCTGCAGCATTTTTTACACTAACTTATGACACCCCATATACATCTGCAAAATGTGATGGTAAGATCACAATCTAGACAATCAACGGGTCAGTCTAAAATAATCCATGATCCCATTTGAAATATTAACATAATGCCCTTTTAGTCTGAAGATCACATTCCCTTTATATGCGCTCATTATGTTAGAATAATCCTTTTAGCGTTTCCCGGATGATGGGTGATGTGGTTTCATTCGGTGTTGGTGTGCTGCAAGGGTGACTTGTAATATGTTCCATTAAGTGGAGTTAGATCCCTGAGTGCGTAAAGAATTATGGGTGATGTAGTTTGTTTCACGGAGGTTGGCCCCTGGGTACTGCAGGGCTGATGAGAAATGTGGTCATTATGTGTTGTGTGAATATTCAGTACTTCTGGCTTTATAGGAAATGTGGTGTGCTATATGAAGGTTTTATAGATTTGCACTGGAGGGATTATGGGTTACACAAACACACAAAAGATCCAGACCTGTATGTAACCTGTTCCGGAGGGTGCAAAGAGTACAAATAAAGAAATCACATTTTTAGATGGCGTTGACCTAAAATATAATAACCCTACCCCATTAAAGGAACACTCCCAAGCACTATAACCACAACAGCAGAGAGGATTTACCCTGACATTTCAAATCAGCTGCCAGTTTGACATATCTGGAAATGGTCCACCCAAAGAATAGGCAGGTCAGCCTGGCATTAAACGCACACCAACCTGTGCTAATCACTGTTTCAGTTCTCTCTTCATGGTCCAAGTACCCCGAGGGTATCTAATAATGTGCTCACTCTTCACTTTATGGGGACAGTTCCCAAAAGTTGGGACTGGACCTATAATAGGGACTGTCCTACTGTAATCAGGACTGTTTGGAGGTCTACAGGCATCGTCTTGCTCGATGCAAAATACATGCCTATAGCGCCTTACTGCGCATGCACAAGATTATCTATGGAACATTTCACGGTCTTACGGGATCACCAGGAGCCAAACAATGATGGCGGCGAAAAGATGGCGTAGAGGAGGAGCAGCTCAAGGTAAGTACAGCTCCACAACCGCTCCTCTTTGCGTTTTAATAAAATTGCCATTCGGGAGCTTGGGAGCGCCTGAACCTCTTTGTATTTTCTGCATATAATATCTGGGACCTGGTTCGGTTACACCCTGGCTCAGAGTGATGGGATTGAGTGCAGTTCCTTTTTTTTTTTTTTTTAAACCTCCATACAATAAAAGACTTATGACCTATCAGGGTCCTGGCCAAAAAAATAAAATAATACCAAGCCCAGACTGTGCCCCTCTATGTTACAGACAGACCCAATAACAGAGGATGAATTTGCAGTTTTTCCCATTTTAGTTGAGATTTAAGCCATCACATGCCTCCTGGGTTGACCATGTCACGTGACGTGGAGGGATGATGGGTTATAGGGTCTGTTAGAGCTGCAGGGATGATAGGCAATGCTGTCTGAGATCCCACCACCCACATGGGAGTACAAAGCAGTCACTGTCTGCAAGGCATGCAATATGTTATCCTATAGAGCAGCACACAGGCCTCCTACCTGGGCCTCCTCTCCAGGCATGGTCCTAGGGCCTCAAATCCTCGGCCTTTCCCAGCTCTCACGCCCAGGACAACCCCTTGTACTCAGGCATTGTTCTCTTAGGCCTACTATCCAGGGCACACCCCCTCTGTTACTATGGTGACACCGTGAGCTGTGTTATGAAGTGCTGGCAGCGGCCATCTTTGTCTCTGGAAGCATCCTATTGGCTTCCTGATCAGCTGGTGCAATGGGCGGAGACAGGAGATTCCTCGGCAGCCATTTTGGTGTCTGGCAAGGCACTGGTAGTCGAACAACCAAAATCTGAAAAGAATTTGGAACCGGGGCAGAAAAACTCTAAAATGTCACTAGCATACGTCTCTAAGCAGAAATGAAAAACCATTAAATTAATAATAGGAACACACAGTTCCCACCGTGGAAGACAGTCGGCTGCCAGGCATAGGAAGTCCAAATCCAGTAATAAAATAAAATTAATAAAAATCAGAAAAAAATCAAAAGGAAAATACTTGGAACCGGGGCAGCAAAACACTGGCACGCCAGTCGTGCTGGATATTTCCAAATGTGGTTTTATTCCACAATAGAAAATATAGGGAGTTTAATTTAAATTCTAATTATTATGTAACAGTAAAACAAGACAAAATGAATTCTAATAAAACTTGTTTAATATATAGAAACGGCAGGTGAAGGAAACCGAATGATCTGCATATATCTGGAACTATTAGGGTTATTCAGTAAAGTGAGAATTCAAAGTGAATTTATATATAAATATATCTATATAATATGGCCAGAGTATCGGAAATCAAAGCTTAGCTGTTAAATTTTTCCCAAAACAGTAAAACCACCTGCCTAACATCGCGAATGGCGTCTTTGTGATGTCAAAACAGCTCTGGGGCAACGAGGCATGGACTCCACAAGACCCCTGAATGTGTCCTGTGGTATCTGGCACCAAGACATTGGCAGCAGGGAAACAAAGTTGTTTTCCTGACACTATAGCTCCCTCTAGTGCCCCCCTCCCTCGCTGCCTGTCTAAAGGTGGAATTAACCCTGGTAGGTAATTATTGAAGTTTATTTAAAAAAAACACTGCAGGGTTAAGGTACCTGGGACACTGCTCCCAGACCACTTAAATGAGCTGAAGTGGTCTGGGAGCCTGTAGTGTCCCTTTAAGTCCTGCAGATTGTCAGGTTGGGCCTTTATGGGTTAGAGTTGTTGTTCCGGTACATCCCATAGACACTGCCAGATTAAGAGCCCAGTGGGCCTGGTGCTGACAATTATGATGGGGCCTAATTACAGAAACTTATTGACCAAAAACACTAAAACAGTCATACCTCTCAAGAGTCATGTATCTGATGGAGTTGGTGTTGGAGGGAAACTCAAAGGATGCAACTATAAGAAAATACATACTCTATGCTAATCTCTTTATCTAATTAATGCTTTCATCTTTCAAGTAAATCCATAACCCATAACAGCAGTGTCCATGGGCGGGGTAAAACGGTGCACCACTGAACGAATCACATGACCAGAACTGCCAAAAGGGGCGAACATGCCCAAAAAGGGGGCATGTCTGTCCAAAGAATTGGAAGGCCAGCCTGGCATCAGTGTCCCTATGTATCACAGTGTCAATGTCCCCATGTTGCCCAGTCCCCTAGTCTCCCAGTGTCTGTGTCCCCATTTTTCCCAGTGTCCCCATGTGTCAGTGTGTCCCGTGTCACTAGGATACTAGGGGACACTGAGAGACATGGGGACACTGAGAGACCCGGGGACACTGAGAGATATGGGGGCACTTGTGAATACAGACATGGGGACACCGGGAGGCATGAGGACACAGACATTTGGGGACACTGGGAGAAATGAGGAGACAAACACTAGGGACACAGACACTAGGAGACATGGGGACACAGACACTAGGGACACTGGTTGGGAGGCATGGGGACACAGACACTTGGGGACACTGGGAGACATGGAGCACTTGTGGACATAGACATGGGGACACTGAGACATTTGGGGACACTGGGAGACATGGGGACACTAAGGACACAGAGACATGGGGACAGACACTGGGAGACATGGGGACACTGAGACACCAGGGACACTGGCTGGGAGACATAGGGACACTTGGAGACATGGGGACACAGACACTAGCTGGGAGTCATGGGGACACTGAGAGACATGGGGACACTGAGAGACATGGGGACATTGAGAGACACGGGGACACAGAGACATGGGGACACAGACACTTGGGGACACTGGGAGACATGGGGCACTTGTGGACATAGACATGGGGACACAGACATTTGGGGGCACTGGGAGACATGGGGACACTAAGGACATAGAGACATGGGGACACAGACACTGGGAGCCATGGGAACACTGAGACACTAGGGACACTGGCTGGGAAACATAGGGACACTGGGAGACATGGGGACACTGGCTGGGAGTCATGGGGACACTGGGAGACATGGGGACATTGAGAGACATGGCGACACAGATACTGGGAGACTAGGGGACGCTGGGAGCCATGGTGACACAGACATTTGGGGAAACTAAGACACTAGGGACACTGAAAGACATAGGGACACAGACACTAGGGACACTGGGAGACATGGGGCACTTGTGGACATAGACATGGGGACACTGGGAGACATGGGGACACTGAGACATTTGGGGACACTGGGAGAAATGGGGACACTAAGGACACAGAGACATGGGGACACAGACACTGGGAGACATAGGGACACTGAGACACTGGCTGGGAGACATGGGGACACTGAGACACTGGGAGTCATGGGGACACTGAGAGACATGGGGACACTGAGAGACATGTGTCCCCATGTCTCCCTGCTGCCTTTCCCCCCATCCTTCACATACCTGAGCTGTAGTCTTTCTCTGCAGGCTGGGAGCTGCTGTCTGGACTCTCTGTGCTGTGTAGCTGCTCCCTTGCAGATCAGTGAGTAGAGAGAGGCAGGGAGATGCTGTAACTTCCTATCCCTGCCTCTCTCCACACTCAGTGACCCCTACTGGCCGGTGCTGTTATTGCAGAGTAAATATTTGCATTTGTATTGCTGGTATTACTGCAGTACCGTCATGGCCAGGCAGCCTCCAATACCAGCTGTGCCTTAAAATACCAGTCAGGTGGTAAACCTAAGAGTAGTCTGTAAAAAAAAAAAAAAATGTAAAAAAAAAAATATATATATATATATATATATATATATATATATATATTTTTTTTTTTTACAATGGGCCTGGGCCTGGGCCTGGAGCTGCAGCTCCATCGGCCCCTATGTTAATCCGGCTCTGCCCATAGAAGATGCTCACATCAGATTGAGATCTGGGGAATTTGGATTGAGATCTTTTTCATGTTCCTCAAACGAGTCCTGAAAATTTTTTGTGACCACTGCATTATCCTCCTGAAAAAGGCATGCATCTTATCTTGCATAAGACTCCATGTCTGGTTTTATTTGAATCTGTATATTATTGCATAGGGTGTTTAGGACAAACTAGTAGGCATGGACCTTTGTCTTGAGAAAGTCTCATATAGAGAAAACGCGTAGACTTTGGTCCGGTGTTGATTTGCACACAGACTTATCAATCTGTTCCTTTAAGGCAGTCGCAGCCTTTTTTGCTACCCCAATCCGCTACTTTGTGTTTACACAGACCAGTGAATACCAGTGAATATCCTAACTTGTGTATCCTGTCCGGTGCGAGGAGTCGAGATCACTGGACACTTGAATTCTGGACCACCCTTTGATGCAGTTACCAAGCCATCAGCATCTTTTGGACCTGTGGTGGATACCTTTACATTTTCATGCTGCTTGCTTGAATGCTAGCTTGCTACTGATTACTATTTATTGTTATATAGGGTGATTTGATATGTCCATAGCAGTGGTGTGATTTTATATGGGTTTTTTTTTACATATATTTCACTATTTAGTTGAGCAGCCCTTTCCTCTAGTGAGTGATACTAGTAAGGGCTTTTGCTCATTATTTGGAGATTTTATAACTTGTTTCATCCAGGTTAGATACATTTTTTGAAGTGTCACATTTAACTGTAGTTTTTATTTTACTGCATTACAATCATGGGTGCTCTGCTCTGACCTGTGATAATACCCATACAGCTTTATTTTATTTATTTTTTAAAAAGTGTTCTCTTTTTAGTCTGTGTTTTTAATAAAGTGCTACGGAATCTGTTGGCGCTATATAAGTGGCGAAAATAAAGAAATAAAATAATCTAATAAAGTACTTTTATTTACTATATTCACTTTATCCACTTAATTTTTAGAATAATAATAGGAGCGCTCACACTATCTATATATTTTACGTTGCTCTCCAGTGTAGTCACCCTGTATATTATATATATATTTTTTCAGTGGCGTACACATGACCCATGGGGCCCCGGTGCGAAAATTGATCCGTGGGCCCCCCCCTCCCCCCGCGCGCGCGGGCTGGGCCGCAACACATGGCGGTAGGCACCTGGTCGCAGGGGTTACAGGGCTGCGACCGCGGTATGTACGCCAGTGCATGCAGATGCACACACACTTAAAGGACCACTCTAGGCACCCAGACCACTTCAGCTTAATGAAGTGGTCTGGGTGCCAGGTCCAGCTAGGGTTAACCCATTTTTTCATAAACATAGCAGTTTCAGAGAAACTGCTGTGTTTATCAATGGGTTAAGCCTTTCCCTATTTCCTCTAGTGGCTGTCCCATTGACAGCCGCTAGAGGCGCTTGCGTGCTTCTCATTGTGATTTTCACAGTGAGAGCACGCCAGCGTCCATAGGAAAACATTATGAATGCTTTCCTATGTGACCGGCTGAATGCGCGCGCAGCTCTTGCCGTGCGTGCGCATACAGCCGACGGGGAGGAGGAGAGGAGGATCGGAGGAGGAGAGCTCTCCGCCCAGCGCTGGAAAAAGGTAAGTTTTACCCCTTTCCAGAGCCGGGCGGGAGGGGGTCCTTGAGGGTGGGGGCACCCTCAGGGCACTATAGTGCCCGGAAAACGAGTATGTTTTCCTGGCACTATAGTGGTCCTTTAAAGGACCACTACAGACACCCAGATCACATCAGCTCAATGAAGTTGTCTGGGTGTCAGGTCCCTCTAGTTTTAACCCTGCAGCTGAAAACATAGCAGTTTCAGAGAAACTGCTATGTTTCACTGAGGGTTAATCCAGCCTCTAGTGGCTGTCTCACGGACAGCCGCTAGAGGAGCACACTGAACGTCCATAGGAAAGCATTGAGTAATGCTTTCCTATGGGCGGTTTGAATGCGTGCGCGGTCGCATTCGGAGCTGAGAGGCTGAGGGATCCTCAGCGCCAAGGGAGTCCGGCGCTGGAGAAAGGTAAGTGCTGAAGACACACACACACACACACACTTACAGACGCATACACACTAGCTAACAGACACACGCATTTACTGACAGAGACACAGTCAGCGACAGACATACATACATACACACTCACTTACAAAACATACACTCTCATTGACAAACACACACTCAGTAAGACACACACAGTAACACTCACTGACACTCACTAGCAGACACACACACTAACACTCACTAGCAGACACACTAACACACACTCTCAATCTAACACTCTCACACACTAACACTCACTCTAACACTCACACACTAACACTCACTCTAACACTCACACACACTAACACTCACTCACTAACACTCACACTAACACTCACACTAACACTCACACATGATTTTTTTTTTTTTTTATTTAATCCCCCCAGCCTCCTTACCTTTTGGAGTGCTGGGGGGATTCCCTGGGGTCCAGTGGTGCTGCTGGGCTCCTGGGCGGGTGGCGGGCGGGCAGGCAGGCGGGCGCGCGAGGGAGCACTCAGTGCTTCCTCTTCAGCTCCCTCGCGCGCCGCGTAGGGATGCCGGAGCCGGAAGATGACGTCATCTTCCGGCTCCGGTATCATTGCGGTGCGCGAGGGAGCTGAAGAGGAAGCACTGAGTGCTCCCTCGCGCGCCGCCTGCCCGACCGGCCACCCGGGGTCAGCAGGGCCAGCCTCAGGGGGCCCTGGGGTGGTCGGCTCCTGGGCCCCCCAGGGGAAGAGGCTGGCCCTGGGCGTACATACCGGGTCGCAGGGGCGGCCGGGCCCCCTGGTGGGCCGGGCCCGGTCGCAGCCGCGACCCCTGCGACCCTGGTATATACGCCGCTGTATTTTTTTTTTAACCCACATAATTCTCATTTTGACACTGCCATCAGGGAACACCATTGCCATAAAGGAGTGTACATAGTCTTCAACAATTTATAGGTAGGTGGTACTTGTCAAAGTAACATCTACATGAATGCCAGGACCCAAGGTTTCCCAGCAGAAAACTGCCCGAAGCATAACATTGCCTCCGCCGACCTGCCTTCTTCTCGTTGTGTTTCTTACTGACATCTCTTCCCCAGATAAACAACACACATGCACCCGGCCATCCACCTGATCTAATAGAAAAGGTGATTCATCAGACCAGGCAACCTTTTCGATTGCTCCATGGTCCAGTTCTGATGTTTACGTCCTCATTGAAGGCACTTTCGGAGAAGGACCGGGGTCATTTGGGTACCCTGACCAGTCTGTGGCTATGCAGCACCATATGCAGAAAACTGTGATGCACTGTGTGTTCTGACACCTTTATATCATGGCCTGCATTAAAGGGACACTATAGTCACCAAAACAACTTTAGCTTAATGAAGCAGTTATCATGTATAGAGCATGCATCTGCAGTCTTACTGCTTAATTCTCTGCCATTTAGGAGTGTATGCAGGCCTAGTCACACCTCCCTGCATGTGACTTACACAGCCTTCCTAAACACTTCCTGTGAAGTGAGATCTAATGTTTACACTTCCTTTATTGCAAATTCTGTTTAACTTATAATATCTTATCTCATGCACTGTTAATAGCTTACTAGACCTTGCAGGAGACTCCTGTGTGTGATTAAAGTTCAATATACAGATAAGATTATAAAAACTTTTATAGTTAGTTAACATCTGATTGAAAATGAAACCATTTTTCAATGCAGACGGTGTCAGTCACATCCAAGGGAGGTGTGGCTAGGGCTGCATAAACAGAAACAAAAGTGATTTAACTCCTAAATGGCAGATAATTGAACAGTGAGACTCCAGAGGCATGATCTATACACCAAAACGGCTTTATTAAGCTATAGTTGTTTTGGTGATTATAGTATCCCTTTAACCCCCTAAGGACACATGACATGTCTGACATGTCATGATTCCCTTTTATTCCAGAAGTTTGGTCCTTAAGGGGTTAAATCACCTCAGATTATAGATATACAGGATATACAGATACATGTTTGAATTATCAACTCTGCAATATTCCCCAATCATTTCCGCATTCAAATTGCAGAGGATATTCACCGCTGGGACTGGTCTACGATGGCTACATAAACACTTGTCAAAAGGTGCAAATTACTTGTTAATTGGTTTTCACTTTGGGATACGTTAATCACCGGGATAGGGTTTACACCTGGTACATCAAATCTAATAAACTGCAAATAGAGCATTATTACGGCTGAGATTTGAAATTTATGCGAGAATCAATTGTTCTCCTCTCTGGACCTGAAATGTCAATGTATTACTTAGAGTTTGCAGGCTTTTATACCTACTGTGGAATGGGCGCATGCAGTAAAGGGGTGACTTTCTCAGAGAACCCAGACATGAGTGTTCAAAAGGGGCAGATGGATACTAGGTTTGACCAGCTGATGTATTTAACAAATAGTCATCATCATTATTTATGGAGGCTTGTGGACTATGGCTGGTGGTAACTCAGAACTGCTGTTTACTTCTGATTGTCTACAATATTCTGAACCCAAATGGACTTGGCACTGCCCAATGTGTTAATGGCACAGATAGTCTGTGGGTGGCAGAAATTTACTGCCCTACCAGAATGCTAGGACATGACTACAGTAAGCTGGACCGATCTGGCTGCTGATCTTTGAGCCATTTCAGCAATTTATATAAACTATTTATGTTCATAGTAATGTTTGCATGTGAGTTTTACCACCATGGCACAGGAGGAAAGGCGGTCTGCCACAAAACAAGCAAATCTCTGGTGCAATCTATGGAAGTAAAGATATGTATCAAAGTGTTTTGTTCTAAAAGGTTGTCTAAAGTCAAATGGGCATTATGGGGAGGCTGAAGAGATTTTTTTTCTTTGGGGGGGAAGGGAATGAAGTGGAAACGAGATAGCAGGAGACAAGGTAAGTCTTGAGATATGAGTTAATCTTGATGAAGAAGTTGCGAGATAAAAGATGGATACATTAAATAAGGCTCATGGTTGAGATACTTGTGAAAAGAGGGGCTACAGCTGAGTAGATGAGATAAAACAAGGTTTGAGGAAGGTGCGTACTTTTATAAATCATACAAATACATAGATGACGCTAGGGGTCAGTGGATAAATGAGAGATGAGCACCATATATCTGTTGCACGGTTTGGTGTAATCACTGCTGATAGCTTCACACAATCCTGTGTTCTTAGAGAATCGTCTTAATATCACTGAATTCTACACTGTGCTACATCAGTCATTCATTTGCTGGGAATGTGAATTATATATTTATTTATCAATAAACCACAGTTTGCCATTTGCTTTTTATCAATCTCTTTATAACATTGTTACTGCTGTCACTTACCGCCAGTAAATGAAGACTCCAAAGACAGTAACCTACAGTACACATGTTGTAACGACTTACTCCGGCTGTCATTTTGTCCCTGTACCCAGTGGCTTATCACAAGTACTTTGCAAAACTCCCTGCAGCTATATGTCACTATAGCACTTGGGAGTGTTTTGACAAAAAAAAAAAAAAACTGGGTTCTCCTTGCCCATTTCACAGCCGCAATGATAATGCAGAATTTGTCCAACGTTGAGGGCAGTGAGCGTCACGTGCGGATTAAGCCAGAATTCTCAGCCTATCACTGCCATCTAAATTGGACAGAATTGACATTTAACATTGTCAAGAGCAAGTTCTATATTATCAATGCAACTGAGAAGGGGCAGGTCTATAGGTGCCGGGGGAAGTCACATTTTTTTTGAACAAACTTCTCACTAAGTGGAGAGCCTAAGCCAGGCTTTCCCAAACTCTGGCCCTCCAGATGTTGCTGAACTACAACTCCCAAGATTCTCAGCCTATCTATTTCATTCATAGAATCATGGGAGTTGTAGTTTAGCAACATCTGGAGGGCCGGCGTTTGGGGAAGCCTGCTTTAAGCATCATTAGTCCTTGTAACCGTCCAAATTCACTTACTCCAATTCTGATTCAGGAAACATAGCCATGGCTGGACAGAGACACCGCTGATTGCTTTGAGCGATAAGCTGACGCTCTAAACCAATCACTAACACCCCATTCATAAAAAAAAAAAGTGTACCTACTGTATTTGTTGATTATTTGGTTCATATGGTAACTACTATAAACAAAACAAATGTGTACCAAATTACTATTTAAACATTACCTCCACTACTCCCAGTGCTATCTACAGTTATAAACGTGATCTAAGTCTACCTTTGGGTAAAACCATACAGATACTTTCCTGTAACAGAGAGACAGAACGTGAACAATCAGGGGTTAAATTGCTCTAGCACAGACGGAATAAGATCACCTGGAGATTCATGGACCCAACAACAGAGGAAAAACCACATACATTCGAAATTCGCTGCTTAGATGTATTTAAGAGATTAACATTCTCCCTTGCATTAAAACCAAAACAGGGGGAGGCAGTCCCTAGCAACCATAATTAAAGTGTTACCCAGCCTGGCGACATACAAACAAGTTGCTCCAGTAATTTTCCTGTCTCTTTAACCATGTGACTGCGAGGTTGACATGTAGCGCAAAACTAAGATTACAGTCACGCCACCATTGATCATGGAGGCAGTGAATTATTTTTCTAATAAATCTTTATCAATAATTACAATCCCCCAAAACATCTCGATTTTGTTCATGTATCTTTTGTTATGATCTTTAAAAAGCTTGTGTCCATTCCGCTCTGCCAGCAACTGCGCACAAGCACAGACTGTGACGGTCCAGGATTAATATTGAAATTCTGTTTGTACACCTGGATAGCTGTTTGTTGAAAGGTCACGCAAGAAAGGAAACAAAAGGCAGCTGAATTTTCAGGCTTTGCGTCCGACTTTCCAATAAGTGAAAACACGTGCAGAGAGGATGGCGCCCACTGGCACACCACGCACGTGATTCAGCAGGTGTCTGATTCGCTCGTTGCCTCATACATATCATGTACACGTGTCAGAGGATGAGGAACATATGTTGCTCTATTAATCTTTGATGATCAGTTCGTAGGTCCAATATAGAGCCCAGCCAGAAGTCAGTGTCCGGGTCCCACACCTAGAACGTTTATACACATCTTTAGCCACTCTCTGTGATCCTTAAACACATCGATAAGCGTGGGACTGCTTGGCTGCTCCTGATCGCATGCTCCAAAGGCAAATGTATTCTCCATTTCCAGAATCCACTGGAGCAAAGCCTGGAATGATACATAAAACATGAGTAGAAAAAGCAAACAGTTTCAATAACCAAATCCGTTTTATGAATATTTAAATGAACGCACATTACTCTCTAGGACTATCTGGGAATAAAAATGCATCCAGGCAATACGAGCTACAATCACCCTCTGAAATGCCCTCTTCACCCTATGTAGCATGGCATTGTGTGTGAATGTAACTCTGTATTTGTGTAGCATGGCATTGTGTGTGAATGTAACAGTGTATTTATGTAGCACGGCGTTGTGTGTGAATGTAACTCTGTATTTGTGTAGCACGGCGTTGTGTGTGAATGTAACAGTGTATTTATGTAGCACGGCGTTGTGTGTGAATGTAACTCTGTATTTGTGTAGCACGGCGTTGTGTGTGAATGTAACAGTGTATTTATGTAGCACGGCGTTGTGTGTGAATGTAACTCTGTATTTGTGTAGCATGGCATTGTGTGTGCATGTAACTCTGTATTTGTGTAGCATGGCATTGTGTGTGAATGTAACGGTGTATTTGTGTAGCATGGCATTGTGTGTGCATGTAACTGAATTTGTGTAGCATGGCATTGTGTGTGAATGTAACTCTGTATTTGTGTAGCATGGCGTTGTGTGTGAATGTAACGGTGTATTTGTGTAGCATGGCATTGTGTGTGAATGTAACAGTGTATTTATGTAGCATGGCATTGTGTGTGAATGTAACGGTGTATTTGTGTAGCATGGCATTGTGTGTGCATGTAACTCTGTATTTGTGTAGCATGGCATTGTGTGTGAATGTAACAGTGTATTTATGTAGCATGGCATTGTGTGTGCATGTAACTCTGTATTTGTGTAGCATGGCATTGTGTGTGAATGTAACTGTGTATTTGTGTAGCATGGCATTGTGTGTGAATGTAACTGTGTATTTGTGTAGCATGGCATTGTGTGTGAATGTAACAGTGTATTTGTGTAGCATGGCATTGTGTGCGCATGTAACTGTGTATTTATGTAGCATGGCATTGTGTGTGCATGTAACTCTGTATTTGTGTAGCATGGCATTGTGTGTGAATGTAACTGTGTATTTGTGTAGCATGGCATTGTGTGTGAATGTAACAGTGTATTTGTGTAGCATGGCATTGTGTGTGAATGTAACAGTGTATTTGTGTAGCATGGCATTGTGTGTGAATGTAACGGTGTATTTGTGTAGCATGGCATTGTGTGTGAATGTAACAGTGTATTTATGTAGCATGGCATTGTGTGTGAATGTAACTCTGTATTTGTATAGCATGGCATTGTGTGTGAATGTAACAGTGTATTTGTGTAGCATGGCATTGTGTGCGCATGTAACTGTGTATTTATGTAGCACGGCATTGTGTGTGCATGTAACTCTGAATTTGTGTAGCATGGCATTGTGTGTGAATGTAACTGTGTATTTGTGTAGCATGGCATTGTGTGTGAATGTAACAGTGTATTTGTGTAGCATGGCATTGTGTGTGAATGTAACGGTGTATTTGTGTAGCATGGCATTGTGTGTGAATGTAACAGTGTATTTATGTAGCATGGCATTGTGTGTGCATGTAACTCTGTATTTGTGTAGCATGGCATTGTGTGTGAATGTAACTGTGTATTTATGTAGCACGGCATTGTGTGTGAATGTAACAGTGTATTTGTGTAGCATGGCATTGTGTGTGAATGTAACGGTGTATTTGTGTAGCATGGCATTGTGTGTGAATGTAACAGTGTATTTATGTAGCATGGCATTGTGTGTGAATGTAACTCTGTATTTGTATAGCATGGCATTGTGTGTGAATGTAACAGTGTATTTGTGTAGCATGGCATTGTGTGCGCATGTAACTGTGTATTTATGTAGCACGGCATTGTGTGTGCATGTAACTCTGAATTTGTGTAGCATGGCATTGTGTGTGAATGTAACTGTGTATTTGTGTAGCATGGCATTGTGTGTGAATGTAACAGTGTATTTGTGTAGCATGGCATTGTGTGTGAATGTAACAGTGTATTTGTGTAGCATGGCATTGTGTGTGAATGTAACGGTGTATTTGTGTAGCATGGCATTGTGTGTGAATGTAACAGTGTATTTATGTAGCATGGCATTGTGTGTGAATGTAACTCTGTATTTGTATAGCATGGCATTGTGTGTGAATGTAACAGTGTATTTGTGTAGCATGGCATTGTGTGCGCATGTAACTGTGTATTTATGTAGCACGGCATTGTGTGTGCATGTAACTCTGTATTTGTGTAGCATGGCATTGTGTGTGAATGTAACTGTGTATTTGTGTAGCATGGCATTGTGTGTGAATGTAACGGTGTATTTGTGTAGCATGGCATTGTGTGTGAATGTAACGGTGTATTTGTGTAGCATGGCATTGTGTGTGAATGTAACGGTGTATTTGTGTAGCATGGTAACGTGTGAATGTGAGTTTATTTTTGTGTAGCATGGCAGTGAATGTAAATATGGGGTGTATTTATGTTACGTGGCAACATGTGTGAATATGGGGTGTATTTATATTACGTGTGTGAATATGGGATGTATTTATATTACGTGGCAATGTGTGTGAATATGGGGTGTATTTATGCAACGTGTGTGAATATGGGATGTATTTATATTACGTGGCAATGTGTGTGAATATGGGGTGTATTTATGCAACGTGTGTGAATATGGGATGTATTTATATTACGTGGCAATGTGTGTGAATATGGGGTGTATTTATATTATGTGGTAATGTGTTTGAATATAGGGTGTATTTATTCAACATGTGTGAATATGGGTGTATTTCTGTAAGAATGACCAAGATGACAGCTGCCATACACTTCATGACATCTAGATCACTCAATTAACCCGAGTAGCAAAACCATGGAAACAAAGTTACATGTTTTTCCCCGACCATGTCATAAGTGGAGGCATCTTATACACTGGATAGAATGTCTACGTCACGGATGCCAGTAAGTGCACACGCATGCATCTATTCACCCTTTCTACACCCAGAGCAGAGCTGTGATTCTTAGAGCTTTGAGGATGGCATTCTAACTGGAAGAGAACAAGCGTGTGTCACTCATGTACAATCATGCCATCACACACATGTAAAGCTACTGACACACTCTATTGATCAAGCAGGTGATCTTAGCTCTGCCTGCAGGAGCTGGTTACGAACTTCGGGGACAAAACACGTGCCCAGCACAGGCACACCGGGGCAGATACAGAATCACCCAACAGAGTCTGTGATATCACAGTATCACATCGTAAACTACACAACATTGTACGGATCATTGCGCGGGTAACATTGTAGAAGATATCCGTATTCTATTTGACACCCCGTCACTTGCTTTATACAACATTCTCTAATATTAACCTATTTAGGGAACCATTCTGCAGGGTAGTTATTTGTGCGCCCTAAGTAACATGCTCGCTCTGCCGGGCCTATGGGTTGATGGAGAAAGTGGAATGGCTCATTTTAACTAGTGTATTCTCACCAACGTTATGGTCTTATTCAACTTGGAACGCATGAGGGGAAGAAAATGGCACAATATCAGCTTACTTAACGTGACTTTTTTTGTGCGTCCCATGGATATTAAATGGCACCTTGTCTCACCTGGTATCTGTCGGCTATTTTGAATCCGATGGCACTCTGCAGTTTGCGAAGACATACGGGGCAGAGGTCAAGAGGGCGGCGGTCCGATTCTTCCAGATGGTTAGACCCTTGCATGACGCACTGTAACCACTGACAATGATGAATCCCGAACATGTGCCCGATCTCATGTGTGAGAGTCTAACACAAGGGGATAAATACACATTCATCAGACATTTATTCTTGAGTAGCTAGATACTGGCAGGAGAGAATATAAATAAATGCCAATTTCTAATTTACTAAAATCGGATAAATTGTAATACACGGTGCAATGTTGTTAGATCATACAGAACAAATAAACTATTTATTTTATAACCCATCAATGACTTATAACATACCAAGTATATCATGATATAAACAGATTAAAGAGTTAACACAATTAAAAAATAATTATTTTTTTTCAATTCTTTATTTTTGACAGACAGGTTAGTACATAAATCACAGCGTACAATGTGCAGTATATCAAAAACCAGTAACATGAACAATAGTACATATTTCAAGGATCAACATCGTCGCAAACAAAGTTTTACTGTAATTAACGCATTCTCCGAGAAACACAGGAAGAACCGAACCTCTTACGCTTCAAAGCACAAACTCCATCAGTATTTTACGTGTCGGTAATGTAGCCGTGTACATCTCTCAGCAGCGCCCCCATCAGATTGCACATCGGTAGTAGGACAGATTCAGCTAGGGCATACCTGGATCCCAAGATACATTCTCAAGGAATTGTTCAACCAACTGTAGCCCCTGTCCATACGTAAACCATCTTAGAATATAAGGCCCCATGAGGGAGTCAACTTAGGGTAAACGAAATAGAGGACCAGAACAAGGATAGAGAAAAAAGGAGAAGATGAAAGAGAACATGGTCACTACTAAAGGTAAAGCATCTATTACGACTCGCCTCTAAAATCAGGGGAGAACGGTGATAATTTAGTTTAGAACATGCCAGTTTACTGGAACCACCTCTGCTGAAAGTCTGCTTCATCTAACTACTACACTTTCTCTAAAACCGTTTTGCAAATTTTAAATGTCTCCCCCCATCCCTCTAATAAAAGACAGAAATGCATATTAAACCATAAAACCTCATCATGCACCGTTGGTTTTAATAAAAGTACCGTATTTATGTAATTGTAAATGGATGGCTTTAAAAAGAGGTCAGGGGCAATCTAAAATCACAGCTAATGTTCCTGTCTGAACTTGCACCGTTTTCACTGTACGCTCTCATGAGAGATAAAGAGATGATGTTGCTTTGCTGCTTTGATAATTGAACTTTGCAGTACCCCTGTGTCCCCATGCTGTCTGCATAACAAAGTCCTTGCCCTGAATTCTAAAATCAATGTTTGTGGATGCTGTTTGGAGACAGAGTTTTCTATCAGCTGTTAACCCCATCATGCCCACGGTTTGCTAACACAGTGTTCAGATCAGGGGTGCTATTATAAACTATATATTTATATATTCTAACGCACAAAGTATAAAACATTTAGATCAACCAGTTAACTCTATGCCACATTTATGTAAAGAAAAGCATATGAATAATTTATTTAATATTCCCAGTTATTTGCTTTTTTTAATTAATTATTTTCAAAATTTATATATATATATATATATATATATATATATAATAAATAATCAGCACTCCCAGGGTTTGTAAATAAGCGAAAAATACCTATACCGGTATGCTGTCCTGATGAAAGCTCCCAAGAGGAGCTGAAACGTTGACTTATGGAGTAAAGTATTTTTTCGCTTATTTACAAACCCTGGGAGTGCTGATTATTTATTTGCTTTATATCTATTGTGCAATCGAGCACCGGGTTCTAATCCTTTTTGGTAGGAGTGCAAGGCTTTTTGTTTATTTTGTATATATATATATATATATATATATATATATATATATAACTATGCTCTCTCACATAGAGAAACATATAAAACATAATACTTAATTTAAAGTACGATTCACACACTGAAATATATCAGTACCTTAATGATAATGTTCTATAAACATTAAAATGAATCCAGAATATCTTAATTTATATAATTTATATAAATTATGATATACTAGACCATTTATAGATATTATTACAAAAAATATTTTTAAATATGTAAACGCAAAATAAAACATGCAGGCCTCGAGGGATTTTTATAGATAAATCATTTAAAAGTTTTTTTTCTAACAGATTGTGATCATTCGAAAAGGTATCCAAAAATATTAAAATTGAGACCCAAGTTAGATGGTCATCATTATTTTTTTAAAAGTAAACTACTGGTACCCCTGCATCCCAGTTTACCATTAAAATTAAAAAATATTTAATTTTAACGTACGAGGCTCCCTCTGTGCTTACCTCTCCTCGTCCCTTGATGTCATAGATCTCCTCTGGCGATGGCCAATCCAGTGCTCCTAGGGGACCTGATGTGGATGTGCAGAGAGGGCCATGTGTGCATCCAAGCTTCCCCACAGGAAAGCATCGAATCAATGCTTCCATGTTACGTGACAGTAGCACTTCTAGTGGCTGCCAGGAAGATAACCACTAGAGGTGGATTTAACCCTGCAATTTAAACATTACAATTTAAAAAAAATAAATAAATCAATGTTTTACAATGCAGGATTAACACTAAAGGACCACTGCACCCAGACCACTTTATTGAGATGAAGAGGCCTGGGTGACTCTAGTGGTCCTTAATAACTTGAAGGCAATACGAGAATGCACATAATTGTGCTAATTTGTATTTTTCACATGAGGAGTCTTGCACCAGTACCAGAGATTTACTTACACAGGAAGAGAAAGTCAGGGTCATTCTGGGAAGCCCACTCTCATTCCATAAATCCCTCTGCAGTCTGAGAATGGATATTGGATAAACAGCATGTATTGGCTTAGCACAGCTTTGTGCTATAATACAGTGGCTTTAGTAGGTTAATTGTCTTTCACACCTTCTCAAGATAACCAGGCGTTGGAGAGAGAAATATATACCAGGCAAAGACAAAGACAAATAAGATACAACATAAAATAGTAGGAACTCACCTATTGAGGTTTGCCTTGACGTGGCAGGTGAGCTTATATATTCAAATGGCCATTGGAATAAAACTAAAGAGCCTCCATTTTGTTTAAATGTACATGGGGATTTAGGCCAGAGCACAGGTAACGTTCTCTTTGTTTTTACTATGTATTTTAAGCTGTTGGATACTAAGTTACTGCTGCTGTAAGCCCGGTGCTTTATTTTTGTGTTTGTATATGATGTTTTGTATCACACAGCTATGTTACATTGCTGCCAGCCTCCCCACATTTGTCTTATTAAGAGTTTATAAGTATGTAGGGGCAGCACCCCTTCCTGTCTTATCAGATAAATTTGCCTTTTAGCTGATACCAGCAAGGTGATTTGTATGTGTTATAGCCCTATTCAGGGTTAAGTATGTAGGGGTTTATAAAATACCCCTTCCTGTCTCATTAGAAATGTTCACACTTTGGGCTACAAGTAATCCAAAATACGCGTGCATCATCGCACAGCCTGTCTCATTGGGAGAGCTTTAGTAAATTACTGATGAGATGGTATCTTGTCCCATCACGCCTGGCCCAGATATATCCTACTGTTCCACGACATTGTTGGAGGTGTGGTGTCGAGGTGGGCACCTTACTCCATGTCTTTTGGGAGTGCACGATACTAACTCAATTCTGGCAACAGGTCAGTAACTTAATACAAGAGGTTTCAGGGAACTCCATCCCGCTACGCCCAGAATGCTGCCTTTTACACATTCACGCAGGTACACTGGTCTCGCCACACAAGGTGGTTATCTATCACATACTGCTAGCCGCCAAGACTAGTATAGCTAGCAGATGGAAAAGCCAAGATCCTCCCAACATCCAAGAAGTAACACAGAGAGTCCACACGACTTACGAACATGAGCGCCTTGCATTCCGGATGCTATCCAAGGTGGACAAACACACAAAATTATGGGTCAGTTGGTGTCAACACATTCCGGCAAATAGAGGGATAGGGAGTAGAGGGAGGGCCATTTCGTTTAGCGAAACAAATACTCCAGATGAGAGCACTGACAGACAACCCAACACCCAAGCAGACAGGCACACAGCATTCCAGGATGAGGGTCTTTAGATGTTGGGGGAGGAGGAGAGCTCATCCGCTCCGCGAGCTACCCAGGTCAGGCAGGTGAATCTCCCAAGGTTCTTCCCCGATGCTTCCGTTAGCCTCCACCGAAATTGATTGATCCTAGATCTAATTGGTTAACCTCATATTAGAGTGTAAAAGCTGTCTGCTTTATTAGCCTCCGCATGATGTTAGTCACGCTACAGTATTGTAATGGAACAGATGATTGTGTCAACACATGTTACCCCTTCCCCTTTTTCCTTTCTGTATCCCCTTTACTTGTTGTCAGTGCGTCACCGCACAAAATAATAAAAAAATTAAGACATTGAAAAAAAAGAAATGTTCACACTTTGTCTGATCCCAGCAAAGTTTATTGTATGTGTAGAAGCCCTATAAAGGGTTAAATGTGAAAGGGTTTATAAAATTAAATGGCCATTGGAATAAAACTAAAGAGCCTCCATTTTGTTTAAATGTACATGGGGATTTAGGCCAGAGCGACGGTAACGTTCTCTTTGTTTTTACTATAAAATATAACTATAGTATATACTATATATATATATATATATTATGTAATACGAAATATAATGGTTATGTATAAATAATGGTGCAATCTCTAACATTACGTGTTATCTATTTACTCATATTAAATCTTTGGCCTCTATATAAGTATTTCTAAAGATGTATAAATGGGCTGTAAACACCATCAGGCACGGGGGCACATTTATGACATTTCTTTCTCACATTTGTCACTTTTCTCATGGCGTAGGTGACGCTAGATGTGGGACGGAGGAGAAATGTTTTGCTATAAAGTGTTCTTACAACAAAAGTGCATTTTTTCGCCCATTTTTAGCCATAATCTGTGACAAAATAACAAAAGTGGCGGTGGCGCAAAGGTATGTAATTCTGATAGAATCTTTTTATGCGTAAACGCAGACAAATTGTGTCAATATTGCACCATGTTTCTCACTGAAACCCTATAGAATATATTGCAGGAAAAGACGTGCGCAATATAAGGTTAATCTGGATTAATGACCATCGAATATTAATAAGGAGCAACAGATCAGGATGGTAGATATGGACTGTTTACCTTGCAATATGATAAAATATTTATTTTATGCAGGTTAGAGAACATATACAGCAGCTGTAGCCTGACGTGTGTCAAGCTTTAAATAATAAAACAAGACAGGGAATGCCTAACAAAAAGGGGAAACACAGAGCAGTTTTCCATAAAACACTGCAATGGTAAATACAGACAGACGGACAGTGGGCTGGGTAGAGACAAACAAACTAGCATGGACTGGGCACAGATAGACAGACGGACAGTGGGCTGGGCACAGACAAAGTGGCATGGACTGGGCACAGATAGACAGACGGACAGTGGGCTGAGCACAGACAGACTGGCATGGACTGGGCACAGATAGACAGACGGACAGTGGGCTGGGCACAGACAGTCTGGCATGGACTGGGCAAAGATAGACAGACGGACAGTGGGTTAGGCACAGACAGACTGGCATGGACTGGGCACAGATAGACAGACGGAGAGTGGGCTGGGCACAGAGACATAATGACAATGAGCTAGGTACAGACAAACTGGCATGGACAGGGCACAGATAGACAGACGGACAGTGGGCTAGGCACAGACAGACTGGCATGGACTGGGCACAGATAGACAGATGGACAGTGGGCTGGGCACAGACAGACTGGCATAGACAGGGCACAGATAGACAGATGGACAGTGGGCTGGGCATAGAGACATACTGACAATGAGCTAGGTACAGACATACTGGCATGGACAGGGCACAGATAGACAGACTGACAGTGGGCTGGGTACTGACAGACTGGCATGGAAAGGGCACAGATAGACTGACAGTGGGCTAGGTACAGACAGATTGATACTGGGCTAGGTGGAGACAGACTGGCACTGGGCTGAGTACAGACAGATTGACACTTGACTAAGTACAGGCAGACTGACATGGAGCTGGGCAAAGACAGGAAGACTGACATGGGGCTGTTAACAGACAGACAGACTGACACTTGGCAAAGTACAGACAGATTGACACTTGACCTAGTACAGACAGACTGACATGGGGCTGAGTACAAACAGACTGACACTTGTCGGAGTATAGACAGATTGTCACTTGGCAGAGTACAGACTGACATGGGGCAGAGTACAGACTGACATGGGGCAGAGTACAGACTGACATGGGGCAGAGTACAGACTGACATGGAGTTGGGCACAGACAGACAGGCTGACGTGGGGCTGTGTACAAACAGACAAAATGACACTGGGTACAGACAGACTGACTAGCATGGGTCTGGTAGAAAGAAAAAAATGCAATGGAGGGCAAACCCAGAACATGCATTTCTTAATAAAGGTTCTCCTGTAAATAACAACATATATTGACAATGCACATTATGGGAACAGTGCACACACAAAATACTGATTAAATCTTACAGGGGTATTTAAATAAATAATCTATATTTGCTAATTAATGTGGGTATTTAATCAAGCTATATCGCCACCACTGTATCTTACATTTTAAAACAGTACGACTGTGTGGCGGCCACCCTGATGGGAAGATGGGTTCCACCACCACAGAAGTTCTTTTCTCCCTAGTGGGAGGGATGCTGTAATGCAGAGCAGGAACAGCTCTTACAAGAGCTAGTGATTTAGCACTTCAAGCAGAAGGGAGACAGCTATTATAGCTTTCTCCCACAAACATGAGACGATGCTCTATGCTGTGGAACAACTGGTTTTCACACAGCCTTTTATGTCAATCTCAATGCAAGGGGCACTCCCCTCTGGACCTGAGAGTAGACTACAGTAAAAACAAACACACGATTACATTGGCTCTCAGGTCCAGGACACTCCCATACAAAATCAGATAATCCCTCCTCTCTGCCTGGGAGATAATTGAGTCAGGAACTGTACTAACTCAACTATCTCCAGGCACAGAAAACACCCATTTTAGCCGTACCCCGAAACTACCCCCAAAACCCATGGAAACCCCACACAAGTTACATCCCCTGATAGCCCTGATCTGGGTGATTTTTGGATATGTTGGTCACCCAGATCGGGGTTATCAGGGGTTCGGGATTTCCATGGAGGTCTTATTTTGACCGACCGCAAACGAGGCTCCTGCCCAAAAGAGTTCCATGAAATCAGGCTGTGCGGTCGGTTTCTTTTTTGAATACTTAATATAGTCAAAATACCGAGCATAGCGGTTTGTGTCTCGTTTGGGAGCTTGCTCCCACCGAACGCCTTTCAATTCCTATACGTTTAGCCGAATGTCGATGGAAGAGACTTTCTGGCAGTGTTCATGCCGTCGAGTGTCCGATGTGGTTTCCATGCATTTGACGACCAAACACCGTTCAGTGTGTTCGCGGCTAAAGATGGCCGCCGCCACATGTTCGTATACCGAACAGTGACCACCCAGCCGACCGCTTAGAACTCTTGTAGTTTAGGAGTGTTAATGAGGTGACAGAGGTTAGTAAGTGGCACACTCTGCATCCGGGTGGTCTAGTTGTTCGGTAGTTTGTTCGGTAGGGGAATGAAATAAAAATGAAATGAAGGACAATGCAATCCCGAACCCATAGGAGAATCAAACAAAGGGATTACAATCTAGGGACAGGGTGATCAGTCACAGTCTGTGTGTGCGCAGTTTCCTTAACAGACCAATAAACTCACCCAGACACTTTATCTCAATGTAATGGCCTGAGTGCAGCGCTCATGTACCCTTTAAAGGTAAACACTGTCATTTTGAAGAAACTGTGTCATTACCATGAAGGGTTAAACAAATATCTAGTGGCTGTCACACTGACAGCCACTAGAGGCGCTTTCTACGCAGCAACCAAGTAAAACTCAGTCATGTGACGTACGCATAACCAAATGCAGCTCATAGAAAAGCAAGAGGAATAATCTTATAAGATTAATTTGCAATCAGATGTTGACTTACTTTAGAAGTTTTTATCTCCTGCTCTGTAAATTAAACTTTAATCACACACAGGAGGCTTGTGTAGGGTCTAGCAATCTATTAACAGAGCAGGAGAGGAGAAATTCTAAAGTAAACAGAATAACGAAAGTTTAAACATTAGTTGACTCTTTACAGGAAGTGTTTAGGAAGGCTGTGTAAGTCACATGCAGGGAGGTGTGGCTAGGGCTGCATAAACAAAGTGATTTAGCTCCTAAATGGTAAATAATTGAGCAGTGAGACTGCAGGGGCATTATCTATACAATAAAACTGCGTCATTAAGCTGTTGTTGTTCTGGTGACTATGGTGTCCCTTTAAGTTTATAAGGAAACTGATATAATACTGCACTTTAACACTTGTAAGTTATCTTCCATTTACACATAGTTATTGAGACTTTGTGTTGTACTTTAAACTTAGCTGTTAAGTGACACACTTTAAGGAATTATATTGGAAGATATGTGAGCATTAACCCTTTGTTTACATGACTGTGCACTATGCACTTTTGTGATTCTCTATAGATAGATGGATTCTATACTAGGCTTGTAGGGGTTAATGTTCCACTGTGTGAAACACTTTCAGTGTACATGATCAGTTACACAGCTAAGGTTAAGGTCAGTTAAGATCAGTTAAGGTGCTGCTAAATCTTATTTGTTATTTTTGTTACAGCCACAGCTTGGCTTTTTTAGCCTTAGTTTGGGATTGTAATTGCTAGAATTAATAAGTAACCCTGACAGAAGGAAGAGGGGCACTGTACTGACAGACAGACTGACACTGGCTGAGAACAGACAGACAGACAGACAGACAGACAGAGACTAGTTATAGAAAGACAGACTGACAGGTGCCGGGTACAGACAGACTGACAGAGACTAGTTATAGAAAGACAGACTGACAGGAGCCGGGTACAGACAGACTGACAGCAGCCGGGTACAGACAGACTGACAGAGACTAGTTATAGAAAGACAGACTGACAGGAGCCGGGTACAGACAGACTGACAGGTGCTGGGTACAGACAGATTGACAGAGATTAGTTATAGAAAGACAGACTGACAGGAGCCGGGTACAGACAGACTGACAGGTGCCGGGTACAGACAGACTGACAGAAACTAGTTATAGAAAGACAGACTGACAGGAGCCGGGTACAGACAGACTGACAGGGGCTGGGTACAGACAGACTGACAGGAGCCGGGTACAGACAGACTGACAGGTGCCAGGTACAGACAGACTGACAGAGACTAGTTATAGAAAGACAGACTGAAAGGAGCCGGGTACAGACAGACTGACAGGGGCTGGGTACAGACAGACTGACAGGAGCCGGGTACAGACAGACTGACAGGTGCCGGGTACAGACAGACTGACAGAGACTAGTTATAGAAAGACAGACTGACAGGAGCCGGGTACAGACAGACTGACAGAGATTAGTTATAGAAAGACAGACTGACAGGAGCCGGGTACAGACAGACTGACCGGAGCTGGGTACAGACATTGTGTTTGTCACAGAGATTGTCCCTGGGTCTATGTGTTGCACTGCGGTGAAAGAGGAAGGAATGTCATTATAGAACAGAATTAAATCCCACTCACCTTACAGGATCTGATGAGTAGTGGGCTGGTAATTGGAGGGGTATACGACTTGTCAAACACAGAGTATCCCTCATCTGCAAGCTTAACCCTCTGCTTCAATCGGCCTTTATATCGCGGACTGTAAAAGTCATCATCGTATCGCGCAAAACTAAATACCCCCACACCTGGAGAGATGCAACAATACCAGCACTAAACATCAGCCATGTTTATAATTCCAGCCGACTAGAGCGTACATAGATCGTTGCCAAATTGTAAACTGAGAATAAATTATATTTTATTAAAGGGACACTATAGTCACCAAAACAAGTTTAGTTTAATGAAGCAGTTTTGGTGTATAGATCATCAGTCTAATTTCTCGAACACTTTTGTTTCTGTTACACAGCCTTTGCCACCCTTCCCCTGGTTGCGGCTCACACACCATGCTTTAAAAATTGGTTTAATTTTCAATTAGATGTTAATAGATTTAGAAGTTTATTTCTCCTGCTCTGTAAATTGAACTTTAATTACACACTGCAGGCTCCTGCAAGGTCTAGCAAAATATTAACAGAGCAGGAGATAATGAATTTTAGATTGAGCAATATAGGAAGTGTAAACATTAAATCTCACTTTACAGGAAGTGTTTAGGAAGGCTGCATTAGTCACATGCAGGAAGGTTTGACTAGGGCTATATAAACAAAGTGATTTAACTCTTAAATAACAGAGACTTGAGCAGTGAAACTGCAGGAGCATGGTCTATACACCAAAACTGCTGCATTAAGCTAAAGTTGTTTTAGTGACAATAATGTCCCTTTAAATATATGATCATAAAACTTTGCTTGTAACCAGACTGAACTAAAAATGAGGACAAGTGAAGAAACATTCTAACCTAACGCCACATTTGCCGCAATCATTGTAGCACGCATGTCTGATTATCATTAAAGGGAACCTATAGGCACCCAGACCACCTCAGCTCATTGAGGTAGTCTGGGTGCACAGTCCCAGGTTCCTTAATACTGCAGTTATAACTATTGCAGTTTTTAGTAAACTGCAATAATTACCTTTGAGGGTTAACTCCACCTGTAGTGGCTGCCTGGAAGACTTCTGGAGTGACGTCATCCAGCGTCATGTAAAACCCCATAGGTGGGGGGAAAAAACTTTCATACGTAGGGGGAAATACTAATGCAAGCGCGGCCATGGCCACATATGCGCATTGGTGTTGGCGGGGGAGGAACAGAGACGGAGCCCGAATCAGCACAGAGGGACATGGACTCAGGACTCATGTACGGGACAGAAGGGGTTTTAAAACCCCTCTTAACCACAGCTGGATGGATGGAGGAGGGGGGGTGATGGAGAAGTGCACAATAGTGAGCTATAGTGCCAGGAAAACAACTTTCTTTTCCAAGCACTATAGTTTCCCTTTAAGAGCAGTTAGGGATCGATGCCCCTACTTCTTCATTGTGCAACACACACCGCCCATGTAAAAACAGAGCTGTGTTAACTGTGTGTTCACTATTAAACTCTACCTGAGCGCGATGTCAGACAGCCTAAAGAGCGATTCAGGGAGATCACTGGAAGGCAGGTAGCTACTTAGTAAAATGCCTTCAGACGTGAGGGAGAAACACAACACTTTGACCACAATAAAAAAAAAATTAACATTTCTACAACTTTTTTTCTAACACAACATGTCTACATATTTTAACGTTGGACAACATTGTGTAGAAAAAGGAGTCGGATTGCATTGCTAATTGTACCTGCAGTAATGCACAATACCAGTCTGTGCTCATTTGCATCCCATGCCGGGAACTCTGGGATAGTTGATTAAACATGATATCATTATCTTGAGTGTCTGTGCCCAAGGGTGACCTCAGAATGGCTTACTTGAAATATGCAGGTGATGCATAACAGTCATTTTAATTAGGTCCTATGTAGTTATGGTACATGTTTACACTATGTAAAAGATGTGCAATGAATATGTAATTCCATGATTACCCACTAAGTGGCAGTACAACGATGGACATGTTTAAATAATGTCTGTGAAAAACTACAGCTTATTAATGTATCCTCCATTTAAATGGGCAGAAGCGGGGAGTTTTTTTCTATTCTTCTACCACACTCTAGTGGTAAGATTAAGCAAGTGTAGCTATTTCCCATAGTATCACTATATTTGTCTGGGGTCCGACATTACTGATTGCAAGCTCCTATGGACATTGCCACTTATTGGATTGATAAGCTCTCCGAGACAGTCTAGTCTCTTCTACCATATCACTAGTTAAAAAGACTGTAAGCTCTTTGTGACTGGGAACCCCATGACATCACTACATCAATGGTGTCCAAGGTAGATCCCCAACTTGTTATTAAATTAAAATCCCAACCGTAAACCTTGTGTGATAGGGTCTGTAATTAGATTGTAAGCTTCTTGGCACAAGGTGTCCTACGATACTGTTAGATTGTAATCACCTTGCATCAGTGTCTCCCACTGGATTACTAGACGGTAAGCTTGCCTTTCTGTGGTTGGATCTGATAGAGTGCTAGCTCATATGATCAGGGTATCTATGTATTTATAAATATCCTGCCCATTTATAGGAGCTCTTTAAGTGACACTGTGTTTTACATTTGAGGGATAGAAAGTTAAACTGACAAGGCAATATAACCAGTTGTATCTCGCTGACATTTTATTGTTATAGGTGTATGGGTCGATTTCCTTCCTGCGTATAGCTCAAATATCCACACTCCCGTACCTTCAGTTAGTGACGCCGTCCCAAACACAAAGTTCCAACTGTCTCTCGGATACAAATCTATCATTGTCGCTCCCACAATACACAGAGCATCGTCCGGCTTCACCTGCTTCAGGTATTTAAGGAGATCCCCTGGGTAAGGAAATAGCAGAATATCAAAGGACTAGCTAAGTAAACGAAGAAGGGAAAATACTATATATTAAATCAATAAGCGCCAGATGTACGTCTGAGATGTACGCTCTCTGGTGATTTCTCTTTCAGAGGGACAGTCCCTATTTTAATCCCAAAATCCCCATCGTTCTTTATCCATAGTTGGTGTGCCTGAGTGTATAACAGAGCTTCGCAGCAATAAATCTCACAGTAACGTGTCTTAAACCCCTTAAGGACACATGACATGTATGACATGTCACGATTCCCTTTTATTCCAGAAGTTTGGTCCTTAAGGGGTTAAACTACAATAAATGTAAACAGAGACCAATCTGGTTAAATAAGAGACTTTAGGTCAAATGATACTTTGAGTAACAAAAAGTTACACTGACAATGTAACCCCCAACCTACTTTCAACCCCCTACTATGCTATCGGCCCTGCCTGGAAGACGTGTGTATATATACTTTTCAAATCCCCTTGCCCCTCCACATAGTGTTGGGACATTTATATGCTGGTATATTGACAACCAGTTTTTCTCTCGCCCTATTCTGTTTAAAGGCTTTTAAACTATTGTTTCTCTCCCTTAGGTTTAATAAAGGTAGGGCTCCCTTTGGCTTTTCCTCCCCCCTTTTATGTTAACTCTCCCACCAGGACACTATAGTCCGACTCCTTTTCTATTGTGTATATTGTGGGTTATTCCACATTTAGGGAGAGTAACATTGGGTACCTTTTTGGCACTATTCCCTTTGTCCCTCATTGTATTGGGACTTCTGGATCAGAGCCATTTTTTCACATTTATTTCATTAATTAAAACATAGTAATGCTTCTACATTCCACGAAAATACCAGCTGCAGAGCCAATGCATTTCATACAGATGTTGGATTAGCTGATACCATTGACACTCTTCTTAAAGGACATTTTTTAACAATTTACACAAATTTAAGTCCAATTCCACCCCCTTAACATACACTGCAGCCCTATCCCATAATAAGCACACCCACACACTACATACCCAACACACACACACTGCCCCACCAGCAAAAACAAACTACATCCCCAGAACTCTCGGTCTATACCTGTGTGTCTATGTCTGGGTGTACGTGTGTGTGTCTGTCCATACATGTGCATGTCTGTCTACCCTTCTGTACCTGGGTGTGTGTCTGTAACTGTGTCTGTAACTGTGAGTGTGCCAAGACGAGTATTAAGCTGTGGAATTGGGGATTGCTAGGGGGGAGGTGTGGAGAATGGGTCACCAAATTATTTTTGGGCTCAATCCTGGATGATATCTGATTCTAGCAACGCCTCTGATAATTTAGTTCCACATGCACACAACCTTGGAAATACAGACAAAGCCATTGGGTGCATCTCTAGAATTTGGCTGTGGACCACTAATCTATATAGTTTAAATGAATTATCTATATAAATACTGTATAAAATGGCATGGGAATGGTATTATAGCCCGTAATGTTCCTTCAAAAAAAAAAATGACAGCGGTAAAGAATGCGTCAAAAAAAGGATCCACATTAATTAATAAAATACAGGTACGAGAGCATTTTTTTCTTTTTTTATTAAATGGGGATTAATGTAATTTCTTTCATCCTGGTGTTTGTAATGAAGATTTTTGATGGGATAGGAAGTGACAAGAAGTGAAGAGACATGCACATAATGGAGAAGTAGAAAATGACACATTCCCTTAATGGGACAGACAAAGTAGGCACGACATGCAACGAGGCAGGGTGGAGAAACACAAATGCTATAAAACAGCAATTCCTGGGGGTGGGGCCGGTCCGCCATTATTTTATTATTTATATAGCACCATCAGATTCCATAGCGCTGTACAATGGGTGGACTAACAGACATGTAATTGTAACCAGACAAATGGACGTACAGGAACAGAGAGGTGGAGGGCCCTGCTCAATGAGCTTACATTCTAGAGGAGGAGGACATGCTCCCATGACTTCCAGAACTTTTTGTTGTATAACCGGAGACCAATCCCTCACCGAATATCAAGAAGCGGCGGCTCTTTGCACTAGACGGTGCTGGTCCCAAGGTTCGGCCCGAAACTTGCTTCCTGGCCCTAGTTCCACTACCTCCGGTCTGAGGCCTACTCAGGTGGTGAGTGGGGTGGATAGCCACTACTCTACATCCCTGCCTGTTTGGAGCAAGCCAGACCTTCCGAGCCAAGAGGCGCTGGCCCTGTTTCCCCCTCCTTTGGACCGGTGTGGGTCATCCCAGTCCCCATCCTAGAGGTCCCATAGTGAAACTAAAGGAACGCAATGCTGCAGTGCGGGGGACACCGCTTGTCATGCAAAATGGTGGCTGCAGTGAATCTATCTGATAGTAAGAAGCTGAACGTGGTGGCTCAACTTACCTCTTCTTTGATGAACTCTGGAGGAAGCTAGAGGCACGCTCACAAACTGCAATACCTGCAGTAACAGACACCTGCACCCCCCAGAATCGACCTGCCGGGTGGGAGTAGAGGTGGAATGCCCCACCACGACCAGCCCCAAAACGGCGCAGACGCATACTTTGGGTTCGAGTGGAGAGGATCGGAGGTACCTACTCATTAGGCTCGCATGCACGAGGGCCAACTCCTGGTCGCCAAATGTACCAGCCAATTCACATAGACCCGCATCTCAGCTGCATGACACATGGGCCTACACACGGGCTATTTATCCGACATCCACTCTACCAGTCCAGGTCCACAATGTACCGCGGAGAGGCATTGGCTGGGCATGGACTGAGGCTTTTCCTGACATACTCACCTCCATCTACATGCCGCTTTAGTGCTGATTATTGAATTTATGTTTTTGTTTTAAGCTTCCTTTAATTTCCGGTTAATCTAATATTGCTATCTTGCGTCTATGCTATATTGCCTTTGTTTCCTATCTTTCACTGATAACTTCAAGGGTGTTTTGTACTCTACCTTTATAACAAACCAGCTCTATGTGATATAAAGCTACTAACCCACTATGTATAGCCTGAACTGGCAGGTCTCACTCACCCTCTTAGTCTACCTTAAAATAGTGCGATGTCTACTCTTGCCATGACTATGTAACATGTATGATACTGAAAGCCTGTCTGTGCTGTCGTGGCACCACAAGCCTGTTTGTTATTGCTTGCACTATATAAAATAAAGAATTTTTAAAAAAACGCAATTCATTTAATGCCTTGAATTACTCTCGTAGTCTTTTGACAAAGACCTCAGTTGAGGATGAAAGGTTGCTGTTCCTGTTATTTTAAAGTACTTTTGGTCACAATGTAACAGGACAAGGAGAGAGGACAGGTTTGAGTAAATGGTTAGAAATGATAAAATCGCTTCTCTTACCTGCGTGAATCTGTAAATTTTGAGTCATATCATTGATTCGAAATGCACAGCCAGTGTCCGATACAGGGATCGGACCTTGGATTTTAACAGGGAGTCCATAAAAAAAAGCTTGGCAATACCCTTTCAGCCACCCAATGTAACGGTGAGTGCGAACATCATCATCTCCAAAAGGACCTAAAGAAGGTTTTGATTAAAAAAACAGGAAACGAAAAACCATAAAATAAAGTCGCCAGGAAAAGCCATAGCCACAATATTCACTAAAATAAAAAAAAACGGCCAGGAATCCAAATTGAATTTCAAATTCGGGGTCAAAATAGCAGAATTTGAATTCCTAACAATTCTTACTTTAATAAATAATCCTGTGAAATTATCAACCTGTTTAAAGAAAAACTGCAATTTCCTCAATTCTAGCAGAACCAAAGAGCTAACAACAATGTAGGTATTATTGTGCTAGTATTATACATTTTTTAAATTCTTTATAAAATTAGTAAATTCATAACATACACCTAGGTGAGATTTATTTTAATTTGTTTTTATTACCTATTGTCTGCACATAGATGGTCTTTCTCTTTGGCGTTGGGACACGTCTGCTGGACTTGTAATAAAAGTCTTTGAAAGACTCGGCGGGCTCCGGGTGGGATGGAATCCAGTCGGATGGAGAATGGATTGTTATAGGGTGAAAGATGGATCCATCCGCTTGGAACGCTTGACAGAGGAGCGTTCTTTCCGCTACGGTGTATTCCTCAAACAGCTTCTGTAGAGGAGGATTATCGGACAGCAGAGCATCGCGCAGGGTGTCCGCAGAGTGCCTGATTACCCGCATCTATATGTGGAGAAAGGACTCACATAATTAAAGAGTTTCTTTAAACCTATTTACTTAAATGGGATTTAAAAGTTAGCATGCCTTAGCAAAGTCTCCCCTTTTCAAACCTACAAAAAAAGGTAAACACTTACTTGAAGTCTCTTGGCGATGCTTTCCACGCCTCCATTGACAACACGAAGGGTCCGATGAGGTCCAATGAAATGCTTCTCATAGATAATCATTTGGTTGGATCATTTCACCGGGGAAGGAAGAGATAAAAAAAAAGACAAAAAAAACAACGGCAATGGAGGAATGGATGAGAGAGGGTAGGGCAAGGTTTGCCATTGCAGGTTCACTTTCTGTAAGGAAGGGGCTCATGACATCTCCCGCCAGCATGCCATGCAAGCTGACGACAGTCGTAATTTGTGCCCAGGATTGATATTAGGAAGCCCGGAGCTCTGTTACGAGTGCCTGGGGGAGTAACCAGATCCCAGCTCAATAGAGAAAATATCTCTGTTTCAAGCAGAAAAGTACAGACTCCTACCACCATGACCACTTCAAATCAATGAAGTGGTCATGGTGGCTGGCAATGCTGGCATAACTCTTTAATAGCCATGGGATTATTACATAGCAAAACAATTTCATTAAAACCTCTCTTTCCAGAATGTTAATTTATTTGTTTTATGAAGCTGATGAAACACCCGTTAAAAAAAGTAAAATATTAATATTTAAGTTAAGAAAATTATTGTCATCATGTCTAGCTTGCAGTTAGTTACAAGACTCACTGAGCAAACCTTGCAGGGAGTCCTCGCTTCATTTTCATAGCATGTCTGCGAAAACTGCCATCCAATCAGAATGCAGAGAATACACGAGTAAACATATAGCTGCCTCTAAGACGCCACCTAGACCGCGGCGCAGATGATTATTTATCCACTATTCCAGCTGGAGGACGTTTGGATTTTTTTTTATCCTTAATTCTACCTGGGGGTTCAGGGTAATTTTTCTCCTTTTGTTTAAATAACCTTGTTAAGAAAATACAGTGTGGAACCCATTTTCATGGAATGGTTTCTCATGAAGATTAAAGTGTTTAAATAACAGTGTAAGTGAATATATGTAAATTTCCCACCAGATTTTCTTTTAAAGTTGTTTAACCCCTTAAGGACACATGACATGTCTGACATGTCATGATTCCCTTTTATTCCAGAAGTTTGGTCCTTAAGGGGTTAAAGCAGTAGTTTCACCTCCCATCTTCCCCCCACACCCCCACCCCATAGAATCTTTATGAAATACTAATTTTGACAGCTGTCACCAGTGATGCCTGCAGGGAATTGGCTGTGTCCATGGAAGATCACACTTTCTCGCTGGATCTCCCATAAAACCTCAGCGCTGCGGAACTTGTTGGTGCTTTATAAATAATAATAATTATTATTTATATTACATGTTTTCTTTGTGGAGTGTATGAAATGTTGGCTTACAGTAGCTGCAGATCTAGAAAATCTAGGTGAAATCTTACCTAGGATCTATAAAGTAGAGAAAAAAAACAAGTAGCAAGAGAGGTGAGAACGGACAACCGCTCAATTAACCTGCCGTTTGGTGGGTCCCCGCTCAGATCTTAAGCTGGTTTTAGTTCAACTTGTGCCATTACAGAGAGAACATATCTGAAGTGTTTCAGACTGGTCTCACCCATGCGGGCAGTCCAGAGCCGAAATGCCAGCAAGTTCCCTCTGCACGAGAGATACGGCAATCCTAGATCGTTTCAACCTTGTAAGGTATCATCGATGAGGTATAGCCAATATCCTTCTAGGCACCGTGAGCAAGGGGTCCAAGTCTGGATTACCCTTTAAACTTAATGAGCGAAAACCAGCTTGAAATCTGAGCGGGGACCCACCGAAGGGCAGGCTAATTAAGCGGTTGGGATCTATAAAGTACTACCACTACCTCTCTATGTCCTCCTGGAGATCTGCTCTGTAGAACTGAACACAATACTCTAGGTGAGAAATTACCAGGGATCTATAAGGTACTATCACTGTAGAGAATCTAGGGTAACCCAACTGGTTACCTCCGCTAATTCCCTTCCTTCAGCCAGCCGGGAAACAGTTAGGGCATACAGAAACCCATTTTCACCCCTCTCCCCCCCCTGTAACTGGACGACACACGGTCCTGGAGGTACAACACAATTTTATTGTTATTTATTTTATGCATAATAATGCAAGGGGTTTACCGTACACACGTGCAAGGACACATCCCAAGATCCTCCCCATCCCTGGGGCCCCAGCCCGGGAAAGGACGCTGCTCCCTTTGTCCCCAAAGCCTGCCACTAAACCCACAGGGTCTTCTTCCCAAGAGCTTCAGTGCCTGGGAGTCTTGGCGCGGGAAAAGGGACCATCCCTTTGTCTCCCAGGCACAGAAAAGCCCGTCAGCGGGAAAAGAGCTGGTCTCTTTGTCCCTCAGGCTCATGAGAGCCCGCCAAACTTGCCAGTGCCCACACCAATCTCAGGGACCCTTGCCTCGGTCTCTCGATCGACTACTTGCAAGGTTTGGTGTGAAACCCAGACAAAAGAAGCATCTCCTTTTGGGGTACGAGTGCTCCCCCTGGACAGCGTTCGTCTATACGAAATGGCGGCCACCCAGGGAAGCACTCATTAATTACTTCCCTTGTGATTTCACACCTATGTTGTGAGTGCGAACGTTCTGATTAATTGGTGTGAACGTTCTAATGGGACACCGGGGAGGGAGATGAACGAGGTGAGAAACAATCCACGAATGCTCCCGTTGGTGGCACTCGCTTATCCGAACCGCGGCCACCCAGGGAAGCACTTGTTAATTGTTTCCCTTGCGGTTTTGACACTTAGGTTGCAAGGTGGGAGCATTCTAACGTAACATTCTAAATGAGGGATTGGGGTGGTCCCAATTCGGGAGGTGAATGAATTTCCTTCGTGGAAACACTCCCGAACGGGGAGCGGGCACAATAAGTGAACATACCAAGGGAATACATGTAAACAAGAGGGAAAACTCACAAACAGGCAGCGGTTCCGCCACAATCACTACCTCTTTATGTCCTCCTGGAGATCTTGCTCTATGGAACTGAACACAATACTCGAGGTGAGATCTTACCAGGGATCTATAAAGCTTCCTGCTTTAGCACAGGTGCTCAGGTCCAGTAATCTGGGGCAGGAAGAAATCAGATTGTGTTGCTACAGAATAAGTAGTGGGTGCACCCAGTAATATGGAGTTAGCATATAATATACATCTTGTTTCTTACCTTATACGTTCTTAGTTCCGGCCATCCCGGCTGTCAGCGGATACTCAGATTTTGTGATTAAAGGGATGGTGGTGTATGTAGCTTGTTATTAGGAGAGTAAGGCATGTAGGCAGCAGTATAGCCAGCTACAGGAACGCCTCCAGTGAGAGACCATGGATAAAGTGACACACTCTGCAAAAAACGTACACACACAGGGACAGGGGAAGGCTATTAACTGCAAGGAATACAAAATTTTTAAAAAAGGAAACCACATATTATTTTGGAAATAATATAAAAACAGGCTGTTGCATATAATGTTGCATTCCTGAACCCTGTCAGGATTAGTACTAAAAGAGTGAGCTGTGAAAATCTAAAGTGAATATTACATTTTTAGGCTAATCTAGTCGAATTACAAACTGATTTGGTGAATTTCTCCAGTTCGGCTACTGTGGCTTACAATTTGCAATCCACTTTGAAATCCCCGTAGTTCACACTTTAATTGATATTCCTGAGAGTGAAATAAATCCACATTGAAAGTTAAAGGGACACTATAGTCACCAGAACAACTACAGTTTATTGAATTTGTTCTGGTGAGTAGAATCATTACCATCAGGCTTTTTGCTGTAAACTCTGTCTTTTCAGAGAAAATGCAGAGTTTACATTACAGCCTAGTGATAATTTCACTGGCCACTCCTCAGATGGCTGTTAGAGATCCTTCCTGGGTTAAGGCTGCCTAAAATGCATCCAAACATTCAGTGTCTCCCCCCTCTGCAAGCAGACACTGAACTTTCCTCATAGAGTTACATTGATTCAATTAATCTCTATGAGGAGATGCTGATTGGCCAGGGCTGTGTTTGAATCATGCTGGCTCTGCCCCTCATCCACCTCTTTGTGAGTCTCAGCCAATCCTATGGGGAAGCATTCTGATTGGATCAGGCTACCACTTCTAATGATGTCAGCAGGCAGTGGGCAGGTCTAAAGGAAACAGGGACCAAGTAAGCAGCTGCAGACCTGAATACAAATAAGATATTACTATATTTAGGGAGGCATGAGGGGACCAGGGTGGCTAGATGGTGTTTTAACCCTATAGGGTCAGGAATACATGTTTGTGTTCCTGACCCTATAGTGCTTCTTTAAAGCTGTCAGAATTCTCTGGGATAAACGCTCACATGGGAACGTTTACCGCTGGATGAAGTCACAAAGTGTAATTTGTCAGGAATTCAAACTAAATTGAAAAGTGCATTTAAATTTTTAGGCCAAGATGGCGTCGTCTAAACTTACTTTGCGATCCACCTTGTATTTCTCAAACGTACCGCTCTCTGTGCACAAACCATACATTTTTTGCTTTGTAACTTCTCGAACTCTATTAGTGCACAATCCCTTTCCTCTTTTAATTATATTTTTTATACTGAATTGCTAAATTCTGTTTTTGTTTGTACATTGAAATAAAATTCTAGTTTTGCGTTATGCTTGCCGCCACATAATTTATTACAAAACTCTGCTGAGTAATATTTCAAATTTTACTTTGCAAGGCGTACAGTATGGTCTCGTGGAGCATTTTATGTCGTTTTTTGGAGGGGAAGAGGGTGTGAGTGGGAAAATTAGCAAGACAACCCCCCCCCTCCCCCCCCCCCCAACTTTTAGATTTGTTTTAGAATTTTTTAATAAATAGGTTTGCAGCCCAAAACTAAGACGCTCTTCGGACCACTTTGATAAATCTCCCCACGTCTTTCTAATCTAAACCCATTGTTCAGCAGTCAGGAGGCCTATAAATAGGCTGGCATAGGCTGCCTTGGCACAGATTGCAGGCATTTTCAGACTCTCCCTAAAGCAGGAACCCATGACACAGTCAATATGACAGACAGGAATACACCCACTTTAGTTTAGCTGCAGCTATGAGAGGAAGCTATGCAAGGAATTAGTCTTTTATTGAGCGACTAGCTCTCGTAGGGTTAATACTCAGATACTGGAAATAGCATGCTGCTAGCCTCCTGGAAGTCACTAGGGGTGTAAACATTAACCCTTTAACTACCTGTGTTGCAGCTAAAGTGACTTGATTAATGTTTCCACACTTCATGGATCCTCAGTCTATCAGGACTTACAAAGCTAGAGGAAGTGTATTAAAAGGGGAACCGTCACGGAGAATTAACCCTTGAAACGCTGCATCCTTTATCGATGTGTGGTAATTCGCCAAGTTGTAAAGTCAGTAGTGTTTTAGTATAAAAGATATTGGGGCGCTGGTTAGTTGCCCTCCGTCCGTTGTGAGCTGCTGTGTTTCCCAAGTATTCCACAGACTGCTGACAGCAACACATAGCTCCCAACATTTCACATGGACAAAGAGGGACCCTTTAATTTAAGGGGTGTGAGTGGAAGTGTGGCAAGAGAAATTTTAGATGACCTACTATTAACAATTTATACGACTAAAATGTAATTTAAACCAAGAACAATGTATGCTATTTACAAAGACTGATTTCTAAACACAGTTATTGTAGTTTAAAGACACATTACTGGGAGTATTATTGCTGTGGAGCTCTGTTATACACCCAGACACATTACTGGGAGTATTATTACTGTGGAGCTCTGTTATACACCCAGACACATTACTGTGAGTATTATTGCTGTGGAGCTCTGTTATACACCCAGACACATTACTGGGAGTATTATTACTGTGGAGCTCTGTTATACACCCAGACACATTACTGGTGGTATTATTACTGTGGAGCTCTGTTATACACCCAGACACATTACTGGGAGTATTATTGCTGTGGAGCTCTGTTATACACTCAGACACATTACTGGGAGTATTATTGCTGTGGAGCTCTGTTATACACCCAGACACATTACTGGGAGTATTATTGCTGTGGAGCTCTGTTATACACTCAGACACATTACTGGGAGTATTATTGCTGTGGAGCTCTGTCATACACTCAGACACATTACTGGGAGTATTATTGCTGTGGAGCTCTGTTATACACTCAGACACATTACTGGGAGTATTATTGCTGTGGAGCTCTGTTATACACTCAGTCACATTACTGGGAGTATTATTGCTGTGGAGCTCTTTTATACACTCAGACACATTACTGGGAGTATTATTGCTGTGGAGCTCTGTTATACACTCAGACACATTACTGGGAGTATTATTGCTGTGGAGCTCTGTTATACACTCAGACATATTACTGGGAGTAGTATTGCTGTGGAGCTCTGTTATACACACAGACACACCCGCAATAAGGAGCTCCTAGAAAAGAGGGACAGAGGGATTTGGGCCCAAAATAGGGAATGCCCCTCCTAAATAGACACTTGGGAGGTATATAAAGATCAGGGCCGGACTGAAAAACAAACTGTATTTGGCCAGGGCATTTTTGAATCACAATGCCGCAGTGGGAAGGGGCATGTGGCCTGAGGAGGGGGCTCTTGTGTCATGACCAATGACAAGCACACCCCCTCTCAAAATGAGCATGTTGGTTCAATGCTCTTCCAAGGCAGCCCATGCGTAGAGCTCTAATTATTTAAAATAAATAAACAAACATTTGTATCCAGCCTCCCTTCTTCTTCCCTTTTTCTCAGGGAGGGGAGACATTGCATGACCAGGTGGTCCGGTGGTGAGATACTCTAGCCAGCAGCTCTTCCAGTTCAGTCCTCTTGCAAGCTCCTCGGAGCGTTGCCACGGTAACCCGCGGCAACACTACAAATGCCCTGCTTATGAGAGGAACATACAGCCTCCCAGCACATCCTCTACCCTCACTGCACCGCAGAGAAATGCCTGTGTGCCGGTGAGGGAGAGATGGTTCGGGCTATGGAGCGCTACACACATCGATGATTCGGGCTAGGGAGCGCTACACACATCGATGATTCGGGCTAGGGAGCGTTACACACAGAGATGGTTAGGGAGCACTACACACAGAGATGGTTCGGGCTAGGGAGCGCTACACACAGAGATGGTTAGGGAGCACTACACACAGAGATGGTTCGGGATAGGGAGCGCTACACACAGAGATGGTTAGGGAGCACTACACACAGAGATGGTTCGGGATAGGGAGCGCTACATACAGAGATGGTTCAGGCGATGGAGCTCTACACACAGAGATGGTTCAGGCTAGGGAGCGCTACACACAGAGATGGTTCCGGCTAGGGAACGCTACACACAGAGATGGTTCAGGCTAGGGAGCGCTACACACAGAGATGGTTCAGGCTAGGGAACGCTACACACAGAGATGGTTCAGGCTAGGGAGCGCTACACACAGAGATGGTTCGGGCTAGGGAGCGCTACACACAGAGATGGTTCCGGCTAGGGAGCGCTACACGCAGAGATGGTTCAGGCTAGGGAGCGCTACACACAGAGATGGTTCGGGCTAGGGAGCGCTACACACAGAGATGGTTCGGGCTAGGGAGCGCTACACACAGAGATGGTTCCGGCTAGGGAACGCTACACGCAGAGATGGTTCAGGCTAGGGAGCGCTACACACAGAGATGGTTCGGGCTAGGGAGCGCTACACACAGAGATGGTTCGGGCTAGGGAGCGCTACACACAGAGATGGTTCGGGCTATTGAGCGCTACACACATCGATGATTGGGGTTAGGGAGCGTTACACACAGAGATGGTTCGGGCTATTGAGCGCTACACACATCAATGATTGGGGTTAGGGAGCGTTACACACAGAGATGGTTCGGGCTAGGGAGCGCTACACACAGAGATGGTTCGGGCTAGGGAACGCTACACACAGAGATGGTTCGGGCTAGGGAGCGCTACACACAGAGATGGTTTGGGCTAGGGAGCACTACACACAGAGATGGTTCGGGCTAGAGAACGCTACACACAGAGATGGTTCGGGCTAGGGAACGCTACACAGAGATGGTTCGGGCTAGGGAGTGCTGCACACAGATGGTTCGGGCTAGGGAACGCTACACACAGAGATGGTTCGGGCTAGGGAGCGCTACACACAGAGATGGTTCGGGTTAGGGAGCGCTACACACAGAGATGGTTTGGGCTAGGGAGCGCTACACACATAGATGGTAGAGCGGATACCAATAATCTGTGAACTTTCCAGCCGATAACGATATTCTGTACATTTACCATTTTGAAAAAATAAACTATTTCTACACAAATCTACTGTTAACTGAACATGTTTATTATTTATTTCTTTTTTTTTTTTATTAAGGTAAATGCTCAAAATAGATATGCCAGTCAGAATTTTTTGATTTCAAGAATATATGTGTGTGTAGTGGAAGCAGTGAGAGTATTTGATTAGTGGATGCAGTGTGTGTGTTTGTGTAGTGTGTGTATAGTGAATGCAGTGTGTGTGTGTTTGTGTAGTGTGCGTATATAGTCAATGCAGTGTGTTTGTGTAATGTGTATATAGTGAATACAGTGTTTGTGTAGTGTATAGTGTGCATACAATGTGTGTGTGTGTGTATGTATATGTATATATATATATATATATATATATATATATATATATAATACACAAGATCCAGCGCACTCACCTATCCACTAAACAGCAACTTCAATGTTGAAAGATTTTATTTGTTTTTTTAAAAACACCTAATCTAGGCAAAAATAATGGGGGTTTAGTTACATTATATGATCATACAGTGCATAAGCCTGCCACAACGTCAATGTACCCCATCTTTGGCAGGTCCTACACTAACAACCTAATGTCTGCTCTTATGAGATTAACCTACTTGGGGAAAGAAATTCCATCTGGGGCTCTCTGCAGTACAAGGCTAAATAGGGCCCTGGGATGAGGCACCTGTGACAGGGAGGGGTGCAAAACCAAGGAGTTGGCTAGACTCCCAAATATATATAAAACAAGAGGGGGTTGGCTGCACTCACCTTAACATGCATAAATGGGGGTGCTGCTGGGGGCCAAATAATACAATACACAAGATCCAGCGCACTCACCTATCCACTAAACAGCAACTTCAATGTTGAAAGATTTTATTTGTTTTTTTTAAAACACCTAATCTAGGCAAAAATAATGGGGGTTTAGTTACATTATATGATCATACAGTGCATAAGCCTGCCACAACGTCAATGTACCCCATCTTTGGCAGATATAGTGAATGCAGTGTTTGTAGTATGTGTATATAATGAATGCAGTGTGTTTGTGTAGTGTGCGTGTGTGAGAGAGAGAGAGAGAAATGGGGGAGGGGCATTGTAATTATTTTCTAAATATTAAAATATTAAATTTTTTTACATTTTGTTTTAGTCCCCCCTCCCTGCTTCTTACCTGGCCAGGGAGGGGGGATATGGCATTCCCTGGGGGGGGCCTAGCACACTCTTACTTTTCTTCCCAGCAGCTCCCCCGTTTAACTCTGTGTGCCGCGTGGAGCGTGGCCATGGTAACCCGTGGCAACGCTCTGACAGCCAAAGTACTCGCGAGAGTTAGACAGGAGAGCTGAAGGGAAGGTAAGTAAGAGTGTGCTGGGCCCTCCAGGACCCCAAAGGCAGCTTTGGTCTGCATTATCGGTATCTTTATTGGCCGATACAGAATAACGATAATCGGTTGATACCTAGTGCAAATCCCTACCCTTTCTTACGCCCAGTTTACCAATCTTCCCTTTTATTTTATATTTCTTTGACCTCTTCCTTTTTCATTACTTGCTTCTATAATTCTGTTCTTCGCTCTCCCTTTCCCATAACCTTTTACCTGCGTTACGGTTTGTTTATATATTCCTCAACTTGGCTTAAGATTTCGTAATACTCATGTTGGTTGTACATTCTATTTTGATCCATTACAGTTGCTGCTGAATTTATTCATTTGACTTTCTTTTTCCCAAATATATTGTATTAATATAGCTTTACTATATGATGAGCCATCATACTGTTGTATTAAAGTATGTGCAATCTTTAGAACCGTTTTCTATATTGTCCCATGCTTTAACTTTTATTTATATAGCGCCAGCAAGTTCGGTAGCGCTGTATAATTTAATAAAATGCTAATAAATAGTAACATCCCTACCCAGACTGACCGCGAGACTCTCTGCAACTCTTTAATAGTATCACATCTATTACATATTAAAGATAACCATCAGTGTTAAATAACCTGGTACATGCATGCCCTATGAGCATGATGTGATGTGCAATTTGCTCACATGGTACAGGAAACAGCTGCATTAGTGTTGCTTTCAAGATTATTCTTTAGGTTGTGAACTCGTTTGGGCAAGGTCCTCTTCACCTACTGTTTCCGTATGTCGTAAGTATTAAAGTTACATTTTTATCATGCTTACCTGTTGTACAGCAATGCTAAATATGTTGGCGCTATATAAGTTGTAGTGTAATTCTATAAACTGAATTTGTTTTGGAAGAGAAATACTAGTTTTAGGCCAAGATAGCAAGAAGAAAAATGTATCAATTTCTAAACACAAATAAGCTCTAGTCCATACTGCAGACACCATAAATACATAAAAGGCGTAGTGTTTTTTTTTTCTTCAGCCCTTTGAAAGTAATTTTACCATCTAGTTCGATCTATGCTTGACAGGTCGAAGCTTCTTTCCTGGGCAGAAGTCTGCATTGAACAGTAGCCTGTGGTTATAACAAAATTTTAAATTCTAGGTTAGTTTATGCAAAAGGTTTTAGTGATTTTAGAATATTGCAGGGTCTAGAAGGCTATTAACATAGCTTGAGATTAATAAACTTCCTTTATTATGTGTGCATAAAGTGTGTAGGGAGACTGTGAGGCCAACTGGCGGAGAATTAAGCAGTGACACCACAGGGACATAGTCAAACACCAAAACTTCATTAAAGGGTTACTCCAAGCACCTAGTCCTAGACCACTTCAGTGATTTAAAATGGTCACTGAATTGACCCCTTGGCTGTCTGAGTTGTAATTTTATCTACACCTGTGGCATGAGGTGTATCAACTAATCTAATGTCAATTATGCGCAATTTATTTTGAATCATGCAGCACTTATTGGCCAAGGGCGGTCAGCTGACACTTTTAACCAATGAACTGAGACTGGAACAGCTCACGCCTTCTGCAGAAGCATGTCACCACAGCAGCAGGAAGTGTCTGAGCAAGGTAGTGTCCCAGGTAAGTGGCAAACTATTACTAAACAGTTTGCTCCATTACTGGGGAACCGGTACGCCAAGCATCATAACCACTACAGCAGGCTAGTGTTTATGCGTAACATTTTAAACTAAAGTTGCTTTGGTGCTTAAACTGTCCCTCTAAGTAAATAGGGGCCACCTTCAGCCCTGATTGTGCTTTAATGCTAGATCAATTTCTACATTCTTAAAAGGACACTATAGGCATCAAAACCACTTTAGCTGTATGAAGCAGTATTGGTGTATAGATCATGCCTCTGCAGTCTCACTGCCCAATTCTCTGCCATTTACAACTTAAATCACTTTGTTTACACAGCCCTAGTTACGCCTCTCTGCATGTGACTTGCACAGCCTTTCTAAACACTTCCTGTAACGTGAGATGTAATGTTTAAACTTCCTTTATTGCACAGTCCGTATAATTTAGAATTTCTCATCTCGCGCTCTGTTAAGAGCTTGCTAGATTCTGCAGGAGCTTCCTGGGTGTTAAAGTCAATTTACAGAGCAAGAGATGGAAAACTTCTAAACTAAGTTAACATCTGATTGAAAATGAAACTTTTTCATACCGGTTGTGAGAGCCACAGTCTGGGTTGCATGGACACAAGAGATTGAACTCCCAAATCGCCCAATATTGAGCAGTGAGTCTGCAGTGGCATGATCTATATACCAAAACTGCTTCATTTTGCTAATGATGTTTTGGGGGCTATAACACCCTTTAAATTCTATGAAAACTAAGACACAAACTGTTATCCATCATTAGATCTCACAAATAAATTACATACAGTAAAGACTTTAAATGTGTTTATTTAAGGTCAATAATTTTTTTTTTTTAATTTTACAACGCACATTTACTTGAAAAGCAAAACACATATGTACATAATGTACAGCAGGGTTATAAAAGCGTCACTTTATTAGTAACAGGAGAATAAACATGCGAACTAAATCCAAATGACCTGCTTTATTCTGTTAAGATCCTTCTCAAGAAATAACTTATTCCCTATATTGCGCTAAACGAACACAATTAAATGTACAACATGATGTGTTTGGCAGCTTAATCTTTAAAGAGTTATAAAAGTTAAAGGTTTATAAAAATTCTAAACCTGACATTTTATACAAAGCGTATACAAAATAGGATCTGTTAGATATTTCTATGGTAAGTTGTTACAAAATATATATATTTCAAAACAAAAGGCTTACTTTGCTTGTGAACGCTTGGGTATGATACAAAAAAAAAAAAAGTTTTTTTTACAAGTGAAGTTTAACAGAGGTAAAAATCTGTATTTCTGAATGTGCACGGCAGTTTGTTATGCGTGCCCAGCCGTTATATGGTAGGTGTTCATTCAAAGGGGAAAATCTGGCACGATAGCCCTTATTTGGCAAAAAAATGGAGTGTACCACTGCACAGAAAGTACCCAGGAGGAATTTGGTAATGGATTCGATTTTACCCATACATAAACACAGGTGTAATAATGAGGGGAAGCAGTTTTTTTTGCCAACATCAAAACAGGAAGTGGTGCGTGCTGCAAACTAATTGGTTCTCCCAAAACTTATTTAGCAAACAGCAAGAGAGCGTTAAACATTTTGTTGTCTTAAAATTTCAAAATGTCGACTTTATTTGCGATTATTACAAATCATGCTTTTGGTTAAATATTTCTGACCTGGATGAACATGCAAATCCCCTAATTTGTGTTGGGAGTAGTTAACGATGAGAAAAGCATCACTTTTTATTTGAGTAAATAACAATATTCAGTTCAAGATTTCTAGAAAATAGGTATCTTAGCAACATTGAAATATTTACAAGGTAAGGGATATTTCTGTGAAAACGGTATGAAATAAAGATTTAGAAAAAGTGAGCATTTGTTGCTTAACGAGTAAGACAGTGAAACAATTTGGAAGGCACAGGTTGACGATGTCATTACTTGCATCAAAATGGCTGTTGTGCTTAGAAAGTCAACTACATAATCTACATAGCAATGTGAAGATTCGTGTACAGAGTGGTCGCGTTGTGTTGGGCAGGATCTGACAGTGCTGTCCAGCAGTATGTCAAATGAATATATTTCCAGTGCAAAATGACAAATTATGGTGAATTCCAGCAATGACTAACTGATTCGATGCTGGGAGCCTGATAATTATCTACACTGCTGGGCAGCACTTTCAAACCCTGCTTGAAAATTCAGAGTTCAAACGTTTTTAAACAAAATGTCATAAGGCAATCTCAGTTGGAGATGGAGAAGGGTTATTTTTCACCCCCAAAATAAAGGCACAATTTAATGGGGAAAAAAAGCCTACAAACGGTAAACAGAATATTTTCTTCTAGGAAGACGGCTGACAAATAAGGCAGAACTGTGTATCGGTGCAATGCGCCATTTCTGGCGAAACAGTTGACGGTCAAATGGCTTATTTTGCATAATTGTGTGAATGAATAATATGTAACCACGGGGTGGATTTAGGTTTTAATTAACCTGGTTTTTGCAGTCCTTGAGAACAGACATACCAGTGTCTTATAATCTAGGGTTTTTAACTATATCTACTGCTAAATTCAATAAGCAGCTGACACCGAAATTAAAACGAGAGGTCCTTTCTTACGGCATCCCAGTAGGTTCATGAAGCATTACGTGAACTTCTTAAAGGATTTCAGTGTGGAGCCAAATCACTTGTTACAGTCTGTACTTAGAATTTCTGCTCAGTGCTTTTTTTTTTCTTTTAATGCTCAAACCAACCACTTTCAAAGGGGACATAGACATGGTTAAAAGGAACACTGGATTCAACATTAATGGCATTTTGCTTTGGTCTGAAGAATGTGAAAAGCTGCAAGTCATTCTGTGGAACCTGCAGGAGACATGCTGAGAGATGGCAGGGAATAATACCCAATATACATAGAGGAGGCCATGCTGCACAGTTACTGCAGGCCCAGGCCACACAAGGACCTCCAAATTGTACAGAGAAGCACAACTTCTCCGGATCAAGAGGGAAGACGTAGGTCACGAGCTCGGGTTATCTAAAAATAACAAAAAGCAAGTATTTCAAGGACAGCTCCTTAATAAGTTGTAGTATCTACGCTGTTTGGCCTGTTCCCCATTAAACGCAAACAGGAACTAGCATAACATTACATGAACTCAATACTTCAGTAATTTAAACAGGATGTGATAAAACCTCTAAGATGATTCATATTTCATAGCTGTGATAATGTAAAGTGTTTTAATGCATATAAGTATTTGCAGCTTATCTCCTTGTACTTTGAATTGATTTGTATTTTATTTTTAATAACATAGGTGTCTAGTTCAAGTTAATGAGTGAGCACAGTGCTTTACAGAGTACGTCAAGTGACAAAGAAGATCCCACAGAAAAGGCCCTGATGGCAAACAATTCTGTGTTAAAGGACCACTCTAGGCACCCAGACCACTTCAGCTTAATGAAGTGGTCTGGGTGCCAGGTCCAGCTAGGGTTAACCCATTGTTTTATAAACATAGCAGTGCGCATTCAGCCAACGGGGCGGATCGGAGGCGGAGAGCTCCCCACCCAGCGCTGGAAAAAGGTAAGTTTTACCCCTTTTCCAGAGCCGGGCGGGGGCACCCTCATGGCACTATAGTGCTAGGAAAACGAGTATGTTTTCCTGGCACTATAGTGGTCCTTTAACCCTGTTATAGTAAAGAATATACGGAGGCACCTCTACGAATCAACCCAGCAAAATATTGCGCATGAGTGCAGACAAGCACCACTGCATTGTCTTACTCAATGTCCATGTCTAATAAACTAATGCCCGTTTCACTCACGCGTTGAATATAGACTATGCCAGTTTGATAAATCTTCCACAAAAAGGTATTCAGGGTAGATAATCAGAGTGTTTAACTTCCCACATCGACACCGACTTCCCAGTGTTGATATCCTTCACACCCCTAATACTATAAGCCAATGTTCCTTCCTCATGAATATTCATGACCCTGGTGCCAGATACATTACAATCTGGCGTTCTCAAAGCTTTGGAAGCAACTGAACCCAAAGAACGTCTCTGCTGACACAACACTAATCTCACTGTTTAATCAGTGACCGCTGTGCTAGATGGAGCTGGTTTGAAGTCTATAACAACTAGACTGATAGAATGTCCTTGTCAGTGTAAGGATAAGATGTGCGTGTATGTCCCCAGTTGGATAACAAAGGTAAGAAAAACATAGCTTTGCCAAAATTAACACATTTCTCTCAAGAATATCAGCAGACGTCTTGAGAACAATTTGGCACTATTTGAAATTGACACAACGAACATCCCTCCCTCTCTCCAAAAACAAAAACATTTAAATGTTACGTTTCCATCAAACTCCAGTGACACCACTGATTTCCCAGATTACTTCTTACACGATCCCGTCATGTTCGTGTGGCAGATTATGGGACATTAAAGTATTTCTGTCGCCACTGGCTCATTAAATGTACTTTTAGAAATTGCCTATATTTTGCACGTATCCATGTTCATCAGATCCATTCTTGCCTGTGGAAACATTAGAAGCCTTCATTTGCATGGCAAAGATCTATTTGTTCTCAGCTCACCTCCTCAAACGGCCCAGTCAGACTTTCTTTAAAAAGCGGTTAAATAAATGGCATAAGATGGCAGCCCCCATGCAAGTTACACTTTTGGAATAGTAGAAGGTGCATTAAAAAAAATATATTTTTTAACCCAGAATGGGACCACAATGCAATGCACATGATGCAGCCTTCCACAATCTAAAAGTCGTAAACAGCAAGAATTTCGGTCATTTGAGAAATTTGTACAGTAACCAGCAATACACTCAACAAAACGTTTGATTAGAAGTGTTCCTTTATGGTTTATAGAAACACAAGTCTTTGTGTAATTTGTGCCCCCTCCGTAATATCAAAAATGATTTAAAAACAACCAAGGAGAGATGCGGGGAGTACACTGAGCAAACATTAAATGCCCCTGACTATGTATCAATGCGGATTAACCAGAGTGCTCGCAACATATTCACAATACTTTTACCTAGAGTCCTAAAAGCACGTGCACTCTGTGTCAAGATAGATGTTTCGCACCTATTTCTAAACAAATGACTCCTTAAACTGCGTTCCTTTTAAGCCTGGTTAAGGCATTCTATAATCTTAAACACTAATTTAAAATGAACCGGTCACCCAGAAATAGTTTGACATGGTCTGCAAATAAAAAAAGGTTTTAAAAAAAAATAAAAAAGGTATATACACATGCGCACACACTGTGCTAGCAAAATCATTAGATGTACACATAAGAAGGCATTTATCAGAAGTCGGTGTCTGTCCAGTGACACATGTGCGGCATCATCCCATAATTCCTGTTTTAATATCAAAATGCAGGCATTGTGAAGAGGATTTTGCACATTCACAAAAGCATCTCACTGTTCAGAATGTAAGGCATTTTCAGCTGTCTAACACAAGGTAAAAACGAACACGGGCCCTAAAACAGGTAGCACTATATAGTTTTTAATATGTGCTTATAAAAATAATTCCCAGGTATTTCTGCACGGATTTTCAATATGGCATCTCAGAATGTCCAACAACAGGTATCGGCTGCGTGCCACGAAAATCAAAACCAAAACAGAAGACAAAGTGCATGGCTAATTTAAAAAAAATAAAATGAAAAATGAAAATAATTGTTAAACTGCACTTTTGCATTTCCCCCTGCAAATGTGGACCACTTATGCATTTAAATATGAAAACTCATACTATTACTCCTAACAATGTTAGGTTAGTAAGGAAGGGAAAAAAAAGTTATAACGTTTAAAAGAAAACATCACAGGATGCTCCAACTGTGATAAACTGCAGTAATTGGACTGCCTTCTTTGTGGTCCAGATTCTAGCAAATAATTTTCTTTCAGAACATATTAAACAATTTGTGCTGTTATAAGTAGCAGGGGAAGACATTTCCTAAAGGCTTGTAATCAAGAAATTCACTTTTATATGGTAGCATAATTGTTAAATTGTAAGGAGTGATTTCCAAAAAACAAACAAAAAAACAAAAACTTACAATTCAAATGCCTATTAAAATACAGAAATAAAATCCACATTTTAAACAAAATAAAAACAATCACCCCGTGACTCCTTCTGAATTGCAAAAAAATAAAAATAAGACTTTCTGCTCTGGAGATATACTGTATCCGTGGATGTCTCAGTTCATTTTGCTGTGGTCACACAGTCCTTTGCTCACATATTCTACGTGAGCCACTATCTTGCGGGAAACTTGACACCGCTTTGCAGAAGGGGGGGGGGGAGCCAGAAGTTTAATAGAAGTTGGGATTGAGAATCCATGGAGAAGGAAGAAAACTAAAAATAAAACCCAACTTGTTTCTCTTGTTCTAAACTTCACGTGTATCAATAAAAAAAAAAAAAAAAAAAAAAGGGGGGGGGGGGGGGGGAATAAAAATTCTCAATGAATAAAAACAGGAGTCCCGCCATCACTGTAGCATTAGCTGCTTGAGGTTGTCATGAAGGATGGTATCTTTGACGTCACGGAACACTAGACGGATGTTCTCCGTGTTTATGGCAGTGGTGAAGTGGTGGTAGAGAGGCTTCTGCTGCTGGTCCCGACGCTTATTACGGAAACAATCTACCAAGAACTTTTGGACATCAGAGAGGCAGTGGGGATCCCCTTCGAACTCTGGAAAATAGTCTTTTATGCTCACTATTCTTACTTTCTCCTCGAGTAAGTCAGTCTTGTTTAGAAAGAGGATGATTGAGACATTACTGAAAACACGGTTGTTGACTATAGTTTCAAAAATGTTTAGAGACTCTGTCAAGCGGTTGGTCTGTCTGTCTTCCATCAGCACTTGATCATATTCGCTTGAGGACACCAGGAAGAGGATGGATGTTACGCTGTCGAAACACTCAAACCAACGCTTTCGCTCTGACCGCTGGCCACCAACATCCACCATTTTGAAAGGCACATTTTTTATCTCGAAGTCATACTCATGAATTCCTTTTGTAGGTCTCCGGGCCAGCAGGATATCTTGTTGACTTGGCAGATAGTCCTTTAAAAACAAGGAGCAAAGAAAGTCAAGTCATTCTAATATATTGCATTGTCAACCTAACTACAAAATTCAAGACACCATGTGCAATTTTTTAAAACAAATCTGTTTAGAGAATAAGCCCTTAAATATGGTAAGAACCAACACCTCCCAAAAAATTGGTTGTCTCTCTTGGGAGACGCTACAGGCAGAAAACCAGTAAAGGCAAATGATCCAGCCACACATTTTTACAAAGGACCCCACAACCCTGATCTAAGGAAGCTTTTCCACAGATTAAAAAAACAAAAAAAAAAAACAAACATGCTAGGCATTTTAAAATAGGGAATTTATTTTAGATGGTGTGTTTTTTTTAACCCTATAATGACAATACCATGAATAGCACCATATAATAGGAATCGCCTAACACCTTGTGGTGAAATAGTTAATGGATCTGGCTGGATAAACAGGCACTTGATATGGGCTGACCGTGTAGAAGACAGCTGGTCTTGGCTGCTCCAGCACTGTGGGGGTGGGGTTCATCACATGACTAGACAGCTCTGCAGTCCCAAAACCAAAAGCGAAACTCTGCAAGTACAGGGGAGAGGGGGTTCTCGCTGGGTGATCACTTTTCCCAGCAGAAGCCTTCTCAGCAATACTGCCGTTCTATAGAATTTCTCGATCTCGCATGAGAAGAGGGGAGACAATTTATTGCGGCCCTGTCATCAGAAAGTTTCTTTGTGTGATCTTAGTAATACGAAAACTGCACATGCTGTGTGCTCCTGTATTAAAAGTCTTCTAAACTGGATTTCCTTAGGACACTAATAACCCCCCCAAAGGGAACGGTCACCTAATCTTCCGCAATCATCATACAGAAGTGGGTGTTACAATTCTGTAACACCAACCTTCGGTCACCCAGCGCTGATCTCGTGGCCCTCAATGATTTTCTGTCATGACACTGACGACTTCATTGTCAGCATCTGAATGACATCACTCAGTTCCTAAATTTCTTAGCAGGTGCTAGCAGCGATAGCTAGGGAATTACCATAGCAATCAAAATGCATGAACTGTGGGAGCTCTCGGTGGAGAGCAAAACGTCTGCCTGTAACTTGACCCTTCTGCTCTCCCCGTCAATAAATCCTACAGCATAGAGTCTATGCCGAAGAAGAGATTGACAGGTGGGAGAATAACCTGGTTTTCTCCCAATCTATATGTTTGCTAGCAAATCTGCTAACAGAATAAATAGATGAAATCTCCTGTTCTTTAAAAAGAGCACAGGTTTTCGGGTGGTGTGTTGACAGATTCACTAACACAAGGAAGGACCAACAACATTTTTTTCGCTGTACAAAATCTATTATACTTTTTTCAGCACCAAGTTTTCCTCCCCACTGCTCACCTCTCCGTCTACTGTGACGTCACTTTCCTATGGGGTTCTGTGTCAAATTACCAGGTTTTTACTCCCCCCCTCCCCCCTAAACTGCAATATTTAACATGGAAGGGTTAAAAGGACTACGGCACCCAGACACTTTAAACAGAATGAACACGTCCAGTGGTGTATTCTGGTTTTGTGCTGCCCTAGCATGACAAAACTCAGGCACCCCCTTCCAAAGTTCTCTTCCTGACAGACACGCCCTCACTGATGCATGCACCGACACACTCACTGACAGATACACATTGTCACACACACTGTTTAACCAACACACACTTTCACTAAAACATACACAGACATACTCACTCATTAACAGTTACACACATGCATACTCACCTCAATGACAAACACACACTTAGTGTCAGACACATTAGCTGACAGACACACACCCCAACACGCATATACACTCTGTGACAGACAATCTCAGTGACAGACTGACACATACACTAACAATTTTTAATGTCCAATCAATCCAGCCTGCCTACCCTTTGGGAGTGCTGGAGTTGATTCTTTCCTGTTGTCCAGTGGGGCTGGCAGGCAGGGTCGGGCTGCGAGAAAGCTATGATCCTCCTGCTCAGCTCCCTTGCGCACCTCTTAGTGATGCCGTCAGATACCGGCTCCAGCATCACTGCGGTCCGCGCAATAGAGCTGATCAGGAAGAGCTCAGGGGAGAGTGCTCCCTCGCTGCCCGCCAACCAACCTCTTAGGCGCCCCAGGACAAAAGTCTGAACAGGCATCTGCCGGGGCTTTTTTGATGCCTAAATACAGCGCTGAACACGTCTACAACCAACTTTTATGACTACCATAACAATGAAGTGTTTGTGGTGATGATATGGACTCTGGCCTGCCAAGTTACCTGCAGTCACTAAGCAGCAAGAACGAAAACAAAGGTGGAAATCATATCAGAAACATACAAAACTAGGAGAGCAAGTTGTCACTCACCAGTTCCCCAAGCTTGTCCAAATTATCCAAGAAATATTTTACCGATTCACCCTAGGAAGAAAGAGAACACGTTCAGAGAGTTTGTACAAGATACAAGCAGTGTATGAGTGTAATGAGTGATAATAGAATTGCACATTGAAGCTGTAAGAGTTATATACTATTTGCAATTTCTTAATGTAATTTTTCTTTAATTCCCAGAATATAATGAATACATCCGTCATGCATGCCCCAGCGTTGGCCCATCAAATGTGTTTGTCTAAAAGAGTGAAACCACAAAGTATTAGTCCTCAAACGATTTCCCCCACTACATCAAACGCTAGTGGAATATTCCCCCCGATAGTCAGAATACCAAAAAGCAAATAGCACTGCCATACATAGAGCATCGATGGTTTTGAACATGATGGTCCTTGGTAACAGCAGCACAAGTTAAAATGGTTACACATATTAGAGGATTTTAAAAAAAATTCATGGTTCTGGGAGCCAGATATTACATGCAGCACAGTTATAACACCCAAATCACATGCAACACTCTGTACTGGTGCTTCCTACAGTGTTTTAGCTAGAGGAGTGGTCAGTCTACATCGGCAGCTGGACCATCACCAGTTATATGCAGACTGTGCCTATAATGGTAGCAATACGTGAAGGTGGGAAATCGCATGAAGCAGGCCCAGCTGCTCCATGGATCCCAGGGACTGTAGGATGTGCCACATAAAGCAATCACAGAGGTATGCCACGGCAGGGCTAAACACACTAACGCACCATGACAAACATGTTTTAACATTCTTTCCAACATGCCCTGACATGCTAATCTCAATTTGGCCATTTAAATTACAGGGCATCATACTGGAATTATTCCGCGTTGGGGGTACACATGGTTTACTAAGCGAGGGGTTAAAGACCACATTGTCTGCAGGTGGAGGAAGGCTATATTTTCTATAGTGAGGCTATCACCGTCAAAAAACATCTTTTAGGACCCAAATTCTTCTGTCCCCCTTACTATAAGTTTACCAGTTTGGCTGTGTAAAAGTGTAAAACTGCTTCACTGCATTCATACGGACAGTAATAAATGCAGAATACATAACAGAATTAAGAACCATAACTACATATTGTTGAACGTTATAGGTGCAGTACATCCTTGTTTTTCATTAAACCTTTTTGAGTATCAGTCAGCGCCCTAACTAGACTGGCGGTGGGTGCTGGGTTACCCATTGCCACCACTGTAATAAAGTGTTGATTTCCATATTTTCAACGCACACAACGAGTGGTTTTTGTCAAATATGTTAAAATAATGAGCGAATTGTGACTACCCATTTAACACTTGCAGAGGGATCTTTCCACGGTTTCATTGTCCTGTCTGAATCCGATTTGGAATGGAATATGTAAATATGCAGTTGTGACAAATATAAAAACAGATTTAGGCTCCAACTGTACACGGAGGGAACCCCTGCCGCCTCGCAGGGACGGACTGACACCTCAACCAGTTCTATTTGCATGTTATTACTTTAAATTACTGCTTTTATTACTTTAAAGTACTGCTTAGCACGGTTTAATTTTATTGTTTAAAGGATACACTGTTGTCACCATATGCCTATACACCGCCTCGGAGCTGTCCGGATATGCAGACATTGACTCAGCCGGCCTCCACCCCGAACACTCAGGGGTTACTGAGTGTAAGTTGACAGAGAGCACCCATGGCAGACCCAAGTCATCGTTACCGTTAACTACTAGGACATGAGCATTATCTTATTACATAAGACCCACAGGGCTGGGTCTCCCTCCTATTTTCACAGCCTCAGCGAGAATAAAAAGCTCCACAATTCTTAGATCACTAACCAGCTACAGTTTTATATCTTGCATGATTGCACATAGTTTGCATATTAGCCACGTAACTTGCCTTATAATTACTCAGTGTCATGTTCCAAGCAAATGTTTATTACCACTTATGCATCCATATACTGACACAGCTAAACTCAACTTGTTTCGCTCTCCCATAGCATGTTACCTGCTGTACTTTCTTACTCAGTGCCAGGCGACAAAGTATATCCCCATTAATCCTTCCGCATATTCATTCACTGACACATTTTTATTTAACCTGTAATTTACTTAAAACATTGTGCACAGTATTTTCTATGCCATGTTACAATCTATTGGTTTCCTACAGCTATTGTAGCAGACCTGAATGTGTTCTCAAGCACAAAAAAAAACAAAAACAAAAAAAAAACGATTTAAACCTCCAAACAAGCTGACTCATGTGAGTGACATGCCCTTCTTCCAGGCCCAAATCATGCACACAGGAAGGGCTCGTTGCAGGAGATTCCTCTATAACCTGTTAACAGAGTGAATCATTGGATTCTGTTCCCGATTCAGCTCAGCAGAAGTCAATCCTACAACGAGGAGATACCTCAGACACACAGGACGGCCGATGAATTAATTTGAACACCTTCCATCATATTGGCAGATTAGGATTGGTTAGAGCAGGCTGATCAGTGCAACCCCCAATGAATAGGTTCTGACCCATTCAAAGCAACTGCAAGTACTACAGACCCCAAGTGAAATTACTACAGAGTGAGTGGCCAAAAACAGAGCCCACAAAATGATTTTCCACCTGGTAAGATATCACTGGAATTCTACAACAGTGGGGCCCCCATTTTTGTCGACCGATGCTTCAAAGCTGACGAATGTCAAACGAGGCATTATAAACTGATAACTGGCAACACCACGAATTCTTCTGCTCAAACATCTGTACTTTCCGATATTTGGTCTCCGTAACACAGACTATCTGCCTAACTTTCTGTGAGGAAATCTCATTCTCCAAACAATGCAAGGAAGCAGCGTGCACGCTCCCATTAGATTTTCACAGGAGGATATTAACCAGGACTCAACTTATTCTGTGCAGCGATTTACAGGCATGCAGCATGATGGAAAACATCTCGACTGATAAACTATTCTCCCAGTCAAGGCTTCTGACACTTTACTTGTAATCTCTTCTCCGCAAAGATCTCCCTGGCTTCCATCAAGATATTTTACAAACGCAAGCTAGATGTACACAAACATTAACATTTTACATGCTGGCAAGCTAGAAATTTAAACTCCCTGTAAAGTGGCAGTGCCCAAATTCTGTACTAGAAGTATACCACCATCTTATGGACACCTCTGCGCTAAATGGACCACAGACGCTCTTGCAGCGAAAACTTGTTGACAGGCAGTTTCCATTTTGTACCAGTTCCTCATTTAAAGGGGAAGTACAGTCACCCTGCTTTAAGGCCAAATGGATGTTTAAAAAAAAAAAAAAAAAAAAATATGTTTGAGATACAGAGATATACATAAAACAAAATTACATAGCGAACGCATTTATTCTGAGGATCAGAGAATGAATTACATGTTACGTGCCATTATAACCGTTACATGTACCCTAAGCTACATAAAGTGATTGATCGTACACATCTATGGATTGCTAGTTTCAGAGAGCTTTGACTAATCTGCTGAACGCTAACGAGGACACACACTGACAATGATTAAACAGCAAACATTTCTAGATTCACTTCTGTTAACACAGTTTAGGCCGCAACACACAAACATTAATTTTAGTTTGTTTTTTTTAAATGAATTTAATTTACACCTTTATTTCTGTCCTAGAACAATGCATGCACATTAACTCAACCTGCCCAGGGCTGTACCTATATATGGCACTATGGAAGGAACGTCCTAGTGGCCATGTGCTCATGCTTGCGGTACTTCACACCCCAATAAGCACTTTAATGGCATTTACTGAAGTGAGGCAGCAAGGACCTGTACATTTTAAAGTGACAAATGGGCAACTCAAGCCATCACACTCACTGCTTCTATTAGTCCTGGTCTCCCGGCAGTAAAATGGGCACGGGGATAATAATCCTCACATTTAAAGGGAATACAAACATTCACAACACTATATATAGTATGTCTCTAATACAGAACGTGGCGGAGACAGATCACAATGTTGCCTGGAAGCATGGCAAACAAGCCATCGCCTTTGTCGTTTATTATGCACGAAGAAGTCAACCTTGTCATGCCTAAAAGCCAACATTGCTCTAAGCACCTTCTGCAGTGATTGCAGAGTCCCAGTGTAGACAATGTGAAGCCCTGCCGGGCGGATGAGACTACAGAGCCTGTGGCCTACTCAAGAGTGGGCTAAGGTGGACGGCCGCCACCTATCATTCTTCCTAATTGCCTCAGTGTGGCTCTATGATGAATTGTCTTGCTAGCCCCTACCCGTCCCCCTTTTTGTCTGGCAGGGGTTACCCCGGAATGCTATCTGAGAAGAGTTACTTACCCTGCAATAAGAACTCCTGTGCTTTTGTCCACAAAATTGCCGCCGACGAGGTCCAACCAAACACGACCACGATCCATAGGCTGCAGCATATCTGGCCAATGACGGCACACAATGAAATCCACAGTTTCTGGGCAATGCTGATCAAGCAGAATGCTGTTTTGGCTACACTACCACAGCTGATGGAGCGGGGCATTCAGCCACACTCTGCCCTATGCCTGATAGTGCAATCTAGCTGCAACAGCCACTTATCTAGGCCCTGAGCCCTGGAGACTAATCTTCACATTGTTGCTCTACACCTAGGAAGGTCAAGCGCCGACATGAGAGAATTTGGGCAGGCTTACCCTAGGCAACCCAATGCTGGTTCATATATGGGCCGGATCAGTCTGCACTGGATGAGAGCTCATGAGATGACCTGGGATTGGGGGAGCGGCCTAGGCAGGACTTGTTTCCTCTGTGGGACTCTTAACACACCAGGGGTGGGAGCGAGCTGAAGTGCCTTTAGCCAGGGCTAGTTTATTTATAGGCGTTACAGTGCCATTAGTTACAGGCTATAGTCTTATAGTGACCTACCAGTTTAAGTTTTATACAGAGGTGCTGCAGTGGTTTTATTCAGGGTCACAAGTCTGTCCCTAATATTTTATTCTAAACCTATTACCAGCTGCAGTATAATACTCTGACTGGCTATATGGTGGTTTAATGTATGGGGTAGTTCCAAGCTCTTCATCAGGTAGACAGGCCTAGTGAATATATGCATACTTATTTTATATCTCTGCCTTCAGCACACAACTGGCAATCTAACCTCTAACATCCTTTGCGTGTTACATAAAAAAACAAAAACAAAAAAAAACATTGCAGTATCTTTGTAGTCATGTATTCATCAGCATGCATGTTTTATTTGCAAAATAATGTTTGGGAAAAAAAAAATGTTTTTCTATTTAAGGCACAAAAGGAAGAAAAAAAAACCCCTACAAAAATAGCCATACTATATGAATGGTGATAGTGAACCTTAAGACTAGATAAATGTATTAGAAGTGATTATGCTGTTAGAGGCGTATCAGGTCACCTTTCAGTCCATTTGCAGGTCTCTCCCAGGGGGTGTGATGGGAATCTGGCACGTAGCATCAACTGGAGACAGACTCAGCAGGTTATACCAGGTGCACGTATTCTAGGGAGGTACCAAGACAGCCTGTCTAACTACAACAGCTGGCAATAAGCAGCTCTCCCACTGACAGCCAAACACTCCCAGGCACGACCCAGAACGACGACTACTCCCTGCACTCCCAAGCTACAGCATGCAGATATTAAAACCCATCCTCACATCAGAGCAACTGTGCTCACTATAAAGGGGAATCTCATGGAAAGGAGAAGAAAGGGGAAATAAAGAGATTGTATTTTATCAATATAATACATGTCCATATATTTCAACTCTAGTTAAAATACATGGGTGTGTCATATTCTGAATAATACGATATAGATATATTTATCTATACTTTCCATACTCTAAGCCAGGGCTAGGCAACCTTCGGCAGTCCAGATCCTGTGGACTACATTCTCCCCGATGCTTTACCAGAATTGTGGCTGTGAGAACATTATATGATATGCAGTTTGAACTGCTGAAGGTTGCCTGCCCCTGCTCTAAGCAGCGCAAGTTTCAAAACCTACAAAGACAAGACAGAGACAAGTAACGCTGTGTAAAGAATATTTGCATGAAGAAAATATGATTGTTACATTAGAGGTTTTTAGAAAAAGAAGATGCAAAAATGTAATTTGCACCTTGGCTCCCACCCCACAATCTCATACATTCAGCATAAATAAGCAATGTTCTCTTTCCTGTCTGAATTCAAAGTTTTATTATTCCAAAATAGATACTGGAACACAAAACAAAAGTGCTGGGGAGGGAGCTAAAGTCACCTAAGGAAAACACATCTGAAAGAAAATGCACTTTTAGCCCCAAAGTAAAATAAAAATAATGTCCATTGGTAGCCAGAGTTTCTCAAGTGTCATTTGATTGTTTGTTTGCTAATGTAGTCCCTGCAGGTAGAAGACTAGGTTCTGTTTGCTTTGCTTTGGATCATGTCACTCTTCCCATCTTTCATAGCAAAACCTCTATTCAATTAATCTTTTATCCTTTACAGACACAAAAGGGAAAAAGTGGGAACGAATTCTTTGTAACTTGCCCATCTCCCAGCAACAGAAGAACTCTGCCAAATGCAAGAGGTAAAAACATTCTCAGCACCTGAGACGTTACGGCATGAATAATGGTTTCCAGAAACAAACCGGGTTTCTGGAACGCGGCAACAGGACCCTTTAAGATCACGTCACTTCTTAGTAAATGTGAACACGACACACGTCAGAGCATTTCCTCCTGTGAGCTTTCTGCAGACGCTTCATGCACACAGGAAGCGAGAATAGTGAACCTGCAAACCAGAGCGTTCAGGAATTGTTTTTCTACAGGCCTTCTTAGTTTCAATACTATACCGAAGCGCGGCGTTGGAAGTAGAAATAAGGCACTGAGAATTAAAGTGACACTCATTCCACACTGGTTAGCTGGTTACATATAGAGATGGCGATTATATATTTTAGAAATCCTGCTTCTCTCTAAAAATTATTCTTGCTATGAAAATACAGCTGCACGTGTTATCACATAGCTTTAGTATCCCGAGACAATGCGAAACAAGGATGTTACGAATTGTTTTTTTTACATGAAACAGAAATCGAAGAACTGTCAAACACTCCACTGATAAAGAAAAATGCAGCACTAGAATGCATTAAAGCAGATCTGTCATAGTTGCAAAGGCCCTGGGGTCTTGTGGTGCAGTAGAAGGCAGGTACACTTACCTGATACTAACCCTCACGGCTGCCGCCATTTTCTTCCTGAAGTCAGACTTCAGCCCCCGGCACATCATCTGCCTGGAGCTGTGAACATAAAGGGCAATAGAGGAACCTGCGGGAGGTTCCATAGTTTGTTTTGCAATTAGTAACCTGATGCCCGAATCACACAGTCATCACTTGCAACGGCTGCTGGGATTGGACTAAAGTGGACAGCAGGGCTCCGTCTTTTGTTAGGCTTTGTCCGCCTCAGGCTTTATCACAAGAGATTGTAGTCCCCGCTTTATTTTAGGGTATCTTTGGATCGAATTGGAATTTCAATGAAATTCCAACGCAGTCAGCATCTTTAAGAAATATTCAGAGCTAAATGTTAAAGCAATCTGTCACCCTTAAAGGATCACTATAGGGTCAGGAACACAGTGTAAAACCATCTAGCCCCCCTGTGCCCCTCTTGCCTCCATAAATATAGCAAAGTCTTACTCTATTCAAGCCTGAAGCTGTAACTCTGAATGCGGTTTGCCTTACACAAAAAACAAAAAAACATGCAGTTTGCTGACATCGTAGCCTGATTCAATCACAATGCTTCCCCATAGGATTGGCTGAGACTGACAAAAAGGCAGATCGGGGCAGAGCCAGCATGATTCAAACAACCCTGGCCAATCAGCATCTCCTCATAGAGATGAATTGAATCAATTAATCTCTATGAGGAACGTTCAGTGTCTGCTTGCAGAGGGAGGAGACACTGAATGTTTGGATGCATTTTAGGCAGCCATGACCCAGGAAGGATCTCTAACAGCCATCTGAGGAGTGGCCAGTGAAATTATCACTAGGCTGTAATGTAAACACTGCATTCTCTCTGAAAAGACAGTGTTTACAGCAAAAAGTCTGATGGTAATGATTCTACTCACCAGAACAAATTCAATAAGCTGTAGTTGTTCTGGTGACTATAGTGTCCCTTTAACCAGTTAGAAGAACACCCACGAGCACCATAACCACTGGCACCCCATTGTAAGTAGTCAGTTTGCCAACTTTAACAACTTGAGTTCCACCAGTTATCCGCTCCATTGAAAGCCAGAATCTCTCTACCATGACCTAGCACACAGCAAAGAGACCGCATGAGTACAAGGCCAAAATCTTACAAAAGCACTTGTTCTGTTGGTTCCCAGAGTGTGACTGGGATTACAGCTCTATCCGAGCTCGCTAACATACATCAGATTTCCAGAAAGCAAATACGGGCATCCTATTACCACACTGATTTGTGGTGACAGAGAGTCATGTTGATCCTCCTGCTTATGAGCAACATGTTTAATAACAAATTATATATTTCTCACAAACTTCAGCCATTGCAAGCAAAAATTCACCTCCAGTTACCGTGCCACTGACTCTTCAATTTGGCGGTGGCAAGGAATGTTTTGGCAAGTACATAACTTTAAATCGAATATTAAAATACAGAATAAAACACTGTCCTTTCATGATGACTGGTTAGTATGTGCCAGGGGGAGCAGTGCAATGACCAACACTTCAGAGTTATGTGACCTTTTAAACCCAACAGGCTAATCAGGTAACTTACATGGCTGGCACTCTAAGGGGTGGTGTGGGTGGGCTATTAGAGAGAGTGCAAAAAAAATACATTTTAAAAGCCCCTTTTACCTCCACAAGTGTGTGACAAAGCTGTGTCCAGTGGTTTGTGAGGTGCTGATTGAAACTGCGTGAGAGACAGGGAGCACATGTTTGCTCTTAGAAATGGAGACAAAGCTTCATGGCAGATGTGCTATACTCTCAGGCCCTAGATACGGATAGACCACTGGCAAGGACATGCCTTAAACTGGCTCTCCTGAAACTTAACATAAAGAAGATTAAATCATGGTGTAGACACTGAAGGGACAACACTATGGTCCGGTATATTAAAGGTGGAATTAGTGCAAGTGACAGACCCTTTTCCCACACCCTTTCTGTGAGTTCAGGGTGACATGTCTTCCATCGTGAATTCTTTAATACCTACATTATGTCCTCGCAGGTACAGACTAGGGGAGAGTTAATATAATTACATGTCATGCCCAATACACCGTAAAATAAAGTGCAACCCATTGTATGCTTTTCGTAAATAATTGGGTGTACAAAAAAAAAAAAAAGAAAAGAAAGCCTCAATGACCGTTCTGCATTAAGAATAAGGCTCCTGGAGTCCAATAATTTAATCAGTCACAGTCAGATTGCACCTACAACCTAACAGGTTAACTTTATTGCACTGAATCTTGAATATAGAAAATATTGCTTACGCTGTGAAAGATTTTCAGCCACAGACCTAGCCATGGGACAGATATCGGAGCTCAAGGTCTGACAAACAGCTAAATAGGCAAACTACACCATCTCTCTGCTTTGATATCGGAGAGCTACAGCTAAACACATGTAACTTAATGATGTTCTCAGTCTATTTGGTGTTAGCCACGAAAGGTCCCACGAAACCAAGGGCTGTGAGCTGCTTGCCCAGTCGAACGGTAGACAATAATGGGAGTCTGGGAACACCCCATCACAGGGAACATTGCTTTGCGTGCCATGATTTAATTTCTCTTTGAGAACCAAAAACTCCCCCATCTTCCAGCCAAGTTCTTCTAAAAGTAAATAAGGTTTATTCTCTGTGGAAGATTGCACAAATTACAAAGAAAGACAAATATACTATGAACCCCCTAATAAATAGTATAACTATATAGAGTGGCAGGTTTGTTGGAGGGAACAATTAAGGATGTGCAGTCAGAATCATGGTGTCAATTCAGCACAGCGCCCTCAAGTGATGGCACAACATCTTGAGCTTGACGGATAATCTGGCCTGCATATTTTTACCCAGCGTATATTTATGGGAGGAGATTGTTTAACTAGTAATGCACATTTCTGGAGAACCATAATATATTTGTATTAATGAGAAAAAACCCTGAAATGCTGAGTAATTAAAGGAGCACTATAGTGCCAGGAAACTAAACTCGTTTTCCTGCCACTATAGGGTCATTACGTTAAAACCCCTTCAGCCACTTACCTTTCTCCAGCGCCAGGCTCCCTCTGTGCTGGGGAACTCTCCACCCCCTGCCGACGTAAGATCCGAATGCGCATGCGCGGCAAGAGCTGCGCACACATTCAAACAGCCCATATGAAAGCATTACTCAATGCTTTCCTAGGGACGTACAGCATCTTCACAATGAGAATCGCAGAAGTGCCTCTAGCAGCCGTCAGTGAGAGCCACTAGAGGCTGGATTAACCCTCAGTGAAACAGTTTCTCTGAAACTGCTATGTTTTCAGCTGCAGGGTTAAAACTAGAAGGGGACCTGGCACCCAGACCACTTCATTGAGCTGAAGTGGTCTGGGTGCCTATAGTGGTCCTTTAGGTTTTAAAAAGCTGCAGTATAGGGAGTCTGGACACCATGACAGTGGTAGTGGGTTCCTATTGGTTGGACTTGGAACTGTGCCATCAGTGGTCAGACCACAGATAACAATCCACGTCTAGTAGCAGCACTGCCGTGCCCAGTGCAAGGCGGAGTCTGATAAAGGTGTCTGTACAATTTTAATATATATCACAAGCAAAGAACTGGTCCAATGAGCTGCTCTCTCTCTATACTGTGGAACTTTTATTGAAGTAGATCTGTCACTTAATGTATTTCACAAAGATCTCTCAAAAGAGCAGCAACAGTGCTATACTCTTCAGCATGCGCAAGAGTACAGCGCGGAGGTCTATGGAAGACCCTCCCTAGATCGATGTCTGAATGACAACGGTCACATGTGACTGCTGCTGGGATTGGACCAGAGATGGCGGCAGAGCTCTGCCTTTTGTCAACCTCAGATTAATTAGAAGATAAAAGTGGCCCCTGCTTGGTCTCATAGTAGCTTTAGACCGACCAGTATTTCATAAAGAAATTATTTTTAAAAAGTTACTGAAAAGTGACGTAACTGCTTTAAGTACAGTTCTTTGTATTTTAAAGCATATATCCCAAATTGTTTTACAAATATGAAGAAAAAAAAAAATCAGAAATTGAACTTCCAGTCCAGAGAGCTAATTTTACATTGAAGAAGGGTCACGAAGCTAATGTTACCTGGAGCCCTAGTAAAAAGTGTAAGAAACATTGGGCCTGCAGGTTTAAGTCCCGAAACTAAAAGAACCAGACGAAGATGGTGACAAACACGCAGCTTACAGGAAAATACCAACATTGCGTGTCCAGGTAACCATATAACACACCTAGGCTATTATCAATACTCAAAGCATGTGTTATCACTGTATTATACAATGTACAAGGTTTGCTTGCAAGGCTAAGGAGTGAACAATGCCTTCAGAACAAAAACAGGCAGCCAATTGGGTGGTAAAACACACAACCATTTAACAAACTTTCTTTGAGGAGTAAAATGCTACTTCAGTCAGTACTAGCTAGCCTGTGTGAGCAGACTGGGGAAAAGGAGAGCTACTGGATTGAAAGCCTCCCAACAGGAAGCACCTCCACTGTCTTTGCTCCCAGCATCATTGTTTATTAAATAGCAGTTTGATCTGCCAGTATTGTTGCTGCCTCTCTTTTAGCTTTTCTGCCAGTTTGATCCTTACCTCACTATTCTATCCATATTGGAATTTGTAGTATATATTCCCTGCAATTCGTAACTGTTCTGCTGGGCGTTCTAACATGCTTTAGGCTCTTGGTTTGGCTGGTATCTCAATTCGCCTTCAAGAGGCCCAGGCCACATCACACAGCTGGCCCTTGCCGTGTATCTTGCGTGATTTAGCCACCATCTTGTCATAGTAATGTCATTGCTAGCGATCTCTGGTGGCCATTTTGAAAATCACTCGTGAGCTTCAGCAGCCATCCTCTTTTGGTTTCTCATGTTGCCCCCTTCGGTCCTCTGCTATAGGACACTACTATATACTCTGGACTTGGAGCCCCTACATCAGGAGATGGATGTCCTCTACAACAGGGGAGGTATATTAAAAGGAGTTACCCACTCCAGTAAAAATGAAGCAGTGATTCTGTTTATTGGTGTCTGGATGAGCCCTGGGTGACCTTTCCCTGACTTTCAGGCACCATATTGGGATATGCACCCTTACTGATGTTTGAGTGCATCCCATATTTCCATCTGTGGATGGACATATATCGGCAAGATTTACCTCAGTTTGCTATTCTTGTATGCCTCCTTTTGAGTGACACCCCTAGTAATAGTTATTTGATTTATTGTAGCAGCCTATTATACTTTAAATTTAAAAGAACCTATTGGCTATACTGCTGGAGCAAACACTCGCCTGAGCTCCAAGCAATGACAATTAAGTATATATTGAGGAACCTGCCGAGAACCCAGGCAGAAGAGAATTTCATTTGCAAGCCCTATCTGAGACTCCATAAAACCTGTACATAGGAGATCCTGTAGTACTCCTTAGACATCAATGAACACAAATACCAGTGTTTTAGAGCAGTAAAACCAAGAACGACGAGGAAAGTACACATTTTGTGAGGAAAGTACACATTTTGAGAGAAAAATGCAAAAAACAAATGAACGCTAACTTTGCCCAGGGTTTGTGGCCAAGTGGCTACTAAAAAAAGACCGAAAGACTGAAATCTTCCCCCTGTTTTAAAAACCCTGGGGGTTGTCTACGTTTCGCATGCCATGAGAGTGGGGATTTTCATTTCTGCACTGCCTCTCAAAGGCAGCATAGGCCCAACAAACCAATCTGGCAATTTCAAGGTGTAGAAACTGAAATGGGCAAGCTCTATATTTCACCCTGTATCTTTCCAAACATTATGAAGTCTGTACATGGGGGGGTGTAACATCACAGCATACGAACGTGTGTTTTATTGCCGTAAATGTCAACAGTATGATGACACTCACAGTTACAATTGTTTCATATATAAATATTTGATGTGAACAAAGTGGTATATAATGAGTGTGGGTGCACTAAATATGAAAGCGGTGAATTATAGTTGAACAGAAATAAAGGTCAAACTAGGTTTTGTTTCAGTTCAGAACATGGACAATTGCCTCTGTCCGTAAGGGGTTAAACTTTATACTAAACGCTACACGTGATATAGGGCAAAATGACACTGCATGCATATAGACCGTTATATGCAAAATAATACTGACAAATAGATTAACCTGATATAAAGGGACACTAAAGGAATCCAGACCACTTCATCTCAATGGGTGGTCTGGGTGTAGTGTTCAGAAGGAACAGCAAGGTTTACACTGCAAGATTAACATGCCTTTAGTGGAACTTCTTTTCCTTAACAAAGTAAAACGGTTTTATAGAGCACCATTTGATTGGTTCATTACATTTTTCTGACCATGCGCACTAGCTTTTCAATGTTTCCCCAATAGGAAGCAATAGTTTAGCGGAGACCATCAACAGTCATGACCTCAGGACCGATATCAATAAAAGCAGCGTAGCAAGGGCTGCAAGCCAAGTAATGTTATCTTTTGTTTGGATCCCTAATGCTAGTGTTTCTTTAAGGCACCTTTTATGTAAAAGGTGTAAAATCAAAAATAAAATGTTTATAAATGTCCCATTGCACACATCACATCCCGTTACAGTACTAATAAAGTTTGGAAAAATTTATGTAGAATAAAGCAAGAATGCGTCATTAGAAATGTAATTGAATGCTCCTTTAAAAGGACACTAGTCACCTTAACAACTAAAGCTTAATGTAACAGTTCTGGTGAGTAAAGCCTGTTCCTGCAGCATTTTCATGTACACACTGTCTTTTTGGCGGAAAAGCAGTGTTTACATGAGAGCCTAGGGAAACCTCTAGTGGTAATCACTCAGATATCCATTAGAGGTGCTTCCTGGGTCAATGATGCACATCGTACAGCACTGCTGTTCAACGTCTCCATGATTGGCCGGAGGACTAACAGGTTGTTTTTTTTAATATAGAGTCAAGAATACATGTTTGTGTTGCTGACCCTACAGTGTTCCTTTAAGTCTAATTAGTTACTTACAAATTAGTAATACATTTTACTGAACTCCATCCATTTGTTCCTTCTTCCACATTCACTCCCACTTTGCATATTCAGAGAAATACCTCTCACCATTGAGGGCCTCTATCACCTAAACGCCCAGAGCATGCCAAAACTCGTCTATCAGACAACCTGAAACGGGAACCTGCATAGTATGAGCGTCCGCTAGATAAGACAGGATGAAACTAAGCAGATCCTTAACAATCCCCTCAATGGATGTAAGGCTCCGCAAAATATATTATAATTTAAAACCATTTGTCTTTTGCAAATCTTATTTTTATTAAGTGGTAAATCCACAAAATATACATGCCAGTCAGATTTGTGATTGGATAAGGCCACCACTTCTGATGTCAGCAGACTGCTTGTTTTTTTTTTAGGCAAACAGCATGCTGAGCTACAGCTTCAGGCTTCAATACTGTAAGATTTTGCTATATTTATGGAGGCATGAGGGGCCCAGGGGGGCTAGATGGTGGTAACACTATAGGGTCAGGAATACATGTTTGTGTTCCTGACCCTATAGTGATCCTTTAAGGTACAAAGTAAACCTACATTTTATCAATGAGATAGCTTGTCAACAATTGGATTCGTGATATCATAAATTAAGAGGGTAGAAATAGTGATTAAGCTATTAAGTGTTTAATTCTCCAAACATACTAAAATATGCAGATCTATACAAAAAATAAAATAAAATACAAAGAGTAAATGATGGCAAGAATACAACAGAGATCTAAGCCTACATAGATTATGAAATAAGAATACTACGACAATAAGAAATAGTGTTCTCTATATTTAGATAGGACAAGAGATATACACAGGAACTAAATAGCTTTCCGGATTCCTAGAATATATAAAATTACTAAACCGACCCTAGGGCCACGACAAGGCCTTTAAAGAGACACCGTCATCTCCCCTAAAAAAGGAGTATTTCATAAGGATAGACTTATTATTTCACTGAAGTTCCAACCGAGTCAAGAGATATACAGAATCAAAGCAAACACTACTCTGTATTTCTCCTCTTTCTTGGACTCAAGGTAGGGTCTAGAAGCCGTCACCAGTGATGGCTGCATGGAATTGACTGTGTGTGGAGAATCCTGTAGTCTCACGGGATCCTCCATAGACATTAATGCTGTACTCACGCGCATGCACGAGTGTACAGCAGGAACGTTGGCAATGAATAGGACCAGCGGATCAAGATGGCTATGCCCCGCAAGGGACTGGTTCAGGTAACTTAACTCACCTTTACCGCATATCTTCTAAAACAGTAATTTTTAAGTCTAAGTCATTCTGTCTCACACATACCCAATTATCCACATTCACAAACATTATGGCTGCACTAACTTATATAAAACACACACAACTGGACAACCCCTACATACAAAAGGATCTTATTCACTCCTCCATACATACACCCATTTTACTGCCCTGTCCATAGATTGATGCTTTAGGTAGATTTACTTTCCAGATCACACTGTCTCCAGTATACCCAGAGTGGAAGTATGCAGTACCAGCATAGTAAGTGCAGTTAAACATTAACCCCTTCATGAGCTCTATAAACCGGCAAAGCTTCTATAACGGAAACATGAGGCAACAGATTTATATATGAAAAGGATTCCCTATACACAGCCATCAAATGTGCTATAACTTTATTACCCAATAACAATAAATTGCAGCCACCGATATTCAGTGTTCCCTACTAACCGTGTTTGAATGAATACGTAATGCGGTCATTTCAGCACGTGGAAACATATCCATAGGAGAGAAGTATTACCAGCTGGTAGAAACACTGGGTAATATCCTTTACGGTATGTTACCTGCTTCCTGTAATGTGCTTAACCAGACCGTATACCCTGCAGGTGCTGCCTGGATCTGATGAGTTGTACACTAGAAGTTATGCGCCGAAACGGATTCAGTTCCCAGTAAGTCACTGAATAAATATTACAAGTTTTCTTCAGATACATAAACAAACCTGCAGCCCACAGACTGATCATATTAGGAGGGTCCCACAGCATTGTGTAGTCAAAGACCTTAGTTGAGAATTAGTGTCCCCTTAAACAAACATAAGAGCTGCATACACCAAATTTAAGTAGAACGCGGTCTATACACAATTAGAGTGCACCATTGTGAGAGCGCACTGCAAACCCTAACAGCGCCCCATTACACAGAGCGCACTGCAAACCCTAACAGCGCCCCATTACACAGAGAGCGCACTGCACACACCAGCAGCCTTGTATTACAGTGAGAGCGCACTGCACACACTAACAGCACCCCATTACACAGTGAGAGCACATTGCACGCACTACCAATGCCCCATTACACAGTGAGCGCACTGCACGCACTACCAATGCCCCATTACACAGTGAGAGCACACTGCACGCACTACCAACGCCCCATTACACAGTGAGAGCACACTGCACACACCAGCAGCCTCGTATTACAAAGTGAGCGCACTGCACACACTAACAGCGCCCCATTACAGTGAGAGCACACTGCATGCACTAAGCCCCTTATTACAGTGAGAGCGCACTGCACGCACTAACAGCACCCCATTACACAGTGAGAGCGCACTGCACACACCGGCAGCCTCGTATTACACAGTGAAAGCGCACTGCACACACTAACAGTGCCCCATTACACAGTGAGCACACTGCACGCACTAACAGCACCCCCATTACACAGTGAGAGCGCACTGCACGCACTACCAATGCCCCATTACACAGTGAGAGCGCACTGCATGCACTACCAACGCCCCATTACACAGTGAGCGCACTGCATGCACTACCAACGCCCCATTACACAGTGAGAGCGCACTGCACACACCAGCAGCCTCGTATTACAGTAAGAGTGCACTGCACATACCAACAGCGTCCCATTACACAGTGAGCACACTGCACGCACTAACAGCACCCCCATTACACAGTGAGAGCGCACTGCACGCACTACCAACGCCCCATTACACAGTGAGAGCGCACTGCACACACCAGCAGCCTCGTATTACAGTAAGAGTGCACTGCACACACCAACAGCGTCCCATTACACAGTGAGCACACTGCACACACCAACAGCGCCCCATTACAGTGAGAGCGCACTGCACACACCAACAGCGCCCCATTACAGTGAGAGCGCACTGCACACACCAACAGCGCCCCATTACAGTGAGAGCGAAATGCACACACCAACAGCGCCCCATTACAGTGAGAGCGAAATGCACACACCAACAGCGCCCCATTACAGTGAGAGCGCACTGCACACACCAACAGCGCCCCATTACAGTGAGCGCACTGCACACACCAAAAGCGCCCCATTACAGTGAGGCGCACTGCACACACCAAACAGCGCCCACACACCAGCGCCCATTACACAGTGACAGTGCACTGCACACACCAGCGCTACACGGCGCACTGCACACCAACATCCCATTACACAGTGAAGCACTGCAGGCACTAACAAGCGCCCCATTACACAATAGGCGCACTACAGGCACTAACAGCGCCCCATTACACAGTGAGAGCGCACTGCACGCACCAACAGCGCCCCATTACACAGTGAGACTGCGCGCCCATACACAGTGAGAGCGCCGCACACACCAACAGCATTACACAGTGAGGCGCACTGCACACACCAACAAGCCCCATTACAGTGAGGCGCGCTGCACACACCAACAAGCGTGGCCCACACAGTGAGGCGCACTGCACACCAACAGCCCATTTACACAGTGAGGCGCACTGCACACACCAACAGCGCCCATTACACAGTGAGAGCGCACTGCACACACCAACAGCGCCCATTACACAGTGAGAGCGCACTGCACACACCAACAGCGCCCATTACACAGTGAGAGCGCACTGCACACACCAACAGCGCCCATTACACAGTGAGAGCGCACTGCACCCACCAACAGCGCCCCATTACAGTGAGAGCGCACTGCACCCACCAACAGCGCCCCATTACAGTGAGAGCGCACTGCACCCACCAACAGCGCCCCATTACACAATGACAGCGCACTGCACACACCAACAGCCCCCCATTACACAGTGACACTAACAGCCTCTTATTATACAGTGAAAGCAGGGCCAGTCAAGATAAAGGACACCGACTAACGTGAACCCTATTTAATAACAAGAGTTTCTATCAGAAATCCCTGTCGCTGTGTTACATCCAAACAGACTGCCACTAGGCCAGCAATGAGCACTAGTTACACTATCTCTCAGATTACAGCTGACTGGGGAAAGTAATAAATCATCTTTATAAATGTGAGGCCAGAGTCATAGCACAGGCAGCCAATTTTACACTACAGAACCATGCAAACATCTTCCTTATCCAATAAAAAACTGAATACACACAAAAAACAAAGAATGTATCGTTATTTGTAGATCAAATCTGTGATATGGAAATGCAGGAGACTGAAAATCACACTGGAAAAAGCTGGTTCTGGGAGCCTTTCAAAGCATAATTGCTATTTATAGGCTGGCCAGACAACCACGTGCAAGGCTTGTGAAAAATGGCAGAACGTATTGGTGTGGCAAAGAAGCAAAATATTACGGCAACTGATAAGTAAGGTTAGTTATTGCTTATCAGGGAATCCATCAATACTGTCATCAAGGGGGTGGGCTATACTAAGTCCAGCACACAACAGCTACAATTACAACAGTTAACAAATGGCTCTGTTTAAACTTGCCCCCCAAAAAATAATTTAAAAAAAATTTGTTTTTCCCCTGATCCACTAGTACAATTACATTTTGTCAGCATGCTTGAAAAACAGGGCTTAAAATGTAACCGTTCTTTAAGGATACATATATGGGCTTTAATTTATCATACATGCCAGCATGTGTGATTCTAAATGAAGAAAAAAAATAACTTAATTTAAAACTGCTCAGACTCCAACTCCTGATCCCTGCCTTGCAAATAGAAATTCACCCTTCCAGTTAGCAGTGGCTAGTAGAAATTCCCTCTCCCAGTTGGCAGTGGCTAGTAGAAATTCCCCCTCCCAGTTGGCAGTGGCTAGTAGAAATTCCCCCTCCCAGCTGGCAGTGGCTAGTAGAAATTCCCCCTCCCAGCTGGCAGTGGCTAGTAGAAATTCCCCCTCCCAGCTGGCAATGGCTAGTAGAAATCCCCCTTCCCAGCTGGCAGTGGCTAGTAGAAACTCACCCTCCCAGTTGGCAGTGGCTAGTAGAAACTCGCCCTCCCAGTTGGCAGTGGCTAGTAGAAACTCACCCTCCCAGTTGGCAGTGGCTAGTAGAAACTCACCCTCCCAGTTGGCAGTGGCTAGTAGAAACTCACCCTCCCAGCTAGCAGGGGTTAGTAGAAATTTACCCTCCCAGCTAGCAGTGGAGGGTATCTTAAGGCCTGGATAGATAACTGTTTAAAAACATATCATTTTCAAGAGTCCAACCTTTTAAAAGTCTGTTGCTGCTGCTGATCAAAAAGAAGGCGTGTAATCCAATTTGGGTGGTTTTTTTTTGTGAGTTTCTGCTACTTTAATGGGATTGCGTCCTCTATTTCCCCAAATCTATGCAAGTTGGGATCACAAGATGAGCGCCCATTGAAAGAGGAACTGTCACTTCCATAATTGCACAAGTTAACAGCTAAATAAACACTTTTAGTTGTAATGTTTTGTGTGAAAAAAAAGTGTTTTCTTTTTCTTTTAAAAAAAACATTGATTACATGAAAGACAAGACTGGACAGGCCCAGCCTGGCATCCAGTTAAAAAATGTGGTGAAAGAACGAGGCCATCATAGGAGGATGGTAGCTTCATCCATCTGTAACCGCAGCGAGGGTGGACTCCTCATTGCTCTAAACATGAATCGTGTTTACAGGGGTGTTTTAAACAGAACAGATCCCAGCAGAAAGATGTACTGGGCAAGAAAATGGGGATTTTTTATTTAGACCAAACGCTCTGCTTATGCAGTTATGCAAGTTTAGTTTTATGAAATATATATGGACTAAAGGGGGCTTTTTTTTTTTTAAGGATATAGTAGTAACAAGTCAAAGCTGTTCAATGAAACCCTTTTCTAAAACACAGCTGATCCTCTTTAAATCCTTGAACTGTAGATTGGTAAGACAAAATCACATTTAACGTAATTAAAACAGTTACCGAGACCTACTCTATGGTAAGCGGAAATCAATTTATATGTAAAAGGGTTAAACAAAACCAGACATTGCAAAGATAAGGAGTGCTGATTGGACTCAGCTGTGTTTGGCTCATATAAGGTCAGAATACAGCAGAGATCAGGATGTGTACATACACATCCTGTGTGAGAGAAAACATGTTTTCCAGAAAGCAACACGTTACCATCTCACACATAAGCCCACCTGTCTATCACCATGCAAAAAGGCCATCGGATAATGGAATTCATGCACTCACATCAGTTTCCTACTCTTAAAGGACCACTCTAGGCACCCAGACCACTTCAGCTTAATGAAGTGGTCTGGGTGCCAGGTCCTTCTAGGGTTAACCCATTTTTTTTATAAACATACATGTTTATCAATGGGTTAAGCCTTCCCCCAAAGCCTCTAGTGGCTGTCTCATTGACAGCCACTAGAGGCGCTTGCGTGCTTCTCACTGTGATTTTCACAGTGAGAGCACGCAAGCGTCCATAGGAAAGCATTGTAAATGCTTTCCTATGCGACAGGCTGAATGCGCGCGCAGCTCTTGCCGCGCGTGCGCATTCAGCCCAGGAGGAGGAACGGAGGAGGAGAGGAGGCAGAGAGCTCCCCGCCCAGCGCTGGAAAAAGGTAAGTTTTAACCCCTTTCCCGAGCCGGTCGGGAGGGGGTCCCTGAGGGTGGGGGCACCCTCAGGGCACTATAGTGCCAGGAAAACGAGTATGTTTTCCTGGCACTATAGTGGTCCTTTAATCATAGCACCTGCCACCAGCACTACCGACCATATACCCCTGTAATTTATAGCGCGCCCCATAGACAATTTCTGCTAATTATAAAACACTCAACACTCCTGTCCCTATCGCCAATAAGTTCAACAATCCCATCTTAGCTATGGGATGGCTGGGGATAACAAAAGGTATCTCCAGCACTGTCTCAATAAAAGAGCATTGGCTCTAACATTTGCTCGGAGCAGAAGATCTATAACTTTAAAGCTCACAGTACTGGGAACCACCATGAGGTCACATCCTGTGATCAGAACTAGGATGCGCACAAAATACATGAAAGAAAAACTACATTCTACATTCCCACAAACACTAAAGCTGGGTTTTCCCCTCATGGTGGACCTCAAGGTCTCCCCCCACCACAATATGCCAGTCCAAATGGGGAGAGAAGCAGTGGTTTGAATAACTGGGATGAGAGACAGTAATATCAATAGAAAACCGAAAAGAAATATGGCAGTGTGATGAACATATAGGACCTAACCAAGCCATACTACACATACAAAGAACATGGAGCTGAAAATAAAAAAGGTTCCTTATTGAATAGCATACAATATACATGGGTTCTAGATACCATGCTATTTTTAAACCCCTGCAGGATTCCTTGCCTTACCCAATACCTTGTACCAGAGCTTTGTGTGCATTATGCAAGGACAGATCAACAGGCAATTCAATGAAAGAAAACACTCAAACAATACACTCAACCCACTCCTACAAAAGACACAACAGTATCAGCTGGTGGAACCAAATACAATCTAAACAGAAAGGGCTCGGAATTCATCGAGATAATCATCAGTGTGTCCTCCAGGCCCCCCACCAGCAAAAGTAATACAATTCAGGAAAATCCATTTACAGAAAGGAGACGGAAAGGGCTTTGGCTTTTGTCCAGCATTATGCACACAGCAAGGTCATTAAGTTCTGGTCCATCAATATAAAAATCAAGCAAGGTGTGAAAGCAGTCAGCAAACACTTAGCAGAAACAAACAGATCACATAGGACAAGGAGCAAAATTTATTTTTCAAGTAACTGGTCATATGTAACATCAGACTCACCAACTGAAATTCCCTGCGCCGGTCATAGGCATTCTGAATTCCACTGTCCGCCCACAATGCCTTTATTGATGCAATATGCATAAGAAATACATGAGTCTCCACCATTCCATGGGCTACCATTGCCGACCTTGTATCAAACGCCATCATTACCTCACCATGCTTCTGATTGGATGGGTCACCCCAAGGGATGTGAAGCTTTTCTCGTGCATCAACAAGCACTCTTATACCTAAAAAAAAAAAGAAGAAAAAAAGGAAAAAGAAAATAGCATTTAAAAAAGGTGATCTGAAAACAAACTTCATCCACTTTCACAACTGCCAAATAAAAAGTAAAGAAAAATAAATCAAAAAACATGTTAAGTTGTAATTTTCATTCCAGTTTCTTGCAGTCTTTCCCTTTTTTTGGCATTTGTTTTTAAACATCTGCATGAAGCTGCCTTCATATCAGCCACTTTGGTCCCCACACACTGAGTGCTACGGGTTAATTGGGCAGAGTGCTGGGGACTGGACAATGCTCTTGGCCGTTCCTGAAGTGGTAATCTAAGCCGGCTATTGAGATTGAGATGTTTTACCTCTTTTGTATGTTGGAAACGTGATATAAGATCATGATGCCACTTCGTGATTTACACAAAAATAAAGATGGTCAAAAACAAATTATAATTTCAATATATGTATATATAAAAGAGAAGGGGGAGTGGGGAAAATGATTTATTCAAATGGTTCAGAGTTTGAAAAACAGAGCTCCAAGCAACTGCAAATGACAGGAATCCAGGGAATGCTCGCACAGATCTCCAATGAACCACAACCCAGCATTTGTTGGGTACCGTGAGGTATATATTAATTCCAGTCCTGATTTAATATCAGCAGCAATACTACATCCATGTACTACTACACAAGTCACAAGCAATACACGATGAAAATATATTAGACTTATTTCCCTCTCTGTCAGGTGCGAACCTGTGCTGGAGCAAATTCCTCAGCCAAGCCCTTCTACTTCTCCAATCAGTGTCGAAGTTCAACCGCCCTCACACACTGCAAATAAGCCATTTCTGGTCAAACTACAGGATTCCTTTACAGAAGCCAATGAGCTATGCCTACATTCAGACATCTTCACAATCTGATGGCAGGTTTTTGAAATGCAGTTTCCTGAAAATACCATCAGAATTACAACTCATAAGGAAGCTATTTACCATTTTCACAAACCAAATTCAGTCACGCCTAACGCACACTTCTGACAGTCAAAACTATCTCACCAAATAGTTCTGTATAGAGGAAAGTAATGAAAAAGCAGTGTAGATGAGTATTATTTCAAACTTTAGATATCCCTGAGGAAGCAACGGATACATTCAATTGCATTTTTCCCACAGTTACGTATTAGTCATGCATTACATGTTTCAGATAAGTATTCTATTTAAAGAGACACTATAGCCACCAAAACAATTTTAGCTTTATGAAGGAGTTTTGGTGTATAGATAATGCATCTTAAAGCGGCACTGTCACGCCCAACATACCTTTCTTTAATCAATTCCTCTTCTGACCAGCGGAGGAGCAAAGTGTGCTTCATTTCCGGTGATCAGAGCAATTTTCCTACAATTCTCACCTTTGATCCTGCGATGCTTCCGTTCAGTATTCACTTAGGACAGAACGCCGGTGAAACGACCGAATTTCGTCTTAACAGAATGAGAACAGTTCCTACATTCGTGTTAGGACGCAATTTGGGACTGTGTTCAGATTGAAATTTCATTCAAATGAATGAAACTCCGATCCTATTCGTGCCGCGGCTGCATCTTGCAGCCGCTTAGTAGATAGCTCCTTGATTCCCACGGTATCAGGGCCTTTCAGACAAATTTACTAATACTAAGTAAAAATTACTTAGTATTAGTAAATTCTGCCCCTACTCGCTATGCAGTAGGGGCACGTCTAGTAAACAGTGACCAGTCCCCCCCCAGCCTAAATAAAAATGGGGGGCTATTGCCATTCTCCTCCTCGGGGGCGCTATTATTGTTTAGGGCCCCCGAGTGTGTGTGTGTGTCCCGGCCCCAACCCATGAGCGGCGACCCTTAATAACAATAAGGGGGACCTATTGTCCTGTCCCCATAAGTGGCGGGTCGAGGCCCTAAATGAAAATGGTAAAGAAGAACAGATCCTGACAGAGGGAGAGAAGAGGAATCGATTAAAGAAAGGTAAGTTTGGCATGACAGTGCCACTTTAAGTCTCACTGCTCAATCACTGCCATTTAGGAGTTAAATAATTTGTTTCTGTCCATGCAGACCTCCCACGTCCCCTGTTTGTGACTGACACAGCCTGCATGAAAACAAAATGGTTTAATTTTCTATCATATGTTAACATACTTTACAAGTTGTCTCCTGCTTTGTAAATTACATACTGCATTACATATGCAACTTTAATTACATACAGGAGGATCTAGCAAGTTATTAACAGAGCAGGAGATAAATTCTAAAATAAACAAAATTTGCAATAAAGGAAGGATAAACATTAGATGACTCTTTACAGGCTGTGTAAGTCATTTGCAGAGAGGTGTGACTGAAGCTGCATAAACAAAGTGATTTGACTCCTAAATGGCAGAGAATTGAGCAGTAAAACTGCAGGGGCATGATCTATACAGCAATACGGTGTCATTAAGTTAAAGTTGTTTTGGTGACTATAGTGTCTCTTTAACACAGATGTTTTGAACTTCCTGTAACATGGATGGGGGGAGGGGCATATTGTGATGGAATTAGAGGTTGTGTCTATTATTTTATTAATTTTCAGCCAATCAGTGGCACCACTGACTTGTGTACGGTTTCACAAATCTCATACAAATAAAAGGACAGACGCAGAACTAAATGGAGCTATAGTCAAAACCTTTTCGTTAAACACTTTACCGTTTAACCTGTAAAGATAAGCCAGCGTTTACTTCAATTAAGTTGTAATGGTTGCCAGACTGTTCCATTTACAATTCCCGTGTTTGCTGTATTCACTACCAACCATTAGGTAACCAAATTGAGCTTAATGGATCCTATCCGTTTTCACAATGGATCTCTTCGCTGCAATGAGATTCATTTCAAAATAGCCTGGCTGACCTGTACCTGACAGTCACTGCTACAAGAATTTAGATTGATTTATTTTTTATGTTGATAAAATGTTGGTAATGATATTTAGGCTCACAATATGGTAGTTATGGAGGAGTGTTCCTTTACCAGAATACCAAAAGAAAGCATAAAAATAAGATTTGTACATAAAACACGACATCAGCAGCTACTTGACGGTAATTACAGTAATAGCAGATGAGATATAATAATAGCACAAGGAGAAGATCTGAAGGCTGCAAGTAAAATATAAAGCCCCACACCAACAAAAAATGAAGGCTGTGATCTGACACCATTTATCTTATCTCTGCTCACGATAAAAGGTTGATGGACTTACGAAAAAAAAAAAAAAAAAAGTCAATTATTGACTTCAATCCCCATTATGCTCTGACAGCTTCAATTCTCAATTCTTCCATTACTCGGTGACTGCCTGTTAACCACGCAACCCCACAAATAGACACAAGTAAGGGGGGGGGGGGAGAACCTCTTTATAAATAGGAGAATTAAAATAATAAGAAAAAATAAATAAAACTAAACATATTTTACCTCTAAAGGTTAAAGGGACACAAAAAATCCCTGATTAATGATTTCCTGTGGTTTTGCAGTAAATCATGTGACCTCTCTTTGCATTTCATTGCAAAGCTGGAGACTACCCACATAAGGCAGCAGCGGTAGCTAACCTTATAACGGCTGCTATATGAGAACTGCAGTACCCATGATGCACAGTTATATAATATAGAGTCATAGCTAGGGCAGAGGGCCAATGTTAGTGCAATTCCTATGGAAACCAATGAAATGCATTTGTATCTCCAAACATGGCACTTTGCCCGGGATTACCTTGATAAACAGCACTAAATCGACACAAATGCAGTTTGTGAAGGATACAGCCACAATCTCTCAATACTATGTAAACGCACGAGTGTATCGGTTTTAGAAGCCAATACAAATAGAGCCCTAAATAGACAATATGGATAAAGAGGGATGACTTTACACAAGTTACAAGGAAAATAGGTGCACTATTATAACTCAATGAAGTAACCCAAAGACGGATAGCATGGAGGAGCAATAAATCCCCCAAAATAGCCATATAACAGGAGTCCAATCTCTCTATAGCACAGCATTTTCACATTCAGTTTCAACAATAAACATCCTTTCAAAAAGAAGCCAAAACTTTGATAATTAAAAACATTAAATTGGGGGGGGTGGGGGGGGGATTTCCTACGATGTCTACAGGCCGGCACACCCAGAAACAAGTGACTGGGGATAGAACACATGTTACAAGGATAGTAACCACATCCTGAATGCAACGCTGTGAAAACGGCCCGCCTGCTAGCTATTTGGGATTGCCAGTGACACAGGACAGGTACGTTTGCACACTGAATGCCATTTCCTCCGAAAGTATCAATCTGACAAATAAGAAACCACGTAAGACTGTCAGTTCGATTGGCAAGAATTGGTAAACTCAAAAAGCAATGTACTGTTTACAGGCCACAAAGACGACTTGCGGATTAGCATGAATAAAAGATGAATGAGTAGAAAATCGGCCACATTGATGTAACACTCAAAACAGTGGAGTGTCACAAGCATTGTTGAGACATGGATGACTAATACCTGCACAGCTGTTAAGAGCCAGAGTGACATGCAAACTATGGTGCAGTGGTACCCTGAAAGGCACAGGTCCCAAGGTTCAGAAAGCCTAATAGGAACTGCGTGGCAGTGAGAAGGCATAACCTCAGCCATCGCGTGGGAAGGAGGGCGTCACCATAGATTCTACATATGATGCAAGCAGCCACAACTGACAGCATAAAAAGCTGGGAGAATTACTGGAAGAATAGTCTGTATCGAGGATTCTCAAGTTATCCATCACTGCACTACACCATAACTACGTACAGCTCAACGATTACATATAATGCATTGCTCGCAGGAAACCCCACAGTTTGGAGGTTTATTCAGCAGACTGGGCGCACACCTCTTATTTGGGGGTGGGGGTCAACACAAAGTCCCAACTCCTTCATAGTCACAACATTGATATTTTAGCCTGATCGTTATAAGAAAAAGAGCAGAGGTAGAGCCAACAATTAGGTACACTAAGAAAATGGGGGGGTAACCCCAGGTAGAAATTATCAAAAAAGAAAAATAGTGT